TCTTGAGCAGATCCCCGAAGACCAATCAACTGGGCTGCGAAGCGAAAGTCGCTTGGATGAGGAGGATGAGTCGCTGAACAAGGGTGCTCATGCTCGCAGTGAATCCCAAGCGAAGATCGCGAATGAGTCTATTGGCATTCCTTCATCCTACGCGCTTGGCACCGACAAGGTGCGCCGCAACATGGACAAGGCTCAACGATTCTTCGGTCAGGCACCTCCTACCACGGTGACTCGGGAACCCCCTGTCCGAGAACCCGTCCGGGAACCAGAGGAGACTCCTTGGTTCCTGAATATGGATCATGAGGGTGAGGTGTTCTATGATACCAAGGCAGACGTGCCAAGCCTCAAGTGCGGTACACTGGCTGGCTTGGTTGAACATCTCACGCGCCACGACAAGCTTGATGCTTCTTTTAACAACACTTTCCTCCTCACATACCGCTCTTTCACTACTGCCTCTGAGCTTTTTGAAATGCTGGTCCAGCGCTTCAACATCCAACCTCCCTCCGGGCTGAACTCGGATGACATGCAAATGTGGATCGATCGGAAGCAGAAGCCAATTCGCTTCCGTGTGGTCAATATCCTCAAGAGTTGGTTCGATCACTTCTGGATGGAGCCCAACGACGAACTGAACATGGATCTATTGCGACGAGTACATGCGTTTACTAAAGATTCTATTGCCACCACTAAGACTCCTGGAGTTCCCACCCTACTTGCTGTTATTGAACAGCGACTTCGGGGCCAGGACATCTCCGTCAAGCGCCTGGTACCCACGCAGAACACTGCTGCGCCGCCGCCCATTATCCCGAAGAACATGAAGAAGCTGAAGTTCCTCGATATCGATCCCACGGAGTTTGCTCGGCAGCTGACCATCATTGAGTCGCGCCTTTACTCCAAGATTCGGCCTACGGAGTGTCTGAACAAGACCTGGCAGAAGAAGGTTGGCCCCGATGAGCCAGAGCCAGCTTCTAATGTTAAGGCTCTGATTCTACACTCGAACCAGCTGACCAACTGGGTCGCGGAAATGATCCTCACCCAGAGTGATGTCAAGAAGCGCGTGGTGGTGATCAAGCACTTCGTTAATGTCGCTGATGTACGTGACGTCCCATTCGTTTATCTGAAATGAACTAGCTAATCCGTGAAAAACAGAAATGCCGCGCTCTCAACAACTACTCTACCCTTACCTCCATCATTTCGGCCCTTGGAACCGCCCCCATCCACCGTCTCGGTCGGACTTGGGGCCAGGTTAGTGGCCGCACGTCGGCGATTTTGGAGCAGATGCGTCGGCTCATGGCGAGCACCAAGAACTTTGGTGAATACCGTGAGACCTTGCATCTTGCCAATCCTCCTTGTATTCCATTCTTTGGTATGATTTTGTGACCACTAAGGGCTCCAATCTATTTGATTGGCCCCATCCCTCTCCCTGTACCTGTGGGTCACAAAGCTTACGCAGTTTAGGTGTTTACCTCACGGATTTGACTTTCATCGAGGATGGTATTCCTTCGCTTACGCCGTCGGAATTAATTAACTTCAACAAGCGAGCCAAGACCGCAGAGGTTATCCGAGATATCCAGCAGTACCAGAATGTTCCGTACCTTCTACAACCGGTTCCGGAACTCCAGGATTACATTCTCAGCAACCTGCAGGCCTCGGGTGATGTTCACGACATGTACGACCGAAGTCTCGAGATCGAGCCTAGAGAACGAGAAGACGAAAAGATTGCAAGGTATGCTGAACAAGCGCTCAGAGATAAAAATTCTCTGCTTTTCGCAAGCACCGTCGCTGTTCTGCGGTGATGCTCTTCTAGCCTTGCCATTTTTTTTCTTTTCCTTTTTTTTTTCGGGCAAGGTGTCTGGCTCTTTTGGCGATACCCGAATTTGACCTCATGTGATCATTTTCTTTTCTTTTCTTTCCTTTTTTTTTTTCTGATTTGGACAAAAAGAAAAAAAAAACACGCTTCAAAATTTGTGGAAGTTGACACTAACCTGTTTTGAATTTTACCCCGTAGATTGCTCTCTGAGTCTGGTTTCCTGTAAGCGTGTGGCGGAGACATCCCTGTCAACGCTGCACCTGCGGGGGCCGTCACCACCCGAGGATCGTGGGCGCTCAAGCGTCACAACGATTTCCGCTCGAATCGCGCCAATGAAATTTTGAGGCTGCATAGTGGCCGCCAGTACCAGGAATGTGGCCTTGCAATAATTCTGCCACTAGCAGGATTCGTGTTATGGCCCCATTCTGGGGAACATCGGCCGTTGCGACCGTGCCCAAGACATGCTAGTCTGCGCACGAGCGCCTCATTATTTACCACCATCGATCTTCGGCACTTCCGCCGGGCCTGTTCCGTGTTGCTTAAGCATCGGGATCATGCACCTTCTCTCCTTACCTTCAATCCGTCGCATGGGGCCCCGCGACCCAGTGGGGTAATGACGAAGGTACTCTATCGAATCATTCCAACTGCTCGTCCGACTCCGTCGCGGCAGTCTTCTCTTGCATGCATGAACCCGCGCTGCACTCCCGATACCCTCGCTTCTTGCATTTGGATATATACATTACCCATTATTCTTTTGATTTAGAATTTTAGGGATCTGACTGGAACCCTTTCCTTTCCTTTACCAGCACGGATCTGCCTCCTCACTTCCAGTCTGGTGCACTGCCGGATTGACCGACATGTACCCCTGTCGCACACATCGGCCTCCGTGTATAGTTTTGGTCGCTGTGTTGACGCCGCCTCTTTACTTTTCTCTTCTCTTTTGTGGTTACCTGATTTCTACATATCCCTTACCGTTACCGCCGGAGCGAGGCGACTGTTCTTCTTCGGGGTTAATGTCTCCATGCCATTTTCTCTAATGATATCTTACGACCTGGGGCTGCGTTCATGTTGGATAAGATTTCTTCTTTTGACTGTATCATCGCAGCAGGATGCTTGGTTTCGTCTTGCTTTCTTGCTTTCGCTGTACCTATTTTTTCAATAACCATCCGGTCTATACCCTTTTTGATCCGTGATTTTGGTGAATAGAAAATTGATTTGTCCATTTTCAACTGATACTGGGATTATCTCTTATATAACTAGATTCGGACTGTGGATCATTACAAATTCTGTACATACAGTAGTTGGATAGAGGATCCACTTGGTAGTACTCCGTACTGATACATCATATTCCTTATCAAGATGACCGTGCAATGCAGCCATGACAAATCTACTCCGTACATGCATCCAACTACTGTATCAGGAGTAACTAATCCTCCGTCCATGCCAAGATGATCGGAAGCTTATTCTGCCAAGCGCCGCAGGCCCCGACTCTAGTTCAATAAATGCAGAGAAAATAGCGTAACAGTCGTAACATCTATGCAAAGAAAGTCTCCTTGCCGGATATTCTCTAGCAGATGAACTCTAGGCTGCTGGGGTGGACTGGTCCCCGATATCCTGGAAAAGTTTCATCTTCACCTCAGAGGCCAGGAGTCCTTTGACCTCCTCCGATACAATGCGCTGTCCCCCACGTACAACCTTGTCCAGCTGCTGGTCTTTCGCTGTAGCCGACCCGCCCCGCGGCCCGCTATTTTCGATACCTCGCGCCGCTTTTCGCACCTTCTGGCTGAGATCCATCATCTGCCTGCTGCCGTAGTCCCGGGATGTGAAGAGTGGACTCTGGCTCAGCGTCGCGACCCAGTATTTGTTCCAGAGAAGAGATAAGATTTCTGTGTCGAGTGTGCTCTTGTAATGTGTCGTCTCGAGGGAATAATATTGATTTGCGTGTGCACCAAAGTCCTCTGCCTTGCCGAGAGGAATAGTCTGATACTCATCGTCTTCATGACCTTCCTTCGGCGGGGTAAAGTCCAAGGGGAAAGTGCGGAATGCGCCGATTTCAACGCGGCCGGCGGAGATCGTGCGTTCTGGGTCGATCACAACGGCCACAAACGGGCCGGTCATCTGTTGTGTCTGCTGTGTGGCGACGTCGATGCCGGACAGCCAGCACCCGTACCCGGGGTGACTGTGGTACCAGCCCACGGCGTTTTCCATCCGCCCCGCATCCCGGCACGACTGCAGATACGACACCATGTACTCGTTCGCCTCGTCCTGAGCGTTCACGCGAGTCTCGGTTCCTTCGACGGGTAGTCGGAATGCGTCCGTCACGACGAATGTGTTTGGCAGGATATAGCCTTGCATCAGGCCCATGACTTCTAGGGAGCCGCCTGACCGGGCGTGCATCACCATTTTCAATAGTGCTGTTGCGGAGATGCGGACCGATTTGAAGTAGTACGGGTCCGAGGCCCAGGGCCGTTCAGCGTTGAGGGACTTTTGTGTAGCTTCATCGTATTGGTAAAGAGCATCGCGTTGCGGATCGAATACACTGATGGCGTTCTCGAGCTCTGAGATTTTCTTGGTGGTTAGTCTACAAGCTATGCCAGTCAAGTTTCTTGAGGTGGTGGAAGCTAACCCCAGGACTGCTGTGCAGCCTGCATATTTGATGCCGGTTGTCTGATTTCAGAAAAAGAAGAAGTTGGAGAGAGTGGTTGAATAATGGGTAATTTGGAGCAGGATTGTTGAAGCGGCGATAAGGTTATTTTTGAAGGGACATTGACAGCTTGACGACGCAGTGATTGAAGCGTGGAGAGAAGCGGTGGGGCTGATGTGGGCAGAACTGGGGCGGTAATATCGCTGAGTCATCCGTTGCCCCTGGAGACGATCGGCCCCAAACAATCAGGGCGCGGGAGATTGATCCTGTTTGCGATCCAGCCCTGCCTTTCTCCTCCTCCCCCTCATAAACACCTCACCCAAGGTCTTCCCACTCGATTCTCCATGTCTCTCAACTGACGAGTCTCACCACCCACCTTCGTTCATTTCTTTATTTGGCAGCGTGTGTCGGAATTCCGCGCTTTGGACTACCTGTTTTGATCCCTTCGGCGTCGCTGTCGCAGTGTCGACAACCTTGTCGTTGGAGTGATTCACATTCCTTGATTGACACTTCCAAACTTGCTGTCGCCGAGCTCGGTCACTACCAGTCATGGCTGTCGACACGAGCTACCTGACCAGCCAGGTCAATAATATTGTCCAGCAGCTACATGGGATCTTCGACCAGATTGGAGTCCCCACCCATGAGCGCGACTCTCGCGAAGCAGAGGTAGGCTAGTTGTCAGCTTGACATTGTCTGTTTGTCTGAATACTAATCGCGATAATAGCTGTTCAATGCTCTGTCAGAAACACTAAACAACCATCTCAAGCTGGTTGACGAGTGAGTTTGCGCCTGTTGTAAACAAACCATGACTGTCGCAACTAGGGCTGACATTATATGCCCCACAGAGAAAAAGATAAGATGACACAAGAAGCGCAGCGCCTCATCACAACTATTCAACAAATGGAGGCATCTCTAGGTGATGAGCGGGCCAATGGCCGGTACGAGCTCAATCGTGATGACCTGCACATCACCTTCCCGCTCAACCGGTGCATCGCATTTCTGCGCGAGAAGAACGAGGCGATGACCAAGCTGCACCGTGAGCGCTTTGAACAGGTTAAGAGTGAGTCGAGTCACATGCGCTCATGAATATCTATCAATGATGCTAATTTTCAACAGAACTGGTCGACGCTCTCGAGTCCTATTCATCTCACCTAGAGGCTTCATTCCTTCAAATTGAATTGCCACCCACCGCACCGGGCTCTGTAATTCCTCCCAGTTTCGATCTCTCGCCCGCCTATGTGACCTCCCTGGACTCCGAATTCTCACGGGTCTACGAAGAATACCACCGCCGCATTTCGTTTGTCCAGACAACATCCGAGGAGATCATCAAGATGTGGGCTGAACTTGGTACCCCTCAAGTGCAAACCGATTCCAACATTGTCAAATACTACCGTGAATCACCGGAGCAGCTTGGACTTCACGAAGCCGATCTGGCTAGCCTTATGACCAAGCGCGATAAGCTGGTGGAAGAGAAGAAGGGGCGCGAGCGCAAGATCAAGGAGCTCCGCACAAGCGTCGAGAGCCTCTGGGAACGATTCGGGGTTGAAGAATCCGACCGCAAAGCTTTCCTTTCTGCCAACCGTGGCTGTGGTCTCCGCACTATCAACGAATTTGAGGAGGAGCTGGCTCGTCTCAATGAATTGAAGAGACAGAATATGCACTTGTTTGTCGAAGATGCCCGCTGCCGTCTGCAGGAGCTCTGGGACAGCCTGTACTTCTCGGAGGAGGAGATGCTCGATTTCACTCCTGCCTTTTCCGATGTCTGCAGTGATGCTTTGCTCGAGGCTCACGAGGCCGAGATATCCCGCCTGGAAACACTCAAGGACCAGCGCGCCCCGACCCTTGAACTGATTGAGAAGCATCGCGGCCTTTTGGCTGACCGCCACGCTCTGTCTGCTTCCAGCCAAGATGCCTCTCGGCTCATGGGCCGCGGAAACAAGGGTGAGAAGCGTGATCCTGGCAAGCTCCTCCGTGAGGAGAAGATGCGTAAGCGGATTGCGAAGGAGCTGCCCAAGGTTGAAGCCGAATTGCGCAAAGAGCTCGAGCATTGGGAGGATGAGTTTGGTCGACCCTTCTTGGTTCACGGTGACCGTTATCTCGATAGCTTGACTCCTGCAGTCACCAAGCCGCCCCCTCGCTCCAAGACCCCTTCTGCACCTCCGTCTATCACCAAGTCCCTTTCCAGTGCCACCAAACGAGATCCCATTTCCCGCCCTGGGAGCTCCATGCGTGGACCCCCTCCACCTCGATCCTCCACCAAGACCCCGACGAGCAATGGGCCTGTGAAGCACAACACTATCGGTTACTCTGGAGCTAGTCGCGCTGGAGCCAGATCACCTTCCAAGCTTCCTGCCCGAGCTCCCTTGAGTAACGTGCCCTATGGGAGCAACTCTCCCGAACGACGCACTGGACCTGGCTCGTACTCGTCCAGCACAGTCAATGGTAAGATGCCACCTCCTCGTGGGCCTCCACCCAGAATGCGCGCCTTGACCGTTGAGTCCAAGGAGCGTGGCAGCCACACTATGGAGCCCCCACGCTGCAACAGTGCGATGTCAACCGCTTTTGTCCGGCCTGTGAGCCCTGAGGATGTCTACGACGACCGCCAGCGGTCTTTCATGAGCGCTTCTGTCATGTCAAACCACCGGTCTACTGGTTTCTCCCACTCCTCACAGTCGTCTCAATCGTCTCTGAACTCCTCGCTGCAAGGATTCCCGCGCGTCAACCCCTACCTGTCACAAGCCCCTCCCCCACCTGCCCTTCGCCAGACCTCCAACTCATCCACAGTCATGACTGCTACTTCCGGGTCTGAAAACTGGGAGACCTTCGATGATGCTTCCGGATCCGAGGCAGATGCTAGCGATGTCTACTATTCTAAGCTGCGGGCAGCACATGGCAAGCGGTTTGCTCCCGAAGATGCTGTGGATTTGACTGGGAAGAAGTCCAAGGGCATCCGCAGCGTCAGTCCTGATGGGCCCCATCCCGGCCAGATGATCCGCGTCGCTGGTAGCGACACTGAATGGACCGACGATTATGAGACCTACTGATGATATGTGTTCAAATTTCCCATACAAAAGAAGCCGACATGAGCGTTTCGCCTCCTGTCCTGAACATCTGACGCTTGCTGCATCCCTCAATTCCTATACTTTCTTCTCTCGACTTGTTGATTCTGGCGCTTTGGGCACACGAGCTGTGGTTACGCAATCGCTTGGCTTCCTGACGATCCCATGACTGGACTCTGTATGGCTCATGTTGACGATCTCTTTTCACGATTGAGCTTTCTCAGATTCTATCGGGCTGGTGTTTCTTCCGCATGCAAACTGATGACCGATCCCCCTCTCGCCGATTTTGAATCTTGCCTTATTCCCTTTCTGTGTGCAAAGTATGAGTTACATCATGTCAATCTTGTTTATGCTCTCCCTTTCTTCTGTTGATGCTTATCACATCCGCTGCCGTTGCTGGCCACGTCTGCTGGTCGTGCATCTCGAGGGGAATTTCTGTCTTGTCCGCTTTACTGCGGATGGAGCCGGGGCTTTCTCAAGCGGCGGACGCGTTTGTTTAATCTTTCCTTACTTTGTGATGTTTCTTATGGGTTGGTATGGTGTTATTTGCGATCTCTCCTTTTCCTTTCTCTGTCTTATGGTTTTCTCTGCGGCTCGGTGCTTACGGCTTCACCTATTCCCTCGTCTTGGTCTCCTCGGCCCTTGGAGTCAGACTTTTTCTTTACGTTGTGCTTGATCTTGCCCGGCTTGTTTTCATGTGTTAGTTTCTAGCGCGGTACAGTAATTTTTGTTTGTTTAGTTCTCCTTGATAATATTACTTTCTGATTCAAACTATTCATGAAAGAAGCTCAAATCATTGCCATTATTGCTCCGAGGTCTTGTCAAGAATGAACCTGACCAATGCTTCTCGGCCATCTACTTTCAATGGCCCTTCCGTATGCATCGCTCCAGTAACTTCTTTCCTAGAGATATCAAGCCCCAGGTCTTGACCTCTTTTCTCCAATTGGCCGGCTAAATATGGTGGGACTATTTCGTCATTCTCGGCAGACAAAATAAAAATTGGCGGGATCGAGCCAGCTCTTTGCGAATTTTGATCTCGCCACTCGGCCAGTCGCTTCAAGTTCGTTGCATTGCACCAGGTATTCCATGAAAATGGCCATAAATACCGATAGGGAAGCCATCTCTGAGGGTACAAGCTGATAAGCATATCTTTGATATTCGACGTTGGCGCTTCCATGATCAACCCCGCAACTGGAGCGAGGCTTGCATCTTGTGTGGATTGTTTGGCTTCCCGCCACGAGAGATAAGTAGATAGGGCAGAGCTTGCGATGGACGAGCCGAGACTGTGTCCCCAGAGAACAATTTGTAGATCGGTTTCTGGAGATGAATACGTTTCGGATACCCAGTTCAGGAATGCTTGGGCATCGAGTTCGATTCCCGACTGTGTGGCGCGGCCGGAAGATGTCCAGTAGCCACGGTATGATAGGGCGACAATAGTGAATTTGGTGTTGTGGGATGAGGATGTCGCATTTGACATTGTCGAGATAGTCCTCAAGACTTGTGAAAGAAGGGGTAACCGAAGTGGAGTTGAGCCGCCATTGCCTTGGAAGTAGCATATTACTACTGATTTTGTTTTCTTTGTAGTGTTGATTGATTTGCGGTTGTCGTTGACTGGGATGTATCCCTCACAGACGGCCAATTTGGTTCCATCCAGGCTTCGGATTTGCTTTTCTTGCCATTGCACGGGCTTGCATTCAGTCTCGTACTCGGCAATCTTATCGGATCGCGAGAAAGGTGGCAGCCATGACAGATACAAGAGCTTGTTTTGCATCACGATGATCCAGAAGCATTTCCATGTCCACAGACCGAGAAGAAGTCCGACGAAGATGGCCGGCGGGTAGAGGATAGGGGGAATGGATTCAATGAACAAGGTTCGTAACTGTTGGCTCGCCCTTGGCTGGGTATCATTCTGCTTCTGGCAGAGGTTTGGCCGTTTCCATGTATTGTTATAGAAGTATCGATGAGAGGCTCTCAGTGGACGAGGCTGGTGGGTGCATCTGGTCACCACGTTGCCATGGCTATAGCGCCCGACGCGCAGCAATCCTGATCTTCCCAGCATGCAGCATAGGGGGGACCTCTTGCACACGGTCAGTTTTGATGCAGAGGAAATATTATGTGTCGATGAGAATAACGTCAACCGCATCGACCAGCCATCGGCTCTGACTGGTGGCTTAATAACCGGGATCAGGTCACATGACCGTTTCATAGTCGCCAGCTTCAATACATTATCATTACATTGTCACTTTATTAGCACAGTCAAGCTCTAATGACAACACAATATTTACATTATGTAGTACGGGAGACAAATACATAGGCTCATAAAGACTGAAGATGTTCAATTCTAGCGCATTCGGTCTCCTGTACTATCATGACCGTAGAAGGGAGAAATCTCATAAATAATGTCAAAAAGCCACAAGGGAAATGCAAAAACCCCAGACGCCCTTCTATGCCAGCAAAGCATGAATCCTAATATCCTTTCACTAATTTACTGGGCCGCGCACTGCGCTGGCTCCTCGTCATCATCGTCGTCAACCCAGGCCGAACCGCCCTGGGCGTCTCGAGCACCGAAATCGTCCATGTTGCCGTTGGGGTCGTACTCGACCTCGTCAACGGTAGTGGCTTCGATGGCCGGGTCGGGCTTGGGAAGCAGCTCCTTCAGCTTCTCCAACACCTCAGGAGTGGGATTCCACAACTCATCAGGGAACTTGACGTTCACAGCCAAGTAGAGATCACCCCCGAGAGTCGCTGCGCTTGATTGGCATACCCTCACCGGGGACCTTGAGCACTTGCCCGGTGGACAGAACCTTGCCGGCCGGGTGAGTGATCTCAATACCACGCCCATCGAGATGCTTCAACACAACACGCGAGAACCCAGTCAAGGCCTCGGCCAGAGTGATGTCGATAGCTGCTCGCAGATCAGAGCCAGCTCGGTCGAAGACTTCGTGCTCCTCCTGGACCAGCTTGAACACGATGTCGCCGTTTTCACGGTCTGGAATTTGGTCCGCCTCGCCTTCCAGGACAATCTTCTCACCCTCGCTAGACAGATTGTTAGAACCATGTTGCTAATCTCAGCAATTCAACATGACTTACCGAGAACCAGGAGCAATGTAGATCTCCAGCATCTTCTTCTCCTCGATTGTCCGCTTTCCCTTGCACTTCTTGCACTTGTCCTTGGGGCTGAAGAACGAACCCTGGCCGTTACACACGGAGCAAGGGCGCGTCTGCTTGGTAAGGAACTGTCCCATCTGGGTAATCACCTCCTGAAGGCCGTGACCGTCACAAGTGGAGCACTTCTTGGCCGTGGCCTTCTCCTTTCCACCCTTACCCTTGCACAGGCTGCAAATCACGTTCTTGGTGCTGGCAAATTTGACAGTCTTGCCCTTGTATAGTTCCTCCAAACTGACCTCATACTCTTGCTCTTCATCTGGGCTTCTCCGGGGTCGGCCGCCTCCGGGCATGCCACCCATACCACCCATGCCGCCCATCCCAGGCATACCGCCCATGCCTCCGCTGAACATCTCGGCGAACATCTCTTCGAAGCCTGGAGGCATGCCTCCCATGCCACCGCCCATGCCAGGCTCACCGGAACCGTTGAAGGCAGACATGCCATGTGTATCGTAGAGGTGGCGTTTATCATCATCGGAGAGAATCTCGTAGGCCTTCTGAACACTGATGAACTTGGCTTCAGCTGCGGGGCGCTCGTCTTCGGGAACTTTGTCGGGATGGTGGGCAAGAGCGGCCTATTTAAGATCTTCTTTCAGTCTTCAACCTTGTACTGTAGAAGCGACGCTCGATTTACCTTCCGGTAGGCCTTGCGAATCTCATCGGCACTCGCGCCTCGGTGGATCCCTAGGATCTCTGCGTAGGAAGTAATACCCGATCAATTTTCTATTCTCCCAAGTTAATGTGCACAAGTGACGGGACATACCATAGAGGTCGACTTCGATTTCAGCCACTAGAGTCTTTGTCAATAAGTAGTTCAAGGAACAGAGAGGGTTAGAGGCGTTAGGAAAACATACTGGTGGCGGGGTTTAGCGAGTGAAGTAGACCTGAGGGACTGGTAGGATGGCAGAAATATGCGCCGCTGGATTTGAACCTAGAAACCAGGCCGAGCGCGACGTGAAGGGCAAGCGGGGTGAAGAAGGATGAAATGTTGATTCAGCGGAGTCGCCGACGAAATTTTGTCGGGCAGTCGCGCGGAGCTGCCGAACCTCCGCAAAAATCCCCCGACCCGATCAAACGTTCTTTAATCACCCTCTCGCCTTCAAAATTGAGCCTTATGAGAAGACTAAGCCACGGGCTTTTTGCCCGGAGATCATGGACCTGTATCCAATGCAGGAATTTATCCTCCTCCGCGGGTACAAGTGCTCGCAAACCGAAGAACAATCTCCCCGACGCCCCAGCGCGAACGCGTTTTGCGCCCTCTCCGACCGGCTATCTCCATTTGGGATCGCTACGGACTGCGCTGTTTAATTACCTACTCGCCAAGCGCACCGGTGGCCAGTTCCTGTTGCGTATTGAAGATACTGATCAGGTCTGTCAGCCGCTCTAATATGGTATAGGAAACAACTGCTGATGCTGTATAGAAACGTACGATTCCGGGAGCAGAGCAACGACTCTACGATGACCTTCGATGGGCCGGTTTACATTGGGATGAAGGTAGGCTCAGTGGAAATGGACATGCGCTATGACAAAGGCTGGGCATAGGCTGATTCGGCACCGTAGGCCCTGTCGTTGGCGGCCCTTACGGACCATACAGACAAGTAGGTCTTCATGCGCTGTTCGAATCAAGGCAAAGCTAATGAATGGTGCTATAGTCTGAGCGAACGGCTCTTTATCGAACCCACGCCGACGAATTAATCTCCAATGGGCATGCCTACCGATGCTTCTGCTCTTCGGAGCGCCTCGATTCGCTTGCACGTCACCGGAGCCAAGCAGGGCTCCCTTCCGGTTACGATAGGAAATGCACCGATATCTCCTCCGAAGAGTCAGAGGACAGAGCCTCCAAGGGCGAGGCACACGTAGTCCGTTTGAAGGTCGAAGGATATCCCATGTTCAATGACCTGGTTTATGGCAAAACGGGACAGAACAAGACCAACAACAGCAAATTGGATCTGATTGATCGAGTCTATGATGATCCAATTCTGTTGAAATCTGATGGTCATCCGACATATCACTTGGCGAACGTGGTAGACGACCACTGTATGGAGATTACTCACGTTATCCGGGGAACGGTAAGGGTCTCTCATGCTCCTCCAATCGCGAGCCAGTCTTTACTAATGCCATATAGGAATGGATGCCCTCGACGCCAATGCATATGGCATTGTATAACGCCTTCAAGTGGACACCACCACAATTTGGCCATGTTCCCCTGCTCGTTGACAAGAGCGGGCAGAAGCTCAGCAAGCGAAATGCAGACATCGACCTCTCCTCTTTCAAGGATCAGCAGGGAATCTTCGCTGCGACTTTGGTCAATTTTGCCGCGCTTCTGGGATGGTCTCATTCCCAGAAATCAGATGTCTTCAGCTTGGAGGAGCTCGAGCAGATTGTATGTCATTACTGCGATATACGCTAGACTGGATAGTTGCTGACACAAATTCTCTAGTTCAACCTTAAAATCACCCGTGGCAATACTGTTGTTGCATTTGAGAAGCTCTGGTTCCTTCAGAAGGCACATGCTCAGAGATTCGCAGCAACTGGTGGTCCTCAATTTGACGAGATGGTGAACAGAGTGTGCACGTTCGTCGAAAAGGCACACTCCACGGAGAAGTTGTGAGTCTATCCCCGGATACCATTGCGAATATTCCTAGTCTGACTTGACACACCAGCTCTTCTATCCTTCAAGGTCGCACCTTGTCCGAGTATATCGCACCTCTTCTTCGTGCGGACGCCAAAACATATACCACCGCAGTAGAATTCAGCGAGCGCAACTCTACATTCTTCACCACGCAGCTTGACCGACCCTCATACTCACCAACGACATCCTCTACCTCGACAGAGACCCCTATGGTTCCAGTGCAAGCGCTCCACACGGCAGCCGCGGCTCTAAGTCTTGTACCGCCGGCTCACTGGACCATCGAAACCCATCGCGCAAACATTAACTCCTACGATGGCTCCGACGCCGTTATAATTCCGTCTGAAACTGCGGGTGCGGTCGTTCCCGACAAGATCTTCAAGAAAGAACTATACCATTACCTCCGCTGGGCATTGTCAGCTTCCGCGCCTGGCCCTGGTATTCCTGAGATCATGACTATTCTTGGACGGGAGGAAACATTGCGTCGCATTCAGGATGCGAAGGCTCTGACCCAGTCTCTGGTACCGCAAACTGGAAGGCGAGTCCCGAAGGCTTCAGGAGAGAAGAAGCTGCAAGAGGACAAGAGCTGGATGGGGACTCTTGCTCCCCAGAAATAACTTGTACAGCAGTGATCACTTTTAAGCGAGGACTGTGTAAGATATTCAAATTTCGTCATACGTGTATTAATAGAGATAACTGTTCATTCAAGTCGAGCTCTTTTCATCTGTGCGATCTTCTCAACCCCCTGGCCAGAGCCGGATGTTTAATGAAGGGGGTCAAAGAAAAGTCTATTTCTACTGAGGTATTTCCAAGAATCCGAAAGAACAGCGGGGTCTTATTCTAGGCTCTGCATTTGTGAGATCTATTCTTAATCTATTGAAGTCTATCCAAAAATACACTAATTCGACGATACATCTCCACCGGGTTAGAATACATAGGGAAATGCCCACTCCCCTCAATCATCGCCAATTCCACCCCCTCCTCCTCCTCCAAACGACCCAAATACGATAATCCACGATTCTCCTCGCCAAACATAAACATCTTCGGACATGGAAGTCCCAAAAACTTATCCATCAAATCCCCATGATCGGATAAGTGCACCATAGACTCGAAGATAGGTCGTACAGCGCCCGCTCGTACTCGCGCACGCAGAGTGCTTGCGTACAAGGGACTTGCGTAGGATTTAGCCTTTCTGGTACGATCGATGAACTCGTCGAAGAATGCCTCCGGATCATCCGCGGAGAAAGTGAAGATTTGCCGGCTAAGAAAGCAATCTTCTGGGGCGAGGTTGCCCTTAATATCAACGAAGCTGAGGACTCGGTCGTGGTTTTGATGTGCGAGTATGAGAGCTGTGAGGCCACCCATTGAATGACCCATGAGATGGACTTTGGTGATTTGGAAGTAATTAAGAACGGCTTCTGCCGTGGCGACTAGGAACGGGATATCGGTGGCGGAAAGATTGTCGCTGGTCGAGTGGCCACACCCTGGGGCGTCAAAGGCAATGAAGTCATGTTTTTGTAGAGCAGGATGAATCACGAGATCTGCTAGGTCTTCTTTGCATGATCCAAAGCCGTGGAGGAAAAGAATGGGTGGCTCGGCATTGAGCGTGTGGATTGTAGCTAGGTTGAGGTTGACACCCTTGACTTGAAGTGGGACTGTCGCGTAGGTGAGCGACATGGTAAATGAATGTTGGAAATAACAATTGAAAGAAAGACTGCTTTCCAGGAGATGTTTGTGTCACAAAGGAACTATATATGCATGTAGAACGAGGATGAGAAATACAATATCGGGATCGGCCACCTGGCTCGGCACCTTGACTTTTTGCCGTCCGATCGGTGGGGCTTGAAGATTTCCTTTGCATGTCGGACCCATGGATCGGAACTTCGTAAGCCTCGAGGTATACTTAAGTAATCAAGAGGGAAAAGGAAGTCTATGTGAAAAGGGATATCCAGAGTAGCGCCCAAAGAAAGTAGGTATTGGAAGTATGAAAGACGAAAGGAAGAGTAAAACAAAAGCCGCCACTCCCCTTTTATGCATGCATGCTCAGCCGAAAAAAATCCAGTAACAAGAAGAATAAATCCAGAGAAAAGAAAGCCCCAATTTTTCTTCTCCTACCACCGAAGACCCTAAGAATAAAGAAACAGACACGAATCAAACGCCTATACACGGCCCCGCTGTACATAGAGGGTATCTAAGGGTAAGACAAGAGGCCAGGAAGAAAGACGCGGAGGGGGTCCTGGAGAAGTGCTTTACACGGGGTGGTGAATTAGGCGGGTGGCCAAATGTTGAAGGCCACACGAAGTTAGCTGTGGGTGGGCGGGAGTGAAATGATGAAGTAGAGTGAAGTCGGATGTAGATGTGGGTAAGATAGCTCAGTAGGATCACTTCCGGCTCATCAGTTTCCGGCCGAAATTGCGGATGGTTCTCTTATGGCTGCGATTGTAATGTCAGAATGTGATTTTCAAAAAGATTGGGAAGCATAAGCCTTACCTGTCCTCTTGGTCACCGCCGTTCCCATTGCTAGCCGCAACGACAGTAGTAACGGTGTGGCCAGAAGTCATGGGTCTGATGGGTGCATTAACGAAACGGCGTGACTCCTGCAGAGTTAATTAGTTTGGGCATAATTGAGTTATATTATGGTCGAAAAACACAATACGCACCTCCCATCGAGAATCCACATCAACTTCATTGGCAGATTTGGAGTCACCAATGGTAGTATCTTGGTTCTCACGAGCATCCGAGTTCAAAGACACAGAACGAGCCAACGGCGAAGCATTCGACTGCATAGACTTTCGCGATGGTGACTCAGAACAATACTCGCTATTTGAGTCGAAGCTCATCAGACTCGGAGCTTGGCTGCGATTAAAGTTCGTTATGCTGCTCGCGCTGGGTAAGAGTTGGGACGAAGACGCAAGCTCGCGATGACGTTTCTGCTGTTGCTTGGAAGGCCGATGGTGCGAGAACTTGTTCCCCAGGATGGCGGGGGCATGCGAGATCAGAGCCTTGATGACATCCTTCTTCAGGCGCAGAGCTAGATCCAGATTGGACCAGGTCTTGTTGCTGTACTCCAGAACTGGCAGCCGGAAGACAAAGTCGTGGAGATCTTCAATGTTGTGCTCTCCTTTACCCTTGTAGCTCATGCAGAGAACTACATCGTGGACCTTGACCCGAGCCAGAGTCATGTAATTCGAGGCTCGGGACATCATTTGGGAGAGATCATCGGTTGGTTCCTTGTGTTTACCGCGACCCTTGCCGAGACCGAACTTCTTCTTTTCTTCGGTGCTTGTACTGTGGCTTGACAATGATCTCTCGGTTGGCGCCTTCGCCAACATGCGCATGCTGTCCACAGATCGTTTCTTCACAAGGCTACTCGCAAGGCTCCCTGTAGTTGCAGGACGGGGCAGCCCCTTACCAGGGTCTGGCAAGTCTAGGCGGGCGGTGTTGCTTCTCGTTATGGGCGTCATTGCAAGGCCCTTGAGATGGGTGGAGCGCCGACTGGACCTGCCCTCTTCAGAGAGAGACAAGGTTGGCTGGAGTCTCAATTCGATGGACCCGGGGCCCTTGGAGGCTTGCAGATCGTCCATGGAACCATTGTCATCATCAGTGCCCATCGACTGAGTCATGCTTCGGATGTTGGACTCATCCTCCTCGTCCTCATCTTCATCCTCCGATGCATCAAGCGGTTTCATATTCTTGATCATGAAAGGCGAGAAGCCGCCATTCTCGAACGCACCGGAGCCCATATTGGGGAAGATGTACTCGAAAAGTCTTTGGCCAAGCTCGCGTTCCAACTGGATCTTGAGAGGGAACAATGATACTTCGAAGTTGTCAACCACGGGAATACCCGCCACTGCTTCCATCAGGTGCCATTTGACGCGCAGCATGAAGTCGTTCAGAGGCCGGGGTTGATCCAGGTACGGTGCAATGATCTGAGGATAAATCGCATCTGGCAGAAGGTTAAGTCCGCTGAGCTGCTCAACTGCCACGGTGTTGTGGTTGGAGCCATCAGTATTGTCAGTGCGCTCGTATTGGGCATTCCTGAGTTGGAACTCGACAAGGGGAGCAGATGCCTCCTTCATCAAATGCCAGACAACTTCAGTAGCAGAGATGCTCCAGCGCAGGACACCGTCTGCCTTAGACGAGCTGGGGTCGGCCCGCCTTTGAGAAGTGGTAATCGCTTTCATCATGAAGAACAGCTCGTCCTCACATTGAGAAAGGTCGCGCTCAAGTGCCAAGCGATCCTCCCAGCCCTGCTTATCCAGATATTTGGCATTGATCTGGAAGTATTCTTTAATCTCCTCCAGTTGTCGGATGCGGGACTGTAGCTTAAACACGGCCTCGGGGGCGCCACGAAGGTCGCTGAAGTCCGACGTGAGCATGATCTTCTCCAAACGCTCATTGCGAACCTTTTCAAGTGGCTCGCTGTAAAGCATGAGATCCAACACAATGATGTACAAGGCATAATACTCCACGGAATCGCAAATCGCCCGGAAGTGTGGGAAGTCAACACTAATCTGGTCCATCCTGGTTTCCTCTCCAGGGTGAGGGCCCGGGTGACCCTTGGCCACCTCCTCGTTATACTTCAAACGAAGGTTGTTATATTTGTCGTAGCGTAGGCTGGCGGAGGTCTTTTGCACAATGCGAGAAAACCCGAATGGATTGAGCTCAAAGTCAAACATCGCTTCCAGGGTTAACCAAGGTGGCCACGCAGATCCTGGCGCATTGCCGTACTTGTTGCCAGCATAGAACTGCAGGTTTGCCATGAGGCCCTTCTGGGTTGCGACGAAGAACTGGGCGCCATCCATTTCGAGAGAGAAGCGGCGCTGGACCAAGCCGCTGACATCGTCCGAGACACGTTCTTTGTCCATGATTGATACAACCTTGAGTTCCATCCCCTTTGCGGCCACCATCAAGACGGACTTGCGGTTCTTCTCGCTCATGAATTGAATCTGAGGAGCGATCAGACGCAGGTAATAGCTGTTCTGCGGCGTAAACTCTGGTGCAATGTTCTCGCTGGAATCATCGGGGCTTGAAGGCGACTGGTTCTGTGACTCGGATACTTCAGTCTCTTCGGCGTTGACATATCGCTTCGCGTCACTCAGAAGCTGCTCAATCCGGTCCTCCACATCCTCTTCATCATTATCGCTGAGAGTGTGCGACTTGGACATCTTGGGTTGCTTCCGTTTGTTTTTGTTTTGCTCTTCCACGATATCAAGGATGAACTTGACAGCACGTCGAGACATGTAGTAGACGAAGCCTCGTCGCTGACTCACTTGATGGCTGTAGCGCAGGATGATATTGCGAAGTGAGTTGTTCCACTTCAACTGTACATTGTGAATCATGAAACGGTTGTTGAAGTCGCTGGAGAAGTCATCGGCGGCTGAAGAGTAAAGCCCGTCAAGACCGGATGCCCGGCCATCAGTCGTCGAATCCCCGTCCAGACCAGCCCTGGATGATGTTTCGCTAGCAGCCGCACTCAGACCTGACTTGCTGAGATTTGGAGTTCGCTCATCACGCGCCAGATGTCTTTCAAGTCGATCTAGGGTGGAGGTCAAGAACCGTCGGCGCCTAGCAAGGGACTCGGCCTGGCGGAGGTAAACCTCATGTTGGGCCTTCAGGCTTGGATCATTGTCGACATCCTTCATCAGTTTGAGCTCTTGTTCACCAATCGTACGCTCGTAATTGTGAATCTGGGCTTCGACAGTGGCAAGGCGATCCTTCGTCAACTCGATCTGTACACGGCGAGGATCATTCGTCTCGGACATAACACAGTCATGAGTCGGCTCGTGCCCGAAAGTACTGTAGCCAGTCTCCTCAGGTCCAAGGTCGTCGTGATCTGTCTGCCGGAAGTAGGTGAACCGTGGGGTAAAAGCAAGCGGCAAGATTTGCGTGCGGGGATTCGACTCCTGGGGAAGAATCCAATCAGGCTCGACAAAGTCATCCATATCAATCCAGTCAAGATTGTGGTCGGGAATCGTGAATTTCGAAAGATCGACCGAGGGTACTGGCTGCTGGAAGGATGAAATGATATCATCCCTATTTTGCTCCAGATCCTCAACGGTCGTACCTTCAATACTGGCAGAAACGGCTCGGAAATCAGCCGATTGCAAGTCGATCAAAGCTTGGTTAATGCGCATAGCACTTGTCTTGGTCTGCTTGGAGCGACCTCTGGCCTGAGTCTTGATCTGCTCACGACGCTGATGGATATCCAGCTTCAAGGAATCAAGGCGGACCTTGAGACCCGTTGCAGTCACGACATTCTCGGCATAGTCTTCGCGGTCCTTGTGCTTGTAGATATGAGCCACAAACAACGGTGCAAGAAGGATCTTGTACTTGACTGTTGCCAAATGCCGGTTGAATTTCTTGCTCGTCCTGGTGATACCGGGGAACAGTGGGCCCTGGCGAACAGGGAGAGACATCACACCAGAGAAGAGAGACCACCAGTCGAAGAAGTGGGTGAAGAAGCGAGGAGTCAAGTGGGTCGTGTTGTAACTTGCAGATGGTTGCACATCGTCAACAGACCAATTTCTGCTTTGAGGTGCAATGACCGAGACAGACAAGTGAATATGGTTACTGCGGAAGCCACGGAAGGCGTCATAGTCCGCTCGGTCGGCAGGGTCGACAAACTTTGGATTCTTAAGAACAACATCGTAATGCGGCCTGAATGAGAAGGATCGTGAATCGGAGTCCACATCACGCTCGAAGACTAATCCAGTTGCCCACTTCACATCGCCAGACAGTTTCATGACGACTTTCTTGAAATGAGCTGCATTCTTCTGCTCACTGGATGCGGAGCTGCTATCCATGTCTTCCGTGGTCGATTCATTTGCCCATCGAGCTTCTGCGCTGTAATCAGGAATGGCTAGGACATATTCGCCACTTGTCACGCTCATGAACTCCATCGGATCATCATTGCAATTGATCTCCCATTTGACATCTCTTCGCCAGCACATGACGAAGCCGCTTCCGAACCCGGTCACGACATAAGGATCGCGAGAGCCCTTGAGACGCAAATGGACATCGCCGTCTTCCTTCCAAAGCACTTGTATCCGAGAGTGGAAGCTGAGTCGGATCTTGTCCCAGAATCCGACTCTCTCTGAAAGGTCAATTTCGGGCTTGGTAAAACCTTCGATGATCTTCATCATGTCTTGTATGACGGGTTGATACGAGACTCCCCAAGAAATGCTCGTAGGCAGGCTTGTGTTGATCTCAATAACGGGTTCGGAGTAAGTCTTCACAGGCGTGACAGACCGCCACACCTTAATTTTGAATGGATCGCTATGAGAGCCATCGGAAAGATCGGTAGGCGGAACGAGTTCCACTTCTACCTGTCTGGCAGACTCATGGTCACGGAATTCTTCGGCAATGACAAAATTCGTCCTCAACGACCAGCTAGGCAGCCTGGGAGACTGTCCAGGTCGTAAGGCTGGGATGTGAAGAAGGTCAAGAGGATAGTCACGCAAATTGACACGCGCTTCGCCCATCTCTAGATTGAAGCTCATGGGGACCAGCAAGCCATATTTCATTGACAACGGCATTCCCTTGCCGATTCGGTTGAGGAATGTGGGGAGCTCGTCAATCGGGAAGGTTGGTTTGTCGATAACAAGATTGACATCGCTGATGAGTGCTGACATCAGGCCTGGCCTGTTTGGAATGGCCAGAATGGTCTCGGTCTCCTTTACATCATCTGGCGGTTCGTCTGCACCAGAAAACAGATTACGAACTTCTTTGATCGAGGTGCCTTGGAATTTGAGTGCCGCATCGATTTTCTCTTTCCAAACTTGAGCATTATGTTGTTGAAGTCGGTTCCAAGCAGCATCAGTGGAGATTTTGTACTCGGAGGACAGGCAGGTTGCACCCTCGGTATCGTAACGGAATTTACGTCCCCGACCACGGCCTGGTTCCTCTTGTCTTGGTCGTGTGTCTGCGCTTCGACTTCTCCTGGTATCCTGACTCGTCCGTTCACTGCGCAGTGTGCGGTGGCTTGACTTTGCTCGGAGTCTTGAGGAAGCCCGTCGCTGGTCTGATTCTCGAATCTTCTGAGCCTTCAAGAAGAACGCATCCTCACGAGCCATGCGTTGACTCTGTTCGATCAGACCGGTCCGATAAATGAGGCCCAGCTTCCATTCAAAGGCATCATCTTCCAGCTCAAAAAGGAGGGCTTTGCTGCGCAGTGATATCCTGGGCACTTTCTTCGGGCCCTCAGGCTCTCGAACAGAGACAAACTCTTTGCATCGGTTCTTGAATCGATGATGGAGCTGTTTGAAAGCCTTGGACGTGTTGATAAGATTATCGAAGATGCGATGCATCACCATGTGATGAGGAACGCCCAATCGAATAAAATCGGTCGACAAATCGATGGACCTCTCCTCAGTGAAGCCCGTGCCCTGCTTCATTTTCATCTTGCGGAAATCAAGCCGGACATTATTCATGCTACCGATCCTTGCCCAGACTCCCTTGAGCTTGGGAGCCTCGGCGTGTACGCGGACAAGATTGGCCTTGATGTGAGGGATAGAAAGGCGTTGTGAGGTGCCCGCGAGCCCATAGATCTGAAGCATCATCGAAGGATCGTTTGGCAGGCTCATCTTCAACTGAACAACAGTGGCTTTGACATCGAAAGTGATGAGCTCATTCTTAGGAGACAATTGGGATGTTGGAGGGGGTGGCAAGGATATGCTGCCAGCACTCTTCGTTTGACTTGGGGTTGCCTCTGTATCGTTTCCTGGAAGGGGCGTGAGCACATTTTGAATCACAGAAACCGCGACACCTAGACAATAGAAGCGGTAGAGAGAGTACTGGAGGTAAATGCCCTTAAACACGGAGTTGACGTGGAGGACAGGCCCCATTCGATCACTCTGAGTGGTCAAGGCGATCTCGAATCGGGGCATTGAGAAGAAAGATTCCGGTTCGAGATAATCATCCGACTCAATGACGAATCCATCGAAACCGCGGGCGTGGAAAGCTAGCCGTCTGCCATCAGTAGCACCCCGCTGCGTACTCCTTGGAGGCGATGTAGGAGTGAATCTGAAGGGCGACTCATCGCCAATTGTAGAGTGACTAGATGTACGCCGTCGGGCGATGCTACCAACACTATGCTCGGTTTTTTGAGCTTTGTACTCCGCTGTCCAGGACTGCAACTGCAACGAGACGCCACGGGAAATATCAGAGACAGGAGTATCAACCCCAGCAATCTCCAGGCTGAAACCCGTAGCTTCGAATGTGAATTGAATCAGCCATGGCGGGAGCTTCCTCAACATGCTTGATTTCCGCTCATTAAATGGCATAGGAACCCTCTTCTGCGGCTGCAAGTGTGTCCGGAACTGCGCAAGGACCTCGCGAATTCCACGATTGACATCGCTATTGATCATGTGCACAGAACAGTCATTCAATGTGCCTGAAGCGATGACACATACTTCTGGGCTCGCATTCAGATGACACTTGAGTTCCAGACTCTCCGTCGTAAGCAAGTTGTGTTTGTCGCCAGCAGGGGTTTGATAGTAGAATTTGTGAGACGCGACGCGATAAATGGATGAAAGAGAATAGTGAGCGCCGCCCTCTGAAGAGTGTGATGATTCGACATCGAGTGAGATCGAGGAGATGGATGAAATTAGGAGATTATAGTCAGCTGCAGAACCAGAGTCTCTCTTGATGGGCAGCACAAATCGAACAACGGGTTCGTGGACTGATAGCTTAATGCTCGCCTTTGGAAGCAATCGAGAGATCAAGGAAGAGTTGTTCCGCTTTCTGGCTCGGGGAGTGGAAGCTCGCGTCTGCGCTAACTTCAAGAGACGAGAGACGTGATTTGGCTGCAGATCGACAGATGGTGATGTGATGACCAAATTGGCGAACAGGACATTGGAGTTCCGCTCCTCCGGGTTCGCATCTTCAAAGGCACTGACCGTCTTCGATGGCAGAGTCGTCTTGATCGTCGTGGTGGCCATGGGGATGTAGAGAATGTTGTCGGTTTCACCCGAGTCGTCATCCAAACTGACAGAGAGAGAAATGGCTGCGAGCAATGCTTGGTGAGCAACGTCATTCCGCTGGAAATACATGCGATGCTCTGGGCTCTTTTGGTCCATCCGATGAAGATCAATGCCGATTTCGTGCGACACCACGTTCAGGTAGACAGGGTTCTGGCCGGCGGATAGGGACTGAAGGCCACGCGACAACCGGAAGAAGCTCAAGGCGACCTGGATCTCCTGAATACCACGCAGTATTGAGCTCGCAAACTCCTTGGAGTCGGCGACCGTCTGGACTATCGAATCGTCTCGGCTGCCAGGTTTGTCCAGCTCTTCCACAAAGTCCGCAAAGGACATCTCGTCGTCGGTCTCGATTGGCGCGGGTGCCTTGGATGTCTTCTGGGTCGCCTTGATACGTTGCAGGATCATATTGAGGTCGTCATACGGAATATGCAACCGCCCAATCTTGAGTGCAATCGACGCATCCCGCAGGCCGTCCAAATCTTTATAGAGCAGGCCGTGGAGGTTCACACCAACGTTATCCAGGATTTCGGTCGGCTCGCGGCCGTCCACAGCGAGGAGAACATTTTGCACGTTCATAATCCATTCAGCCGGACGCTGTTCGCGAGACATGTCCTTCTTGCGACGAAATAGTTTGCCCCTTTCCACCATTTTACTTCGAGTATCCACCGATAACGCGAGCGATCCGACATGTATTTGACCAGCTTCGAGAAAATGAATCGTAGTATTGACTGCGGTAAGGTCGACGAGGGCTAGCCAATTGATTTGACGATGCAGCCTCTTCAGGCGCTCCTTCATCCGAGTCAAAGACCTCCATGTCTTGCTGCGCGGGGTGGACGATTCGGGGGGAGCGCTTTCTTCGGAGGGGCTTCCTGGACTGTTCGGACTTGTCGGGTTCTTTGGACTCCCTGGCCCTGGAGATCCCAGCAGGTCCCGCGATAGATCGGCTTTCCCTTTAGACAAGGTGGCCGTATCCAGCGTGATTTTGAGATCCGTCAGTCGAATGCTGATCCATGTTGGCTGCGCGAAGGACGGCGGGTGCAACGAGAAGCCAAGACCCCGGATTTCGATTTGTAGTCCCTCCCTCGGAGCATATGCGATGCGGCGAAGCGAAAAGTAGCCGATGCGTTGGATGGAGATTCCGGTCGCAATTCGAACGATCGCAAAGACGAAGAAGGACGAGAGGTAGAGCAGGAGGAAGCCCACGAGGATCGAGGTCGGGTTAAAAAGGGTCATTGCGACGTGCGATCAGCAGGGGCTGATCTGTCGAGCAAAGACACGCAGCACCACACAGTACATTGAGGGGATCGTAGTCGTGCTCAATTGTCGTGGCGACTGCAGGGTGAGCTTCCCGGGGCTGGATTCCTACCTCGACTTTCTTGGTTCCAGCTGGATCCGGATCTGGGGAACCACCAAATAAATGATGGGTGGCACGATTGCCCCAGACAGAGGTGGGCAGTCCAGCGAGTTAGTAGGATGCTAAGCACCATGCACCAGGTTGAATCCACACACGAAGCAAGCGGTGCGCATGAATCATGCTGGGAGGTGTGGGTTGGGTGAAGTCGAGGTTTCGAGGGCAGTCCGTTTGGAGAAAGACAGATTCATGGTTCGGACGCGCCGGGAGACCAACCCATTACTGCGAGCGGAACCCGCTAAACTGCCATCCAACCCAGCCTGGTCTTGGCTCCCGTCAGTTCATAGTTCTGCAGGTTCTTCCACACGTCTACCACGTCCAGAAGACTACCTATGCTTGTTGAAGCTCACCTTGTCCTACCAGACTTGCTAATGAAATTCGGGGCTCACCTTTCGGAATAATAGCCACTCGCATTGACAAGAGTGTACTTCGCATGTTACGGGGCGTATCACTACACATTATTACTCCGGGCTCCTACCCATGCAGACACACACGACACCGGTTACGACCTGACATCCTGGTTACAACCTATACACCCTCCCCGCTCTTCGAGGAGGGGCAGCGCATAGGTTGTTCTCCAGACTCGTGTGCTGAGGCTCCCATGATTTCACACTGCAGCCAGCGTGGGGCCTTTCCTTGGCTTGTGCGATCGGCGGGCCATGATTCGACCCCTTATTATGCATCGCCCCAGACACAGTAACTTTTTGACAAGGAAATTCTTAGAAGAATGCATTGTTCGACCTCTTGGTATCATACATTTATGAGGGTAAATAATATTGTACAAAGATGGCCCTTTCCAAGGAGGCACGTGCTTGTACCACAAGGAGGAACCAGGGGAAGGGAGGTGTCAGACAGGCGCAACCAATCTGACACGTAACTGCAAGCGTACTACTGTACTCAACTGGATACATAGGAGAGGATGTCCAGAGCCAGCACAACGACGACGCCTTTGTCCGTGCGCCGCCAGTGCCTCCCACCAATGGCTGTACCCAACTGGTCGCGCCATAACGTTGTACCAGAGCCGCGGGAACATGCAGCAATCACTGGCTGCTGTTCATACTGGTTGAGGTGGGAGCCGGTCGGGTCTTCTCCAAATCCTCGATCTTCTCGTCGAGAAGTGCAATCTCGGCCTCGATGCTCAGTAACTTCTCACTCAACATTCTTCGATATTCCTCATCGGAGAGATGTCGGAATGGAATCCATTTAGAGTCGGCCACCCGCTGCATGAATGGCTTGGATGGGTTCTGGGCCTTTTCCATTTGCCACTTGTCAACATAGTTGAAGGCACTTTGCCCGCCGTAGCCGAGCAGGGAGAAAATAACGAGGCCCGGAACCAATCGACCTCCTGATTTAGAGAAAAATATTAGGGACTATGCTATACCAACCAATATTGATGCAATGGCGGGGTTACATACCCATGACCCTGGTCACCACTCCGCCGGAGATACCGCCGCAGAGGCCGCTGACATATGCTCGCTCCTGCGGAGACGCATTATCTTGATAATGAAGCGTGATAATATTGCTTCGCATCCCTATATCCGAAAGGTTAGATGTCAGGCAAATAGCCGTAGGATATTGAGCTAGAACGTACACCAATAAGTTGAACCGCATGCAAACCAGTGGATACCGCAGGACAGCGAGTGCACCATGGGGTTGGGTGATCGAATAACACCCGCTGCTCCTCCATATATCAATCCTGCGGCGCCTGTATGTGTCCATGTAAGCAAAGTGCGTCGTCGGGCCAATATTCCTGAGTATGGCTTTGGATTTTGGGGGAGAGGAGCGAGAACACTAACCACTCAGGGCACCCACTTTGGCCGCGGCCAAGAGTGAATTAGCCGGTGAACTAGCAGTTGGACCGCCTTGTCCACTCATCCTGTGAATAGTGCGAGAAAAGCTTACGCTTTCCCTGTATCGACCATTGAAGAATTGAAGATTCGATCCATTGCAGTCTCGATGGGATAGTTAGGTCACGTGTTGTTGTGTTATGTAATCATAGAGGCATCAGGAAGGTTGCCCCAGTTGGCCGGTATTGATAGTTCGGTCACCTCCCTTTATGATACTTATTGTTTGATTGTTCCAGTTGTTTTATTTGGAATGGCTAAGCTATAATCATCTATGAACCTATGGGTGGAAGTGTTGTCGGGGCTGCGCTGGCAAGTCAGGTTTGTACAAGCCTGCTCGCGATATATATCTTGGAATGAGCCTTTGGTATACACATACACGATCTACAAATATATTCATTTGATAGAAAAATAAACTATACCCTGGGTGATACTTGCCAATGTATCTAAAATTCCACAAAAACGTGGTCTTGATATCCTGTGCTGAAGGTTCCCTGACCTGATTTCTTTGTTCCTCTGGACAGAAGCCCCACCTTGTACAGCACCAATTTCACTCACATCTTTCCACTCGAAGAGTGGAAACCGACCATGTCAATATTGGATCTTAACTCTCAAAATCTCAGTACCACGTCATCATCTTTCCTCAGATCTAGGTAAATCTTGTTCCAAGCTGAATTGCGAGGAGCGACAGAATCTAGACTCGAATGTGTTGAGGGTCTTAGTCAGGTTAGCCTAGTTGGGTTAGACTCGCTACAGACAGAGGAGGGATGAAGCGCGTGGATGTCCATCAACATGGCAAACCAATAAGAAGCAACCAAAGAGAGGATCAATTGAGGGAAATCGAAAAGCCACCCAAACCCGTCTCATCTCAAGTTTGATAGTTCGCGACCCGATCTACGTGGAAGGCGACTCACGTTTGTTGCGGCAGCGGGGGATCCGATTGGGCTAGCGGCACCACTAAAAATTATCACGGATTAACTCACCCGGCCACTTCGTGCAGACCCGATTGCCGACTTTCCCCTCTACCAACTTTTCCACGGTGGAGTTTTCATCTGCACGCCTTGACCTCCGTGATAACCCACCTCATTCACACTTCTTTCAACTGACTCCTGGAACACCACCCAGGCGTCTCTTGAATTTTTCTCTTCGCTTACCCCTCTCAACCCTTCTGTGTGAGAAGCGCGCACAATTTCGCAAGCGCGTTTCTTGACCACTTGCAACCGCAATCATGGGTGAGTTCACCCCGCTTCCTGGCTCATGTTCGCCAATGGATATGAAGAGCCTCATGTGGCCTCGTTCTGTCGTAACTGGCGTTTTGTTGGACCTTCGCTGACCATTTCCCCACTAGCGCCCGCTAAGGCCAAGGGCCAAAAGATGAGCATGGTGGAGTTCCTGGGAGTCGACAGTGAGTGATCGAGCGGACCTCGAACAGAGATGGAAGGATCTGAATATATGCTGACCAAGCCCAGAGCCCTCTGGTGATTTCAGCTGGGCCGACGAATCTGAGGAGGCAGGTCTCGAGACACGTAAGTCACCAAACACCTTGTTACTGATTTCGCTGATCGATTACTGATATTGTGTCACACAGCCAACGGTATGTTGCGCACCGACGATACGAGAGGACATTTTCTTTGATATAACGAATCTGGCTGACCGAGATAAACAGTGCCCGCCGAGAGAAGGGACAATCGCTCGTCCTATGGCATGGGCTTTGGAAGTGGTGGTTTCGGTACGGCACTCTCCACAAGATCTACGATGGAGTATTCTGACAGCGAGATCTGACAATTTTGACTTAGACCGTGAGGCCCGTGGTGGATTCGAGAGCCGTGGATATGAAACCCGTGGCGGATACGCCGTTCGCGAGCCCCTCGACCTTCCCACTGAGCCCCCATTCACTGCCCACATTGGGAACCTGTCCTTCGAAGCCACCGCTGCCGACGTTACTGACCTGTTTGCCGACTGTGGTGTGACCAATGTCCGAATTGTGGAAGATAGGCAGACAAACACCCCCAAGGGCTTTGGCTACATTGAGTTTGAGACCGTTGCTGGTCTGCAAAAGGCCCTTGACCTGTCTGGCACCTCCCTGATGGGCCGTACTATTCGCACCAGCGTCGCCGATCCTCGTAAGTTCAGATGTCTCTTCATTATTTGAGCCAACGACATGGGATAGCTGACAATCACATAGCCAAGGAGACTCGTGCTGATCCCCGCGACATGGACTGGACCCGCCGCGGTCCCCTTCCCCCGCCCCCTCTGAGCGCCGCGTGCCTGACCGTGGCAGCTTCGGTCGCAACATGGATGCTGCATCTGACGCTGGAAGTGAACGAGGTGGCCGTCGCAGCAACTACGAGTCCGATGGAAAGTTCCGCGACTTCGGCAACTGGGAGCGCAAAGGCCCTCTTTCTCCCCCAGCTGGCGCTGGCTTCCGTGAGGGTGGTCGGCCTCGCAACACCGATGGCCCCTCGCCTGCCTGGGGTGAGGGACGTTCGCAGGATGGTTCCCGACCCCCACGTCCTGATCGCCCTGAGCGGACCCCCACTGCTGCCGATATGGACAACCAGTGGCGCTCTAAGATGCGCCCCGATGCCGCCCCGAAGGAGCCCACCTCTCCTACTGCTCCCGCTTCCCGCCCGAGACTGAACCTGCAGAAGCGCACCGTTCCCGAGACCGATTCCACACCCGCCGCCGGTGCTGGCGATTCCAAAGCGAGCCCCTTCGGTGCCGCTCGTCCCATCGACACTGCTACCCGTGAGCGTGAAGTAGAGGAGCGCCGCCAGCTTGTTCTTCGCCAGAAGAAGGAGACCGAGGAGAAGGCCAAGGCCGAGAAGGCCGAGAAGCAAAAGAAGGAGCCCAAGCCGGGCATGGATTCCAACAAAGACGCCATTGAGCCCCCCAAGGGCGGCGGTAACTTTGAGATCCTCCGGCGGGCTGGTGAGGACGAGAGCAGCATTCCCGCTGATAAGGAGACTGAGGAGACGGCTGCCCCAGCTGCTGCGGCTGAAGAGGCCCCCAAGGAGGCCGCTGCTAACGGTAGCTGGCGCACTGCCGAGACTCCTGCTGATGATAATGACGGATGGAGCACTGTTGACACGACCAAGAAGCGTGGCCGCCGTGGTGGCCGTTTCTAAATGATCTTTGGATACCCTGACGCAACCTCCGCTTTTCGCCTCAACTGTGGTTTGTTGGTGCATCAAAGGGGGTGAATGGTATTGTTATGGATGTACCAAGGGGTGCAACTTTCTGCCGTTCTTGGGGAGAAAATTTGATCTCGATCTCGATGTCTTCCATGACTAACACCATTCATCTGCCTTTTCACGACGGTAGTTGTTCTGTCTAACCCTTCTGACCATCCTCAGTTCTTCCTTTCTTTTGCCTTGCTGTTCATGATCTTTTCCTTTTTCTTGATTCTCTCGGGGCTAGCATCCCGATATACATCTAGTCCTCGCTCTGATGATTTTTGGCAGTCTGAAAAGTTTTCTCCCGCCGTTTTCCTTCTGTTTTTGATGTCATGTCGCTGTTCGCTATCTAGCTATTATTCCCATGCGTCTTGACTCGTGTGTGATTTGCCCATGACCATGACAGCCGATTCGAAATGAAGATTTACCATGTTCTCCTTCCTTTCCTTGTTCTGTCTCCCTCCTATGACCGACCCTGAGCGGGTCTTTGCTATGGTCATGCCTTGTTGCAGACTAGATATTAGCAGCTTTGGGTGTTGGGCGTGTGGAGTCATCAGAGTCTTGGATGTCCTCTTCATCACCAGCCATCTCCTCTTCCCCGATCATTTCCTGCGGTGAGACCATGCCAGTACGAAACGACCCAACGAGAGACGAAGTCATCGTTGTGAGCACTTGTTATGGCCTCACCGTTGTCGATGACCATGTTTGGACGTTCTGCTAGATGCTTTTTCTTCTCGGTCCTCTTCCCTCTCCACTTTCTTCCTCGGCTAGTCTCGTTTACATCCGATATGTTGGGCTCGGTGCATCTCCTCTCCTCTCCATATTTGACCCCATCAGCTTGCCCGTGCAGGTCATGATAGTGCTCAGTGTCGTGTCTGGTGTCTCGTGTTTCTTGAGAATAGATTGAAATGCAGTCTTCATTGACAGACCATTTAGTTATTTGAGTGCGGTTATCTACATGGCTGGTACGGGACATGTAGGCTTAAAGCCCTGAGTGTCAGCTTTCTCAAAATGAAGCGACAGAAGCGTAGGGGAGGCTTGCTGGTGTTGGTAGGTCCACACCCTCAAGTTTAGTACAGTAAACAGAGTACAAGGTGGACGGTGAGACAATTACCAAGCCAGGGGTAGCGAGGAGTATTGAACCTGTTATATATGCTCCCGGCATGGCAGCAGATGGGCCTTAGAGGGATAGGCGAGGAAAAGGCGCCACGCTGATAGTCTTACAGTAAGGGCTTTAAATAGGCCACACTAGACCCAAGAGGGGCTTTGTAGGCTCACGAGTACCTGACGGCGTGTGGCATCGGGTCAAGAGCGGTCGCATGCTAATGCTGGGAGTGTATAATGCTCATTCTTGGGAGTAAGGATTACAGATTTTCTGTACAGATGTACCCTAGCGGAAGACTTACTCTACTTCTGTATGCATAGAACTATGCTGTCGGAATGTCTGTCCCGCCAGGGAGGACGGGTGGGGAACGTAAAAACCGTTTAGCAATCAAGCACATGCTTTCAATGAATCAGATATGGAATATTGATGTGTGACTTGCTTAAGTTAGGGACCAAACCTCGAAACAATCTCAGGTCAGAAATAAAGGGAATCTTCATCTTCCGTACTCCGTTTACCATAACCCTAATAACTACGAAACAACCCTGGAAGGGTGAGACACGGTGGCCCAGCCGTTGGCGCGGCAAGAAACCCAGTGGCGCAGGATGGAGTTAATGAAACCCCTTCCAAGAGCCAGCCAAGCATGGAAATAAGTCGTGTTTCATGAATTTTTCCCTTCATACCCTCATAACCCTCGTCGCCGACCTTGGAACTTCCTCGTGAATCACGCTCGTGACCGTCCTCTCGAAGCTCGCCAGTCCTGAGTTGTACCCTGGTTCATTCCCGCTCAGGCTTCCCTCGTGCCGTTGTTACGACCCTGTACCTTGGAGATCTCGGGGTAAACAACCCCTCCCCTCATGTTATCATGTCGACTATGACCGCCTCGACGCTCACGACTACCACTCTTGTTGGAATACCATCTGCGATGAAGAATGTTACGACCTTGTCCGAGAAACAGTGTCCTACGTGTGGGGGGAACGGCGCGGTGGAGTCGCATCGTCGGATCCAGGAGTTGGAAGGGCAGGTACAGGCCTTGACTGAGCGCGCAGCTGTGACAGGTAAGCAAGAAGATAGTCCTGGAGGTTCTACAGAAGGTGTTCGTAGAGCGCATCGATTCTGTGCGATCTCTGTCGAGTGTCCACCTCGAAAAAGTCCTACGAAGGTGTGTTGATCTGATCATGTCACGCTGACCGACTCTTTGCCCGCCTCGCAGCCAACAAGCTCGCCGACTACGAAGATGAACTGCGTCGTTTGCGCTCAGCCCAGTCCGCCCACGAGAGATCACAGAGTAACTCCTCCCGACCCTCATCCTCATCCCACACCGCAAAGACCCTGTCCTCGACCCAGGCCGCAGCATCGTCCGATGCGACATCACAAGCCTCGCAGCAAACTCACGGCCGCCTGTCAACCCTGACCTCCCTCCTCCCCTACCGACGCGGTAGTGCCGCTCCTCCTAATAGCAGCGCCTCCGCCCCTGCTCCAACCACTCCCACAACACTCATCACCCCGCTCCAGCACCAAGCATCCCCAGCTAGCAGCGACAACGCCTCCGAACTCCAGGACGCGCTGACCCGCGAGCAGAGTCTTCGCAAGGCTGCTGAGTCTCAACTCTCTCAGGCGAGCACGGAGCTGGAAGAGCTCACCGTGCAACTGTTCAGCCAGGCGAACGAGATGGTCGCCCAGGAGCGCAAGGCGCGCGCGAGGCTGGAGGAACGAGTCGCGGTGTTGGAACGCCGGGATATCGAGAAGAGGAATCGACTGGAGAAGTTGGAGAAGGCGATGGCGCGTGTTGAACGGCTGAAGGCTTTGGTTAATGTATAGGTCTGCGCAGCTTGGCTGTGTCTTGGATTGGCTTTTTTTTTTTTTTTTTTTTTTTTTTGGTTTATTGCGTTATGATTGGGATGATCTTGGGTATTTATATCCCTCCCTGATGATGGACATGAAACTTGGGTGTCTGGTTTGGAGGGTTGGTCTGTATTCTTGTTTGTGTTTGTGATTCCCTTTGCATTCTGGGGTTTGGGGCGTTCTTTTTTTGCTGGCGTAATGGGTAATTGCGAGGAAAATGGGTATATTCTGCTGCGACTTAATCTGAGCATTGCAGTTGCGGATTCTTGAGATTGCAATCGATCATGTTTAAGTTCTTTGTCGAGAGAATATGTTAATTCTTCGAGTGCGTGACGTTGACTTGAAATGGCTGAGATCACGTTTCCGCTGTGTAGCTCTTGCGTCATGCATGCGCTGCAGCTCCGGGTATGAGGAGTCGCATTTGCATACCGAGGACCCTAAAAGTAGTTGGATGAGTGACTAGCCACTAGCTAGAAGCTAGATGAGCACAGGCTCGAGCCGAGAAATACTAGGCAAGCCGACGTCTCGGCCGCCGATCGGTCGGCTCGAGGTTGGACCTTCCCAGGCCTGCCCGGTGGAAACTTGGGAGACGTGGAAACGAGATCAGGTGGGCTTTAAGAACCCCACTCGGTCCCTGCATGCTTCTGCATGACATCTGATGGACGAAAGAGTATTATTGCTTGCACCTCTCGTCTTTTCACACTTCTCACTCGAAAAGTTTGATCATCTTGTCGCCTCGGACCATGGCTATTGGAGTGGCAATTATCGGAAGTGGTGAGTATTTTAGCTTCTTCGCCCTGGTCCTTATCTCTCTATAGCATCTTCAACTGACGTCGACGATAGGCAATTTTGCCAAAGAGCAGCATTTGGTACCTCAAGCAACCCATTCTCTCCAAACAGACGAGACTAATGTATGATATAGCCTGCTGTTAAAGCTACCGCCGATCTGCAGCTCAAGGCCATCTACTCCCGATCCTTGAAGTCGGCGCAGACTCTGGCTAGCGGGACGTCAGATGTTGACCTCTACTCAGATGACTCCGGTATTGGCAGATCCTATGCTGATCTCCTGGCCCGCCCAGATATCGGCGCTGTACTGATTGGGTACGTCCTGCAACTATTTCATCACTCATCCCGGTGACACTCGGACTTCAAGCTGATCAAGCACCGACAAGCCTCCCTATCCTGGTTCAGCCTGAATTCATCAAGGGAGCTCTCCTCGCGGGCAAGCATGTCCTTTCGGAGAAGCCCATCGCCAAGGATGTACCTACAGCCCGGGAGCTTCTGCAGTGGTACCAGACCAGCGTCGATCCTAGCAAGGTCACCTGGGCTGTGGGTGAGAACTTTCGGTATATGACCAAGTTCCTTTTTGCGGCCAAAAAGGTCTGCGAGTTGGGCAAGGTCCGGCATTTCCGGGTCAACGTCCACAATTTGGTGAAGCAGGATAACAAGTACTACTGTAAGTGACCTGGTCCCAGATGAAATGCAAAGGGAAGGCTAACATCTGGCCACCACGCAAGTGACATTCTGGCGTAAGGTTCCGGAATATCAAGGAGGATTCCTCTTGGATGGCGGCGTGCATATGGTCGCTGGTCTCCGCTTGATTCTTGGATCTACAGATCATCTGACTGTGGTCTCGGCCCAGACGCAACAATTACAGGACTATCTGCCACCGGTTGATACCGTTGATGCGGTTGTTCAGACGAAGAATGGTGCTACGGGCGTCATCTCCCTGTCATGGGGTTCGGACTTTAATGACAATGTCTTCGAGTTTGCTTGCGAGAAGGGTGTGGTGAAGATGCAATTTGACACCGTCACAGTAAATGGCGTGGAACACGATATCGAGTTTGACGGGAAGGGAGTCGTTCCCGAGGTGGCGGAGTTTGCCAAATCTATTGTCAATGGTCTGCCTGTTGCAAAGAGACAGTCACCTGAGGAGGCGTTGGCGGATCTGGAGGTGTTGGAGCAGATGTTGCAGAGTGGCAAGACGCATGGGGACCGAATGATGCTTCATTTCCAGGTTTAGAGATATAACCTGCTATATAGAAGAGAAACCCTTTAATCAAAAATTGAAAGTTGGAATTGAAGATCATGGCGGTCTCTATACTTCATAAATAGGATGACATCCAAAAGAGGAAGTCTTGGCAGGGCTTAACCCTCATCAACCCTAGAGATGACATAAGCACCACAACCGTCGCTAAAGTCCCCCAAAGCGCACTAGTGTGGACCGCCCACTCGTCCGCGCCAGTGCGAAGTTTTCGAGATTGACTACGTTCCGAATCGACAACTCTCCAACGCCCGGCGAGACCCTGCAACACCGCCAAAGTGAGTCTTCTCCTTCGCATCGCTGTCAACCCGTCTGTTCCAACTTACTGACGAATTTTTTCTCTGTCTTTCAAGATGGTCGCCGCAAAGAAGCATGTCCCCATCGTGAAGAAGCGTACGTTCACCGATCGCCCGACCGTTTTTCATATTCCCACCTCCCCTTCTGGCCTGGATAGCATCGCCCTTCGACCGACCGGTACTTTGAAAGGATAGTTGAAATGAGGAAGAGGTGGAACTTTCGAATGGTCGTGAAGTTTGGGATTTATGGTGGTGTCATGGAGAGACCTCGAAATTCTCCCAATTGGTCGAAGGGCATTGTTATCCGCACAGGCACTCGAAACCTCGAATCAATCGACTTTTACGACAACGACGGCATATATTTTGGATGGAACTCAGGAGCTAACGTTGCTCGCAACAGACACCACCCGCTTCTTCCGCCACCAGTCGGACCGCTTTATGCGTGTCGGTGCCTCGTGGCGCAAGCCCAAGGGTATTGACAACTGTGTCCGCCGCCGTTTCAAGGGTGTTATTCGCATGTACGGTTCTCCAAACATTCTCCAGATCCGGATCTGGATTTCTCGACCGTGGAAATTCCGATGATTGACCGATCAATTATAGGCCCAAGATCGGTTATGGCTCCAACAAGAAGACCCGCCACATGATGCCCTCCGGCCACAAGGCCTTCCTCGTCCACAACCCCAAGGATGTCGAGCTCCTCCTGATGCACAACCGCACCTACGCTGCCGAGTATGTGAACCTTTGCAGAAAACCAGTGGACTAGTCGACTGTGAATTTGGAGTTTTGGAATGCACCAACTAACTCAATTGTCACAGGATCGCCCACGCCGTTTCTTCCCGCAAGCGCGTTGAGATCCTCGCCAAGGCCAAGGCTCTCGGTGTCAAGGTCACCAACGCCAAGGGCCGTGTCACCACCGAGGCTTAAATGGAATGAACCCCAAAAGTTCTGTTTCGTTTTCTTTTCGGTGGGGGTATTCGCAGGAGCACGAGAGGGTCGGGGGTTTTTGTACGGTCGTGATACTATCTTTTTGACGATCACGAATTTCAAGAATTGTGCATGGCATACCGTGTGCGGCTCGCGCTTGGTCTTAGTGCTGGGCGGATAGAGCAAGAGAATTATATCTTTCTCTGAAATGACAAACAAAAATTGCAAAAATTTCTTCTTCACACTGTTGGGTGCTATGTATGGCCTACGTTGGGTGTGGTGTAGGGCGTAACGAGGGATTTGGAATACTCGGTCCATCAAAGTATTGCTATGGTGAAGCGGAAACGGGGCATCTAATTGGAGGAGTAATTCGGCCTTCAGATAGTCCCGAGGAGGTCTGGCCAAGAGCAATACCTTTTGTCCAATGGGCTTGAAACGGGCCGCTTAGAGGCCAATCGGCGTAGATCTGTAAGCACTCTATGCAAATCGACCATGATACAACCACGTCAAGACAAGCCCCCTAAACAACCTTTGGCGATGGGGTTGCCAAGTGTGGCGCCGCACTATAACTAACGATCTCTTATCAACAAAGTTGTGCTTCCGTTCTAAGTCGACCTAAATTCGACTGCCTAGACTCTGTTCATGACGCAGGGTTCTCCGCCAAAGACGCAATCCCTAAATCCTAAGCACTGCCCCCTCTTTGGATAATTTTCTTGGAACATGGATCAAAGAGTTGACTGATCGTCCGACCCACCGAGCACAATCATGGATCAATTCCCATCCACTTGCCAGAGGCCCTCAGTGCGAAGCGGGGGATACACTCACCATGCTCAGCTCCAAAATCATCCAGACTGCGCTTCAGTTGCAATTGAGATAGTGTCATGAACAGGCCACTCGAACCATCTCCCGACTGATGCCCTTGCCGCCGATAACAAAAAAGCATAAACAAGACCAGAACTGGGCCAGCAGCCATCATTACTTTCTTGGTCAATCAGAGCGGTGCCACATGCGAGGCCTGGCCAATGTCCAGTCTCAAACAAGGCAGCCCGCCCCAAACGAGGCTCCACCAACTGGGTCTCTCAGGGCTTGAAAGTTGACACCGGTCGGTCTGAGTTAAAGGGACCTCCTGGAAGAGCTGATCGGAGACACAAGGAGATCCATCTCTATTTGATCTCCACCCCTGCCAGGGTCATGGAGGATCGAGGGCATACTCTCCATCTTCCTCTCTCTCCCGTTCATCTCCTCCCTCTCTCCCCGCACGATGCTCGCTCTACCTGCCCGGTATGGGCGATGGGTACCGATTCTGGCCCCAGTGACTCTCCTCCTGCTCTTCCTCCACCTAAACGCCAGCCTGAGCACGCAAAAAACACAAGTCATCCTCGAGCAAGAGCTCCATCCATCCGCAAATAATGAAACCGACTCTATATCGGCAGATACAAACACAAACCCCGATACAGATCCAGAAACGCCAACCTCGCAACCATGCCGCCCACTTCCGGGCATCGAAAATGTCCTAGTGATAATGAAGACGGGCATCACAGAAGCCCAGGACAAAATCCCAATCCATCTTCGCACAACATTACGCTGTATCCCGCACAAACTCATCGTATCCGATTTCGAAGAAGATATCGCCGGCATCCGCACTCACGACGTCTTCCATAACGCCAGCGAAGTGCTACTAGCGAATAGCGACTTTGCTTTATACAATCGAGCCCGCGCAGGCGGCCGTGCCGCTCTCACCCAGTCAGACTTGACCAAAGTTGCCAACAGTGCAGCCGGAATGTCGGACAACCCCGGCTGGAAGCTGGATAAATGGAAATTCCTCCCCATGATCCAAGAAGCTCGGGCCTATCATCCCGATATGCAGTGGTACGTCTTTCTCGAGGCTGATACGTACGCAATCTGGCCGAATTTGCTCGCCTGGCTGGACCAGTTTGATTCGACCGAGAAGTTGTACCTGGGCAATCAGATGCAGATTGGGGAGGTGATTTTCGCTCATGGCGGGTCGGGTTTTGTATTGTCGCATGCTGCGCTGCATGCGGTGGCGGAGTATCATGCTGGTCAGGTTGATCGGTGGAATTATTTGACGGAGACTCAGTGGGCGGGGGATTGTGTGTTGGGTATGGCGCTGAGACAAATCGGGGTGGATTTGACTTGGTCCTGGCCACATGTCACGGCCCAGTCGATTTGGGAACAGGATGCGCTGGGTGAGGCATTCGGGAAGACACAATGGTGTTATCCCGCTTTGACGTTTCACCATATGACGCCTCCGGATATTGATCATTTTTACGAGTTTGATCGGAGGTGGTTTGCCAATGTGAGTATTCCTGAGATTCGGACATGATGTCAAGGCTGGTACATTTTGCTAACATTTATCTTTCAAGGAGAAAAATACTCTCCTATTATACAGCGATATATTCCGCAACTTTGTCCGCCCCATGCTCTCCGACCGATTAGACAATTGGAGCAACTTTGCCAAAGACGAAGTCAAACATACCACCGAGGAACCCGCTTCGGAGATGTCCGTCAACCAATGTGCTGAACAATGTGCCCGAACCACAGGCTGTCTCCAGTACCGCATGGACGCAGACGGCAAATGCTATACATCGGATTGGGCTTTACGAGGTCTCCCGGACGCCGGGGGATGGTCGGGAACAATGATGTGGCGCGTCGATGCTTCTATGCAAAAGAAAGGCCAGTGTGAGGAGCCGGTGTGGGTGTTGGAATAGGGGGTTTGAGTTGAAGGACTTTCTGGTCTACTTCTTTTTGCGTCGCATATATATAGCCGGGATTCGATTGGTTATAGATACATTACTGGGAAGTTTGGGATGCATTGGGCGAAAATGGGTTTGTTTGGGCGTTTGTTCCTGGAGTTTTGGGGTGCTTTTTGGGGAGTAGAAATTGGTTTTTTTTTTCTATGAAAGACGGAAGACTGGTTACTTACTATCTATCAAGCACAATTAGATAGAACATCATTTTCAGTGAAGATAAACCTGGAAAGAGAAATCTACTGACAAGAGATGTGTCACGGAGGGGATACTCAGCCGTGGAAAATCATTAACTGCAGAGTAATCAAGGATTTATTTCTTCTTTTATTTGGGACCCCTTCTCTTACAGTCTGGCAATGACGATTGAGTACGGGGTAGGTTGGGGGTCTGTTCGTATAGGCAAGGTCGGTATATACCTTAGCGATGATGCTTAGCATATACGTGCTGAGAGTATGGATTGAATTCGTGGCTTCTAATTGCTAGGGAAAGCTGGAAAAAGTAAGAGAGGGCCAGGTAGCAAGTCTGAGCTACTTTTCATGCTCCGGCCGGAGGCAAAGAATAGAAAAAATGCATCGGCTTTTGAATGTCTACATAGAAATATGGTATCATGAACCAAGATAGAGCTTTGAACCAAAGCAAATGCAAGTAAAACAACAATGCGTGGCACGAACAAGATGCATAAGATCATTCAAGGGGTTGAAGAAGGTGCTGTTGCTATTTCCGTCTCCTTCAGCTGAGAAACATCACCGTTCAACCCATGCCTCGGGTCCGAAAAGTCAACCATCCCAACACCCGTCAAGAGCACCGTGCTAGAGATGGGCTTCCGCTGCTCCTTCTCATCATCAACACCAATCTCTGGAGGAACAGTGCCATGGCCAAACACAATTTCCTCACTCTTTGGAACAGGCACCCAGTCTGGAACTTCACGAGGCCCCTCCGATCCTGGAGGTGGGAGACCCCAGGAGGGCATTGGACTGCGGTAACTCCAGTTGCCATCACGATCAGCGTAAGCTACGGCGTGCAGGAAGATGCCAAGCTCGTGAGGACCTGGGTCGGTATACAGCTCCGTTCCGCAGACATCACAGAACTTGCCGGAAAGACGCTCGCCCTTGCGCTTCTCGTACTCGTCCGAGGCAGCTTGCTGCTCCCGAGACATGATTTCTGCTAGGATGGCGGGGTCGGTGCCTGGGGGGACGTTCGGCGCAGCGGTCAAGTGAGTGCGGTATGAGACGGTGTCGGCGACTTCTGTCTTACCCATGCGGTGGAGTCGCTCCATGATTTCGTCGTCACGGTCACCGCTCGTCTCATTGCGGCCAAGCTCTGGTCCAAAGACGCGACGGTTCGAGTAAATCGGGTCATTGGTGATTGGATGACCCAAGAACTGGAGGTGCACCCGAATCTGATGCGTCCGTCCAGTCAGGGGGAAACAGTGAACGATACTGAACCCTTCGTCCTCGTTGGCGAGAATCGGTGGAGGAGTCACCGCCCGATCTCCAGATGTAGCATGCTTCTCAGCAGAGGCGACCGCCGCCTGAGGAGGATAATAGGCCAGACGGCGGAACTTGGTTGTGGCCGACTTGCCCGTGGCACGCACACGGTTTAAGCCCAGCTTTGGACTCACTTGCATGATGGGCTGGTCACACACCACCACGCCGTCGGGGAACTTGCCCTTGACTCGGGCGACATACTCCTTTTGTACGGTTCGCGCTTGCAAAGCCCCCGCCATTTTCTCTGCTCCCTTGGGATGTTTTCCAATGAACATGATTCCCGATGTCAATCGGTCCAGCCGATTGCACGGTCTAGGAACCCAGTCATGGCCTCGCTCGGCGCGAAGAATCTCAACGATCGAGTTGTAGTGGTATCTACCAGCGGCGTGGACGGGCACACCGGCTGGCTTGTCAATGACAATCAAGTCATCGTCTTCGTGGATAATACCGATGGGAGCACTGGTCACTGCGGGTTCGTGGCGGTGGGTGGTATGCGAGACGACCTGGCCGTTCTTGATGATGGTATCTCGGCCAGCGGGCTTGCCGTTGACACAGATCAGACCATTATCGAGTGCCGCCCTCTGTAAAACATCTGATTAGCTTTGAACACAATATCGTAAGTCCCTAAATAGGCTGAGATGATCATACATAGTAATCTGGCGCCCGGTCTCGGAATTCAGAGGTAAAGATATCCTCCAGTCTTTTACCCCGCCATCGCTCCTTGCAGTTTGTGTTATAAGTGTAGTGATAGGGACGGACACGACGCAATCCGCGTTCCATGTAATACGGCGCAGGCCACGGATCGCAGGGGGTGACAATCACATCGGGGGTCTTCTCGACGGGGTCTGGGGGAGGCACCTGCAGAGAGGTGTCGACGGGGACGAGGGCCATGCAGGGCGGTGGGGGCAGAGGATATTTGCCTCGCCGCAGCAGATAGGCCGTGATTCGAGCTGAAGGAGCCAGCGAGGATGGCGATTGTCAATAAGCTGAGTCTCTGTCTCTGGGGCCTCGTGGTCACTGGGCGCACGTCGAAGAGGGTTCCGGTGTTGAGAGTGGCGGACGATAAAGTTTGGGCGGAAGAAAAAATTGCGATTAGCGTTTGATAAGGCCAGGCACGTTAAACCTTCCAGTTGACTATGGGAGTTAAGTAAACAGTATTCATTTTCCCTTAGTAGATGGGTTGGGTTGAAAGAATCGTGAAGCGTATTTTTATCTAGAGGAGTCCTTGCACTTTGCCAATAGTCTGGTATCTTCGAGTGTAGATTATCTATACTTTCAACAGATCCTATTGCCCTTGATCACGTTGAAAGTCGAAATTCAGATGAATCGATGATCACCCGCTTACCTAATCTCCGGGCGACCTCGGTCCAGCTTCCCCGAGGCTGCGGAGATGCCGCCGCATGTTGAACCACTGCCCTGCTGATCATTGTTCCTTTAGAAGCCGCTGGACGGAATCTGAGGTTCAATCTCTTGTCAATATTCCTCAAAATCCCCAATCTGTGCAAATACAACCATGGCAGCTTCAGATATCCAGGCCAAGAAGAGCCGCAAGCGCAGTGACTATGGCTATCACCAAGTACACCAGACACGATGGTAACAGTCCACCTCCGTGCTCTCCTCCAACACGTTTACAGAGTCCAAGGCAGCTAACATGATACCCATCTAGGTTCGACAACGACATGTACGCACATCTAAACAACACCGTCTACACAGCCCTCTTCGACACCATCGCAAACGCCTATCTCATCGAACACTGCGGCCGAAACCCCTTCAGCGTCAACAACCCCACCCCCCAAAGCTCCTCCTCCAGCCAAACATCCAACCTCGACATCGGCGACGACCAAATTGGTCTAATTGTCTCCACCCACTGCGACTTCTTTGCCTCGGTCGCATTCCCAGATGTCTTGGAGGTGGGCCTGCGTGTTGCCAAGCTGGGCTCGTCTAGCGTTACGTGGGAGGTTGGGGTGTTTCGGAAAGGCGAGGAGGATGTAAAGATGGTGGGGACGTATACGCATGTTTTTGTGTTGCGGGAGACTATGCGGGTTGGGAAGGGGGGAATGGTGAAGCAGGTGCGCGAGGGATTGGAGAAGTTGTTAAATTCGCCCGGGGCGAAGCTGTGATGTGGTCAGCTGAGATCTGATATCAATGAGATACCTATTAATATACAAGAATTCCATGTGCAGATAGTGCTATAAATACCCCGTGTGCCTGTTCAGAGACCAAAATAAAGCCAAGAAATGGCCTAGACACGCCGATTGGGTTGCATATATGACAACATTGCCAGATACGGAGTAGGGTAGACTATGCATAGAGTTGGCTGAAAGTACATCAGATAGAGTGATTGTAGAGAGAAATCTTCAAGATTGGTTCCATAAAACCGAAGCGCGCGGGGTTTCCCGCGGGGTGCAATTGATCATTATCACCTCAAATATATAGAATGTGCGTTCCTCAATATGGAACAGGACTAAGGGTCTGATCCTCGTACCCGTCCATCAACGCAGATCACTTAACGTGATTTAATAAAAGCAAGTCTAATCTAATATCTATGAAGATCCCAATGACAAAAAAGACCATCATAAACAGACTCGAAAGAGGACAGAGTATTTCGTTAAACATCAAAACACTTTTGGTAGACCGAAAACATCAACACGCTTGAACGCTTCCTGAAGCCAAAGAAAAGAAGAGCGTGAACAGGTAGGCGGTGAGGAACCAAATTATTTCCAAGATGGTACATAGTAGGTGTTGTTCGAAAGAACGTTCAATCGAACTTGCCAGCGATGACACTGCTGCACCGTGACACGTTGGCACTCGTGGGAGGAGAGGCGCCACGGCGCATGGTTTCTCCATCGTCATCAAGGTACCACTTGGGATAAGGTCCAGGAATGAACCGACCTTTGGCATCCCAGCCAGCGACCCAGTGGACGCCGTCGTCAAGTAGGAAGAAACGAAGCTGCTCGGGAGGACTACCCTTGTGCAGCGGAGCCGAAAACCAGCGGCAGCGATCATTCAGCTCGGATTCAAACAGGTAACGGTGAAGGATGCGGCAGTAAACCAGAGCAGCAGGGACTTTCTCGTCTTCATCGTATCCATCACGTCGGATAAGATGCCAGCCCCGACCTGGCAAGAACTTGTAGGTTCCTGGGACGGGGCTATCCCAGTGCTGTTGACGGTTCACATTGCCGTCGATGCGTTCGCCCTTCTGGAACCAGTAGGTTGGGCAGCAGAGGGTGCGCAGGCAGATGAAGAGGTTGGGAGCCATGGTCGGTGATGGCAATAGATTTCGATGAATGAAAAAAAAGGCACAGGAGGCTGTGGCAAAGAGTCTCAATGGACTGCTCAAAAGTAAAAATAAAGGTTAAAGAGGTCCGAGGGGGCATTGGACAAAAGCGCTGAAATGCAGAAAGATCGAGAGGACGAGACAGATGCTATAAGTGGACGTCCATGGTGCCAGATAATCGAGATCAATCAGTCGAAATCGAGTTTTTGAAATGGGGATCTGGAGGAGGGAGACCTTCGGCTTTCACAGAAGCTCAGTGAAGAAGGTCCCTCGAGGGTTGTGTTCTTTAGACACAAAGGGATACGGATTGACCGACTGCAGCAGACACGGGCGGTGGTCCGAGGAGAAGACTAGCTGACAGTGTCCAATGACGCCGGGATTGATGAGATGGGGAAAACAGATACGGGTTCAAGGAGGTGGTCGCGTTATCGTTGCGGTGAAGGACGACCCGACTTCCCCGGTTTGCGAAAATGAAATAGCTCGACGGGTCGGGAAGGGCCGTGATAAGCTTGCAGCTAGCCTCGGGGAGCAGGAACTGCCTGAATCCTGAGATGAAGAAGCTGGGGGGGGGGGAGGAGGAGGAGGAAAGAGGAAGGAGTAGGATCCGGGGCGAATCAAATGGAGAGTGGACAATCAGACTGCGCGATTAGGCAGTTCAGCTAGTCGGCAAGTCGCAGATAGAGTCGCACAAGACAGCCGGTGTTAGAGCTCAGTGCAGGCGCATGCCAGATATGAAGCACTTGACTGGAGGAATCTCGACATGGCCAGGTATAAGGCCGCAGAGTTATAGAGGGGGGATTATAACGAACATGGTAAAAACAAGAATTGTGTGAGCGATATTTGGACACTTAGGGCGGTCTGAGAAAAGTCAATTGGCCACCGACCCAGTCAAGTTTTCCGAATGGAGTCGTCTAGACTCCGCCCAAGCTGTCGAGATGATGGTAAGCGTGGGAAAAATGTGGGCACTTGTGGGTGATCGCTGATATTTTTTTCTCCTGCGGTGGAGACTCTTCCCGAGTCTTGGCAATTCCGATGGCGGTCCACGAATCGCAGGGGTTTTTTTAGGCTTCTACGTTTGACTTTGTGCCTTTTTTTTTTTTTTTCTTTCGATGAATAATAGTTCACCGTCTTTGGACTAGCTAGTGTATCCTAACTATCCTTTATACTGCAATTCCACGCGGTCTCAATTCCACAGTCATCGGTCTCGCCATCTGTCGGAACAGCAGGATGGGTGGATCCCCAGGGAAAAGGAAATACTAAAACACCCGCCTAGCTTAGTCATGTTTTTGCCCATACAAATTGTTAGCAAAGGGGCATCGTAGCAATTCAGACTTGTTGATATCCGATTGGTGCGCGGTATGATTGACTAAGCAGTATTCGCGACTGTTATGAGCCCGATTCGCCAGTAAGAAGGCTATATTCGTCAAATCAAGCTATACGCAAGGTGTATCCGCGATAGCGACCCGGCCAGACGTCTCCTTCTTACCCCTGACCTTCCTATCGATCGAATTGACTGCTAAAGAAGAACGCGATCAATATAGATTCAGCAGTAGTCTCCGCCCTAAAAGGCGAGAAACTGAAAGATCCACCGTAGTGGAGGAATTGGTTCGCACGAATCAAGATATATACACGCCAGAAGAGGGTATAGGACCTAGTCAACCCTCAGCTCGAAGAAGACTATCTTGAACAACCGATTCGCCAACCAAGAAGGCCGCAATACCCCGAAGACAGCAGCGAGTCGACGAAACGAGAATGGAGAGATCGTATGGACATATACAAGCTTGACTATGCTAAATAGGAGCAACAGAGCAAGAGCCTAACGCTATGAACGAATAGATCATCGCCAATTTGGATCCTATCCACTATACCTCTATGCTCAACTACTAAACCCCGTACGAACGGCTTGTGTATCTCTATACTCGATTTAGTCGATCAACAGCGGCGGAAGAAGATATACGTACGTAGTAGAAGAGGGTGTTAGTATTACCACCGAAGAAAGGTGCTGATATCGACTAGTAGATCAACGAATAGGATTCACTAAGAGAATAGGCGGTTAGCCTAGATCTGCTAGAGATCAAGAGCGCTAATAAGGATTTCCTCCGTGTAGTGAAAGAGATACTCCTAGTATAGTGGTAGCTAAAGTTTAAAGCGATCGTTTTGCATCAGGAAGAATAGGATACGCGCGATTTAATCGAGAATTTCAGAGGAACCTATCGCGAGCTACACCCGTAGAGATCGAGCGCAGTTAGTACAATCTTAAAAGCATCATTTTCAACACTATAGGGCTTTGAGGAAGCTAGATCAGAGCCGCTACAGCCGTAGCAGCAAGTATAGCAACTACCGCGAGAGAGATCCTTACCACCGATTCCTAAGCGCTAGTGCCCTTGTGGTAACAAAGTTTATAAGCCCTAGTACTGCTAGACGATCAACAGAGAGGCTTTTCCTGATAAACCTCTCTCGAAATAGAAGGCTAAGCGTGTGGAAGATCGTCTTGCGAGAGATGCATCTTAGAAGACCTAGATAGAGAAGTCTGTCAAGGAGTATAATAAGAAGAATAGAGTGAAGCCCGCTACGAACACAGCTAATATCACTCAACTATATAGCTCCTACTTTACTATAGGCTTTCTAATCGAACAGGTCTACCAAAGCGTGAAGACTATAGGAGGCACTGATGATGATATTCGAAAGCGCTGGTTTCTCGATACTGCCTTATTAGTGTATATATACAACCAGAAAGACCTTTTCACTACCTTTATACCGGAGAAAGCAGGCCTAAAGACAGGCGATTCAATTACTGCTATAGAAGGGACTAGAAGCGCCGTTATGACCGGTATAGGCCCTAATGGATCAACCCGGCCAATTTGCCTAAGCAACGTTGTGTACTCGCCAAATTTCTATACTAACCTGATGTTATATACTCCGTTAAAGGAGAAAGGTATACGATAGGACGAGGACACCGAATGTATCAAGGATTCTACTAGTGAACTAATTATTAGCGTACGTCTCATAAAACCGCTGAAGATATAGGCATTCGATCAACTAGGAGATCCTCCACAATCCTTACCAGAAACCGATACCCACGCGTATACAGTTCGCAGATCAGAGAAACCGCTCGTTTCGGAAGCCTTAGCAGATCGATAGTACTAAAGACTTACTCATATATCCGCTCGTGTGATAAAGAAGACTGCCGAAATAGTAGATAGTATCAAAATCAGCGAAGACCTACTAGAAACACTATTAACAGAAGGAGGAGAGCTTTATTAGGTCTGTAATCTCTCAAGCGCACCGAAGCAGATCTCACGACGACCGATTAGCTAAACCTTTAGTAAATACGGCCGAATTCACTTCGATCTAGTCCAATTTCTACCTAGATATAACAGACACTAATAGATAACGTATTTCTATATTAAAGGGATTCGATTCTACTAGTTATACACTTATAAACACAAATAGGAGTATAGAGAGGGTATAAGGCGATTTATTACTCTCGTCAAGAATTAGTGGAACCTACCGATCAGGGTATTTCATTATGATAATAAGACCTCTGCAGGCTAAGAGATCGAAGGCTTCCTAAGCAATATTAGTATCGTTATATCGCACAGTATCCCCTATCACCCTAAGCAAAACGGCTTAGCGGAGCGATCAGGAGGAGTTATCCTAACGATAGCGAGGTATCTACAGATCGAGAGTAAGCTACCGAAACAACTCTAGCTAGAGATAGTAAGCACTATAGTATAGATTTTAAACCGAATCCCTACCTACCTAAAGGAAGAGAATCGCTGGATCGTGCTATAGGATGAAGCACGAAGAGATTTCGGCGGCGAAAGGATAAAGAAGGCTAATCTAGCTAACCTGCGCGTATATAGCTCTCTGTCGTACTGCCGTATCCGCAATATCCTACGCTTGCAGAAGACCTCTCCCCGCGCAGAAATCGGTTTCCTTGTTGGCTATGTCGTATCAAATGTGTAGAAGATATAGTTCCCTGCGAGAGAGAAGATAGAAGTCGTGAGAGATGCACACTTCGACGAATCAAGGAAATAGAAGGCTGATATGCAGTATTAGGAAGAGAGAACCCTTCCTGCACCTAAACCGACGATTTTGACCGAGGAAGAACAGATAGAAGTGCTTCGCGAAGATATCGGTATCCCTACCAATACGTCAGTCAATCGAAATACCCAGGAAGATCTCCAGGAAGGCCAGCAGGAAGGCTAGCAGGAAGGCCAGCAGGAAGCTATCCTGCTAGAAGAGGAAGATCATACGTACTAGGAAGCTCAAGATCAGAGAGATTGCGATATACCTTAGGGGGTGATCGCACCGATTACCCCGGAACCTGATAGAGACGGCCACCTATAGGTAGACCAGGAGCCTCTGAATGATAACTTACTAGGTATATTTCCGACAGAAGAGCCGCCTGAATTACCACCGAGCCCACCAGAAGAGCGAGTTACTACTGAAATTAGCCCTACCGCTGCTTAGGGGGTAGACCAGTAGACTATACTTGAACCTCAAGAGCGAGATATCTACGATAATAAAGACTAGCCGATAGAACTAAACCCTCCGCACGAAGCCGAAGAAGAGGATACGCTATCCGATAGCGAGCAGCAGCTACACACAGAGCTTTATACGCGAAGGAACGACGGAATCGACGCCGCGAATATCATCGAGGGAAGTAGAAGAAGAAGACTAAGAACCGACCCTAACTACTAAGCGTACGCAACGATCTTACCGGCTATTAAAGACGATCTACTAGAGCTACTACGTATATTCGCCGTAGCCCTATACATAGAGAAGCCGATATAGCGCTATAGAGACGATCTGCCCCCTGCGCCTGATAGGTAGAAGAATATAATAAAGCACTCGATAGCCGAAGGCTTCCTGGCCGCCTGCGTAAAGGAAATACGCTCTCTCCAGGAGAAATCAACGTTTACCGTGATAAAGCGACCGAATAATATATCGAAATAGATCCTACTACTCCGATAGGTATTCGCATACAAATTCGACTAAGACGGCTATCTGCAGAAGCTTAAGGCACGTATCTGCGTACGAGGAGACCTTAAAACGATAACTCCTAAGGATAAAAGAGCTATAACACTAGCAGCACAAGCAGCGAGGGTAATCTTTACCCTCGTCGTAGCGTTTAACCTCGATCTACGCTAGCGGGATACAGTCACCGCGTTCTTAAACAGCAAGCTACCTATAGAGACCTATACGAAGATGCCTAAAGGATTTGAATAACCGGGGATATACTAGAAACTTGACCGAGCGCTTTATAGCCTACGTATTTCACCGAAACTCTAGCAACAGGAAGCATTAACCGTTCTCACGAAGCTTGGCCTAGTAGCTGTTCCTAAAGACCTATACGTCTTCGTCACACACGGTATCATCGTCTTCTTCTACGTCGACGATATCCTTATCGCGAACTACCTATTACCGCTAATACGAAAGAAAGCTCGCCAGCTTAAGAAGGATCTAGAGGCACACTAGGAGCTTACGGACTATAGAGAAGCAGAGTAGTTCTTAAACATTCGAATTATACGCGATCGGAAATAGTAGAAGCTCTAGCTCTGCCAGGACGCCTATATCAGCAGTATAGCTACTAAATACTACTTGACCGATCGCCCGCCTATCTATATATCTCTCCCTATAGAAGAAATAAAGCTATTCGATAGCACAGCAACACTACCTAAGATCAAGATATACTAGGGAAAGGTAGGTTTAGTATAATATCTAACCACGATTACTAGGCTAGATATAGCGAAAGCAGCCGCAAAATTATCACAGTTCCTTCGAAACCCTAGCCTACAACACTAGCGAGCGGTTAACAGGGTGATCTGCTACCTATACACCACACGATATCTAGTACTACAATTTAGAGACAAAGGAGACATAGAATCAATCGAACTAGCAAGTAACGTATCCTTCGCTAATAATCAAGATCGACGAAGCTCCGCAGGGTATATCTACCAGGTTTATAGAGGTCTAGTTGATTAGAAGGCTACAAAGCAGCCTACTATCACTATATCCACCACTAAAGCTGAGCTACTTGGTTTGTTAGACGCTACACGCTCGCTACAGTAGTAGAAGCGATTCCTCGACCGAATCTCGTTCAAACCAAGCCATACGATCACCCTACGATGCGATAACCAACAGACCGTCACGTTGTTGACCTCCGAGCACGCCAAAATCGATACGAAGCTTCGTCACGTCGATATTCATGGACACTAGTTGAGACAAGAGATCAGCACAGGCAGGATTGATGTCAAATGGGTTCCAACTGCCAAGATAGTAGCAGATGGCCTCACGAAGATCCTACCGCGCCAGAAGCACGAGGATTTCGTCAAATTAATGCGCATGGAGGATATACAGCACCTAATCGAGGTGTAGAGAAGGAAGAAGAAGAGAGAGGGCCTGCTGCAGGAGATTAGCGCTCATCTCGATTGAATTCAACACTAGCGAAGATATTCAACACTCGCTAATCGCTGAGGGGGTGTGTCGGAACAGCAGGATGGGTGGATCCCCAGGGAAAAGGAAATACTAAAACACCCGCCTAGCTTAGTCATGTTTTTGCCTATACAAATTGTTAGCAAAGGGGCATCGTAGCAATTCAGACTTGTTGATATCCGATTGGTGCGCGGTATGATTGACTAAGCAGTATTCGCGACTCCATCCTACACTTGCTCACGAAGCTCTTGGCAGACGCCTCGGCCAGCCGTCATTGGTGTGGCGCAGTCCGCCTGGTTTTGCTTTTTTCAGCCTTATACGTTGTTGGCTACTGGCTACGAGCTCAGGCCAAGGGCCTCGGGAGTCATCCCAGCCCTCTGACGCATAGTTATTCTATATTTGATTTGACTTTCGGCATAGTCGACACCTCCCGACCTGCTTAATTGGGCACTTCCTATGCTTTGTCAACTATTTCATCCTCTTGGCGGTCGGGCAAGATCGGAATCCTTCGTCCTGTCCTGCGATGTCCAGCGACTGCTATGTAACCACCCTTGGTTCCGTTTACCGATGTCGAAATACGGAGTACACTCAGTTATTGAAATCCAATCATGCAATTCTTGAGGAGTATTTCCCCTAGATTGATAACCCGCCAAAGGTCCAATTAATTTCCATTCGCGCTCTATGTAGTGCGCATAGCTTAGGCAATGCTGTGCGACCGCTGCTGAAATGACCTTATCAGCGATCAACGATGCGTAAAAACCCAGCTGGGATCCTAATTTCGAACCAGCCAACAAGCTTGATGCTTACAGCATATCACTGGTCAATGCCATTTGTCCGATACATGGCTCTGACTCCAGCGAACCCGCCGTTTTCGGAGCGTATGCGTGTCGAGCAAACTGATATCATCAAATACTACCAGGACTCCGCAACAGAAGTCGATCGTTTTCATGCAAGCGTGCAAACAAAGAGAAAATTGAAGATGAGTCGCGAAATCGTAGATTCTTATCGTCGCTTTAGTTGTGTTGTCAAGTGGACTGACTGGCCGGGCTACATCCCCTCTACATCCAATCGCTCTCTCGTTCCGACTGTTGCTCCTGGACAACGAATGCTCGATGGGGCTGGCAAGAGGGAACACAGTGAGCAAGCCTTATGAGGAGCTGTCAATATCTTCTCTTGGTGGGCCGCAGGACACCCTGTGTATCGGGTTCATATTTCTCCCCGACTGTTGATAATTGCGCCTTTCTTATGTGCTTTTTCCAATCTTCGAGGCGTTACACTTGGTAGGTATCGTCTTTCAGCAAACAAGATCTACCGACCTAATATATGAGCATTGGAGGAATCGATCATAGCGACCGGTATTGTTCTGCATGGAAGAGGCTATTTCAACCACGACAATCTGATACTTCGTTATCGTATAAACTGTGCACTTTCTTCCTACGGTATATGGATTATCAGAACCGTCAACTTAGTTCCCACTTCTCTGGAACATTCAACTTCTATCGCTATGCCATTTGACATTGAATTACTGATTGCTTAGTTTGCCGCATACTCCTTTTGATTACTCCAAGCTTACACTGGGGGTCAGCTCCAATCAAGGAAAAGAAAGCTTCGCTCTGACCATAATCAGTTATTGAATCGACCAAGCAGCATATCAACCAACCTCCCTATTTTTCAGTATGCCACATGACTTGTGAGGCGAATACGCCGCTCCCGAGTGATCTACGTGGCGCGGGGAAGAGCCGAAACCTTGCGTGTAAATACGAGGTCAGTCAAACGAACCTATCGCTTTTGTGCTTATCTCCCACATTCTGTAAAACGCCTAAAAACAACATAGATCTACCCGCTACAAGTCAAGTGCAAAGTCTCATGTAGATAGCTCAGCTGCGTCACCAGATTGGGGGTCAGCAATGAAAACCCAAAGTAGCACTGCGATGGCTCACTCGCGCTGCGTACCTACACAACTCAAATAGAACACAAAGAGTCTCGATATCGACGACGGTGCCCAAGAAGCTGAGACCCCAAATTATTATATTTGCTTGCCTACCACCAATCCACAGTCTCAAGCTTTAAAGTCTTGTTTCTTCGCTATTGGGCTCTGTAGTTCAATACGAGCTGCAGAGTCGAATGTTCATGATACGAAAGATTGCTGGCACATCTCCTTCAGCGGTAGGGATCGACTGTCGATCAATCTTAGCCCATGCCTTTAGTGAATGCCACTGAGCCTCATTGGAAATTTTAATACTGAACGTTCGTATTCAAGTGATGATCTCCAGGTCCAAATTGGATTGATACCGCGAACTCGAGGTCTCCGAAATGGGAACCGTCTATAAAAGATGCAATATCTCACACTCTACGATGCACGTTCTTGGTTCAAGTCAAGTCTCATCTGTTCAATCAACATGAAGGTCGCTACCGTCTTCCTCCTCTTCTCTTCCGTCCTGGCCGGCGCTCTAGCCGAACCAATGCCAGCCAAGCTTGCAACAAAGCTACCAGAGCTCATTCCTTCTGGTCTCGAGGGCTCTAGGCTGTCTCAGCGAGATGTCTCCTGCCCGTCGAACTATCCTTGGCTATGTGACGGGTTTTGCTGCCCGTACGACTTTTGCTGCACGAGACAATGCTGTGCTCCTGGAACCGACTACTGTAGCAACGGCCTGTGCTATCGCAGTGGCTAGAGTTCCCTTGTCGTCTGCCTAAGTATGTAATTATGACCGAAGATATCTATCTTGCCTTTTGAAACAGGGCATGGCTAACAGAACAGATGCGCAGGTTACAGACTGCGTAAGCACGAGCACAAGCTCGTCTGGCGAGAACGCAATTTAGTGAAATTTTGATCGACTCGACCATTTTAATACGAAAATTGTTAATTACTTCTTGGGCTTGAACTCAAAGGCATAACATGTATGCTACTTTTACTAATGCCGCACATGGCATCAAACGTGGACCCTTTGCCAATTTTAGTGGCGAGATTCTGTAGCCAACTTTTTGTAGACGTTCAATGGCAAAAATGAAAAAGAAGGTCTTCTCGACTTTTGGGAGGTAGTGACTCTTTGTTGCAGATAGTAAGAAAGATGGCAATGAAAACTAGATGGCGACACAGAAACTCTCACTCCGCAATCTCAACAACTAGCTTTGTACAACTCACCCCGCGGAGTAGCATATCCAAGCCAGCATTAATAGCCCCCAACCCCTTTCCCAGAACTGTGGGCTCCGGACTAGGCCTGATAGTCCGATTGGCCAAGTTTCCCTTCAACCACGTCCCCATCCAATATCGGAACTGGGCCAATCTCTCCTCTTCATCCGCCGACGGCATCAGAAAGATAAATTCTACCCCATCGAGCTCCGCCATACCTGGAGGTATAACCGGTGCAGATCCGATCTTTGCCTTCTGGCTTTTTCCTCCTTGGTCGGCAGGAAGAAAAGCCTTGAGAACAGCCTGACATAGCGCCAGCTGTCCCGTAGCACGGAAGCAGTGCCGAATCACTAGGCCATCTCCTCTGGCCGCCGAAACAATCGCATCCACGACATGCGGATCTTTGTAATCGAAGACGCGATCAGCGCCCAAGGAGGCTACGTACTCCTGATTCGCTGCACCGGCCGTGGCATACACGGCGGCGAAAGGAGCGTTGCGATCGTCTCGTAGTAGTCGGGCGGTTTGTACACCCATCGTGCCGACGCTAGAGGAAGCGCCCCAGATCAAGAGCGCCTCTGTCTTATGTTTATTGTTTCCCCCAGCTTCATCCCTAGTCCCAGGACCGACTGAAGAAGAAATGCCAGTAGCTTCTCCCAACCGTGGAATCCCCATAATATCCCACGCGTTAAGTGGCACCTCAACGGCCACAGGCAAGGTTGCCGCTTCATTCCAAGATATTCCCTCATCTGGAAGAGGGACGGCGTGCTGCCAGGGGACGAGGCACCGCTCTTGAAAGGCGCCGTAGTCAGGGCCGTAAGACCTCCAGAAGGAGGCGGCGTAGGCGGCGACTCGAGTGACGCCTGGTCTAAAAACGGGGCCCAGATTTTCATCCGTAGCACCGATGGGAACATTTTCTCCAACTTTAAGGACTAGCCCTGCGATATCGAAGCCGATGACAGTCGGGTAGGTGGGTATGAAGAGGCCTTGATCACGCATCAAGCCGTCTGCCGGGTTGAGAGCTACAGATTTGACCGCAATGAGGAGCTCGCCTGGCCCTGGTTCTGGTGTTGGACGAACTTGGACCTCGAAGGGCTGACCTCTGGCGAGAGAGACGGCGGCGAGGTGGGTGGTCATCGTGGCCCTGCTTTCGAGGTGGTTGAGTTGGATTGGACTGAGTGAGGGTATTCAAGCTCAAAGGGTTTCGGGCTTTGAATGCGACTGGGATTGGTATTTCTTCGTAGGATATTGAGAATTGCCCTTGTTTTTATACTTGAAGTTTTCATTCCAAGCTGTTCGACACGATCTTGTCTTGATAGCATCTATAGATGGTGGATGCTCCGAGGCTGAGCTCGCAGCCAATCAGAGGAATGCGCACCCGAAGGACCGTTAGCGTGAGAGGTGGAGTACCCGAAAGAGGGTTAGCTTGTGGGGTCCTCCTGTACTTCGTCTCCGCTTGTTCAAGATCCCGCACGCATTGAAACCCCGAAGAACCTGGCAAATGTACTCAAGGCGAACCCGCGTAAGGCATGGCTATGACTTGTCCAAGAGAAGTGCAGCAGGGTAGGACGCTGCGGAGGTCAAGATTCGGCTGCCGAAATTGCAAGCTCCGAAAACTTAAGGTGGGTGGTCCCAGTTCTCTCTGATCTGCCCCTGAGCTGACCGAGTCCTCTTGGTTTGCAAGTGCGATGAAGGCAAACCACAGTGCCAGAGATGCCGTTCATTTGGAGTATTATGCAACTTCATGTCCAACATTCCCGACCTCCAGCCCGCCGCGGCTGACACAGAGCGGCCAATGCCCCCGCTCACAAATGCTGTCTGGACATCCGACGCATCGACGACTTATCAATTGAATGCAAAGTGTCAAGACTTTATAACCCGGTATCTTGGCCGAAGTCTCATTACACCGGATGACCCTAACATGATACACGTTAATCGCAAGCTCCTGAAGCTTGCGTTCAATGTAAGTGTGATTGTATCAACTCCGTGGCATTCGTCCCCCCATCTGTCCGTCATGGATCTGAGTTCGGCTAACAATTTATTTACAGTACCCTTTCTTAATGCACGCCTCTATAGCTGTAGCACTCGCTTACGACCGCCATCTAAATGGCCCCTTGGACAATCGTCGCACTCTAGAAGAATGTTACCACTGGTCTCAGAGCACGATTCTCTTCAACAAGCGGGTACGGCAACCGATCACAGCGCAAGACAAAGATCCAATCTGGGGTACTGCCGCTGCTCTGGTAATATTAACCTTTTCACCCCCCGATGCATGCACACCGGAACAGTCGTGGCCTCTACAGTCCTCCTCCTCCGACTTGGACTGGCTGCGTATGAGCAAGGGTAAAATGTCATTATGGCACATGGTTAATCCGCTACGATCGGACAGCTTGTTCAGCGTCATGGCTGCGACTTTTGCTCATATGCATTCACCATTGCCGGAGCGAGGTATAGATGGTATACCTTGGGATTTGGCGACAGTGTGTAACCTCAACAAGTCATCTACGGCGGAAAGCAATACGTATTTCCAAGCGGCACATGCCTTATCCCAGATTTTAGATCTGCCGGATAGTGAGGTCCAAATCGGTCACGCTCAACTCTTCATACGGAGTATTCATGGCTCCTTTGAGACCTTGCTTCGGGAAAGGGACCCTATAGCGTTGTTGTTGCTCTATCTATGGTACCGCAAGGCAAGTCGCAGTATATGGTGGATTGGACTTAGGGCTAGAGTAGAATGTCCGTCGATTTGCAGGTATCTGCAACTATATCATGTGAATAATGGTGCTGTACAGGCATTCCTCCCTGGAGGATCTCTTGCCGATAGTTGGAACTAAATAGACTTTAAAGGTCTCGAGTCTGTTTCTGGTGGATTGAAACATATGATTGTTCTTGTGACCTCTTTATTTCACATTCCGCAGGGTCTGGACAATCACTCTGAACTTCATATCAATGTGTATGCTCAGAGTTTATTACCAGTACATGTAGAAGCACCTAAATTTGCACGCGACATTCTGCCACCCCTGCCTGCCTTGCAGGATATCATAAGCAGGCTCAGGGAAGAGGGGCCCACCCACTTGCAGCACAGAATGCATCGAGATATAGGAGCGATCCACCCTGTAGATCCATCCGCACACTTTGCACTGCACCTTTCGGGTCAAAATTAAATCCATAATGGTAGAAAAATCCAGCCATCCTTGCAGCGCGAATCAAATACAAATCAGAGTCGGAGAAATCGTGAGCCTCCTTTCGAAAGGTTTCCTAGAAGAGGCTCTCGAGTTCGCGGTAGCGATCATAGTAGTGCCACCCTTCTGAGTCCAGCCTAAAAGATTCTCAAGTCCGTGTAGCGCGAAACCGAATGGCAGAATCCTTGATTCAGCCCAGTCAACAATCCCTGTGATCTTTCCGGTTTGGGGATTGACGAGGAAGTTCATCACGTTAAGATCACCGTGGCTAAGGACAAAGGGGAGGGATGTTGAGAAGAGAGACGGGAGTTCCTTGCGGACCCTTTCCAGGTTTAGTGCAAAGCGAGATGGTAGGTTTCGAGCAAGAAGGTCAAAGCTTGATTGAAATTCCGTAAGCAAGGCCGTAGTTACATCTGAGTAGGGCTGTAGGTCGTTGTTCTATGACTGTGCAAAGAACCTGTTCTGAAATGTTAGTTCTTATAGATGAAGCAAAAGCTTTAAAGGCTAGGCGTACCTTGCAAAGTCCTTGATAGTGTTACGCTGCCGGTACATGTCGTCTAGGGATATACGCGCCATTATATGAGCAATCCCAGGAAGATACTCCATCTCGTAGATATAGACTAGCCGCGAATCGCCCATAGTACCGAGATACTTGCAGCTAGCCACAAATTCAGGATGGATTGAGCAAGGGAAATATTGCCCATATCAATAATAGAGTTCTCATCTCGGAACTGGAAGAGCTTGGACTTGTTAGGCCCCGCTATCACGGTGTAACTACACACCCCCTGCATCTACAAAGTAGTGGACACACCACCAGTGCGAGAAATAGCAAATTCATCGCATTGCTGTCTTGTGACAGTAGTGTTCGAGTTGAAGAATTCATCAATTGCGCTGTCAGGACTGTAAAGAACATAAGTCGTCATTGTGGTGAAGTAGAATAGGGAAGGGAGCTGTGAGATAATTAATATACAGAGAATTGAGACCTGAGTCGACTTACAGACAACCTAGCTAAGACTCCCCGCCATTTAATACTGTCAGCGATCGCAGAACTAATCATATTCGGTAAATCATAGGTCCTAGTATTACAAGAGACAAATGACTGCTGAATGAGATGGATCGAGAAACATATCATATTGCGCGCTCGCCCAAGTACCAAAGGGGTATTCATTTCCTTTTCATGGGTAATCCAAAATGAACCAAAGCTCTTTCAAACCAAAGGTATTTATGCACGCAGTCCATCCGAAATCGAGAAAATGGTATCGTAAAGTCATGAACAAAATTGTACAACATATGGGAAAATTTACTTCTTTTCGTCGGTAGATGAGGTATTTGTGTTGGCCGGTTCCGTGACAGCACTATCTTGTGCTTCCCCGGAGGGCCGAACCGTCTCATCTCCACCGTCGCGTGTGGTACTTGCAGGGCCAGGTGAATTGCCCGCCGAGGTGGCCTCCGGAGTGCTGTCCGGCATGCTTTCAGCTTTATGGGCAGGGGTAGTTCCCACAGCACCCTCGGCAAATGGCGCCGATGGAGGAGCTTGCTTTTCTCGGACCCAGGGTAGAAGGTTGGGAAGGGCTTCTTGAACCGATGCGAAACGGGTGCGCGCAGTGGGTGCGGTAATGTCGTCGACGTACCGAATCCCTCCCTGTCCGCGATTCTCGGCCCAAGCTTTTTTCTCACGGCGTAAGTCACTCTGGACCCAAGGAATGGTGATCAATGTCCATACACCGGCCCAAGCAAATGGCAGGGCCCAGCCCAGCTGTATATCGTATCAGTAGAGTTTTTAATCCAGCAGCAGATCACACGTCTACTTACAGTGAATGCAACGGGTTCCGAGACCGTAAAAATGATAGCAGTAATGACTGCGGCGAATATGATAGACCCGCCGCTCCAGAAGCAATTCATTTCGAAAAGCATTCGTCGGAAGTACGGGCTTGATAGGTATCGGGTCCGCAACGCATATCGATATATTTGACCTCCACCCCCATCAACCGCTACCACGTCCTCGATCAGCGCGTATAGTGCAGTCGGCATCACGGATCCTTTCGGGGTGGAGGAGATTCGGAAGGGCGCTTTGTACCCCATCATGCGGAGGATATCGAGGGTTAGGTGGACGAAGCCAAAGTAGAACATGACTGTCGGGAGAACCATGGCGACAAGGCGCACTAGAGAGTGTTAGTGGCTATTTTGCGGAATAATTGAGGGATTATTGGAGATCTAACCATATGGTTCTGTAGGTACGGTTCCGCTGTGTTCTTGTTAGTCTGGTTACAGTTGCACTCGAGCATATCAGGGCGGACTTACACGATCAGCTCAACGGCCAGAATGAGCCACACGATGGTGAAGTTGATGTGGAAAAAGTCCAACTACCCAGAATATTAGCTCGCGTCATTTGTCAATTGCCAAAATTCTACCTAAACCTACCCATGATGACTTAGCATTCAATGGTCGAGCGCGCGAACTCTTGCGACGCAGCTTGTACAATCGGTAGAAGTATTCAAACACGGAGACACCGCCCAAACAAGCGGTGACGATGGAAAACACTGCCGCACCAAGTTAGCGATTGGCTCCCCGGATCTCAATCTCGGGATCAAGCTGTCCAACGCAGTCCGACATACCCAGGTTATGCGAAAGATCGGTGAGGTACCATAATGTCCAGTACAAGATCAGCGGCTGACCCAAAGTATCGATAACGAAGATTGTCCAAAAGATCGCGATGGCCCTTTTCCGGGTATGCAACGAGTAAGGAAGTGGTGGTGGTTCGGAGGGCAATCCGGAGACGATGCCTTCCTCCATCTGCGTGGCGATGGGTGGCGGACCGGGCGAATCTGGAGAGAGGCGATTCAGGAGTCGGAGTTGGATAGCACAGCGGCCTGCTTGTTTATTGACAAGGTGCTCAATATGGGTGGTAGGGCGTTGGAAGGTTAGGACATGGTGGGATCCCTTTAAACAGGGGAGTCCTCTCGAGCGAATCGTCGAGAAGAATAAATTTCGAGAACAAGAATAGGACGATCGCGGGATCTTCTGAAAAGCGAGTTTTTTAGTTGGCGCCGGAAACGACGGAGCAGCCGCGGGTACTTCCGTGACTGCGCCAAGTTGGCGGTGGGATGATGTACCTGTCGTGAGGCGACTGGGTGATGTCATCCAAACATGCATCAACTTACCAGCAAAAGGGGATAATCAAGTACCCACACTTCTCAACTATGGCAATCGTTATGTTTCAACTTGGAACTGGAAGCAGACCAGGTTTATCAGGCAGGTTCCCAGTTGTATTAATATCTTCCTCTGCTCTCGGCTGACGCTCTGCTTTTTCTTTCGCCCTCCATGCCAAGCACGCCCGCCCAGAGGCATTTTCTATTTGCCACGATTACTGGCCACCCGGCCGTATCAGTTCGGCGCTCGCAGATTGGACGGTCTCCGACAAGGAACGATAAAACCTTGTCGAGGCAGAAGGAAGACGCACTAATTGCAGATCGAGAACGGTCCCAGATATCGTGGTCGATTGGTCAACCTGCTAGCTAGGGACACGCGTTGCCTCTGCCACTGTACTCCGTACCGTATACTGTATGGCAATTCTCCCATATTATCTCGCGCCTCCATGCATCTTGATTGGTGCAGCTCATAGAAACCAGGGAATGGCCTTTCGAATGGAAATCGGGATGGTAATGCGTGTGATTCCGTCTCAGCTCGACCGCTGATCCCAGCCAGACATTCTTGCCGATCGCTGGGTCCAGCCCAACTTTAGCTCTGTTCATAACATTTCATAACTCACGCTGGCAGGGCACAGAGGAGAAGGACCCCCAAGGGTTCCGCTGAAGACTCGATATCTGCTACTCGTGTCAACAGCGCTGTCACTCATACTCTTCGTTCTTTTTAACATGGAGGGATTCTCACGGGACTACCATGTGCGACAATGAATGCCAGTACATACAGTATACTCCGTTCCCGTATTTCTACCCAATTTGGATCCTGACTGCCCGCTCAATCCCTGACATGCCGGGCCCGCCGATCGGGAATCGGCGCTTTGAATCGCCGTCTGTCTTTTCTTGTCCAAGGCGCCTGCCTATACGGCTGGAGCCCGACCTCGGATAGCTCCGGGGGCTTTAATTATCATCACCCGCTTAGAGAGCGTTAACGTAATTCCCGGCCGATCTGGCCACCCGGCCGTCCTGGCCACCCCAAAACACATAGAAGGTGCTGAATATTGATTCCTCTATATTTCAACCACCAGAGATTTATTTCTGTCAAAATTTTAACATATGCATTTCTCGAGGTATATGAAGAGCATATCTAGATTTTAGACCTTTCAGACTATTATTTCGATGCTTTACCATAAAATACAGCGTAATTTTGACGTTTTTGATTTGAACACATATATCTCTACTAATTCTTAAAGCAATTTTCCTATACCGTGCTAGTAGTTTAGGAACAGTACGTAGATTGTATTCGCTTAATATCTTATCTTAAATAGATATATTTGTTGAGATATGAAGTTGTAATTTATCGTATTTAGTATGGTGTTTTGGGGTGGCCAGATCGGCCGGGAATTACGTTAGGGAATACTTAATTAGACACTAGCCCAATAACTGACGGCTAACATATCTATATAAGACATTTGTATAGCGAAACATCTTGCCTCTCATCATAAGTAACGGCCACTGCGACTGCGTATAAGTAGTACGTTTCGTCCTTCTAGCAGTCGCGACGACCAGATGTTGCATACAACACAGCATTCGAAGCACTCCGCTCCGTGGAAAGCTATAAAAGTCCCCCCCCGCCAATCCTCTCTCTCATTGGTGCTTGGTTGGATTCCTGGTCACGTTCCTTCCTTCTCATGTTCGGTATCTCTCCTCGCCTCTCTGCTCTCTTGTCCTATTACCTGCTTTGCATGCTTTACAAGGTTCATCCTCGTATATTGTGCTATATACCCTTTCTGTCCGCTATTGCATTAATCTGCCTATGCCCGTGCTGCCTCCTCATCATGCTCTCTACCTACTGCACTCTTCTTGCTATTCGCCTATCATTCCGCCTCGCTTACGTACCCGTCCTTTGCACCAATACTTTCGCGTGCCTCCATTGTATTTTATTTCTAGCCTTCTCTTCTAGAATTTCGGTCCTTCCACGTTCACTCCTGGCTTTTGAGAATTTCAATATCCAAATATGTTTCTCGTATTACTATCCGTGCTCTGCACATATTGCCGTCTCCTTCCGGGCGGTGGTTAGTTAGTCCAGGTGGTGGCAAGTTGGTTCTAGGTGGTATGCGGAGGTATTTCAGCCACAAACCATTCAAAATAGCTTCCCTGCTACGGGTCTTGTTACAATTAACCCTGAACGGGTACTTTCGAAGCTTATTACCTTAGTCCGAACGCCTGCACCACCTAACAGTCGATCAAGCAGCAGATCTAGCTAATTCACACCAAAAACGCCCAGAGCCGTTATCCAGCTATAAAAGCAAGCTTCAATGCTTAAGGAACTACTAAAGCAACTCCCAAATAGTCCTCTAACGCCATCAAAGATCATACTAGATCAGATTATTAAAGGGTGCGTAGTTACATTGCATAGCGTAGCGCTATTACCGCAAGATAACGCCAATCCACACGCAGCGAGTGAGAAACACAGAAACGCACATGGTCAAAACGGCAGATAGCACATGAACGGGGCCTATCTGTTGAATGAAGCCTACTGCTAGCTCAGGAACAGAATCAGAAAGCTGAAGGTAGTGGGATAGTATCGCATGCGCAGGGTGAATTGCCTCCTCAGCAAGATCAATCGGCAACGAGGGCTCCGCCAAGGTGTAGTAGATGCAGGGAGATTGGCCACAAGATAAAATTAATGTAAAAATCGCTATATCTGAATTATTCAATGCGTTTCGGTTGAGATGCCTGGATTTGAAACTTTCGATATGGGTAGGGTGTCCCGCTCGGTGTATTACGTTAAGTTAGATACATTATTTCAAATCAATGCTTGAAAAGCACTGGTAGTTAAGTTATGCACTTTCTTGCTTCATAAGCCTGTATTAATAATCAACATCACTTTCAATCTCCACCTCTGGAGGCTGCCCGACTAAGCATGTGTACCAGACCGTCCATATCCTTAAATAACTCTCTTTATCTCTCTGAGTAGCTTACTTCACTTTCATGATCCTTGAAGACTGGCTTGATCCATTACGTCGAAATCTGCTAACGACTCATTTACTTAAAGAGAAAACTGATCTCCGATAAAAATGGGGAAAATAAGGGTTGCCATTGTCGGAGCTACCGGCCACACTGGTGGCTCAGTGGTGAATGGGCTGTTGGAGGAAGGCAGTTTTGTACGCCCAATCGCTCACCTTCATTGTAGAGATCTGGCAAATTTGTTGACTGTGAAATGGTTGCAGGTAGTGGCTGCTCTTGTACGACCAATGTCTATAGAGAAACCAATTGTCGGAGCTTTGCGACGACAAGGTGTTGAAGTCCGTGAAGCAGACCTTGAAGGACCTGAAGAGGAACTCGTCAGGGCTCTCAATAATATCGACGTTGTGATCAGCTGTGTCCGTGAAAGTAAAACACAGCAGCAGGATCAGATATCGCTTGCCAATGCTGCCAAAATTGCTGGAGTCAAACGATTTGTGCCTTGTGGATTTGGTGTTGTTGCTCCACCGACTGGAGTTATGCGACTCAGAGAACTGGTGAGCTACCCTCTCATTTGCCCCGATGTAACTCTAATAGAGTTCATTTCACTTTGTAGAAAGAAATTGTGTACAATCACATCAAGAAACTCTGGCTGCCGTATACAATCGTGGACATTGGTTGGTGGTATCAGATTGCATTTCCAAGACTTCCGTCCGGAAAGGTCGACTATGTGGCGATGGGAATTGCAGATGAGATTCTTGGTGGGGGAAATGTTCCTTCCGCGATCACCGATTTGAGGGATATCGGACGCTACCTGGCAAAGATCATTGTTGACGAGCGGACTCGAAACAAAATGGTCTTTGCGTACAATACGGTGATGACGCAAAATCAGATCTATGATTTAATGGAAGAGATCAGCCACGAGAAGCTTGAGAGAAATTATGTGAGTCGTGTTGAACGAGATCGCTTGGTTTGTTGAACTCTTATTGATCCAAGCTGTATCAGGTTGCAGATAATACTATCTATGACAGGGTGTCAGAATGCAGACTGTCGGCAGCTAGTTCTTCTACTGATCCGACCACGTCGCACCCTCTTATATTAGCAGAACATAAACTATCATGGGGTATCCGCGGAGATAATAACCCGGACTACGCGAAGTATCTTGGCTACCTAACATCTAAGGAGTTATACCCGGACTTCGAGTCTACCCCATTCGGTGATTACCTGAGATCAGTTATCGGAGGAACAAGTGAGGGCAGAACCTGGGGCTTACAAGACTGACCGATTGCCCAGCCCAGTACAACAGATAAATAGGTTGGTTGATTAATATCATTGGTTTTCCCAACTGGGCCAAAATACGAATCCGTACTCAGCCTAGTAAGTTGTGGCTCATAATCCAACTTGAAAAGTGATATCCAGGTTACCCCAAATATCTGTATATCCGCGTACGTACATGTAGAAATTTTCCACTTCTTGAAAACTAACTTAGCACCTCGTCAAGGCCTGTCGTGGCCTAATTGTCCTTCCCACCGTTAGACTGCCCCCCCGTCATGCGCGAATTCTGAATCGCTGTGACGCCTCTGTGAAGTCCAAGACGGCGTTGACTGTCCTGACCCGTGAGAGGGTGTCTGGTTTACCATTCTTGCCTTCAGTTGAGTCTCCCAGCAGACTCGATATGTAATTGAACGCGTGCCCGACTTCTCTCCTTAACTCACTTCGCAATTTTGCCAACCTGGACAGTCCAGAATGATATATATATCAAACCTCCGTTGCCCCTTTGGAGACATCCGCCGGGGATAATGAATTACTAGTAACGGTAATAAGAACTAACGTAACCAATATTCAATAATATGCACATAAACTTGCGTCCTCTTCATCACTGTCCCAGCAGCAACTCCCGCTGTGTGTCTGATTTGGACACCCAAAAGTCCAACCTGGGCGCACCCCACATGATGCCCATAATGGATAAGCAAAGCACATCGACCTCTGGTGCCTTAACAAACGGAATCATCAGATCTGTCTCGTGACAGGGCACAAACAACGGGTCCTTATTTCGGACAAGCCACATCCAAGTTGCTGTAGACTGCGCGTCCCAGAGGCCCCGACGTACTGTGAAGGAGACCCCTCCCGAGCAGCCGGTTTGACGGTCTCGCATCATCAGGTACACGCCCTGCACATAGTTGCTAATAAGCCAGATTCTGCGCACGCTCTCTACGAGTAACCAGTCGCACCACTGTTGGCCAGAAGGGTCATCCAAAATTTTCGCTCCTAAGCCTTAAGAGAATAGGCCGGCGATGCTAAACGAGGTCTCGAGGCTAGCGTCGAGGTTAGCTAATTCCTAAAGCTTGTTATTCTAATCCTTCAGGGTTAGGATAAGGACTTCAGCTTGCGCTCGTTGCCGAATATCCCCATCGAATAAGCGGATAAACTGGTATATGAAGAGCGCTTGTACGCGTGCGAGCTGCTTAACCGTCCGGAGAGAGGACTGGACTTCTACTCCGGAATCTGGGAGAAACGATAAATTATTTACTAGTTTGTTAGCCTTTTCTTCTATAATCCCTATAATGACCTCTTTATTCTTGTCGTTCTTTGACTCGTACATTACCACGGCTGCAAAAGTATCCTGTAGACATAATAGTAGCCCCGATTCGGAGTATAACTACTTATACAGGAACGGACAGTGAGTATCGCGGACCCACTACGAAAGCTAGTTCTTGACGGTCTGAATAAATTGCTTGAAGTCGGATATATAGACGACGGAATACTCGTTATAGCGTGCCGAGTCAATATAGTATATCGTCTATATGTTTGTTTCAAGGAACCAAGAACTACTTGCGACTTAGGTTTTATTCCTCACAGGACTGCCAAAATCCAATATAGGGAGCTCCACTTCAATATTATCTTCATATAAAATATTAGAAGCTTCAATATTTCCTAGAGCGACTGTCTTGTCGGCCCTTCGATCGTTTAACGAGTTTAGTGGGCTTAGGTCGAAGCTCTCAGCTGTTCTCGGCATTCGGACGGCTCGGCGGGCATACGGACGACCTGAAGGGTACCGGCAAGACACATACTTTTCCACGCATCGTTTGCAAGCTAGGAGACATTTATCGCATCGGCGCTTTGCGCGAGTACATAGCACGCACGCTTTCCGCCACGGTAGGATCCCCGCGATAGACTCTTGGGGATCCATATCGATTGAAACCTGCGGAAATACGTAGGAAGGTAGAACTCCGGCCGCTATTTGTCAATACGCTTAGCACTTAGCGCGTAAAGCGTAAGTGAAAATACAATCACCTTTAGGTGAGAAAAGAGGCAAAGTTAAGCCAGATTTAGGTGGGCGGAAAACTGGTGGAAATTTGTGGGGCTAACGGCGGAACTTTATGGGGCTCACGACTGGGTGGCTTCACAGAGCCATATGAAGACGTTTATAATCAGGAGTTTGTAAGCCTTGGAAATAGTACTACATTCCCGCTCCTGATCGAAGTGTTGCTATGTGATCGATGCTAGAAGCTGTATATATAATCGTCATCGACCTCGCCAGGTAAAAAGTGATATTTTCTACCCCGTTCGCTTTCTGTACTATCAACTCTTTCCAAATTGAATCTGCCACCGACGTAATGTCCACCGTCGCCGACAACTTCACTACGGTCGTCCACCATAAGCCCTACGCGACTATCCTCCCTTCCCGCGCGCAGCTGTCGCAGAAAGGCAAGGTCGTTCTCGTGACTGGAAGCTCCGGTGGTATTGGTTTTGCCATTGCACGCGCCTTTAGCAAGGCAAGTACCGCAAAGGTTATCCTGACCGGTCGTCACCAAGGTCCCCTCGATACTACTATCGATACCCTGAGTAAAGAGTCACCCTAGACTACCTTCATCGCCTGTCGAATCGACGTCTCGAATACTGCTAGTATCGAGGACCTCTGGAAGAAGTTCGATGATAAGGGTTTAGTCGTTGATGTCCTCGTCCTGAATACGGCTCGCGTACAGCCTACACATAGCTCTATACTCGAGATAGGGTACAAGCAGGTAGTGGCCGATCTAGCTACAAACGTTAATTCAATCGCTGTATTCGTCCATCTTTTCTATCATCAGGCGAATCGAGATACAAGCAAGAAGCTAGTATATATTTCAGCAAGCCCGAGCTATCTTCACATAATCTGAAGAGTAACAACGACTGATTGACTTTTTTTGTACCAAGTCCTTAGTGAACGTATCGTCCAAAGCTATTCACGATTTTGAGGTGACAGCTGGAATCCTAAATTACTCGGCATCTAAGAGCGCAGGAACGGTTTTAGTCCAGCAGATCGCTAAATATGTCTCGCCGGTTGACCTGCAAATCGTCAGTTTCCACCTAGGATCGATCTTTACAAGGGCCGCGGAGCAGGCTAGGTACACGCGCACTACGCTCAACTAGGATGATGGTTAGTGCAACACATGAACTTTTACGTGGAATATCAAACCTCTGCCACTGAAAGTTACCAGGAGATCGATGGTCATTTTGCTAACGATTTCCTGTTACAGAGGACCTTCCCGGTCACTATGCCGTGTGGGCCGCATCGGACGAGGCGAAATTTCTGCATAGACGCTTCACTTGGGCAGCATGGGATGTTAATAAGATATCTTCGGGCAAGATTAGAGAGCGAATTGATGGAGACGCCAATTATCTCAAGGTGGGCGTCACCGGTCTCTAGGCATGTCAAAAGATAGGCCTCATACAGATCATTATGAGGAGTTGAAAAAAGCGCCCTCTTCTGATGTCTAGTCGACGATGGAAGAGCGATGACAGTGGGTGGTGGCCCTTTACAGTGGAAACAAGGAGATAGCAATGCCCTGAAACAAACATAGCTAACGTAATTCACGGTTAACTGGGACACCCACACCCATTACAGAATTTCAAATCGGCATATTTTAACAAACACCCATTAATTTAGCTAAATATAGCGATTCTTGCAACGGTTGATTTTATGGCCAATCTCCCTGCACCCACTACACCTCGACCGGGCCCTAGTAGCCGGCTGGTTTGGCTGAATAGGCAATTCACCTTGCGTATGCGATACTACCTCACCACCTTCAACTGGCTGATTTAGCTGCTGAGCTAGCGGTAGACCATATTCGACCGTTAGGCCACCTTCGCAGGGTATATGCCTTTGCGTTTCTGTCGTTTCTTCTCATTCACTGCGCGTCAAAATACTTCTCAACTTGATTAACATACTGCGTGTCATATATTTAGTACTAGAAATTTCCATACACTTATATGAAAACTCGGGGGTTGAAGTATCTTATTGTGAAATATCGCATTTACTATGGTGTTGGGGGTGGCCGAGCCACTTGTGAAATACTTTACCATGCAAGATTCTTAGTAATGGCTCAGAGTCCTGCTTAGAAATACTGATATTATCTTAACAGTAGCCTGGGTCTTGCTTAGAAATATTAATATCATCTTAATAATAGCCAACCTGTAGCTAAGTTGACGCATCAAGTATAAAGCTCAACTTTGCTTCTGCCCAGAAGGAGTAGGTTCACCGTCTACAGCAAGGTTTACCTATCAGATTGTTTGAACAATTCGCTGATTCAGCAGAACAGTCGAGATGATACCACGGATCTTTATCACCGGCGCGTCAGGCTTTGTCGGCGGTACGACGACAGGCGCGTTGCGGAAGGCTCATCCCGACTATGAGGTCGTTGTACTAGTACGCAATGAGGGGCAGGTAAACACCTTGCGACAGGCCTGGCCGGACGTCGAGATTATTATCGGTACCTTGGATGACGATGGGATCCTTGCAACGGAAGGTGGCAAGGCTGATGTTGTTCTACGTATGTTATCTCTCGACGCTCTCGGACAGCAGCTGATGATCTATAGATATCGCCTCGTCTGATCATATGAACGCGCCTCAATCCATAATCGCTGGTATGGGGCGGGGCAAGAAAGGCCGCTTCATCCACATCTCTGGAACGGGTGTAATCAACGACGTATCCACTAGTCTCGGAGATGAGTCCACCAAGGTCTACGATGACGTGAAGGATATCCAAGAGATTATCAACCTGCCTATGACTGCGTATCACCGAAGTGTTGACGACGCCGTTATCATATCTGGGCAAGAATATGGCGTACCCACGGCAATCATCTGTCCGCCCATGATCCATGGCGTTGGAAAGGGTCCGTGTAAAAAACGCAGCATCCAGATACCTATTTTGATCGAAGCAATTGTGGAACGGGGAAGGGCCTTCACTGTGGGGCAGGGGAACAACAAGTGGGATCGTAAGCGACTTGCAATCTGATCCTGGTGAATTATCACTGACTCTCGCTGGCTTGGTAGATATCCATGTTCGAGACCTGGCTAATGCGATTGTATTAATGGTTGAGGAAGCCCTTAAACCCAATGGAGGAGCCGCGACATGGGGCCCGCAAGGCTACTACTTCGTGGAAGCCGGTGAATTTGCATGGAGAGAAATTTCAGCCGAATTGGCGCACTTGCTTCACGCCCAAGCCAAAATTGCCAGCAGCGAGGTCGATAAACTAACTGTCGAGGAGGCTACAAAGGTCCATTGGTGGGCGCCTGTCCTCTGGGGAGGAAACTCTCGGAGCCGAGCATCTCGCATTCGGACGTTGGAATGGATGCCCGATATCACAACAGTTTCGCCGACTCTACCAGAGATGATCCAGCAGGTACTCAAATAGTTCAGTGCTATCCTAACCAATGCCTCGTTTTAGGCTATCATGCTCTAAGGATAGGGATGCGGCATCCCTGTTTGTGAAATAGTGAAGCAGAATTTCGGCGTCCTCATATTGTTCTTGTGTAAATATCCCACTGCTACCTAGCGTCTCACAGATCTGCCCTATTCATTGAAGACTTGAGTCAATGAAATTGAAGAGTTTGATATAGACGGGAGGATGATTGAGTGAATCGGAACTCTCATACCGCATGTGGCCTTAACATATGCGCACCAGAGAACTATCCAGTGATTGCGAGATGGAGCGAAGAAAAGCGTTACAGTTGCTACCCTCTTAGTTGTGGACTGTGATTTCGTGGGACCTATAAGTTCGTTGCCTGAGACCAGGCTCAGGGTCTATGTAGTGAGCGTTAGGGAAAACTTAATTGGACGCTAGCCCAATGACTGACGGCGAATAAATCTATATAAAACATTTGTGTAGCGAAATGTCTTGACTCTCATCATAAGTCACGGCCACTGCGACTGCGTACAAGTAGTACGTTTCGTCCTTGTGACAGTCGCGACGACCAGATGTTGCATACAACACAGCATTTGAAGCACTCCGTTCAGTGGAAGGCTATAAAAATCCCTCCCGCCTCCTTGCCGAAGCGTAGAGCTTTGTATTTACGTAGACTAAGCTATCTCTATCCTGTAAATCCTGAAAACCACATCCTAGAAGCTTTTAGGCCTTGGTTCGCGACAAGAGATGAGCTGTCAACCTCATCGAGCAAGCTCTCATCATGACAAATTGGAAGATGACCACCTTCGCTTATACTCTAGTTGCTAGAAGAGTTCCTACACAAAGGAAAGCGGCCGGGGGCTTGGCTGTTACTTCTTGGCACTTGCCCCAATTGGACCATGGACTATAATTTGACTTTGAGCAGTCCCCTAATGTGCGTTGTTAGGTCACCAAACTTACAGGCCTCGTTTTCCCATGCAATACTTGTCAATTCAAAGTGACTGCCTGGAGTAAGTTCACCGACTTTCGGAAGAGGCTGATCACGCTATGTCTGTCTTGGCCAGCACACCGCCCCCCTAAAACCAGTATTTCACCGTTGGAAAGACCCAAAGTCTATGATGACCGTCTCAGAGTCAGCCATAATGGAGAATACAAGCTAAAAATCACATCAAATCCGGAAGTCAGAGTTACTACAGAGGGCAGGTATTTAGCTTTATCTGCATGTCGCGCAAGACTAGCTTGGTTGGGCGCCTCACGGCGCAGGGTTTCAGCTGAATAGTATGGGGGCTGAGTTTCAAGCGATCACCCGAGAAAATTGCAGTCTCTGATTGGCCCCAAGCTCCTATTACTCGATATGGGTGGGCTGCCAAGTCTAAACCAACATGTGAGGAGAATCCATGGCAAGACAGGGTAGGCAGAAGTATGCCTTGTCACTCTGGGTTGTAGAAAGAATTCGCATGGATAATTTTGAGAAGTTATAAAAGCAGGGAGGGAGCCCCCCAAAAGCCAGGACGATACTCACAAGTGTATCTACTGACAAGCGGGCTGCCTACCTTTTATTCGTCACATCATCTTCTCAATGTATTACAAGTCTCTTATACCTGGGTCTTTGGCATTACTTCTTGCCTCATGTGCCCAGGCCTGCTCTCCTAGATCTGACGCTGGAGATTCAAACAATCCAATCGTTGTTGGAAAAGATGGTCCAGCTCCCGCAGAGTCTCTAGGATATGCCATCAACCACTTCGGCCTTCTGACGACCAATCTCGAAGCTATGAAACATTTCTATGGCGATATTCTGGGCATGCGACTCCTCTTCGACGCCCATGTTACCCCAGAGTACACCGTGACCTACCTGGGCTATGCCCAAGGTGGTCGCAATGGCACTGGTTTCCAGACTGGAGCTGAGCTGGCCCGCGACAAGAACAATCTGTACGGGCTTATCGAACTCGTGCAATTCAACGTCTCAGATGATCATCTCGTGGCGTCAACCAAGCGTACCAATACGTTCAGTCATGTTGGGCTTATTGTTCCTGATATAGCGAAGACACAGAGTTACCTGGAAAAGCACGGTGTTACTATTTTGAAGAGGGTCGGTATGCCCGTCACTGAGATGATTGGGCCGCTTCAGAATGCCTTTGGGATAGGCGAGTTCGCGGGGGCACATATTGCTGCGAAACAGGCACTCATTAAGGCGCAGAGTCTGATTGGACTGGAGATGTTGTTGATGGTTGAGGATCCTGATGGGAATATGGTGGAGATTCAACAGCAAGATCCTCCGAGTGACTCAGTGTTGTAGCTGTACCCTGTCATGGCAGGACTTTTGCTGTGATAATGTGATGTGTAGTGTCCTAGAGATCAAGATTTGGGTTAAATAGTACAATTCGACAAGAGGATATATATCTGTGGAGAACTTGTGTTCCTGATACTGTTTTGGAAGTGAACCGAGGATAGAGAGTCCTGGGTTGTGGTCATGCTGTTCGCTTCGAATCATTAGCGATGATCCAATATTTTTTTCACTACCAGACTTCATTTCAAGCCAGTGAGGTATGTGTTATCTGGTCATGCATAAGGTATTCGGATTGGTGATGACAGACGGTGATGTTTGGTGACGTTAAGTTTACTGCCTCAGTCTCCAGGCAACCAGCCGCACCATATAGTCACGTGACAGGACATGAGAGCAGGGGCCGAATTCGAACGACCCGCGTTCGAATCGGAGTTTTCGCTCTTCAAAATTCCATCCCTCACCAACCTTTCCACTTTCCTACACCTCCCCTGATCATATTCTAGCATCATTCCCTTCCAAATCGTTATGTTACAACCATGGCTCCCAGCTTACAGGAGCTAATCGACTTCCTGCTCAACGAGGTCGCGCTTTGCGGTAGCCAAGGTGTGTATAGCTCAAATCCCCCAGACCCACTTTACTCAGCACGATGTATACGCTGCCTCATCTCTCATCGGCCAGTGGAACATGCATCTCTCACGGTGGTGTATATTCGACCTTCGCGCCGAAAATGCTCTGATTCCCCGTGCCTTGTCCCCTTTCTTTTTTTACTGGCGTCATATTTTAGCTGTCCTGAATTGGCAGCTCTATGCTCAACCACGCAACGTGAACTGGACACCCAGCTGACCTGCATTTAGGTGCGACCTTGCCAGAAATCCTCACAGCAATCGAGGTTTTCTACCAAAATGCATCTCAAGACCCAAGTCAGCGAAGCCAGACTGTAGATCGCCGGTTCAAAGCCAAGGTCTGGTCATGGCTCATGCGCCACCTAGAAGTGTCTGTGAAACCTGATGATGAATGGCATAGCCTCAGTCTGGAGGATGCAGAGCAACAAAACCGCGAACTCGAAGAAAAAGCTCATCATCATGATCCTGAAGCCGATGGAGATCATGATGAAGCTTCGCCAATGCCCTCGTCCATTCGCGTCTTCGTTTCAAAAGAGAGAATGTGGTACGCTCTCACTGGACATGAGCCAGATGATGCCAAAGTCCCCGCCAGCGAATTCATGCTACTCTCCATAATTGCTTCCCGTAAGTCTGACGGCATCGCCCAAACCGATCTCGTGAGGCTCAGCGGGCAAGATAAACGTTCCGTCCCTAAGCGAACAGACGCCCTAGCTCAGAAGGGCTACGTTGAGAAACGCCCGATCCAAATCAGATCAGCTCGCACCAGTCTTGTTATCTTTCGACGATTCGTGAAACCGGCTACCGTTGAGGCAACAGTCGAAGGTACTTCCGCAGGCGCATCTGAACGTCCCATTATCAACTTTGACGCGTTCACTGCCAAACTGTTCGAGATCCTCAAAGAATTCGGCATCATCTCGCGCAATGATCTCAAGAGACGTTTAGGGTTTGATGATCGTTGGCGCTGGCGAGTTTTGTCACGGGCGCTCCGCAAGTACGAAAGAATTGGAGTCTTAAAGCGAGTGAGAGCCAAATCGCAATACGACAAGATTCATCCCTGCGTGATGCTCATCCGCGAGCCCACCGAAACCGACATTGCGAAGTTTAATGCTGTCAGCGGGGACTTGAACCAGACTGCAGATGACCAAGCGGATGTTGATGACGATATTGATGATGCTGCAGGGGATGAGACAGTCGGTGTGGATGAGGGTGCTCTTGAAGTGTCAAAGGACAAGCCTGTTATCGAAGCTGGACGGGCCGTGCCGTCATGGACACCAGATCGCCCCCTGGGAAACCAAGTATTTGATGTTGTGAACAATTCTGGAACCGCCGGAATCACCAATAACGTACGGTCCACTACCCTTTAAGTTGACCAAGGAATGCTGTCTAACTATCTCTCTATTTAGGAAATCAACCGCATCTGCTTTGGTAATATTTACCGTCGACCTTCTGAAAGTGCGCTGCATCGTCTTACCGATTGCTGGCAACTGTCACAGCCACCCCACCTGCGGCACCTTGCCATTGTCAGGGACACAGCCATCGAGAGGACTACGTTCTTCTATGTACACTATTCGGCCAATAATTTTGCGAAGATGGTGGAGAGTGGTGAAGCATCATGGGAGGCAGTGGAGTTTCCAGCACAAAAAGCCAAGGCGGCGAAGTGCGTGATACCTGCGGTTGATGCTGTCGCGAAGCGTGACAGATATGGCTTCCATGAATCGAGCGCTAGTAAAAAGCTGGTGAAGGACGGCAATGCAAGCTTGTTTGAGGCTCTCGCCGTCTGTAAGCCGCCCACTTATCTTCTGTCAAGCAGTGATCCCATGCCGGTGAGGCTTCCGGATGGACATTTCAGTACGTGGTCAAATTCCACTCAGGTTTATCTTGGATTGTTTACTAACGAATGTCAGTGGTTGATATGGGTAGATCAGCTGTCGCTGGGATTGTCATACCTTCGCCGATTAGCTCTCGCCCTCACGGAGGCCGTCCAAGGGGGCCGAAAGCCAAAGCTTTTCCGAGACGGTCGACTTTGTTCAAAGTGGAGAGGATTTCTCCTGGGATTCCTGATCCCAATGATCCGGATGGAATGGAACTGGATCATGTTCCGCGAGAAATTCCAGATCACCTAACGTGGGAACAGCCATCTCGCTGGCCATCAAGGACCAGTAACAAGCGCGCGAACTTGGAGGGCCTCTCGGAAAAGGAACGTTTTGAAGTGCTAGGCATGGACGAGACATGGACAGAGTACAACGTACTTGTAAATGAATGCCCCAACCCTGGTGTCTATGTTACGCCCCAAGGCAAGAGAAGACCAGCGGGGAGGAAACAAGGCCGTCCCGCCAGAAGTCGAATCGCAGTTTTCAAATCAGCAAAATTGTCTGCTTTTTCCTGGTTCAAACGAGAACCCAGTGACATGGGTCACACGGCTGTTGACGAAAAGGATACCCCAGCCGAGGCCAGCACTCGCCAAAACGGTGTGCCTATTTCGGTACCCACTGTACCCAGCTCTGAGGGTTTCACAGCTTTCCAACCGGTTCCCAACGTGCAGCCCACTCCGAGATCTTCAAGCCGGCGCAAACGAGCTCAGGATGACTTGGATTACACCGAGTCGCCACTCACTGCCCGTCAAGCACAGCAGCGCAGTACGAGACGACCCCGGAAACAACCTCGTCTTGAAGAGCTTCAAGATGTGGCCAACGAGGCTGGCGCATCGGCCCCAGAAAATGCAGCTCCAGGCGAGAGTGCTCAGATTTCCGAGGAAGTTGAGTCAACCCCGGCTGTAACGACTTCTAGAACACACCCACTGAGTGAAGACGAGGCTGGAGCGGTCACGCCTAAACGACGACGTATCGGCTCTCTGGATCAGACTGCGGCGTCGGAAGGTACCCAAACAGCAAGTCCAGAGGTCATTAAAAGCCCTGCGAAGAGAGCCTCAGCTCCAACGCCTAAAGGACCTGTGCCTTTCTCGAGGAGTTGGCTCTCCAAGGCGGTTAGTCCGTCTTCCAGAAGCACGCCAGGTCAGACACCCAGGTTAAACCATGGTTTGACAGACCGAGGTGGCTCCGTTAGTATTCTTCGCAGAAATATCATTATGGAGATCGTGGAAAAAGCTGGCGGCGCATATCCTTCTACTCCCGAAATCTGGTTTCCATTTGCAACCATGTGGCTCAAGCGCAAGCAGAAAGAGCGACCGGATAATCGCACAGTCAAGGGTGCGATCAGAAACCTGGTAGAGGCTGGCAAACTTCGACAATTGACATTCTGCGGCAAAGGCCCGAAAGGCGCGATGGTTACCAAGACCATTTTGGCCAAGCCTGAAATGTCGCCAGATGACCCCTTGATCAAGGACATGCAGCACAAGCTTTTAGCTGCAACTGATCAGCGCCTTTCCTACTCGCCAAACATTGAACTAGATCCTGAGCTCGTCAGACACAGTGGCCAAACGGGAATCCCGAAACTTGTGCTCCCCGTCGTTTCAGGCGCCACGGTTCAGTTGCAACAGAAACCTGCCACCGTCCTCGCAGAGGAGCAAAGAACTGAACGCCGGGTCCAAAAAGAATTGTTGAAGAAATTGGAAGACGAGCTTGGTATCAGCGATTCATCTGCTCCCGGCTCCAAGCGACTCATGAAGATTGGTCGTCGTCAAGCTCGACAACTCGGACAAGACTTCTTGGCAGGTGCCTCTCACACTTGGATTACCCAACCAGGTGTTGGCATGCCCGGTAGAGGGATCAGGGGTGACGCTTTACGATTCTTCAAAACAATGTCTGTCATCGGACGTCATGCCATGCTGATGCACCCGGAACATGTCTTCCACTCAAGCTCTGGCACGTTTGGTACATTAGGGGCCGCGCAAAGACGCACATTTAACAGGCATGTTAGCGGCGACGTGGCGAGCTCTGTTCGTGAGCTTGCTGAGCTGGCCTCTGCCCCCAATGTTACCCTGACTGGTCGAGTTAAGACCTTCCACTCGAGGGCTGAGAGGATTCTCAGGTGGGAGCTTGAACACGAGGAGATTTTCGACGAAGCTCATGATGGCAGGGGCACTTACATTGAACAAACCGTTAGTGACGAGTTTGAGCATGTGCCTATTGAGGGAGAGATTCGGTTCGATATTGACCAGCCAATTGCTCGTGTCGATCAACAGGGAAGTGCGATGGTCACTCGGAGCGCAGGGTCTTTACGCGAGATTCGGCCTCGGCCTCCCGGGCAGGCGCATTATATTCCATCGGGATATCAACCTTTCCACAAAATTGACACTGCCCCTGCACGCCGTCGTATTGATGGAGTTGATACGTCGATTCCTGGTCGGTATGGAGTACAGCCAGATGATGTCAGAATCATACGTCCAAGGCGCCGGGCAGCTCTTCCCCCGCTTGACCAAACTCTGTACCGGAAGATCATGGTTGCCATTGTCGCCGTCAGAGTACTGGCAGGCGGCTCAGAGGCAAGAAGCGTCGACTGGGATCTTATATACGCTGCATTCCCCAAACATGACCCTAATCTTATTCTGGAACAAGCAAAGTACATCCTGAACAAGAGTCGGCTACAGATTGCTGGCATGCAGCGTGACTTCCAAGAGCAGTATCTTGAAGCATACGCCAAGCGAAAGGTTCCAGCCATTGACTACAATAACCTGGACAAATACAATTGGCCTGCTGTCGTCGAATGGGCCAATATTGAACTTGAGTTCTCCACTTCTGAAAAGGCTCCGCTTCTCCCTGCGACTCGGGAGGAGTTTGATAGCATTTTCGAGCTTCGGCCCGAGGCTGCGCCAACGGCCGATGAGCTTTACACCGTTACTTCGGGCATTACCGTTGACTTCAAGCGTGGCTTGATGACTCACGTCCCATTTGCGGTGCAGGTTGACACCAAGGAAAACCGTGCCATCAAAGGACCCCGCAAGAACGAGCTCGCTCGACTTGACGTCGTCAAAACGTGGGTACGTGCCAATGTCGCCGCGTCCGAATCGACATATGATCCGCCTAGAGCTGAGGAAGCTCTCAGACCATTCGGTACCCAGCTTATCAACTCGGCTGTGCAATCTCTTCTCACCGATCGAGTCATTAGCATGGGCAACAAGGGTCGTGTTGTACCGGGCCGCAATTACGATCTCACAGAGCATCTCCTAACGGCACTGAGCCGCAAGCGCCACATTGACTGCCCTATCCTGAAGCGTGCAGCATACTTCAAGACGGCGATTCTTGACCCCCAGCTGGAAAGCATGGGATCCTTTGATGTGCATTACCACGCCGAAGATGGAGACATTCTTGCTCTGATCAACCTTTTCAACTACGGCCAGCTCACTCTCCATCCCCGTGGTCAGCCACGCGCCCGATGGGGTTTGTTAGATGACGGCGGATATCTCACTAGGCAAATGGACAAGGATCGCGTACGCTTTGCTGTTGAAGTCCGCCCATCAAATTCATATACCTACGGCAACCCTGTCCAGGCGCGAGTGGATACTATCTCTGCTCCACTGCCACCACCCTCCAATGACCCCAATCTTCCGCCCAAATTGCCCCTCTGGTTCGATATCCACGGGTACTTGATTCCACAGCTATGGGAGATGGCCATTGCCTCAGTTCTGGGCTGCGTTTCTATGCGGCAGGGTCTTAGCCCGGAACGCATCTCGGGCATGATTAAGCCGGCGATGGGCGCTTGGGAGATTGAGTTGCTCTTGAACTGGTTGAAGGACGTCGGAGTGGTGGACCGGCAGAGTCACGGTGAGAAGGAAGGATGGATGGTTCGCCACTGGTGGTGGATGGTTCTCACAGAGAAGGATTCTGGCGCGGCGATGCCAGTGACTGAGGCAGTTTCAGAGCCCGTGGCAGAGCCAGTTACGCATGTTGAAGAGTCCACTGCTTCCGCCTGAGAAGACATTGGCTCCTCACCCTACTATATGTATGATTACGAATAGGATGATGTTGTATTCAACCAGTTGAATCGATGTAGGATATAGAATGAACGCTCACTGTTGTTGTATGGTATCTAGCGCTGTAAAGAGATAAATCACAAATAAAATCAATCAAAACCCATGTCACGAGTACCGCATCGTTGTCTAGGATGTGATATAAGTAAGGCCGGCTTGCTTTTTAGACGGTTGGTCGAGCTAGGGAGCGAGAGGACAATTTATTTATAGGTCGTCGACATTGACCGCACGCTTGGTGATCAGGATGATCAAGGCAAAGACGATGCCGATGATGGCACGGTCTAGCCAAGGGTTGTTTGCGGGCTCAGATGAGGTAGCGGCTGCAGTTCTTGCAGCCATAGCCACAGGAGCAGGCGCAGGAGCTGTCGGCGTTGGGCGAGGGCGAATAGATTGAGTCGATGGTGCGGATGGGACGACTGCCGGAGTCGAGGATAAACCTGAAGGCACTGGAGGCACTGAAGGATTGGCAGATGTTGAAACCGAAGCAGCTGGCGAAGATGTAGACTCATCAACAGCAGCCACTCTCTGCTCGCCGTCCTCCTCCTCCTCCTCCTCCTTCTTCTCTCCTACAACTTCACACCCTTCAACATCAACTTCCACCCCCTCTCTCCCTACAAACCTCCCACCACCGCTTCATAACCTCCTCATTACTCCCCCCACACTCCCGACAAACCCACCCACGACTCTCCCTCGCAAACTCCCTCCTCACCTCCTCGCTCCCCTCCATCCCCCCAACCTGCCCTTTACTCTCCGCCCCCATGATCTCACTCCGAATCGCCAGCAGCGCCGTCCGCACCCCCCACGCCGGCTGCCACGTCTCCTCGTGGTGTCCCGATATACTCAGGCATATCTCGCGGTTCACCTCGAATCGGCCTGATGGTGTGAGGAAGCGGAAACTCGGTGGGCGGAGCGGGTATGTTGGTGGGAAAGTGATGCGGCCGTGGTAGAGGCCGCTGGCGTAGGGGGTTGGACTTGGGGGTCCGGTGAGGGTGAAGTGCCAGTCGTGGAGGTTTGAGTCGGAGGTTGGGGAGGCCGTGAAGTAGGGGCTTGGGTTTTTGTGGATGTCTGTTGATTCTTTGAGGAGGCGGCGTGTTGAGGGGGATGTCATTTTGGATGTCTTGGCTCTTATGGGTGTGTGTTGTGGAGCGTGGTGTAGATGGAGATGGAGGTGTTGAAGAAGTAAACGTGGAGGTGGAGGTGGAAGTGGAGAGGATAAGAGGATAAGATCGGCGAGATTAGCCTGACGATTTGCTGATTAGATCATCACGATGGCGGACTCAGGCATGAAGGCAGCAACGATCTATCAAGATCGGTTGAGAAGAATTACCTGATGACAACGTAGAAGAATTGACGAACCCTGTCACGATTCAAAATAAAATGAAAGATCAGAATATACAGAGATAATTTTCTGTTCATATACTAGTACAGTACACGTCACCACCCCCATAATAGAAAATGCCAACTTGGCCACTTCCACACAACGCTTAGTTTATCATGTCATCACCAAAACGCCAAGTAATGCAAAAGACAACCGCAATACCTCCCTGAGATGCACACTATAAATACCTGTGCAATCCAATGATCTCATCTCAATCATCCCAATCGCGCCATTCATCCGTCTCTCTATGCCCGCCCTGTTTCACGCCCTGGCCTCTGCCAGCTTCGGGGTCAAGCAGCCCGTTGCTCTCAGGCTCATCCTCGAAGTCACTATCACCGGGTCTGGGCCGAGGTGAAGCCGGCGCAAGGGTCTGCATAGAGACACTCGTCGGTGGGCGCTCAGGTGCATCTTGCGGGCGGCGGTTGGGAATCCAACTTGGCTGTTGTTGGGAGTGTGCTGTATTTGCATTATCAACCCCCCATGCATGGCTGTTATTCATATTCTGCGAGTAAAGATCGCGATAATACTGCTGCTCGTTGCTAGCTTCCTGCTCTCGGTTGATTCGGATGCGTTCTCGCATTTCGAGAAACTTTTGGCTCGGCTCCCAGCGCCAGCCATCGCCGGTAGTTGTACAGATTGGTATGGGCCAGAGGAGGGGTCGGTCACCAAATAGATGGGCCAGGTTCTGGCGCCAGCCGTGGTCAAATGCACTGGGCATCTTCTCGCTGTCTTGGTCGTTGACCCATTCTTGGTATCGATCGCGCTCGCGCTGGCGTTCCATTTCGGCGTAGGAACGGGTGAGAGCTTGTTGTGCCGGAGTCATGGGGTGGTGGGGGTTTTCGAGACTGGGACCTTGGCCAGGTGGATAGGGTGCTGGGGAGAGACGTTCTTCGCCTTCCTCGGCGCGTGTCACGCCGGGGATCGCATTGGCGTGGGCGTCTATAATTTGGTTGCCGTAACCTTGCAGTCGCTGGGCTAGACTTTCAGTGTTTGGGTCTGTAGCACTGCCATTGCTTGCAACGTTCTCCTGACGATGTCGGTCCAACGCTTTGCGCAATGGCGAGACATATCTTGTCTTCTCCAGGCACTCGATAGTCGTCACTCCCCGGACAGCCAAGCTGATATGCCATGCCGTGAAACCGGTCAAGACAAGGCCGATGATTCCCCCCAAGATTGCCAGTAGCACCACGTTGACCGGCATGAAGGTATCCATATATCTGGTATCATTCAGAACCTCAGTCCACGTCCACACCGCAGCAACCGCAAAGGACACCCAGCAGAACAGTGACGTATAAATCAGAAACAGAAGGAATGCCTTGTAATTGTACAGCCCAACACATGTCGCCAACCAAGGGCAGTGGTGATCCATCTTCAACACACACCGCTTACACGTCGAGCAGTGGTGTGCGCGGTCAGGCTTCGGACACTGACACTTCTTGCAATATCGCGAGCCACCGGACGAGCTAACAGTATACGACGTAAACTCCGGAAACTCAGAAACCGGCAAGGCGCTATATTCATGGCGCCCACCACGGCGAGTCGTGAGAGGCGAGCCGGGATCCGTAAAAACGGCGACGGTATAACTAGCATTCAAGCAGCCGTAGAGAAACAGTCCGAGAACTGTACTCGGAAACCCTGCACGAACCAAGGAAAGACAGACAAAATTAGCCCACTGAATCCAGCATATGATGCAAATCATCTGTCCACTCCGCATTCTCGAGGGGGCATCCATACCAATCCAAAAACTCCGATGCTCCTTAAATCCAATACTAACTTCCACATATACCGCCCACGTCGTCAACCCATACACAAACGCGAGCGGGAAACAACTGGCCGCGGCACAGCATAGCCGCTCACAGCGCAGTGCCCACGCGCGAGGTCGTCGTTTCGGCCACGAGGGCGAGGTTGGGGGGGACGAGGCTAGGGTGGCCATGGTATGATGGTTATCGCGCGAGCGAGAGGCGGGCGATGTTCATCGGGTGGTGGAATATGGGATTCAAATCGAAGGAGAGTATGTTGATAGTGTCAACAATAGGTCCGCATGGCGCGGAGATAGGGGAGGTGTTGGTGAGGGAGGACGGGGGCAGCAGCGAGGATCGGGTTCAATTGCAGCGGCCTACTGCGGAGCTTCGTAAGCCTGGCCAGTTCCGTCCGGGGACGACTCTTACTCAGCCACGCTGAGCCACGATCTTATTTTGTTAGCGTGCCTGGTAGGGCGAAGTGGGACTGTACCAAGAAAATAGGGTGGGTAGGCAGCATATAACTATCTATTGTCAATATTTTTGAAATCTCTTGAGAAAAGGGGGTGAAGAGAGACTTTGACGACATATGCTGTGTCATCGCGTGGACGAGTTTGTAGCTGGTAACACGAAGAGGCTACGTAGACGTTGTGGCACGAGACTAGGAAGAATTGTGCACCAAGTATTCTATAGACAAAAATTTAGTCAAAAGGGCTTTCGATAGGAATTACAGACTCTACAGAGAAAGTGCTAGCACATTAATTCATGGAGATGTATGGAGTATATTGCACGCAATTTCGCGCTCTATGTACAAATCTTCCATAACTTTCAAAAACCTCCAGTCAACGCCAACAATCTGCGGCTGAATAACATAAAAAACCAATAAATAATGCATGACGCACACCACTAGGTGCTAGTGGTAGTAGAAGAGGTCTGCAGAGTATCCTGCTTGCACCAGTCCTTGACGGGCTAGAGAAAAGAGATGGGTTAGCAGACATCCTCGAAGACGAGAAGAGTAGGATCGACTCACCAGGCAACTCAACCGATAGCACCAAGAGCAATTCGACGAAGGGTATTTGTAGAAATCAACAATCAACATAATGAATCCAATCAACACTGCGACCAAGGCACCCGCGCGCACCAGCCACCAGACCCACCACAGAGGCTTGCGGCCCTTGAAGAAGCCAAGCGGGCCCTTGGGCTTGTCATCTCCGCTGGACGAAACCATGTTGCCCTTGCCCTTGAAAAAGTCCATGACAGAGGTGGTTTTCCGCTTGTCGGCGGGGTCGGCTCCAGCACCACCGCTCATGGCGACATAGGGCTGGCGAACGAGCCCGATGCGCTCGCGCAGGGCATTGGGCGACCGTAGGAGAGAAAGACCCATGGCCAGACCCATAATGAACCCCCCAATATGGGAGAAATTGTCCAGACCTGGGAGCAGACCGAGCACGAAAGAAACGGCTACTCCGACGACCATGATGATCAATTCCACCCATGGCGATTCACGCTGGGGCCAGTCGTATAGCAGGTCCAGTAGGAAAAGTGCCATGATACCGAATAAGCAACCAGAGCACCCGGTACTCGGCTGAAGTTGCGAGGCATAGTTTCCACCAAACACGTAACCGAAGATACCGCTGGCAAAGTAGGTCAGGGTGTACCGCCACATTCCGATCATGCGCTCCATGTCTGCGCCCATCGTCAACTGCACCAGCAGGTTGAAACCGATGTGGACGAACCCACCGTGCAAGAAGATGGGGACGATGAAGCGGAACCACTGGTTCGGGGCGGGCGTGTCGTCGAGCGAGCCGCCGACCCTGGGGTTCGGTACGCCGCCAAATCCACACAGGTCTGAGAGATTGCAACCGTATGTGGTCGTAGTGGTATTGGGGCAGGGCCAGCTGATTGGCACGCTGGAGTTTTGGACACCGGGGATGTTCTTCATGCATGGATCGTAGCGGGCGCCCATGTAGATTTGGATATATGGAGAAGGACCGATCATAGGGTTGAAGGAGGGCTTGGTCTCGATTGGTGATCCGGTCAAGGTGCCTAGAATCCGAATGTTAGTCTAATCCTGACAGTGGACTGCGCAGAAATCTCCGTGCAGTGCTCGATACCCACCCATTTTCACCAATTCCACGATAAACACGATAACCTGCGCCAATGTCAAGGTCCAGGTTACCCACGCAGGCTTCTTGCGGAAGAAGCCCTTCCTATTCTGATCTCCTCTCCGCCGCCGATTCTCCAGGGCCCCCGGTGAGGGAGGTGGGTATTGTGTCTGCTGGTGCATCCATTCCGGGTTGTTTCCAAACTGCGTCTGCGCCTTCAGCGGAATATTCTCTGCATAGTGGTCGCCATCTGCGACTCGTCCAGCTGCTGGGTATGCTCCAGCGTCTGATTGTAGTGACTGTTGACTTTGACGGTTGTGATAGGGGGCGGATGGGTCGTCGTGGTGGCTGATCTGGCTGACGGGACTGTGGCTCTGGAAGCCGTACCCAGGGGTGTTGGTGTTGAGATGGGGGGGTTGTCCGGTATGCCCACCCGCTACTTGTTCGTAGCTGGGGGGATTGGGGATGTTCGCATGGTAGTATTCGTTGGCAGCCATGATGGGCGGCCAGCCGAGGTTGCGAGACCAAAGAATGGGGTGATGATCAGAGTCTGTCGGATGAGGATCGTGGAAGTCGTGGAAATTGCGACGCTAGCGGGGAAATATGGCGGCGTCAGGGGACGTAGACCCTGTAAGGACAGACGGGGTGGTGAATGGTGGAAAGAAAGAGATTGAGGGACGTCAAGAGAGCAGAATGGGCAACAAAAAGAAAGACGGAGGCAGGCAGTCACATTATGTAACTGGGGAAGTTATTTTTGGGGCCGATCGTCGTCACAGAATCAACACAGCCGCGCGGCGCTTGGCTGGGCAGTTTTGGGCGGTAGATGATGGTTGATGATCTGACCTTGAACAGGGGGGTGCGTGTCATTTACATCGTACAGATCCACTATGGCTCATGTCCATTCACATCTGACATGAAACTCGACTCCAGCCACTTTGCTAACTTGTCTCCGTATCTGTAGCGCTGAGCCCCTCAACTGGCCACGACGCACTTCCTCAGCCTCGGTGCCAAGCCTGAGATGTAATGCGCGGCCTGACCATACGAGACACTGGGCATCCATCTGTACTACATTGACTTGACTACGAGGCGATCTGGTAGCCTCGATAGAACCAAATAACCTTAACCTGAAGATAAATATCTTATTGCGGCTGGTGGCCCCTGATCCTTACATAATCCGGTCGAATTTCAGGTACCAGGGGGTCATCCGAGGGGAAAGTTTAATTCTCAAACAAGAACATAGCTCCTTTGATGAAACTCAAGACGGAATTCCTTTTTGCATTTCTCAACGGTTACTATAAGATTGTTGTCCCGTGGCGGTATATTGTATGTGCCGAAGCATAAGACATTGCTGATTCCTGCTAGGAACACCCTTCTTAGTAGGGGTGAAGTGGATTGTTTTCGGTCCATCCAGGTATCGCGTGGCAAATCAGGCGGAATACTGAGCCGTGTAGCATAGTATACAGATCCGTTTTTCACATAGTCTGCGGCGAATAGAGAAAGCATGGGATGTCATGAAGTTAGCTTAGCAATATAGTCCCGCACGTCTAGTGCCATCGACCTGATCCTAGTCCAGAGGTTAAACATCCTGGTCAGTCCACATTACTCCCACGTCAGACCCAAGATGCAGAAAGTGGAGAGGGACGAGCCCTGAACAGGCAAAGGAATGGCTAAGTGGGCGCTTTGGGCCGGCGCTAGTTCGATCGGGCTGAGACAGAGAATCTACAAGGAGCCAAAGATACCTTTAATTGCTGCATAGACATTTGGCATTAAGTATTACAGCGGATATCAATAGAAAGAAAAATTTCACAAGCATGCTCGTCCACCGAGGTTTGGCTGCGCCAGCCCAATGCTCCGGGTCGCGCGTTGGTTCGTGTTGCTCGTGTTCGGGTCGTTGACCGTCTGACTCTCCAAGGCCAATGCCGGAGGAGTCACACGATGCGCATCATTATTAAGGTCCATAGGGCGAGATGTCGGATTGCAGAAACGCGAGTGGTAAGTTCGTTTCCCCCAAAGCGCCAAAAAGAAAAAAGAAAAAGAGGTCAAAAGTGCACACGCTCCCAATGGAGCAGAAGCAACGCGAGAGAAACATCACAAAGAAAACAAAAAACACCAGGCGAAGAAGCATCGAATCAGCGAGATGCGACCAAGCGTATGCGAAAGGACGTCGCTTGAAGAACAGTCATGAGGGGTTGTAAATCCTCGGAAAACTACCCCAGGCGCGCAGATCCATTGGCACCGGGAAGCAGATGAGTGGGGGTGTTCTGGTATCTATACAAGGGGGCCGTGCCCGAGATATCAACAAAGATATCAAACGGGTCGATTATGAAGGGACGGCATGCTCTGCAATGGACGAGGGAGAGATAGGGTTGCCGTAAATATCCAGAATGCCCAATGCAGTGCCCACCTCTTGGCTGCTGTGACCCGTCAGCAACCACACGAGGCGGCTGAGCTTGTGGTACAGTAGCGAAGGGAAGTATAGCACCAATGCCCAGAACAGAAGAGACAAAACCACGACCACAAAGGTATTGGCCACGAGTTTCTCACTGGGGGTCATCACGTAGAGACCGAAGGTGACTTCGTAGCGGTAGTACTCCAGACGGACGCGGTCGAAGAATCGCTGGAAGTGGTTGCGAGACCGTTGTATGCGGAATGCGGCGGGAGCACTGGCGGACGAGTACTTGCTGATGAGCTCGTCGACCGCGGCGGGCGCATGCGACATGTAAGTCGAGGCGTTAGTGGTGTAGAAGGACTGCATCTCGGTCGTCATGGGGGGAAAACTGGGGGCCCGGTTTGCTACGATCGCACCCGATCGCGTTCGAGAGGAGGAGACAAAATGGCGGAGACAGTGGTATCAGAAACACAAATTGGATGTGATTTATGATTCTTCTTTGTATATGGTGCCTTCTCGTCTGAGGTTATCGAGGGGAAAAAGGTATCCCAAGGGGGACGATCCCCAGATGGTTGACAAGGCTTGGGCTGAGTTTGGTTTGAAATCTCCCTGCGCTGGGCTGGGCTTTCCGGATGTAGGCGGAAGTGCACGAGCTGGTGATCGACGCACTTGAATCGCAACGGGGAATGGACGACAACCCCACGAGGCAGATGGAAAACAAAAGTAATAGTGAGATGGACGAACTCAAGACTCGTGGGGGGAGTTAAAGAAGAGAGTAAAAAGGCGAAAAGGAAGGGGGGATAAGGCTTTGGGCAGCGAAACAAGGAATTGAAGCTGGAGATCGGATTAGTCGGCAAGGATTTGATTATTCGACGTTCTTTCGGAGCATCCGGCCCATTTTAGCCATGCCTTGAAACCTGCGAAAAAGCTCCGGACAGAGTGGGTCGAGTCCTGGATTGGCTGGTCTGATGGATAGAGAGCATCGAAGAGATCGGGCCATGTCCAACGGATCTTCAGCTTAGCAGCCTAAACTTGACAACCAAGCAGTTCGTCCAAGACTCGGAGTTCGGAAGCGGACGAAGTATACACACAATTGGAAATCTCGGGAGAACGCCGGTAAGGCGGATCCCCAGGCAGAAATCAGGCAGAAAACTAGGTACCCATGACTCAATCACTGAACTAACTAGTTACTGAACGAGTCAGGCAACGTGCGAGTAACTAGTTTCTATAGGAAAACATTACTCCTCAATGAAATACATTTCTTAGATACTGGAAGGAAAGATATTCGAATATTAGAGTGCTTACGTGTTGTGTATCTTGCTCTCATCAGCACTCGCTTAGCAAAGAATCCTACACATCAGAATCAGAAAGTACTACAATCACTAGTCTCGTTCGCAGCTCCACCAGCCACTGATGTATCCGTGCCTACTGCCCACCCAAACCGCTTCCCGCTTTGGGTGCGCGAAGGCAAGGATAGTACATACTTTCCTGTACCACTACTAACTCCCGTGGCTGGCCCGGTGATGTCACCGCCCGCGCTCCTCTTCCCCGCGTCGCTACCTCAACTCATCCGCAACACCCCCTCATCAACAAATCAACAAATCAGCCAACTAGCACTCGACTCGCCATGGACCGCGACGATCCGCTAGTTCAGGCCCTGCCCCCAGCGACCGACTATCTCACATACCTCACACTCCTTGAATATCAGTTGACCCCCGAACGCCTGCCCCTCTTGCACCGCCTGCTGCAAGATGAGAAGCTTACCACCAACATTGGCTGGGACCTGGTCAAACTGCTCCTGCCCATGCTTCCTGCCTCTACGGAGTGCTTGCAGGATGTAGCTCGCCTAGGAAACCCGCGAGAAGTCATTTTACGCGTCTGCGAGGCTCTGGAAAATTTGCAGCCGGAGGAGGACGATGACGATGACGATGATGACGACGAAGACAATGAGACGGCAAAGCCGCTGCCAACACATATTTTGCAGTTCAACTGCCTCTTGGCTATGCTATCAACCTTGCACACCCGTCTTCAGGCAAAACGCCCTAGTCGATTCATCGCAACCTCCCTCAAAGCCACACTCGAAGCATACGAGACGATGACATGCGATGAGACCACCCTTGCCCTACTCGAGTTCTTCCGTGATCTGTCCCCGAGCAAGCGCCCAGCACCGCCGCCCCGTGCACCCAGCGAGTCGAGCGTCCTGCGGGTCTCAGAGGCATCCGCACCCGACCCGGAGGCTGAGGTGCTGTCACCGTCGCCGGCAAAGGACAACGAAACACAGCTGGTTCGGAAATTCATTCAATTCGGCCTGCTAGAAATGCTCAAGTTGTATCTATTGAGCTTTTCGGGTCCAATGGACCCAGGTATGGCATGGACGGTCCGGATGCAGGAAAAATTGCATCCTAATTTGCGGCTGCCGGCACAATCGCAGACGGACGCATATGGGAGCATCAAGGAGTTGAGGGAGCGGGATATGATTATGGGGAAGATTGTGGTACGTATCTGCCATTCTCTTACTGGCAATGTTCTGAACTGACCGGGAATTATTGTTAGGCTCTTTCACGAGACGTCGGCATTGACAGCAACGATCTTCTCTCTATAATTGCCCGGTCACCCGTCAACCCGGCTCCTCAACTGGACTTTGATGAACCTCCAGAGACAGTAGATCAGATCCCCCTCGAGCGACACGGATCTCTACTGCTTTTCGCCGCTCGAGCTGCGGGAGCCATCCTCTTCGCATCCTCGACGCACCCAACGCCTTCCTTGCCGGTCTTCCCAGACCTCGCCCAGATTTTCTCCCACTTCCTCGGGAGTCAGGATAACTTAGAAGAAGTAGCCTTCGGGCAGCCGCACGTCCTTTTGGATTCGCTGCTAGCATTGACTGTCCACGCAACACAATCATCCATTGCCGTGCCCTCAAGCGACGCCGAGTTTAAAGATTTTGTTATTACCTTGACCGCATGCACAGCGTCGCAGAGTTATGGTATAGTTCGACAGCTTCCAGCCAGCATTGTGCATAGCCATCCATCTCCCACCACCCGGTTCGAAGTCATTCGTCAGATCCTGGAGAATGGTCGTCTTCTGTCCGTTCGCGATAGTGCCATTTCCTGGCTCAAGGATGAGATCATCGGCACCAAACCCTCCGAGTCAACGGAAGATACTTTCCACGACCCGCTATGGTTCTGGTCCATCTTTCCGCTTCTTCTGCGCCCGGTTGACGTCGATGCTTCTTCGAAGAATCTGGTGGCGAGCTGGACTCGTCTCACGCAAACCGAAGGCCCATCCCTACACTCCGCGCTGAACCTGTACTTCCTCCTACTCTCATCCAGTGATCTCCGCGATCGTTTGCAACTCGAGAAGACGGTCAAGTACTTCCGCAGCAGGGTGCTCGTCCCACTTCGACAGCTTTTCCGTGCTTTCGAAGGTGATCTCGCGGCCAAGGGTGGCGACGGCTTGATTGAAGCGGCCGTCGGGGAGGAAATGTGCCAGGTCGGCATTGCCCGGTCTGTGGGGCTGATTGGGCTTACTCTCGATCAGATTGAGGAAGTGATCAACGAGCACTTTGGAACTGACGACGCAGATCTCAAGGAGTACTCCATTGATGAGAAGGTTTTGGTTGCGGAGATTAGCAAGAAAACGGAAGCCTTTGGGTCGAATTAGGAACGTCTGAGGGATGATGGTGCTTGGTATCGGGATTTGTATGTATCTAGACTCGACTTGTTGATATTCTGGGCTGGGCCATTGAATTGCACATATTTACTTGACTAAAGTCTATGGTAGGAGACTCTCTCTACGTAACGGCTCTCTCTCACGATAATTAAATCTAAAATTAACCATGGTCCAGGCCTATTCCCCGCAGCCAGGATCACCAACCGGTCGCCTCGGGAGTGCTAGGGTAACGCAGATTTCTGAATCATATCGTCTCTCAATTATTTCAGAGGAATTGGGTATCAAGAAAGAAAATACAGAAGAACAAAAGCAAAAAACATACAACAGCCAGGATTCGCATGTGGTCACCCACCATACTACTAACTAGCCGGCGTGTGGCTTAAGTACGGCTGAGCGGACGGGAAGCCCTGTTCTCCACACCCTATGGTCGTATGTGCTAATCATGGACTCATGGAGAATCAACCAGGTATCGAAATCTATTTTAGAAATAAGTGCGAAATGAAGCGGAATTAGGTATTAACAAAGTCAAACGGTGGGGGTTACCATGGAACCACTATAGGATTTCCCTACGGCCACTACAAAGCTTATATAATATATCGCATGACCTCCAAGACGACCTACATTCCATGTTACCCTAGTAACGAATATGAAGTCTAAATATCAACAAAACCCTGCAAAATTTTCAGATACTATTTCATCTCAATCTATCCTGTTATCTATATGTCAATTTGATAGATCTGACCAGTCATCTAGTGTTGATATATTGACTATATAGGCACGTATTAGCCATATTATCTTACACCAGATCGAGAATATTACTTATGAAGCTAAAAGAGATAAGATTCAACAGCTTACTTATACATTCTCGCTACATTATAGGCTAATTACCAGACAAATCTCACACTACGCAGCTAATAAGATTAGAGAACAGGTAGATAAAGCTAAAAGAGCTACTTCTATCGCTCCGTTGCCTGCATATACAAGTGCTTTCTTCCGAACAATAGGCCTTCCTTGCGTGCATCAGATTAAGCAATAGCAAGATCAGGACCAACCAATTCCTTTATCAGCAATTCATCCATTTTAGAGGCTTAATATAGGTATAATAGAGGAAGCTAATTAGCTACCAATCCTTGAACCAAGTATGCCAAAGGTCAGATCGAAAGCAAATGAGATTAATACGCCTACTGCTGCTTCAGTGGCTAGTCTTATTAGTCTCAAGAAGAAGAAGGCCCCGCCAAAGTGTTCTAAATGCGGTGTGATTGGCTATACTATACGGGAATGTAAATAGAGCAGCTTTCTATTTGTTGAATTAGTTGAATTAGTATTAGATGGGATAAATCAATAGTGGTGAATTAATAGTAGATGAACGATGTTGGCTTTCAGGGGTCATGTGACGTATTATATAAGCTCCGTAGTGGCCGTAGGGAAATCCGGTAGTGGTTCTAGGGTGACCCGCTGCTGGTCCCTGGCGCTTGCTGTACTAGTATATATGTGTTCTATACCACCTGCCTGAAAGGCCAGGCTGCGATGGAGTATTTTCAACACCCGTGCGATCGATCCATTAAAGCCGACCGGGTAATGTAAGTGAAGAATTACTTCTCCGACCGAGGACGAACTGCCTTGAAATGAGTGTGTACGAAATGTCGAGGTTCGGATATATGGAAATATTCTCGGAATATACCCCGACAGCCATCAGCCAGCACGTCACATTTACCGACTTTATAAACACTCCGGCATAAATCTTATCCTGATCAACAAAATGCACCATTCATATAATTTTTCAACCACTGTCATTGGTGAGCACCGACTATCAACGTTTAATAAAGTTGAAAGGCGTCGGAGTTAAGTCAGGGTCCTGCCCAAAACAGCGTTCCTCCGAGCATTCCTTGAATCGCCGGAAACGGCTATCGATGACACGACTTTGATACTTGCCGATTTAAAATGCAGCGTATCGCCCAATTGTCGATGACGAAGACATACAGTGCAATATTAACGCAATGCCTGAAAAAGTAGAGGATCAGGCTGTACCGGCGGTGTCGTTCTTCGATCCTGCGTTGAAGGAGGTTCGTCGGCGGGTGTACTATCAATGGAGTCGAACTGGTATGTCAAGCTATTAATTTTTCGTTGGTCTTAGCAGCAATAAAGAGACATCAATCGGGGCAAAGCTAACATTTGTTCAGTGTCTATTCTCTGCATCTTTGTGTTGGTCGTGCTATCAATCTTCTGGGGCTCCCAATATAGCACCGAAAGCAAATATACCGAGCTCAAAGTCTGGGTCGTCGACTTTGATGGGAAAACAGACGACTATCGCACAAACAATCCTGTCATCGGTCCAGCTGTTGTCAACACTGCGCAGCAGTTTATCGACTCGTCAGACCTACATCTGGGCTACATCATCAAGAACTCCAGCACCTTCGACAATGATCCCTGGGCCGTCCGCCAAGCAGTCTACGACGAGCATGCCTACGCCGCAGTCATCGTCAACCCGAACGCAACCTCCCTCCTACGTGCTGCAATCACACAACACAATACAAGCTACGACCCTATCGGCGCCATCCAAACAGTCATCATATCAGCTCGCGACGAAAACACATACTACTCCTACGTCCTCCCAGACCTGGCCATCTTCCAAAGCAGCGTCCTCGCCTCCTTCGGCCCACAATGGGTCCAAAGCCTGATCACAAACGGCACAGATCTCACAACTATCCCCCCACAAACCATCAACCCAGCAATCGGCTTCACAAACATCGACCTCCGCCCCTTCACCCCAGCCGTCGCCACACCAGCCGTCACAATCGGCCTCATCTACCTCATCATCATCGCCTTCTTCAACTTCCCCTTCCTAATGCCCATCCACGCCCAACTAATCAAACCCTCCGCGTCAAACCCGCCTCTCAAAGTGCCCCAATGGCTCATCTGGCGTATCCTCTCCAACATCGCCGCCTACTTCTTCCTCAGTCTGTTCTACAGTCTTGTCAGTCTGGCGTTTGGCATTCCGTTTTCTAATTCGCCGGTCCCGGATACGGTTCCTGCTAATAACCCCAATGCATACGGGAAGGGTTCGTTTGTGGTGTTTTGGATGCTGAATTGGGTTGGGATGACGGCGTTGGGATTCCCGTGTGAGAATATGGCTATGGTGCTTGGGTTCCCGTGGAGTTCGTTTTTCTTGATTTTTTGGGTTATTACGAATGTGGCGACGGGGTTTTATGCCATTGAGTTGGCCAGTGTGTTTTATCGGTGGGGGTATGCTTGGCCTTTGCATAGGAGTAAGTTGCTACCGTTGAACTATCCAGAGTGGAAGGGTGATTGGATATATGCTGACATGCTGGTTTTCTTTTAGTTGTCGAGGCGCTCAGGACTATCTTATTCGGTACGCACTCGCGTATTGGACTTGATTTTGCGGTTTTGTTTATCTGGATTGCGGTGTCTATTGCGTTCTTCCCGGTTGCAAGCTTTATCATGGGCTGGAAGATGAGGCGTGGGTTGGCTTGAATTCAACGATCACGATGACGGTGCTATATATGCTATTCGCCTCTCCAGTACTGAGCATCGGCGTTGGTCTCCGTGGGCACCGCCTGCAGCGGGTGTCCTTCCGCAAACAAAAGAATTCTTGTTGTTCATATACTTCACTCTCACATAGACTTATCTTACAACATCGACGTCAAAACTCGTGATGAAATTTGATTTGAAATTTGATCAACTACCATATAATGATCACAATAGCTCCTATTCTTTGGAGACTCCAATTTATTCAATCTGAATACCTCTCCTCTTTACTCTAATAACAAATTCGTAGTATATATACTACACACCCCCCAAAAATATTCATCGTCTTCCCATCGCACCCGCTTACTCTGCAGGCTCACCCATCTCATTAAGTCTATCCTTCGCACCGCGACGGCCACCCTCAGAGACGCGAGGGTTATGCATGGCACTAGATGCGATCAGCAGAGGTTCTGTTTGGGGTCTTTTCGCGAAAGGACCAGTTTTGCGGGACAGGAGGGCTGGTGTACGTACGCTTTCAGTCCACGCTTGACGTTCTCGTCGTGGCGGTCATCGTCGCTGGCATAATTGGAGAGCTTCTCGGCTTCTTGTTGGGCGTGGGCTTTGGCCTCGTTTGAGACGCGGGGGTTGTGGGTTGCTCTGCACGGGTAAAATTAATATATTAGCATTTCATAATTTCAATAGAAAATCATAAGTAGTGGTTTTGGTTTTGGTTTTGGGCAAGCCTTACGCCTTGTAACCCCGCAGCTTGTTCTCGTCGCTACCAGTGTTGCGGCCCATATCGGATGGTGATCTGGATGGTTTGGATAAAACGTTCACCTTGACTGGTGTTGAATCGGGTTTGCGCTTCTTTTCTTCTCTTTCTTTTCTCAGTTTCGATAACCCCTGCTTTCCATCGGGGCTGTCTCTGTGGATGGATTCCCGGACTTATGTATGCGATATTGTGCGCCACGTGTGGCCAGGGTGGAGGCGGAGGTTGACGTTGTGGTGATGCTGGGATGACATGTCCATCTGTGATGTTTGGGATCCGTGGAAAGAGGCTGAACGGGTGTGGAATATGACTTGGGGATGCTGCAGATGTTCTTTACATTGATGATCCACTGTGGCAGTGGGGGAGATGCTTCTAGACCGGTATAGATTATGGATGGGCAGGGGTATGATTGTGATATACAGTGGCAGTTACGTTGGGCGGCGATATCGTAGTTGGCTCAGTATATAAACTAGAAAGAGGGATGATGTCAGGTGGAAATGTATCATTGATGAAATCATATTTGGAACTGTGTCGAACAACTTGGCTATTGTTGGTGTGGGTATATTACCTATCACCTATCACTATGTGACCAACGTGAGTTCAATAAAGAACCCTTGAAAAGGGGAATATGCGATCTTGATACATAATATTCATAATATTGTGCTTATTTGCCTGTATAAATGCATCATTAGTCAGAATTAAGCTCAAAGGTTAAGCTTTCCAACTGGCAGGTGCCACGGAAGGCAGGAACGGCCCTCCTCGCTCTTGCCCTGTGTAGTTATTTCCTGCTTCTTCCCCTCGTGCGTGAACTCCAGCCTCTTATTGGCCAATTTAGAAGTATAGCCCTCGAGACTAACGGTGCGGCTCTCCAAGGGTTGGCGGCTCATCACACGCAGTCCACCGAGTAACACTAACACACAGCAGTACACGCCCGATACCAAGCAGCAAATATCAACACTCAGTTTCCTTTCGCGTGTTCGGATCGGAACCTTCCTGCCTTCCGCCCTGCTTGGCCGTGTAACCGTCATCTCTCACTTGGTTATCCTCCGTTCACTCGTCCACGTCCCGTACTCTTCTTCTTCCTCCACCACCACCCTTCCCTCAGCTTTCTCTCTCCTCCTTCACCATCATCACCCTTCTCAGCCTCTGACATCCCTCGTCACGGTCGTTTTCATCTAAAATTCACCAAAACATCCGTCATGGCCTCTCAAGCTATTGACCCTGATATCGAGGCCGTTCCTCCAACCGATAGCGACCTGTCGTCCGTCGTCGACGTTCAGGAACGTCGCCGAGCTGCCCTGGCTCGTATCGATCAGGCCAAGTTCGGCTGGCACCATATCCGGGCTGTCATTGTCGCTGGTGTGGGCTTTTTCACGGATTCCTACGACATCTTCGCCATCAACCTCGCCGTCTCCATGCTGGGTGTCGTCTACTGGCAGGGGGCCAAATCCGGCCCTGGCAAGCTGCCTTCCAGTGCCGATACTGCTATCAAAGTTGCTACCTCTGGTGGAACCGTCATCGGCCAGTTGTTCTTCGGATGGCTGGCGGACCGCGTCGGCCGAAAGCGTATGTACGGCATCGAGCTGATGATCATTATCCTGGCAACCCTGGCTCAGGCCCTGTCCTCTGCTTCCCCCGGTATGTCCATCGTGGGTATCTTGATCTTCTGGCGCGTTATCATGGGCATTGGCATCGGAGGTGACTACCCACTGTCCTCCATCATTACATCTGAGTACGTTTCCTTCCGATGGATCAAAATACGTGCAGTGTGTTTACATCTTACTAACTTGGACCTAGGTTTGCCACTACCAAGTGGCGCGGTGCCATGATGGGTTCTGTGTTCGCTATGCAAGGAATCGGACAATTTGCTGCAGCCATCGTGGCTCTTATTGTCACAGCTGGTTTCAAGGAATCTCTCCAAACTGCCAAGGATGTCGCCCACTGCAGTGGTGTCTGCCAGCTGGCTGTTGACAAGATGTGGCGCACTGTTATCGGATTCGGCGCGGTACCTGCTTGTGCTGCCCTGTACTACCGCCTAACCATTCCTGAGACTCCGCGGTATACCTTCGATGTGACCCGTGACATTCTCAAAGCCGATGAGGATATTCGTGCGTACATCACGGGTCACCCGGAGGGTCATCCCGATGAGATTCAGCGTATCCGTGTTCTGCGCAACGAGAGTATCGAGTTCCTTGCACCCAAGGCAAGCTGGGCGGACTTCAAGTCGCACTACGGCCAGTGGAAGAACTTCAAGGTTCTCTTGGGTACTGCGGGTTCGTGGTTCTTCCTTGACATTGGTAAGCATCGTTCACTAGTCCTAACTGCTTGTGCTTGACGTGCATGATTCTAAAATTATCTCCTCTGTAGCTTTCTACGGTCTTGGTCTCAACAACTCCATCATTCTCAGCGCGATCGGCTGGACTGGAGGCAAAAATGTCTATGAAACCTTTTACCGCAACGCAGTCGGAAACCTGATTCTGGTCTGCGCCGGTGCTATCCCAGGCTACTGGGCCACCGTCGGAACTGTCGACACCCTCGGCCGCAAGCCTATTCAAATGGCCGGTTTCATTATTCTGACGATCATTTTCTTCATCATCGGTGGCGCTTACGATCCCCTCAGCAAGTCGCATGGTGGTCTACTTGCGCTGTACGTTCTGGCGCAATTCTTCTTCAACTTTGGACCCAACGCAACCACCTTCATCGTGCCTGGCGAGTGCTTCCCTACGCGCTACCGCTCTACATCTCACGGTATCAGCGCTGCATCGGGCAAAGTCGGTGCCATCATCGCACAGTGTGTCTTTGGACCCCTGGTGCACAAGGGTGCCAAGCCAGACTCCGGCGCCTCGCCCTGGCTCAACCATGTCATGCAGATATTCGGCGGCTTCATGTTCTGCGGTATTCTCACAACCTGGCTGATCCCGGAGACTAAGCGTCGTACCCTCGAGGAACTGTCTGGTGAGGATCACGGCTCTCTCCACGAGAACCTGACCGTTCAGACAGCAGAGAAGCCTGAGGAGGACAACCTGCCCAAGCAGGTTCCTGCTATCACCACCGTGCAGGGGGAGTGAATGCACAGTGTAACGCAACACTGAACTCGTCCATGCGCCAGCACTACCATTTCCGATTGCTTCAGATTCAGATGCAGCCCTCATGATGGGGATGCTTGATGCTTGGTGGGTAGTTTGACGGGAATGCTAGCCAACGGACTCGAGTGATTTTTCCTGTTCCGTTTTTCATTTTTTGTGCTCTATGATTTGTTGGGGGAGGTTCATGATATCTCAGGCTTGGGATGCGCTGATGCCTAGAGACTTATCTACTTTACCATAGTATCCATAACCAGGACCTGTTTTCTATGCCATCTAGCTGTTGCAGTGGTACTCAGATAATTCGCTAATTGGAAATGGAATCGCTTTTAATCTATCCAAGTTTTCTGAGTATTTATGCCTGAGTATTCTTTCTATGTCACATGTTGAGTGTGGTAGATATTTTCTGGAAGAGGCATGTGTTCTGCTTAAACGAGATACCGCTGGTGTGATCACTGTGTTCCAGGTTGTTAAGTCGGAGAATCTATGTTGTACTTGTACGATCGTGAGATACTACCTGACCACGCGAGCCTGCACGTGTTTCTTGCGGGTGGGCGGTTTTTATTCCGCATGTCTTTGCTAGGCACTACACTAATTGTGTGGACTGGATGGTCAACAATATTGGTGATCTGTTACATTGCGTCAAGTCAATGATGTTGCGATTACCTTGGCGACGCAAGCATCGAATCTAGAGACTGAAGACGGTTTAGTGGCGTCTAGTTATACTAAGATACTATTCTTGGCTGATTCGCTTTGCAAATTGAGCGAAAATGCAAAGATGTGCAGATTTTGGGTTTTGATGTCCAGAGTGGGTTGCTTGGTCGTTTTTGTACTATATGTTCTAATCAGCATTCCAATTTCCGACAGGTTTCGGGCCTTTGGCAGGGCTGACTGGGTCTGATCTAATATGCTCTGAATATATATTCCGTCATGCATCGCGCCTAGTGTGGCTTGTTCGAAGGATGGAAGTACGTAGGTCTCGCAGTATTTGGGATAACTTTCTTCCTCCGATAGATCATATGGGACTCGACATCCTGGTCGGTGTAGAAGGTTTGGAGCGCCCCGTCAAATTAATGAATCTTAATCCGCTCTCCGCTGAAACAGTGTGTATCGCCATTTCACGCAAAGTATTATATCGAATGTTTAAATCATGGTGCAACTGGTTGCCTTGAGCACCGAACAAAATTACCAGTAACCCCATCTTAAGACGTATCTTCAGAGGCGTAAGTAGACAGAAGAATCTCCTTTTCGGTCGCTTGTTGCTTTTGTTTCCTCTCCTTTCGTTTGTCCTTGATCTTCTGCACAATCCTCGTTTTCCACTCTAGAATTTGATCTTTGCCTATATCTAGTCCGACCCAAATAAGTACTGGCGGGACCATTGGCACGAGAATGTACCACGGTGGCAGTCGGATGCAATCTACATAGTTTATCTAAATCCAAATTTTGCAAGCGCGCTTGCCACCAGTTTCTGGTTGAGACATGGTAACTCTGAAATTTGAAAGGGAGAAAAGAGGTGATCAAGGATTTGAATGCGGTTTTGTTTTGCTTCTCCAAGCTTGACTGTTGTTCGCCTTTTAAATGTTCGACCAAGTACCTAGTGAGGCTGAGAACTTGAGACGTCTGGGCTGGGTAAGGGCGGGGCAAGGCTGACTGGGTCCGACCGGGGTCTTTGGGATCCTTTCATCTACCATATTGGGCGGAGAGAGCTCAATATGCAATTCACTCTAGCTGCTTATTGGTTATGGTCATTGCTGCCTCTGTGGCTCAGAAAAATGATGGAAATGCTTGCGGCTCAAGGCTCACAGAATATGTCCTCCGGATATACCTCTAACCCCCTTTTCTATCCAGCCAAACCTAGGCAAGATTCGGGCGAGGATTCCGCTAAACTCCTTTGGTCATTGACTTAATCAAGGTAGACAAGAAAATAACACAGAGTGTGATTTTGAGATTGGACAAGAGAGCTAGGCACTCCTCGATTCTAGGTATCCGCTGTTGTTCTCAGTCGAAGATCAAGTAGATATATAACGCTGAAAGACGACCAGCTGGGCAGTTCCATCCCGTCACTGCTTATGGCACCGTGATGGAAGTAAGTTCAATCAGACCATCGGAAACCCGCGAAGCAGTGAAATTGCTGCAGGGGGAGTTTCGGGTGAAAAGGAAGAAGGCCAACCCCTCGACACATGCCTGACCATCGGCAACGGCCAGCGCTGTACCACTCTCCCGCACACAGGATTGACGCTTTAAGGGATTACCCGGGACTTACCGCAAAGGATGAACTGCCCCTCAAAACTGGATTCCGATCGTCACTTTTTGGTGCCATCAACTTGGTGCATGAGCATCGACAGGAGTCGCATGGACGAAGCGAAATCCACGGCTCGGGGAAATGCTCCTTCGCCGAGTCTGACTGTTGACTTCGGACATTGACTAATCGGGCGATTTTATAAGCCACTCATTGATGGTAATTACGATTTTCGGCCACATTGTAGCCGTAAATATGTTCTGCTTATTTGATTGCATTTTGCTAGGAGATGCTGTCTGGAGGATGGCTCTAGACTGGGGTTTCTTTGAACGCATAAGGAGGTTGTTTCACGAAAGATCTGCAAAAACTCCTTGTCAGTATATCCGAATATAACGTTAAAACTGACAAGTTCGAGGCTCAATGTAATTTTTAATTATTTTAGCTGGCATAGAACCACTCAATGCCGCGTCCGTAATTTAAGATCGGCCTAGGTTGAGTTCTCGTTCGGGTCGATTCTAGTTTCCCGACCATCTTAATCAATCGAACATGATCGCTTTAGTGATGTTCGTACAGCTACCCTTTAGAAAACCTTTGATCCTGATAATATCTTAACTTCGCAAGGTTTGCATAGACCCCCTTCTTTACCCTTGACGCGGCGTTGAAGTTCAACAATATCTGCAGAGATATCTCTGGAATCTTCTTGATAACATCGATCAGCCAGATATTTGCAAGCACAAATGTCATTTCCATCAGCAATGAACACGGTGGTTCATAATCCACAGCTCCGTCTGCTCAATGCTCTGCGGGCAAATGCTAAGCCTATTATGACCTTTCTGGGCTTGCCATCTTTTCGTGCGGCGCAGATTGTCGCGCAGACTGGCGTTGATGTAAGTTTTCAGATTTCCCATACTCAATACAAAAATTCATGTCAATCCAGGGTATAATCATTGATTGTGAACATGGTCACATTAGCGATGATTCAATGCATAGTGCAACCGCCGCGATCGCTGCTTTAGGAGTGTCGCCCCTTGTTCGTCTCAGAATGACTCACGCTGATTTGATCAAAAGAGCCCTGGATGCTGGTGCGCAGTAAGTATTCCACCCAAACCAATCAGAATGTTCATTGACTCAGTAAATCAAAGTGGTATTGTTGTACCACAAATCAATACTGCCGATGAAGCCCGGGATGTTGTCTCGTATGCTAAGTTCCCTCCACAGGGTGCCCGAGGACAAGGATCGGCCTTTCCAGCAATCGCCCACGGCATCGATCTACCAACGTATATCAAGACAGCCAATCAGACGCTTATTACCTGTCTGCAAATTGAGTCGAAAGCTGGAGTTGAGAACGTCGAATCTATCTGTGCTGTATCTGGTGTCGGTGAGTATCGAGCCCTCTTCAAATTCTCCGAATCTGCTAACTGAAGAATGTCAAGATATGATCTTCATTGGTCCTAATGATCTTGCCTTATCTATTCTAGGCTACGTTCCAGCCAGAGGTGATGAACCTGATTTTGTTGAGGCTATCGAGAAGATCGTCGCTGCGGCCAGAAAGCATGGTAAATGGGTTTCCCGTTTATCGAATACTGGAGCCTTATGCAAGGAGCACTTGAAGACTTTTGACAGTGTGGCCTTGAGTTATGATGTTCGTGCGATTCAGAATTGGTACACGGTAGAGTTGCAAGCCGCACGCTCATAAGACTACGGAGAGTATATGTGCATTCCCGTTTCCACCTGAGTGCCATCATGTCTATCCCAAAGATATTATGATGGATTCTTACCCGCATTCATTTATTTTCCACACCACTCTCCAAAACAACCCACTCATCCCTCTCACTATCCAGCCGACACAGAGCGTCAAGCGGAACTGTCAACATAGGATCGGTATGGCCGACATCCACACCAGCAAGAATAGGAAAGTCGTAGCCCTCGGTGAGTTCAAGCACCATATTCTCCCACTCAGCCACCTGTCCCTCTGTGTGTCTATACGGTCGGCCCAAGATTAAACCAGTAATATCGTCCCACACTCCTCGCATCCCTAGATCCGCCAGGTTCCAGCGGGCCAGTTCTAATGGCCAGGGACTGTCGAGTGTCATGCCTTCGGGGAGCTCGAGAAGTAAAATTCGGTCTTTGTATGAGACCTCCCACGGTGTGCCGAACAGCTGCAAGGTGCTAGGTAAACAGCCTCCAAAAATACGGCCATGTGCTAGCCCAGGACGAAGCCATTTCCAGCCAGGAGAGGGTTTAGTCTCACGGGCGCGTAGGTTGCCAGGTTCACCGGACCAATCGAGGAACTCATCAGTATAATGAGTCGCGCGAGGCATGGGCCCAACTTCTTCGCTGGGTGCGTTGCTCTCTTCCCGCTCCGCGACTAGTACACGCAGAAAGTGCTCCCAGGTGAAGTCCAGCGGAGCAGGATATTCCCCTAACTGCGTAATTGCACTCGGACCATAGAAAGTCCGTAGCCCGGAACCAGCAAGCAACGCATGATGAAACAATGTAATATCAGAGCTCCCTATAAAAATCTTAGGATGCTCGCGAATCAACTCGTAGTCAAGGTGGGCCAGGATCTCATTAGCAGTCAGCCCGCCAATACAGCATATAATAGCGCGCACTTCATCGTCGCGAAAAGATTCATGTATTTCATCCACTCTTGTCTTGAGAGCAGCACGGAATGAGGTTGTAGGGAGTTCAGGGGTATAGATTTCGCGGATACGGAAACCTTGGGCTTCGAGGAAGGCACGTGCTCGGGCAATACGTAAAGGGAAGATGTGATTGATACGTGCAGAGGGAGCGATGAAGGCGATGGTATCGCCACGCCGAAGGGCCGCGGGCACCAAAGAAACCGAATTCTGCATTCTGATAGATATTGATTCAGAGTGTTGAAAGAACGGGGCGCGCAATCAGAATGCAGGGAGGGTTGTTAAATAGACAAAAAATGGGAGATGACTCATAATTCAGCTGGGTTGAGGCGGCGGCTAACTCGTTTCTTAAACAAAGGTCATCAAAGTTCTAGATAGCCTTTCCACATGGATATTAAGTAAGAAGGAGAATTCAACGAACAAGGGAGTAGTAGTCAACATAGTGAGTTAACTATACGGCGACCTATACAGACCAGACCATTTGTGCGGCTGAGCTGTCATACTGGGCCACTAACTCCACCACCCACAGATATCCGATGACAATGCAAGAGGACGGCTAGGCCAAAAGTGCCTAACGATGTTTTCACCCTATCGGTCATATATGGAATCTCTCAGCAATATTTTGCTGGGAACAATTGGACCTCACCGAGACGGAGAATGATGGACATGAACTAAACCAGATCGCCAGGTCTCCCCCTACTCCTTGTAGGAACCTGGCTAGAACATCTATGGAGGTTTCCAGTATTCTGTAATGACTCATTAAATGGAGAACTTGATAACGATACGAAGACGTGATACTACTCAGCAGGGGTTGTTTAGAGACTAATGAGACGAACCAAATAAGGGGAGTGGTTTCGAGTTCTGCAAAATTTTAAATTTGCGTAAAATATAGTTTGTTGACCTTTTCCCTAAGCCTTGCGCTGTAGAGTGTGATATCCAAGCTTCTCTCGTGCCTCGGCAATAGTAGCTCCATCAGTAATCATCTCGCGGATACCAGCCTCGCTCCTCTCAATCGTCCGGGCAACCTCAGCTACCTCACGAGCACGAGCTCTCGGCACGATAACAACACCATTCGCATCAGCGACAACAATGTCTCGAGGCTCGACTCGGACCTTGCCAATACCAACCGGCTCGTTGACTCCTCCCACCTGCACGCGATCTTTCCCAGTTCGCATCCAACGGCCCGCAGTGAAAAGAGGATAGTTGTCGTCAATGGCACGATTCACATCACGGCAGACACCATCGATAACTGTTCCAGCTATATCCCGAAGACCGGCGTACTGGGTCATGATATCGCCCCAGACAGTGCAATCTGTGCGACCGCCATTGTCGATCACGACTACATCACCTACGGCAACATCGTCGATGAAATCGCCCACGCTTCCTGGCTGGTTGCTGGCAGGGACGTACCGCACAGTGAAAGCGGGTCCAACAGTCACCTTCTTGTAGTGGGTCAGCGGTATGATGTTGAACACCTGTCCGGGAATTCCCAGCCTGTCGAGTGCATCAGACACACCAGGTGTGTCCGAGTCTGCGAATAGCGCTACCAGCTCTTCATCTTCCGGACTGGCTTTTTTTGGGTTACCATTCAGAGCGTATATAGCACCGCAGATCTTTCCTAGCTCCGATGTCTTGATATTGTTGATGGCGTCGAATTGCGAGTCGTGCATAACCTCGCATACTGGCTTCCCGGCACGAACTTCTTGAACCATGAGGTTCTGTCGACGATCGATTCGCTCACCCAGATCCAGAACTTCTTCAATTCGCCCAGCGGGAATGAATACAGTTCCACACCGATCAGCGATCACGTAGTCGTCTTGCTTGACTGTCACACCGCGCACCAGGATCGGTGTCCCTGAATCGGTTTGCACCATGCGATTCCGCGCACTGATCATAGTGACTCCGAGGCCGTAAACAGGAAATCCAACGTCGCGGCTACCATCAATATCACGGCTCATGCCATCGACGATAGTGCCACGTATGCCCTTGACCTTTGACGCGTCGGCGATGATGTCGCCCCAGCATGAAATGCCCTCCAGCCCACCGGCGATGACTAGAATACGGTCATCTGTTGTCACTGCGCTGATGACGGGGGTGATCAAATGGGATGTTGGGGCGGTGCCTGTCTTTGGGCCTAGCTGAACTGTGCTGGCTCTTCCAGCAATCTTTGGACAGTCCCATAGCGGTCGTAGGCCGTATACGGCACCTTGAAGCTTGAGAAAGTCAAGGGCATCAGAAACAGTGTTGGTATCGAGAGCTGCAAGCCTCTCTAGGATATTATTTTGACTCATGCCGCTTGTTCTTCCTGACGCCGGATTGTGGATAGGAGAAATCGTATACCTGAACAGAAGAGACAAGCCGGGTTTGATGAATTTATTTGATACTGGGAGTCGGAGACGGAGGCAACCCGATGATCGGGAACAATATATAAATCCCGATTTCGATTTTTGAAGAGATCTCACGGATTGCTGTCGGAACATTTTATTACCGTACAAGTTTGTATTTGGGCTTGACTCTATGGGTGGTTCTCGGCGAACCGGTCTCTTGCCGAGTCCCGCCTCTTCTCTTATACCTATCCGGCGAAGCATGGCATCCGAGCAGCATTTTCCGGCTTTTTGATGGTACATTGGTTCAACAAACCGATAAGACCGCTATTGCCATATTTTAATGACAAATAATCACTTAGTGATACGGGAAGAGCTTGTTTGTCCCCTTCACTAGTCATAACAGTGGCCAAGATCTTGGTTACCCCCTCACTCCATCTCGAGGCCCGGATGTAGGCATTGCACTATGGGTGAATTTATGGTTGGGAGCCGCGGGGCCCTTATGCATACAACTGATTTTTAGTCGCTGATCAAACAGTTCTCAAAAACGTCGCCGACGAATCCCTAGCTCCTATGAAGCCATAATTCGTGCCTGGACCGTGAAGCAGAGCCATCGTGGAGCGGGAATTGGTGTGTGGATGCTCAAAGACGCCATTGAGCTGTGCCTGAAATATGGTTGGATGGGCCCGGAGTTTGCGAACAATCACGCCAATATTCGCTGCGTGTACTCCCGCGGACATTGAACTCTTGGTTAGATAGGATGGAGGCACGGGCGAAGAGGAGACTATCGAGGGACATTGCGACACTCTCAGAAATGCCATAAGGTGCTGATGGCTTGGCAATGCAGGACGCTCTCTGAATATGTACGTGTGGGAGCTATAGAATCAGGAGGGTGGTTTTCTAGCTTTAGCGAGAAAAATCACCAGTTATTGCTGAAATGCAACATCTACTAGACATGCCGCCGGGGATGATATATCGATGACTTTACTTTCTGAAAGACCAGCCTGGGCAGATACAAGTCAATCCGGGACTTCCGAATCAGGCTATGCAGAATCTCCGAGTGTATTTATGGCAAATGTGGGACGCGAGTACTTCGTGGTTTCTATACCGTAGTCTTTTCACCTTCCACATATTCCCAACTACCACCACTGCGGAACAATTTCCAATTCCAAGCCGAGATCAATCCCGAGATCTCCACATCGGCTCAATTTACTGTAAGAATGGCGGAGGTATTTGTTGTATATTCCGCCTAATACCCCAGGCCTTGCACTTTAGCCATGACCCGAATAATAAGACCACCGATTCTTCGGGGAACGTTGTTAATTTGCCGGGATACCTGCCAGTTACAAAGCTTTTGCCGGGTTCGACATGTTCCGTGTGAAGCCGATTCGCGAGGCGCTAGAGTCTCGGCGGCGGGTGAGGCGTGCAGTAGGGGCATGGGTGGCGTGTTTGTTAGATCCTGCAAGATGACGAATATGTGAACCGGCTAAATGAGATTCAACTTCATCCGCGCACTATGTGGGAGAATGTGGGATGTGGGGATTGGTTATGGGGTTGGAAAAGGTCCAGATGGACTGTCGTATGCCATTGCCTTCCTGCCGTCTTAACAGTGTGATTGTGGACTGTTACAAGTTGCTTAGGCCTAGACTCGCTATGGAGCTGACAAGATCTTTATAGATCAGCGAGTTAACAGGCTTCATCACTGTGCTGAGACCATCTCCATGTTCATTTTCTCCGTCTCCATCTCCTCTCCGTCCTGCTTGTTTCGGGGAGTATCCGCAATTCTCGGTGGACCCAACCTTCGGCTTCGCCAATGAGCCCGCGTTTTCAGTCCCCTCCCATCCAGAACGCGGGAGATGTCGTCAAAGCCGGTTTTTACTTTTCAATTTTTCTCAACGTTCGAATCCGTATGCATTGATAGTGTTGGGAGCATCCATCTTTACAATATTTGGGACTGACAGTCGTCTGCACAACGGACTCGGCTGCTCAACGCTAATATCAAGCCACCCGAGCCGCGATCCCGAAGCCAAACGACTTCGGGATGAGTCCAGGTCTCCGAATATTTCAATTTAACCAGAATTCACCCGGGTAATTCCCCGTGTCCCGCAACACGGGTTCATGCCGGCCTAACGTCCTAATTCAGCCACTGACGGCAGCCAACAATGCCCGCAGCCGACCTGGTTCCTGGCCGGAACAGGCATTTCGCCGGGGTATCTGGTGGATACTTGTACCATCCCAACTTGATTTTGATTGTATGTGGTGTGATTATCCTCTAGTCTGATCCATCCACACACAGACTGAGATGAGACTGGGCCCCATGGGGATAAAGTCGGGGAAATTTAGCCAGTCGGCCTGGAGAGCTGTGCTGGGGTTGATGAATAAATAATCCGTCAGTCCCCGGAATGACGGATTGGTGCGTTGCGATCAACTGCGATCGATTTATTTCCCGACGCACCTTGCACTACACTTTGAACCTTTGCTCGTCGAAGTCATTGGTCAAGAGTATATACCATCGCACAAGTCATCATGGTTGCGCCGCTTCCAGGGGAAACGGCCATCTCGGCCAAGCGCGCGGAACTCGCGGGCAAGGGTGGGATATGGGGTCTACTGAGTAACAAGAAGACCTCAGCGATTGGATTATTCGCCTCATTAGGTGGTTTGGTGTACGGATGTAAGTGCCTACCAATGCCGCATCCAGCAATAGGTCTGTCCCCTGACTCGACCACTAGACAACCAGGGAATGTTCGCGCAGGTCTTGACCATGAACTCGTTTACAAAAGCTGTAAGTATCTGGTTCCTGGATAAGAATATGTGAATACTTCGAGATCCTGACTTTATCCAGACGCAAGGATATGCCGCGACAACGAGTATCCAGCAAGGCATGTTGACCTCGATTCTGGAGCTCGGTGCTTGGGTTGGTACTTTGTTCAACGGGTATCTCGCCGATGCAGCCGGTCGCCGACTCACAGTCTTGATTGCGGTCGTGGTGTTTTGCGTTGGTGTCATTGTCCAGGCGTGCACGGAGAACAAGGACTATGTCTTTGCTGGTCGATTTGTGACCGGTCTAGGTGTGGGTAGTTTGAGTATGGTTGTACCACTGTATAACGCAGAGCTGGTGAGTAACTTGTATCAACCCGCAATGATTGAGGATAAACGCTGAACAGCCATAAGGCTCCACCTGAAATTCGTGGGTCCCTAGTTGCCGTGCAACAATTGGCTATCACCTTTGGTATCATGGTCAGCTTCTGGGTATGAACATCTACCTTCGCCTTCATGAGGCATAGAGTAGAGAGTAGAGTACTAACGCAAACAGATCGGCTACGGCACAAACTACATCGGCGGCACCGGCGATACTCAATCCCACGCCGCATGGCTGATCCCCATCTGCATCCAGATCCTACCCGCCATCACCTTGGCTGCGGGTATGATGTTATTCATGCCTCAATCACCACGCCATCTAATGAACACTGGTCGCGACGAGGAATGTCTGCAGACTCTGGCCCGTTTGCGTGGTACCTCCACGGACGATCTACTAGTTCGGATCGAGTACCTGGAGATCAAGAGTCTACACCTCTTCGAGAAAGAGACGGCCGCTGAAAAGTACCCGCAGTGGCAAGATGGATCGTTCAAGAGTCGCTTTCAAATCGGATTGCATGATTATATGTCGCTTATCACGAATCCTTCTCTCTTCAAGCGGACCTCTGTTGCGGTTCGTCTACCCCCCACCCCTGCCTATTTCAACACCTTCTTCTGACGCTATACCAGTGCATGATCATGGTTTTCCAGCAATGGAATGGTATCAACGCTATAAATTATTACGCGTAGGTTTTCTTTTCGTCAGAGAAATCAGGATACTTGACCTAACGTGTATTAGGCCCTTCATCTTCAAAGACATGGAGCTCCCCGGGAACACCACCACCCTCCTAGCAACCGGCGTAGTTGGTATCGTCGAATTCCTGTTCACTATCCCAGCAGTGCTTTGGGTAGACCAGATTGGCCGCAAGAAGATCCTCATTGCTGGTGCTGCAGGTATGGCCATCTGTCATTTCATTGTGGCAGGTATCATTGGTGCGTACCAGCACGAGTTTGGGGAGCATCGCGCGGCGGGCTGGACTGTTATCGTGTTCGTGTGGATCTTTGTGATTAACTTTGCATATTCGTGGGGTAAGTAAAGCGTTCCTATTATCGGATATTCCATGGATTTCAAAGATGAAAGCTAACCAAGCGTGCAGGACCCGTTGCATGGATCGTCACCTCGGAAGTATTCCCGCTGAGCATGCGCGCCAAGGGCGTTAGTATTGGCGGTAGCAGCAATTGGGTAAGCCTTAATTTCTTATATACTGACTTCTCTCTTTCTATGAACTTATACTTATCCGGATTACCAGCTCAACAACTTTGCCGTCGCAACTGCGACATCCCCCTTCCTCGACAAGAGCGCCCTAGGCGCATTCATTTTCTTTGGCTGTGTGACGACTGTCGGCATTGTTTATGTGATTTTCCTCGTCCCTGAAACCCGTGGTCGCACGCTTGAGGAAATGGACGAACTCTTCGGGACTGCCGGCATGGCTGCTGCCGATGCAGCCCGTAAGGCACGTATCGAGAGTGAGATTGGACTCTTGGCGCTTGTTGGAGTTGAGAGTCCGGAGAGTGAGAAGAAGAGCGAGGAGGTTTCGCATAGCGAGGAGATTTCTCGTGAACATGAAGATGCGAAGCGATCTTAGGCGTATTACCCTGACGGATTCAGGATTGGTCACTATGCCCAGAACATGCTGCTGCGGGCTCGATGGGGATGTAAGGAGGTGTCGTTTTTCCGATCGGGATTTGAAGATACTGGCCATAGACAAATTCTAGTCCGAATGAAGAATCATTCACCTTGTGCTGCTCCTGCTATAACATGACCTTGAGGCATCGGTCAGCCAGGCCGGGTCTATCTACTGTTTCGAGCATATTGTTGTCGTGGGTTTTATGTTAAATGGGAATTGGATATCCCTATACTGTACTGGAGATGATGATCATCATCTTGCTAGGTCAGATCTATTTTGCATGAGTCTAACGGATCTGTCATGCAACAAAGCCCCTCCCGCATGGGATCCATCACACAACGCCGATCCACGTACCGAAGATTGCAGCGCATCTGACCTATCATGCAACCCACTGGAGCTTGTAAAATTCCCACACCAGTAGTATGTACTATCTCCCAATTGTCAAAATCTATGGCACTGAGTATAAACAGGATGTTGGCTTATGGTCAGCGTCATAGAATAATTTACATAGACCTTTTCTCAGCCAGCGTCGTCAGCCCCAAATCGATATGTCAGACACCTCCAATGATGAACGATAAATATAGTAACTAGTGGGTCCTCGATGAGCTTCCCCACAAATGGGTGTTCTGCTTAGTCGGGTACCAACATGAAACCTGACCACAACCAGCCAATGAATAGCTAATACGAGCTGGGCCTGCGTGATTTGGGCTTGGTTTGTCTTACTTGAACCTGCGGGTGCCTGTAATTGATTGCTTGCATGGTTTTATTGAGTGTGAGACGTACGGGATACGAGGCTGGGGTGATGTACAGTAGGAAAACTCGTTTCAGGTCCAAGATTCGGTTTCTTTTCTTATTTATGGCCTTCGGCTGCTTCCTTGGTTTCTTCCTCTCGACTCCTTGATTTTTGCCCTTCTTCTGTCTCTTCCTCCTCCTCGCAGCTCAACCATCTCTAACAAACCTACCAAATCCAAGACTCCGCTCCGAAAACTTTGAGCAGCTTTTCCTTACTCGCATCACCACCTCCGTTTGACCCCCTACACCACCAAAATGGCCGCTGTCTCAAACTCCACCTGCACGGGAAACGTCTACGTCCTCCCAAACATCACCGACGCAGCCTGTGGTGCCCCAATCGCCGGCAACATTACCTCAGCCTTCGACTCTTGCTGCAAGGGGGACTCACCCGTCAAATATGACAACGACTGCGGCATCTACTGCCTGGCCCAGGGCCAAACCGTCTCCGAGTTGACCCAATGTCTTGAGCAGAAGAGCGGGACGTACTCTATCTTCTGTAATAAGGCTGGCAACGCGACTGCGACCGCTGCGGCGACAACCACCAAGGCCACTTCCACTGGTACTTCGACTTCGACGGGCACTAGTGCGGCAAGCACTAGTTCCGGTGCGGCGGTGGCTAACCAGCCTGTTTCCAAGACAGGATTGGGCGTTATGGCTATGCTGTTCTGCTCTGCACTGATGGGTGTGGTTGCTTAAGCGACCATATTCTGGGACAACGGGATGCGACGACGGGATGATAATATTAAGTCGATGGAATGTCAAGGGCGCGATAGAAAGTCTCTCAGCCAAATGGTGTTAAACTTTACAATGTGCTCTGGGCAAGTCGTTGCATGATCACTTTGGGACACGGAAAAATATGTTGCGCCCCCACCCGGCCCGACCGGTCCTGCTGCAGAATATCGTGAAGAGGGGAATTTTCTCCTGTTTCACGTCTTCTGCTTCTACTTTACTTTATTTCTGTACAAGTACTACAGCACTACATATGAAACTAATACATATCATCTTAATATCTCCATTGATACACCGGAAGAATATCTTACAAATCAGCGCATTGATCTGTGTCGGGGAGGGGATCTGCAGATCCTTCTATCTCCACACTTTCAACAGCGCCCATTTAGGCAATTTTCCGGGGTTACAACAATGTTGTCTAACCCTTTTACCCCGCTGCAGGACACTCAGAGACCGGAGAATGTGGAGGCAAAATCTATATAAATGACCAGCCCAAGATGTAGAGTCTTCCAACAGAGTCAAGCAAGATGTACGGCACAGCAATCGTTCTGCACACTTTGGTGACGGCGCCTCTGGCCCTTGGGGCTGCTTTGAGACCACGACTTGACAATGGTGTTGCAAAGACACCTCCGATGGGGTAGGTCGCTGTGGTTCTACATTTAGACTGCTAAATATTAACAGTTTGCAGGTGGAATACCTACAACCACTACTCTTGCTCACCCAATGAGACCATTGTCAAGTCAAATGCGAAAGCTCTGGTTGATCTTGGCCTGGCTGACCTAGGTTATCGCTATGTCACGACTGATTGTGGCTGGACTGTCGCCAATCGCACTGCGGACGGGTCATTGACGTGGAACGAGACTCTGTTTCCGAGTGGGTTCCCGGCTCTGGGGGAGTATATCCATGGCCTTGGGTTGTTGTTTGGTGTCTATGAGGATGCTGGAATTCGTTCGTGTCAGACCAATATCGAACAGGCGGGTAGTTTATGTAAGTCTCGAGCATTGAATAACAGTCTTTCGTCGCAAGAAATGCTGATAAGTGTTGCAGATCATGAATCTCAGGATGCTGCACTGTTTACTTCCTGGAAGATCGATGCACTAAAATGTAAGTGACTCGCTTCCGTCGTAAAGCGCAACCCAGCTAATGCCCATCAGACGACAATTGTTTCTCGGATGCAGCAAGTGGCTATCCAAATGTCAACTATGAGCCAAGCACATCACCCAGCCCGCGGTATGCAAACATGACCAAAGCCCTCGCCGCGCAAAACCGGTCTGTTCTCTTCCAGATCTGCGAATGGGGCGTTGACTTCCCGGCTTTATGGGCACCAGCTCTAGGCCATACTTGGCGCATCGGCAACGATATCATCCCAGCTTGGCGGGCTATCTACCGTACATTAAACCAGGCTGTCCCGCAGACATCCTTTGCGGGACCCGGCCAATGGCCGGATCTGGATATGCTGGAGGTTGGAAATAACATTCTTACCACGGCAGAGGAACAAACTCATTTCTCGCTCTGGGCTATATTGAAGAGTCCACTGGTTATTGGTGGTGCTTTAAAGGATGAAGTGACTTCGATGAATGCTGAGTCACTGGCAATCTTGTCCAACAAGGATGTTGTATCGTTCAATCAGGACTCGTTGGGTGTCAGTGCCACCCTGAAGCGACGGTGGTCTGAGGAACAGTACGAAGTCTGGAGTGGCCCACTGTCTGGTGGCAGGACTGTTGCCGCACTGATCAATTGGGCTGATGAGTCCCGCGAATTGACATTGAACCTCGCAGATGTGGGAATCCAGGCTGCTCGCACTTTGAAGGATATCTGGGCTGGAAAGACTGTTGGCAATGTCAAGAGTTCTTATACAGCTACAGTGGCCGGGCACGGGGTCATGCTCGTTGAGTTGAGTGATACGACGGCAGCTGGTACTTACCCAACAGCCAAGTTCGCAACAACAAAAGGGTTAGTTCTTTCGTAAGATTCCCCATTTAGCTATACTTACTAACTATTTGTAGAAACTCGGTAACATTTGGCTCAATCTATGCCAACACAACAAGCGCCAATCACACACTTTTGGTCACATTCTCGAAGTCATCGACGAAGGCAACTAGTATCACCGCTGAATCCTCATCCACTAAACAGAAGAGCACAATCAACGTCGCAGCCTCGAGCAGGACAGCTTCAAGTTCCATTTCACTATCCGCCGGTTCTGCAAACACGATTACCATCAGCTCAACCCTCCCAATTGACTCTATTCGAATCAAATCACCGACAGGAACATACTACCCTTCAACTGCATTTACCCTCGCTGGGTCTGCGACACTCCTTCAATGTGGCACCGGCTACTGTCAACCAGTGGGGTCGAAAATTGGCGACCTCGACAGCACAAACACCGCCAAGATCACAGTCCCCGCGGCCGTCTCCAGCACTACTTCATCCAAGTACGTTGAGTTGGACTACATCAACAACGACATCGCATTCTCAACCTCCTGGGGTCTGGGCTCCAATTCGCGCAATATAACTGTCTCGCTGAATGGGGGAAGTCCCGTCAGACTGGAGGTCCCGCTTTCTGGGCGCCATAGTGAACTCTTTGGACCTGGACTTGGGTGGTGGGATACTTCGTCATTGGGTGTCTTGATTGATGGGTGGAAGGATGGAGACAATGAGGTCGTTGTTGGTAATGAGGCTGGAAGTAATGCTTTCCAGACCTGGGGTGCGGACTTTGTGGGGTTGAGGGTCTTTGATTAGGCTTGTCGGTTGAGTTTCGATTTTTATTCGAAGGTTGTTGTTAGACTTGCACGGAAATTGTTGCGTAAAGGCTGTCCTTCTACCTAGGGACATCCCCATTCGGTGTTTTGATCGAACCAATCGCTCCTAGCTCGTGAACCTTGACGTGGATAGTTATCTAAATGCCTCTCCTTTGACTCATTGATGTTGTCCATTCCCTCGGCTATCGGGTAATTCGCTGTCGTGAAGATGGTAATTAATCATTCATGTCGTCTGCCCTTTCAGAATACTTGTAAAAGATTCGTTTAGCTGCTCTAATGAGTACCTCAAAGTCCACAAACCGATCCAAATACTTGGATGTCTACGACCTAGTTTCGAGCGTGCCATCTGGGCAATGGCTGATTATCTAGTGCTCGGTTCTGTTATCTCGCTGCTAAGTAGATATGGTTGAGATCTTCCTGACTGACTTGGATATATTTCGTGCCGAACTCCCGCTCGGGTGCACTCGAAGACAAGGTACATCCCTCGCAAATGACAGAGCATCGTTCAATATATGTCAATTTGTAAAACATAGTAAGTTACTCATCTTCGTGGGCCATTCTTTTTGTGCTATTTCGAATAACCATTCCAGGTTATCGAAGAAAGCACTTGATCGGACCAATATTCATCTAGCAATTCTCCGAAACCCAAGGATTCAAACCATCCAGGATGGAAACACCAAATTGATCAGTATACAGGACTGGTACCCTCGAATTCCATGTCCATGAAGTACTGAACCGCAAAGTTGAAGAAGACAGGGTCTTCGAGGAGAGCCGCATGACCGACCTGCGGTAAAATCAATTGACCAGCATAAGGAATCCAAGCAGCCATGGCATCCGCTTGATTTCTTTCGACAGCGGTATCATGATCTCCATCGACAATCCAGACAGGGCACTTGATCTTGGCCATTGCCTCGGGGCCCCAATTAGGCTCGGTGTTCCACATGCTAGAGTCTCCTTGTTAGCGTTGGTCTTCCTCAAGTTGGAATAAGGGCTTACTTGTTGACACCCTCCATCATGGCAGCACATCCAGAAGGTAGGGGGCTGAGACTCTCGCAGGTATAGGGGTTACAATCATCGCGTCTGCGCAAACGAGACGGGTTCGTGGAGAATGTAGTGCCGTTTGTGGAAAAGTCTGAATCCAAACTTCCCGATTTGGAGTTGATGATCGGGTCATTTGTACCAGGTATACTCATATTTGCTTGTGGGTTTGCGCCATGAGCAAATACACGGTCTATGCGCGAGGAGTAGTTCATTGCCAGGTCGAGACCCGTAATCGCGCCGTCGCTCCAGCCGAGGACGGCAACGCGCTGGATATGTAGATGGTCGAGTAGGGCGATAGCATCTAGAGTGAAATCATCGTAGTGGAAGGCTGTAAAATTGGCGTATGGACTACGTCCTTGACCTCGAGTACTGGTAAGTGATGTTAGCAGGTTACCTCGTAATTCATTTGGTGGAGAAAGATATACTCTTGTAATATTACCCTTCGCGTTTTGGCCAGCAAATTGGCTTGGTGATACATCTGGTTGCTGTTCCCGGTGCCGCCGTGGAGGATAAGGACTGGTGTATGTCTTGACTCTTTTGGGCCCATTGTTGTGTACCACAGGTCGACCCCCGAGGAGAGATTCAAGTATTGACCAACATCTCCATTGGAAAGAGGTCCTGCACTTGGCTCCCACTCCCAACGGAGTACAGAAGCATTGAAATGTGGATCGGGGTCGCAAGAGTGAGAACTTGTCAAATGATAAGCAAATCTATTTCAGTTATTCGCTGGGGCACGGATTGTGTACACACGCGATAGATAGCCCACAGATCATCAGCGCTAGAAGCGCGCCAGAAGAAAGCCGAAACCTGTACATTTTTCCAGCGTCCCTTCTTCCAAGATTCGTTGATTTGACAAAATTAATTCAAAAAGACAGCCACGCGGACGTAAGGGACATTTTCTACGCCCTCCTTATCGTTGCGGGCAAGACTAAACAATCTTAAGCCTTTGGAATGCGGGGACAGGGCCAATTATCGACATGTCTAGCTGACTAGTGCCAGCTAGAACAGTCAGTGCGGATTTCACAATCATGGCCGCCTTAACTACAAGGGGTTCGGCCAATTGCAAACTTGTGTTTGACAAGCACAGTGCACACCATCGCGCTAGGCCATCTGCCCGTTAAATGTGACTTGAATAGGGATAGAACAGTTCTCGATCGGTTCTGACAGAGCAGTGTACATACAGAAAGAACTAACTAACTACTGTATCCATGAAGACTAGTACATAATCCTGTACACTGTCTAGCCAAAACTAAGCCGACAAAATCAATACTGGCACTTTTAGCTCATTCGTATCTCAGTTACCAGATCAATCTTACCTCTTTATCACTCATAGTTAAACCCTTGTAAAATACTGTTAAATTTCAAAAATTTCAATTATGTAGGGCTAATGCACTGTGGAGCTATCGGCTTAGTTTTGGCCAGAGAGTGTGAATTCGACATGCTAAATCTGTACCATCGTTTAATGCATTAACAATCTATAATGCCTCTGAGGGCTTTCAGGCCAGAGAGAGTTCGTTAACATTGGCCCGACCGTGCAGTGACGGCAATTGAGCCACATTTTGTTATCCTCCATAGCAGAGCTTCTGGTAACGTCAGCAATGGCTAAGCCATGAGGCTCTCACAATCGTCCAGCGAATTCCAAGCGTGGAAAACAGGTAGTTCTCGCCAGTTTTCTTGGCGACCGAGGCTTGGCCGCTGCATAGTTACTCTGTGACGCTGTCACAATCATGACGCAATACCTGATTCATCCTTGGCAGTGATCCCGAACTTGGCCAAAGAACCAAGAAGTAGCTCTCATGCCTTGGTGTGGCTTCTCCGGCATTGACGGAGTATTTAAACAGGAATATGTCTGCATCTACGATAATCTAGGCACTCTAAAATCATTCACATACCTCATCAATTCGATAATCATCCTCTTCGTTCTTTGACTCTTCCCCTTATCACCACGTGATCAGCGATGCTCAGCCAGACTCAAAGACCCGCCGCGCGTGTCATCGGCCGTGTTCGCTTCCCCTCCAAACCTCGAGTCTACAATGCTCGATTCCAATCCTCCTCGTCAGGCTCGACCTCTTCCGGCGCCAACTCCGCACTAATTGGAGGTGTTGCTGGTGGCGCATTTGCAGCGGCCGCCGGATACACCTGGTACTCCTTCTCTGGTGCAAAGACACTGGTCGACACCAACAAGCAAGCCAAGCAATACCTCGAGCAAGCGAAGCAAAAGATCTCCGAGGCTGCCCCTGGGCCCAACGAATCATACGCCTGGTTCAAAAAGACCGTCACCCGCTACGCTGTGTTCATCCCCGGAGCTCGCGAGTATGTCGATACCGCGTTTAAGGACCTGGAAAAGATCAAGGAGAAGCATGACGAGGAATTCGACAAGATCATTCAAGATGCGTACAAGGATTTGAGCGAGGTCTCTAAGAAGGGCGGTTTCGACACCAACACGGCGTTCGAAGCATTCTACGTTCTGCAGAAGCACCTCGATCGCCTGCTTGACCTGGCCGGTGATGTTGGCGAGGATATCTTGGATAATCATCCCAAGGTGAAGGAGAAGCTCGGCGGTAGCTTTGACCAGCTGAAGCAGATGGGCGATGCTTATGGCCCACAAGCGAAGGAGGAGGTGACCAAGACATGGAGCCAAATCACGGATATTATCAAGCGGGGCGCGAGCATAGACGCTGTCGCAGAGATCAAGAAATTGATTGATGAGAAGAAGGAGAAGCTTCAGAAGTTGGGTGAGGAGGCCTGGCAGAAGGGACTCGACGAGTCTCGCCAATTCATGGAGAAGAACCCCAAGTTGAAGTCCCTCGTTGAGGAGAATGCCGATGCGCTTAAGAAGGGCAACTTCCAGGACTTGTGGGGCCTGTTGAAGGACAGTGCTTCTTCCGGCAAGACGGAGGAAGTGGAGAAGTATGTTAAGGAGAGGGTTGATCAAGTCAAGAGCGGTGGGTTTGGGGATTTGGATAAGTGGTTGAAGGCGATTCCCGGTGGTTCCAACATTCTTCCACAACTGCAGACGCTGCAGACTGTCGCCCAGAAGAAGGGAGGGGACGCTGAGAAGGTGCTGAAGGAGACATTCGAGGAGATTCAGGATGTGTTGAAGAAAAGAAAGGAACAGGTCGAGAAGATCGCCGAAGAAGCAAAGGAAGAGACGAAATAAGCTCTACATAGTTATACAATAGCATTATGTACGAATAATAGCATCACGAAGTTCTACTTGAACCATGACAATATTCTGTGCCAACATGTATCGCGACAGGTTTTGCGATACAACAACCTCGTTATCCCGAATAAATCCCTGTAAACTGGGTCTCGATATCGCGACCGTACAGCGAGCATGTGCGGGATGACCTATCCGTCCATAGGGTGCCCATTAAACGCGTTGCCACTAATGTTTCGACGTCATGATGTCGATAGCAGAAGTTTGATATACTGGAGAAGCCGCCAATCAGCGTCCAGCTTAAAATGTGCCATTCGAGCAAGTCGCGTGTAGCCTTCATTATTTATCAAGTCATCAGAGCACTCGTATCTGTCACCACTTTCCCCCTTCCTCTCTCAACCACACACTGAAACCCACATAGTCTACATATCATCATCAAAATGAACCGCCGACCATCAACCCAAAAAGCTGCCTCAGCCAACAAAGTCCCAACTCCGCACTCCCCAGTCTCGATCACACGATCAGCTTCATACAATTCACCACAAGAAGACTCCAAAGCCTCAGGATCGGGAGAGAAGACGAAAGGAGATGATGGGAACTATAGTCGCCAACTCCAGACCGCGTCGATGGAGCTTTTGAATGACGACAGGGTGGGACTGGGGTCAAAGGCTGGACGGACACTGCAGAATGTGTTGATGGATACTGAGCATCGGTTGAAAGAGCAGAGGAGAGAGTCGTTGCATAAACCGGGTCATAAGTTAGTAGTTCTGCTGTATTCGATTTTTGGCATGAATACTGATCTTCGTTTAGGACCTTGACGACTGGTTAAGTTTGTACTGAGGAAACATATCGAAGTCCGGGGACCTCCTTCAACCCCGACTACTATTCTGCTGTGTTACTAGCTATGGCCTCATGAAGGTTGAATGTACAAGGCTATCCAGGTCAGACTGTTCTGCCATAAGGGGAAATGGACATGGGAAATGAATTACGGCTTACGAATATAACGAAACGACGGTTTAAGCAACGACGTACGCATTTCATTCGGACTATTCTTGCTTCTCAAACAACATGTAGAGTAAAGGGAAAGGACGTCAGTAAGAAGGATCATTGAGCATAAGTTCCATACAATAGGGTCAGAGGCCAGATGGTCAATGATGGTTCAACTCGGATGTCAGTGTATCCGTCATGGCGAGCTTTCCAATACCATGCAAGTAACTAAAAGTAGAAATAATCCACAATTATACGCGTTACTTTGGTTCAGGGAATACAAAAAAATGCATCCATTATGTATCAGAATACAACTGGCGATAAAAATCTATATACACGCAGTTATCCAGGACTGCCCATCATAACAACGCATCGTCAGCCCCGGTCAAGATCTCATAGTCGCAAATGATTCGAAAATGCCAATGCAAATAATGCAAGTTTACTGGCCGGTCGCAGCCTTAACCATATTCTCAAAGTTCGGGGTGCCCAGACCACTCACAGGGTCCCAGCCCTCGGTAGCATTCCAGCTGGCATAAGGGACAACGGGACTACCGTTCGAAGAGCCACCGAAGCGTCCATTGCCATCGCACCCGGTACTTCCTCCGGTAGTAATGTCGTTCAGGACACCGGGGTTTGAGTACAGCCAGGGATTCAAGAAACCCATAGATGGCTGTGACGCCTTGATACGGGCATCGTTCAGCAAGGCGATGACGCCGGCGAAAGCAGGTGCAGAGCAAGACGTGCCATCAACCTTGGTGAGGCGGCCTTTCTCGTAGATACCGTAGTTCTGGCCCTGGGCAGCGACGTCCGGGAAAGCACGGCCATTGGGGTTGAACAGGCCTGCTTGGCGCTGGCCTAGGTCCGCGAGATACTTGCTGACAGCCGCGTCTTGCCAGGCTGGACGGTCCCAGAGGTCGGAGAAACCGCCAGAGGAGAAGTAGACTGCCTTCTCGGGGGCTGTGTGCGTGGTTGCGCCGACGGAAGTCACCCACGGGCAGGCGGCGGGGAATTGTGGGGGGAAGTGAGTCGTGTTTTTGCCATCGTTAGTAAGGCAGGCTGCGCCGACGCCGGAGTCACCGGAGGAGAAGATCACGGAGACGCCACGGCTGCCGAGTTGGGCGAAGAGGCTGCAGACGCTCTGGGCGTAGCTTGCGGGGACGCTCTGGAGATGGAGTTAGCGTATGTTATTACGCAATGTATTGGGAGTTTATTCATACCTGCTCATCCTCACCGTAGGAGGTGGAGATAACTTGGGGTAGGTCCTTGTCATCCATCTTGACGACGTTCTGCAGGAAATCCAGGTACGGCTCATTGTTGACGTTGTTCGGGTCAGGCTGATCCAGATCCGGAACAAGGGGCGCACGACCACCAGTGCTGAACTCAGTAACTGGAACAGGAGCGCTGACACCGACAATATACTGCAGATCCAGGTTGGCCTCGCTGCTATCGGCTGGAGAGTTTTGGTCGTTGAGGCCACCGTGGTACTCAATGACAGTGAAATTCAGGCCATCGGCATAGGGAGCAATGTTCTGCTCAAAAAGGGCAAGATCTGAGTATCGCGCATACTGCTCGAGGTAGCTAGCGAAAGCCACCTTGTTGCCATTGGAAGCATCAGCCTGGTAGCCACCAACCTTGTACAGATCTTTGAGGCATTGCGGGGTGATAGCGCTGTTGCAATCGGTGCTGGCGGACTGCACGGCCTTACGGAAAGTCTCATCGGCGGCCTTGGCCTTGCCGTGCAGGGTCATGCGGTTGGGGTGGAGCTGGCCGAAGCGAGTGGTAGGCGTCACGAGGTTGACATGAGGGACAAGGGAGTCTGGGACGGAATATTCCAGGGTGCGGAGGCGCTCGACATGCTTGTAGCGGTTGGTATAGTACTGGAAGTTGGCATCCAGCAGGTGATTGGCCTTCTCGACGGTGGTTTGGAAAGACATCCAGTCCGCATCTTGTGTGATATCGGTGATTCCAGCCTCCTTCAGCCACTGGAGCACGGCATCCACGGAGGAAGCAGTGGGCTGCAGCATACGTTTCATCTCATCATGAGTGCGGAAGTGTTTGCCATAGTTTGGATGATCGGGCGTCGACATGTCCAGCACGGCTTGCTCGAATCCGGCAGCGTCACCCTGGGCAAGGGCAACTTGCAACTTGATGGGCTGGTCTCCACGGGGAGTTCGTGAATAGCGCCATCCTATCAATCAAGCAACCAATTAGCCATGCACAACACGTAGACGTATTATGAAATCAAGGACAGGAGGTTAGCTACCTTCAGGAACAGCGGCGAGCTTGTCGAATACCTCAGCTGCTGCAGTTGACGCCAAAAGGGAGACCACCGCCAGCGACAAGGCGCCTCGATTCAATAGAGACGCAAGCATTGTTGAAACTAAGCACAGAAAAGAAGACACACAGCTCCCAACCAGGCTTGATAACAATACAGGGGCAACCCGAGGCGAAGGACTAAAATATAAATAAGCAAATGGGTCCGGAATGACGGACACGAGAGGGGTAGACCCACGTATGATTATTTATTATGGTCTTTTATTGCGGTTGCATTGGCGGGGGAGAATGGACCAGGAATGTGGTGCAATCAAAGTTCCTCAGACCCCAGCCAAGCCAGGCCAAATTGGCAAGCTTTAAGTGAAGCCAGTGTACTCAGGGCTGCCCAGCCGGACCTCCTCTTCTTGGCCGTGCAGAGTCTCATCAGGACACACATCGGTGGACCCTGACCAACGCGGATGCCCGTCGGGGGCGATGCGAGATTCAGGGCCGAACAGCTGCCCGCCAATCGTCCATCTTGCAGCCTGCGGTGCTGCGGCGGCCTGCCGCTCGTTACCACAAGCTTAGGTTCTCGTCCCATCATCGTACCCATCGGAAACTGATGCTACCAGGGGACATAATCGCTGATGTGACCGGGACGGAGAAGTATGAGGAGACCAGCGTCCCTCTCTTTTCCTCTTTCCGTTCTGAGACATTGTAATTTGTGACCCTCTCGCGCGGTCGCGCAGCAGCGGTGGCAGCGAAGCCCCCGGCCCCCAGTCTGACTGTGTCGCGATGATCGGCAGGGGAGAAGAATCCACCCGGTTAGTGCAACAACAAAACGCGAGGGGCCGGGAGACTGCGTGAAGCATTCAGAGGGGCTGGGCTTTGGAGATGGGATAGTAAGAGCCGATGATGCTGAAGCTTGTGGCCTGGACTTGTGATATCAGTCGCATGACCATATTCTTGGCGCAATCGTTCCAAGAGTGACCTTCAAAGACTCGTCAATAGCTTTGTGGCGGACAATGGAATGCAAGCATCGCGGGCCCTGCCAAGATCGCTTCCGCTTGGCGCGTCGATCAGGCGAATCATCGGAAGCCACTCAGACCAATCAACAGAAGTGGCCCCACAAAGGTGAGAGGCAGCTGTCGGAGACACGCGATTAATCTCGCCGGCGATGCATTGTAATGGTTAAGATGCAGAATGGACGAGTGACATCGCTTGTCTCGGCAGCATTATACCATGTCAAGAGGGGGTGCTGTCTCTTCTGATTGATTCATTGCAGATCGTTGCATGAAGACTGGTACATTTTCAGAGATCGGAAGGTTGCCAGGACCACCTGCCCCGCCCCATTGGCTTGGTGCCTAATAAGCGGCTGTGGCTGGATAAGCGGCACTCCAGCAGACACAGCCATCCCCCTTCCAAGATGAAGGACTTCGGCCACCAAAGCGTCAATGACTCAACGTGTGTAGTTAACTACCCTTGCCCAGGGCGTCGCCATTTCTGCACTATCCAGTCTTTATTACGCCATCTCTAGTCCTACCTAACCAGCGTCGAGCTACCAGTCCCGCATCCTTCCGAGTTGTGTAATGTGACCGTGGATACAACCATGCCTCCCGGGTATGACTGGACAAATGGGCAAATTTCAATGTTGCAGAATGACAGTGAAGTAGGTCTCTGTACAGAACCTAAGGCACTGTCACACGTACCGTGCACGTTTGGCAAGCGGGGAAACGACACGACCGGATTGATGCAGACAATCAATAGTTGCATGTGCTGTAGAGGACGAGTAATAACTACAATTGCGGTGAATACTCGAGGAGTATGGAAACCTTCTATGTTTTTAATTATGTAGTAATAGGCGAACCAAGACTAGGTGTACGTAAATATAGTATACACGATATCCTATAGCGTATTTAATAGAGCGCTACGCTCCGTAATTCTGAGTGTTCGTCTCCCCGGCGTGCCGGTGGACGCCATTGGAAACCTTGTAGATATATGGATAGGGAATGCAAATACTAGAAATACAGACTTTGTTAAGCGGAATGGAGGTGTCTTTTATTTAAGAAAGGTACCGATGTTTCTCGACCTGTTGAGATGGGGATATTGGCAATGTCTGTAGCTTTTCAGCTTTTCCACCTCGGGGATAGGTTCATAATATAGTAGAATGATCTAATGACATCAGGCTATGTGCAGCCAGCGTTCTGGAGATTTTAATGATGGTTGTGTTGCTGATTTTGAACCCGCGCTGCCCGCTATATAGTGCCATCCCAACCCAGGGGGGCAAACAAAAGCACGAAGGTAATTGGGAGAGAAACGGTAGGCTACCAGGCTGGAAGAACTTGTCTTCTGCCGGATAACAATCTCTGCCATGCATAGATATTGAAAATCGTAGATTCATCTCACAAAGGGTATCAGTATTATGGCGAGAGTATAACAAAGGCTCAAGAAGGGCAAATTGAGGATCAAAAAAGAATCACAATATGATATGGTAGTCCAGTATTGAATCTAAATCATCCATGCCGCTAGCCCAACGATGCCACACATCACTCCCTTCACAATGTCAGCGTTCGAACCTGCCATCCGAACCGCCGCATTGGAGGTGCTCGCAGGGGCAGCACTCGAGCTCGCGGAAGATGCGCTACCAGAGGTGCTGGAGCTCGTCGTCGCAGCTGCACTCGTCACGACAGTGGTTTCAGTAGTCTTCGACGCACTAGTGCTGCCAGTGGTCGAAGCAGAGTGGCTCGAAGCCTCAGTCTTCGTTGTCGTGGCCGTCGTAGCACTGTGGCCGGTAGCTGTGGAATTTCCCGCGGTAGTAGTGCTATTGCCAGAAGCTGTTGACGAAAGACTCTCGACCTTGAAGCCGAGAAGATCTTTAGAAGCTTCCTTGGAGAAGACATCGGTGGCCATGCCGGCTGAGTCACCAGAGCAGGCGCTGTTGGTGAAAAGAAGCATATTGATACCTTGTTCGCCCTGGGAATCGATTTTGAATAGATGACCCTTCGGGTTATCAATTGCGATACAGTCGCTGGGCCCGTGGCCAGACTTGGTGTGGTTGTTGCCGTTGGCGTCGTTCCATGTTATTTCCCAGGCGCCTGCGAGAGAAAGCAGAGAGGCTGCAACAGCGAGAAGAGTTGACGACTTCATTGTGGCGGTGGATTGTAGATAGGTATGCCCCGGTGTGGCTTGTGGAGAGGAAGTGATCAAGGTGAAAAATCGCAAGAAGTCAGATGAAGCTCTTTTGGTTCAGCGGGGCGTGTCCCCTTTTATTCTCATTGCTTTGGGTAGCCTACAACCTCTTGTGTTGTCTCAACTCCTCGTGATGCCCGATCCGGGGTCTGGGCATGCAGATCCTCGTATTCAGTGAACAGGCAGCCAGTTAGGATGGATGTTCGACAGCCACGGTCGCGAACGAGCCGCTTTTCGTGAAATCATTGGCGAGAAAACCATTTCGTGCCTGGGCGTAATTAAGGGCTGAGTTACCAAACAAATGTAAAGAGTTTGTGGAGTGTTGTTGCTTGAAATTGACTTTGATGTCATGTAGGGAGTCCATCCCGAACTCTAATGCCGAGGAGTGGGCAAAATGACAGACTTTCCATCAACCAAATCGTAGATGACTTCTGCGCGTCAATCTAGCACTGTACAATAACTAAGTGTTTTGCATGACCAATTGTAAGTATTTTGGCTCGTATCTGTCATTACACCACATGCCGCCATCTTTATCCAGCCTATATTTAGGTTGTGTTGTGCCTCAGCCACCTACCTAACATGAGATCAATGAACCCGCACACAATGGCCCGCAAAAACCGCCCCCTTGCAGTCCAGAACCAATTTGAGATAGGGTTTTGAGGTGCCAAATGAGCCTGCAAATTCTCATTACTTCACTATGATCGACACTGTAGTATCATCCGAGTTTAGGTTCCTGCCTTGCATAAGGAAATTGTTGTAGAGGGCTGCTAAATTGGATCACCCTAGCCCGAATGGTTGATGGTGTAGGTCTAAACCTGGCACTTGAATAGGAACCATCTTTCTTCCAAAAAGTACCAGTACAGCAACCATGGATCACACCTCAAGGAATCAAGTCTTTGCGGCGTGGAAGTCTCCCCATACTGTCATGGCCAAGCACATGCGTATGTTTGTAGACTGGACTTGATTTCAAGAGATCGTGAATCGCGAGCTCTACTCAATACAACCTGACAACATCGAGCATAAGCTGATTAGCCATTGATATTTAGATGGTTTATTTCCTACCCCAGCAGCATTCCGATTGTACCTCTCGGTGCTGGCCCATGTACAGAATATACGCATCCCAGCTTCGTACAATTTCAGCGCAAGACTAAGCATGAAAGGAGGATAAGAAAGGACAATGGCAGCGTAGAGGTAAAAACGATAAATCTGAATTCGGTGCTTAGGGCAGAGGGAAACTAAGTCATTGCATGTGCCCGGTACGACAGTTGGCATTCATGTTATCTAAAGACGAAAATGTTCGAGGAGAGCAGCCAACGCTGTATCCAAGTCAGTAGGAATATAGCAGATTTTTGCGTACCCAGGATATACTCACCAGACCAGCTGCGGTTTCAATATGGGATTGATCAAGCAGACGTTACAAGCACGTCGTAGAAGCGACAGAAAACAGAAAATTTCTACTTATGACCTGTAAGAAGCGATAGGTACATGGATATGAGATCAACAAGATAGGGAAGTTGATCGACAACGGACGACATTGTGCTCAATGCCAACTAAGGAATTGGTAGCAAGAAGGCCCCAACCCTAGATATGAGAAGATTCAGAAAAAAGGTGTATGAAGAGTGGAGGTGTGAGAGCATCTTACGATATAGCCGCAAAACAAGCACATAATATTGCGCCTTCCAGATAGTTGGTCTTCCCCTTGAGTATAATGAAACTTACCAAAAGGACAGAACCAACAAGAGTCACCATCCCAAATTGATCGAAATGTAAGCTCAAAGGCTTATGAAGAGCCCATCCCGCTAGAACCATCACAGGAGTGATGAAAAGTCCGATCTGAATCGCAGAACCCAGGGCAACACTGATTGCGAGATCCATCTGACCTTTCCCTGCCACGACAGTAGCCGTGACAATTTCCGCGACATTCCCTGCGATCGGAATGATAATCAAACCGACGAATGATTCACCAAGGATACTTTTGTCATTGAGTGCTTCAAAGCTTGAAGCAAAGAATTCGGCGCAAATAGCAATGAGAAAGGTTGAAGCAGTTAACAGGCCCAGGGAGATTGTGCGATTCGCAATAACTTGGTTTCGGCAATAGTGGTCATCTCGATTTGATGGGATATCGTAATTGTTATTGTTATCCCACTGAATAGAAGGAGAGTTGCTCCTTTCCATGGTGTCAATGTGCACCATAGGCAGTCCTTGTCCATTGTGCATGTCTGCCGGAGCGGATAATGGGAGTTCAGGAGGTGAGGGAGATGGAACCTGCTCCATTTGTGATGGAGAGATGATATTTGTTGCTGCAGTATGTGGGGGTACAGGGAACGATTCTTCGTCCGAGTAGACCTCCTCATAATCGTGATTGTAGGATATCCGACTGGAGGTGATACCAAGACACTGTGGCCCAGACGAGTGAGAGCGAAATAGATGCGGGTGGGATTTAAACTGGAAAAACAAATAGAGAATATAAATTCCCAGGAGGATAATTGAAACACCTCGGCTGAATGACAGAGCAATATCATCTGCTGTGTGGATATTTTTGACACTGCCATAGAAAGCACTCTGGAATGCTAGGTTAATAGGGAATCAAGAGAAAAGGGTGTGTGCTCCACGAACCGGAATCAGAAGGCAAGACACGGTGAGATTTAGTAATCCAACAAACGAGTGTGTCACATCTGTGTTGTATATTTGATCCGGAGCCAGGATTCCTCCTGCAATGATCGCCGAACCGAGGACAAGAAGTAGGTTGACAAGGACAGAGCCAAGAAGAGATGCTTGGACAATTCTGATATTGTTTTTCAACAGTGCCGTGCTGTCAGTGAGTGTTAGAGGCCAGTTTTAGGCAATCGTCGAATATGAAGATCTTACACACTAGAAAATGTTAAATTGAGGGATCGTCGAGAGAGGAATGCTGAAAGACGCTCACAATATGATCAGTTCTGCAAGATTTCCGATGCTTATGTTCAGAAGAGCGCTGGCCGTTTCACCCAGGTCTTGACAAAGTCTCTCGGTCGCGAATGTAAGCGTCATTGATAATGGGATAATCGCGATCAAGTTCAAGATGAAGATGATTATTGAAGGAGCGTCGGCAAGTGAAATGATGATTGCTGCTACAGGGATCACGAAGGAGATCATGATTCTCGGCTCAAGGAGTAGTTTGCCATGACAGCGAAACGCCAACGCGGGGTGTTCGCAAATTCGACAATCGAACGTCGTGCAATCGGCCTGTTTGGTGGAGTTGTTTCGAAAGACATTCTTCAGTTGCTGGGAGACTTTATCTACACCATGCAGAGTCGGAGGCTGTTCTTTGTCGAGGTATCATAATCAGCATCACATTCAGAGAACTTCGTCTAGAGAGGAGAGATTCACGATCTGTTTCACATTGCCCAGTACAATCCACATTCCTTGTGTCACTCATGAAACCATTGTCCTGAATTTCCGGTGTGAAATCATTGGCATTTCCGTTGAACGAGCTAGTCGGTTGATGTAGGTGATGCCCAAGAACGGTTCCATTCGCGACCATCGTGAGAATATTCTCAAAATTGCACAATCTGCTCTGGATCCAAAATGTCCAAACGATTAGAACAAATACGAGATTCTAATTACTATCTGAATAGATATACGAAGGCGGGGATTACCTTGCGGTAATTGCATAGGGGCAAAATGTGGACTGCGCGATTTGTTCAAAAGAACGTCCAATCACCAAAACTAGCGAGTACGATTTGGAGCGGATCCAAGCGGGTCGTGGACACCTGAACATCGAGTAATTTCTATTATTTCTTGGCTAGTACGTCTGTTCCTCGTGGTAAGGGTGAATTACAGGTCCCGTGAATGCATTTAGCTGCCTCGATAGCTCGTGGACATTACGGTAGTCAGATTAGCCGTCTGGGTATGGTTAATCCCTCACCAAAGGATCTACGATGACACTATCCACCGGTGTCAGATGAGGAAAATTAGGCTGATTTGTCTTGTGGTCATGGGCTTACGAGCTCGAGATACTAATTACGGATGGATCGTTTGGCGTTGGCGTGGCTCGGGAGTGGCTCGATAGCATACCGCGCGGTACGCATGTCAAGTTTCTTAGCTGTGCGTTTAAAGGAGGCGTTGGGTCGTCATTAGAGGGGGGGGATGGTCTGCTACAACCCGTGGATGGTCCTTGGAGATGGAATAATCCTGTGTTCTCAATAGACACTCTATTCTTTCCTATGTGGTCTGGAAAGGGGTAGGTTAGCTTCCTTGATAAGGCATGCTACTTATACTGTGACATGACAAGAGTATGGGTTCCACGCGTTAAAGGGAGCCTATGCGGACAGGAAACGGGTAGGTCAGCTACCTTAAATAGGTACGCTGCTTATACTCGTCTCAGACACGACGGGACATAAGTACTAGCATATTTGGTCTCTCAACATGCCTCTTTAGTGCTCCTGGGCAAGGATTGTAACAGAAACGGTATCTCAAAAGACTTGCTGGATATAGGTATATTCAAATTACGTTGTTGACAATAACAATTCGACCAACAACTAGCTATACTGTATGTACAAACAGGCCTCACGCCTCAACCCCTGTCCCAGACCAATGAAGATATCAACGTCACCCAGTCCACTCAAATAAACCAGCTATACTCCGTACACATTCTCCCAAACCCGTCTAACTCAACAACCCCACTTTACTTCGAATCCGCATCCGAGCTAGGCGCAGCAACAGACTCGGCATTCTCCAAATGCTGCGCATAGAACATTTGCGCAATAGCATCATCGGTCTGGAGGTACGTCCTACTACCCTGGATAAACCAAAACGCGATGGAAATCACCAGCATGACACCAAACACGGCAATAGCGTAGTTCATATCGCTGGGGGCTGGGTTGGGTGCACCGGGGAACAGGAAGAAGACGGTAGTGATGACGCAGTAGACGATACTGGTCCAGTTGAGCCACGGGCCCCAGCGACCCAAGTGGACAGAGCCGCCGGGTGGTAGCTTGTCGCGGCCGACGACGAGGAGCGCCAAGATGGGCATGCCGTAGGAGATGGTTAGTGCGATCGTGCTGACGGAGAGAATGGCTTCGAGGACGGTGTTGGCGAAGAGGTATAGCACGCCGACGATGGCGATGACCACGCCCTGGCCCCATAGAGATCGGGCGGGCACTTGCCACACGGGATCGACGTGGCTGAAGTACCGGCTAAAGGGGAGACCGCCGTCACGGGCGAAACCCCAGGTCAGGCGAGACGCGGTGGTGAGGACGCTGATGCCCTGGCCGATGCCGTTGAAGATGAATAGGGCGAGGAGGGTGGCGCCGCCCTTTAGGCCGACGGTCTCGAGCATGAGTTCCATGAATGGTAGGTCGGCGTTGGTGACGTTGTCCACGCTCTGGATGCAGAATAGACAGACTACCATGAAGATGAAACCGGTGATTGCGCCGAAGAGCACGGCCATCCAGATCACGCGGGGTGCGTTGCGGCGTGGGTTGGGGATTTCTTCGACCATGTGGATGACGGAATCGAAGGCGGTTAAACCGTAGGCTGCCTGGACCAGGCCGGTGAACCAGGTGATACCGTCGGGCCAGCCGGTTTGGTTGATCCATGCGCCGAAGACGAATTTGCCCGGTTGGAAGGAGAGACCGCTCTTGACGCCGACGCTGATCAGCATGGCCAGCGACATGACCACGAACAGGCCGCCGAACCAGACGCCGACGAAATTGTTAATCCAGGGGAGGATCTGCTCGCGACGACAGCTGACCACGTTGACCACGGTCAACAGGAAGACGACGCCAATGTAGACAACAAAGTTGAGCCAGCCCTGGCCACCGCCGGTCCAGTTGGGATCGAACATCGTCCGCATACCGAGGATGAATTCGGTCATAAAAGCGACCTGCGACGCAGTAAGAGTCCACCATCCAAAGGTGTTGATCCAAGCACACATGTACGAGACGAAGCGGCCCCAAGGCGTGTTCCAAAGTCGGTGTACCCAGTACGCCTGGCCGAGGGCCGTGGGCATGCTGCTGGTCAATTCACCCAGGGAGAGCGCCACGCATAAATTACAGATGGTGACCAGCACCAGACCCCAGAGAATAGTGATGGGGCCGCCATTGGTAAGACCGCTGCTGAGATCCTGGGCAAAAGTAGAGTAGGTTCCTAGCAAGGAAAGCAGGAGTCAGTGGACGTGTTCGACTCGATCACCCGGGGGAAATACTCGGCCAGTCACATACCTAGAACACAAAAAGCCAAAGCAAGCATGCTCCAGATATTAAATTTGCGGGTCAATGCCTGGGCATGGCCCATACCGGCCAGGTCGGTCGCATCCTGCACATCCTGATCATTCTCGAGAGGCACCTTGAGGGGAGGCGATGTTGATTCCACGTCCATAACTTGGTGAGACTTCCTTCAGCCGGAGGTAAGATAGATCGATTCACGGGGCAAGACAGTAGAACGCGCGCCCATTTTCTGCCTGCAAGCGTGAAGGGGAGAACAAGAAGGGAGGGAGCTGGGGAAGGGGGGAGGGACTAGGCTGCGTTTCTATATAGCTGGCTGGGTCCACGAGGCGTGTGCGAGTCGATCGACCCCCTCCTTTTATTCGCTCCTGTCTGTGTGTGTGTACCTTCCAGTCGCCGTTCGATCCTCCGAAAGAACCTTCGGTGGAAAAGACTAAAGAAAAGAAGGCTGGGCTAAAGTGGGAGGAGCCAGGCCCTGGTTGGTGGTCGCTGGTCTCTGTCACTGGGTGGTGCCCCCAGGGAAAACACGGGGGCGGCACCGATAAAGCTGGGGAGGGATGGGCCAATGACGATGCTCCGTTCGACAAGAGTTCACGGGGTTAATAGTCGAAATCACAGAGATTGGTCATGGACATTTGAACTGTTGGTCATGGAAATGCTCGTCGCGCGTCGACTGGAATTTTTTTTTGCGGGGGGCCTACGTTCCGCCCTCGGCAGGACCTCCTTCAGTGGGCCGAGGACCCAGTCTTTGATCTTGGAAGGCGATCCACTTTGATAAGGAAGGCGATGGGCACTGGAAGCGTTGGGTTGAAGATTATTGATCACGGTGAGAAGAATATGCTGAAGAAAACAAGACGTAGGGTAGGTACCTCTATGTTGGCCATGGTTGTAGCTGTGTGGTCGTAAGTGCCGCCTCTTGTGATATACGACTGGTTAGTAACTATACCAAGACCACCCTGCCTAAGCAGACATTCCCCTAGTTCCCAGACCACCAAATGGATTCCCATTAAATTACATATCAATTCTGCCCTACAATGCCATAAAACTCCATCTAAGCGCCCCCCAAACTCTGCAGCCGCCATCCAGCCACGCAAATACGGCCGGGTCCTCAGTGGCAAGGACATCCCAAAACAGCAAGTCCATGCGACTCGATAAGCGATAACGGGAGCGGCTGAAAGTCCGCTGGATGATTATTGTATCAGACCGACATGACGGACACCGTGGACAAACGCAGAGATGAAACAGATAAACATGCCTATCAGGCTATCAGTCAAGGACCCGGAATATCCAGATAATCTCCCATGGCCAGTGGAGTCCACGTCCCGATGCCGGATCACAGCCCAACGTCCGTATAGAGTATGTCCAACGACCACGAAACTCAATCGCGAGGTGTAGCCGAAGTTTACCTGGGCTTAGCCTACGCCAGATGCCTAGCATGAACCGTGAAGGCCCGATCGCGTGACGATGTGTTTTCCGGGGAGACATCCCACAGCCAAGAGGATGGGGGAAGGGCGAAACGCATGTACTTCGACCAGTCAGGACTCACGCAGCACCTTTAACTCCCTGCTTGCCGAGATATCTGGGGGACCCGGACTTGTCGGGATCCACTTTGGGCCCAAGAGGGGCCCAAAGGGGAATGGCGGGGCGTATTCCATCACCGTGGCGGACTGATCAGCATGAGCTTTGCCGCGAGACATGGTGAATTATTACACAACACAAACGCATGCTGAGCTGGGAGCTGGTCGATCCGGGTCGTTGGCGCCGGGAGTGTTCCAGTTCTGATCAGATCTCGTTATTGGTCTGCGTCGCCGCTCGGTCTTGAGGCTTCTCCTTCTCTTTCCCCTTTTGGGAAGCTGTCGAGTCGTGATGCACTGCTTTGCCTCGACGGATGCGCTGTATGCCGATGGAGTTGAGATAGACTCGGGTTCGATGGGGATGAAATGCGGGGTGATTTCATCACAGGGTAGGGATTCATGTTTTCGTCCGTCGGTCATCGTGTCGCTCAAGTTTGCGTCTTCACGATATCTCCCGACACACTCCCCTACTTCTTCCTCACTATTGAGCCTGGAGGCTTTTGCCCTGCCGGCGATAGTCAGGCACCATGCAGCCATGCCAAACCTCTTTAGGAATGTACAACCAGATGAGCCTCTAGTCGAGCATCCGAGCCGTTACCCGCACTAGCGGCCTGAGCCCTGAGCCACCAGAGTTTGCTGGGAGACCTTGTTTCAATCTCCGGATATCGTGCGTAACCAGGACGAATAACATCAATAACATCTGCGGTGTTGTTCCGGGATGAAGTCTGTCACTTGATGCGTTATTTGCCCGTCGAGATTGTGGCGCTTGTCGTGACACGTCGCTCAATCCGGGATATTAGCAATCGAAACACATGCAGCCGTGTTGGTTGTGACTAATTGATACCTTCGCCGACACCGGTAGACGGCTTCCGCCGAGTGTCTGGGGTAAAGGGGGAGAGGGGATTTCTCCGGCTGGATGTTGCTTCAGTAGGACTGGCTACTATTGAATAAATGTGGTTGCACATCCGTCGTGCTTGCAGCGATGGACTCTGTGCCACTATCAGCATGACACGGCATCAGCCCCGGAGATTTATTGCTCTTTCAGAAAGCTTTGCTGGCACTGATTTGCTAAACGATGACTGAAGCGAGTTGACCCAGAGGTGAGTCCAGCCACTAAAGTGAGTGATAACGATGAGATCGACCCCCAAGACTCGACGATATTCGCAAAGAACAACATTTTGTATAGTGAGTGAGGAAGCTGTACCTCGATGAAGACCCTTGTCAGTGCAAGTTGGATAGAAATTCTTGATCGAAAGAACTCACGATGATTCTTATGTGTTAATTCTCTGGAATCTGTACGGCGCGAGTATTTCCGAATCGGGAAGGCCGGGAGCACGTATGCAAAAATCAGCTTAAACTACCTCAAGCGTGTCAGCTCTCTCAACTGATTCATTAAAACATCTCCACCCACCTCGACAGCATCATGTCATTTCGCTTATCCTGATTCAGAGCACGTCAGCCAATGCCAAAGCTCTTTAATCAACCACAACTCTACCGCCATGACCTCCTCTAGAGAGTCACTACAATCAAAAACAGATCGTGCACAACCAGTAAAGGGGAAAAAGTATGAATCATTCGAGTCTTGGTAATAATATTAATGCTTGAACCCACTATCAGAAACACCGACTGGACATGTGGAGCAGGGGAATCACAAAAACAGAAATAGCCAAAGGCACAAGCACAAGCACAAGCAGAAGCATAAGCATACTTTTGTTGCTGTCACCAGGACCCGAGTATGACACAATAATGATGATAATGATGATGATGGGAGAGTGGCCGAACGACCAAAATGCAGAATCCAAATCAAACGCCCGTTTTCCAGAGACTTTGCCTGTCTTCGTTGAACGCCCCGACAGATCCAAACAAGAGATGAGAAAGATGATGATAAGATGAACAGCAGACTGTGTCTGTGTCTGTGTCTGTGTCCGTCTTCGTGAACATGACCATGACCATGACCTGAACGACCATCCAAACCAGAAAACAAAAAAGAGAAGAACTCCGTCCGCCAGCGGATTTCCAATATCCTCTAGCTATATATCGCACGCCACGTCCATGAGCACAAGCGCAAGAAGAACAACCCCAGAAACGGACAGCAAGAAACCGAGATCCAGGCACAAGCACAAACCGACATGGACAGTGGAAACTCACTCGCCATCCTCACGAACGACCCTGCCTCGAACTCCTCCACATTCCCCCCGAAACAAGCCCCTGCTTCAACATCATCAACTCCTTCTGCACCGCAATATTCTCCTGCTGAATGCGCTCAATGTACGCCAGCGCATTACTCAGGATCTCAGATTTCTTGAGCGGTCCCGCGCCTGCGGGAGACGTTTTCTGCACGCGGGCGGGGGAAATGGCCTTTTCCAGGGCGAGGAATTTGGCGTTCATGTTTGTGCGGTACCGCTTTTCGATGATGTTGTGGGCGGCGCGTTTGGCGGCGTTGCGGCCTTGGGGGTCTTTGGGGGCGGGTGCTTGTGTTTGTGCTGGGGCTTGGGAGGATGGTTGAGTTTGGGCGGAGGAGGTGGAGGATTCGTTGGAGAGAGAGCGAGTTTTGCGGCGTTTGTCGGTGCGGGTGGGGATGTATTCTTGGGGTTTGATTTCGGGGCTGGAGGACCAGCGGGTTGAGGATGTTGATGCCGACGTGCTGGTGTTGGTATTTGTGTTTGTGTTGGCGATGGAAGAGCGGGTTACTGGTTTTGATGGTGTGGTGGATGTGGGGGATGTCATGGTCATGTCGATTGATGGGCGGGTACTGATTGACCAGGACTGGTCGTCGCTGTCGAGATCCTGAAGGATGTGGTTAGCAAGACATGTACGTGTACATGTGATGTGGTACGGTGTGAGGTGAGTGGTAAGTGTCATACTGAGGAGAGCGAGACGGTATCTTCGGCCGTGGGCATGCTGAAGCCGCTGATGGCAGTGGGTGTACCGAAGGGGTCTAGGAAGAGATCTTTGGAGTCGGCTGTCAGGCTGTCGGCGAAACCGAAGGAGACGGGGTCCATGTCGGCGGGGTTCAAGGAGAACAGGTCAATGGCGTTGTCGTAGGACCAATTGCCGGGCAGAGGGTCGGAGGCCTTGGTCGTGGGGAAGAGCTCCATGGGGCGCGACTGTGGACTGAGTTGTTGGTTGAGGTATCTCTCGTCTTCGAGAGAGAGATTGGATAGAGCGGTGCGGTTGAAGGCCATGGTTGGACCGGGTTGATGGGAGGTTGCGATCATGCACGGATGATGGTGGCAGGAATTGCAACGGCGGGGTCAGTGACAGGTTGTAAATATTGATACACGAGCCTGGGGCTGTAGCTCGTAGTAATTGGTCAAGAGGTGCTTGGTTGTGAATTTAAACAGGATTGAGTGGCAGGATGCTGGGGAGGAAAATATATATCAAGAGGGATCGAGAAGCTGTAGACTGAAGATCGACTGGATTGGATACTGAACCATGGAAATAAGAATCACGGTTCCCCCCGGCCGGGTCAGCGCCGTTATATAATGCCCGAGTTATTCTCGAAACGATACAAACCTCGAAAACGGACAGGGAAAGATACGAACAAGGGGCCTTGACCGGATGACGACCCAATTCGTGGGTTGGGGGCTGACCGAGTCTAGCAGCCGAGAAAGAGAGACAGAAATTGACTTGTGATGTCAGGTTTTTTTGGTATATCGACAAGAGAGACCCGATTGGGAAATAAAAAATAAAATAAAAACATAATAAATGGATCCTAGTACTAACATACTGTGTACATATGTCAATGATTGTGCAGTACTTCGTACTAAGTTAGAACGGTTATGAAGTTTCGGATTCGGATTCTGCGATTCGCTCGGTGCACTCGAGCCGAGATCACCTTAGCCATCTGGCAGCACCTGGACGTGGCCCTCGGCCGGCTCCGAAGGGGCTATCAGCCGCGAGCAATTCCGAATGTTCATCGTAGGTCCCGTGTTCTATTTTGCAAAAACCGTTGAACCCAAGTATGTCATCGGTCGGGAGCGTTAGTAAGGTACAAGTTACAACTATGATGATTGTTCGAGTACAGAAACGGGGCAAAATGTGTCGAGTGGGGCCGAGAACCCGCGAGAGTACCAGCGAAGGAACATTGCCAAGCCTCGCTCCGGCCGAGACTCGGGCCCGATGCCTAACGGTTATTCAGAGCAGGCAGAGTACTGTTGTGCATTCTGGACAATATCTAGGCAGAGAGGACCGGTAAACAGGGTTTGAACATTTGTCCAATCAGTTCTTCCTAATTGGCTCGTTGGACTCCTCCCCTGACCGGAAAAATTCAATTCCCTGCCTTATACTCCGTCCCATTGGCAACGGCCTCGCCCGGTAACCCTGCATGGCGCGGGCGATCCGCTGCAGCTCAACCTGTCAGGCCAAATATGACACATGCATCTCCAGTTGGACTGCCACGGTCGTTGCAGAAGAGCGCAGATTTTCTGCAGTTATCCGGGATCAACAATGCACATACATGTACAGTATTTTGGCAATGGCAACGATATCCAAATAGTAAAGACTAAAGGGAAATCAGGTACTAGCAACCAGGGCCTTCTGCATAATGCATACGGCATGCTACCTAAGAAACAGGGGCACAACCGTTGGCTGCAGAGCCTGGACTCGAGTCGACTCGACAGGGATTGCCTAGAGTGCAGGCATGCAAGTACAAGTCTAGTATGTACTGTAACGTAGCGGAACCCAAGAATCCGTTTCCGGTAAGATTGATCTTCGGTGCAAAATAAGCCACTCGCATCATACTAAAGCAGGGTTTTGCGAAGCGAAATGTCGCTTATTTCTTCATAATTTATGTACCATGAACCAGGGAATATGGCACTGCCTTGTTGCTGTACCTGGTGGTCGCGAATTGTAGTAGTACTGTACCCTTTCAACCTCGGGAACTCGACACATGACTGTATATGCCACTCGTGGCGAATCTTAATTACTTGTGCGAAAAGTATGAACCTAAAGCATCGTGGTGTTCATTCGTACGAGATACCCCTTTCATCCTTACCAATTGCGCCTCACCATTTGTCTTTTTCATTAGTACCTGTACCGCAGTATTTGTTTTGCCGCTTTTCCACTACCCCTCTCTAAACCGCCTCCCCGCTACAGCTACAGCTACATCTGCACCAGCAGTTGTAGGACCAGTAGCTGCGGGACCAATTCGGACACCGTGCATCTCGCATCTTACATCTCACATCTCACCCGGGTTGTACTATAGAAACGTTATAAGTGGATGCCCTTCTGTACACCACACCACATTAAACACTCCGTATTAGCCACACTACTCTACCAGGCTAAGCCCCATATCAACCCAATAAACATACCCATCTTAAGTAGGAGCATCGACATCGATTAGGAATGACCTCCCGCGACCCAGACCCATAGTGGACCCCGTAACGGACCACTCCCAACACTCCTAATTCCCGCTGACACAGCCCTAAACGCCCAAGTCTCAAACTATACTCCGTAATCGTTGCCGCTTTGGGTCGTGGGGTGATCCGGATGCTTTGTTTCCCTTGACTGCGTTGACGGCTAGCGTTTTGAGGGCGGGTGTTTGAGCCCGGTGTCTACCGAGGAGGGACGTTTTGTCCTTTGTTTTCCTTATGACGGATGTTAGGTAGTGTGGTCCTCGTGACCGGTATCATAATTGCGACGAAGTGTTTTCGGGATTGTGATGGGGAGTCTGGGGTTTTTCGGTGTGTGGTTTGGGACATTGTCGTGAGATTTAGGGAGGGAGGGTTGTCTCCTGATGGATGTGTTGTTGTGGTTGAGGTGATGAGTTTGTATCACGATCCGGTTTCCGTGATATTAGATTGGAATTGAGATTGAGAAGAGAATTGTTGAGTCTGGTACGTCCAGTTTATTCTGCACATTCAATTGCTTCGAATTTCTTTATAGCATTGACAATTCCCTACATTTACACTAGATGTTGCCTCTCCTGCAACCACCATATCAAACTTTACACCCAGATCTACAATCCCAATCCAACTACACCACCTTACCCAGCCGGCTCAAACAGCCGGCCCCGGCGCCGACCCGGGTGGAGCAATGCCGCAACTAACTAGTCCCTCCTGCAAGCTGACCGTTGCCCTAAGGTCGAAACCGTCATCGGAACCCCCTTTTCAGCCCTCTTTTTCCCAACCCATTGTTCCGGCTAGGGTCAGTCCACGCGGCAGGCTGTCGGTCCGGGTGGGGAGCTGTCATCGCCGGGCCCTAAATGCCTAATTAGGGCCTTAATGAATCGTCAGCTGGTGCCACGGATCGAGACTGGATCGCACTGCCGAAGTAAGGCGGTCTTCCCCGGATTCTGGCTTCCGTGGCGGGATCTACGTCGGTAGCTAGGGGGTTTGTTGTGTTTGGGCTAGTGGTTGGTTGTGGGAGTGTGTTTATAGGGGGATAATGTTATTACCGGTATGATGTCAGGGGTGTAGAGGTCTTCTTGGTCCTGTTACTTGAGAAAAGCTTTTTCAGTTTAGAGGGTCTGTAAAGTCTGTTGGAAAGATCCATGCTCGGTTTGTAGGAGTTGAAATCTTGTTGAATCTTCAACAGGTCGAGCACCTTGATGTATGAGCCGAAAGATATTGATCAGTCGAGTCACGAACGACACAATGGTGATTGGTTCACGAAAGGTCTGCAATGTGAGCAGACTCTATCTTGAGCCAACACAATGAACTGACGAGAGATATGAGCTAGTGATTGCGTTTTGAAGCAGCTCTTCTCACAAGGCTAACATCACGGACTCACTCCTGAATTTGAATATGTGTCGTGCGTTGCTGCCAAGTATACCAGGGCCCAAACACCAGGCTGCCTCGCAGTAATAGTTCGCCAGCGAGTATGGAAAAATTCAAAATATCGTCAGGATTATTTCCTCTGCTATCTCAACATATTCAAAATGAATTTCTATATCGCTAACATTTCTGGCCTTACTAGGGCCACTGCTCTCACCCTCGTCGCTGACGGTGGTACTGACGGCTATGGCGAGGACAAGACCGCCAAGGAGATCTTTTGGTATGGTGCGCATAATGCCAAGTACGGCGGCATCCATCTTTGGGTTAAGGAATGTAAGGGGGTGCTAGATGCTCTTGATGGACTAGGCGGGTGTATATATCTGGTTCCATTGAGATGGTACTGTATTCACTTGTCAAGGCAGTTCTTGTACATGCCCATTTCGCTCCTTTGTATTTGAATAATCCATAATATCAGTTCCACCTGATGATCCGCGCTGCCTCAAAACATTGCCTCGCTGAACGTAGATATTCATCCAATCAAAGCCTGAATGGTCGTTTCGTAGCTTTCCGGCTCCCGTCCGAGAATTTCCTTCATCGCCGGTGATACAACAGCAGTCTCTCCTTGCTTGATAGCCTCCCAAGCCGTAGTCCACTCACTCGAAAGGTCAACACCGTGGTACGTGTGCTTGTCCCCGATTTGAGGAAGTTTGACGTATTCGTCAATGGAAATCTTTCGAATTCTTAGAGGCTTTCCGATCGCACGGCCCAAGATATCCACCGTCTCAGCGAGAGATATCTCCCGGCGGCCAGTGAGCAATACCTTTTGGTTCAAATACTTGAAGTTCTCGGAGTGATCAATAAAAGACATGATCAATTTGGCGGTCGCTTCGCCGAGCTCGTCACGTTTGACCCATGATACTCCCGGTCCAGTTCCGGGATGCGGAATAGTAATTTCGCTAGGAGGGTTTGCTGGGTCTAGCCATGCCGTGTAGATAGGGAATGATTCAGAGTAGAGCCCTTCACGAATAGATGTGTACGTGATGTTGTCTGTGAGTCCTGCCAGATACTGCTCCGTTTCGAGGTGTGCGCCCATGACATGAGCGACACTGCGGTCGGTTAGGTGACCGGCGAACCCCAGGGACGAGTAGAAGATGTGTTTCACGCCACTTTTGATGGCAGCTTCAATGGCCGTGCGGTGGGCCTAGTTTAGTTAGTACAGCTAAATGACCTGCAATGAGGATGCTTACTTCGACTCGGTGTTTGATCTCGAAGGATGCATACGAGATAAGCATCAGAATGTCTACTCCATCAAAGGCATGATCAAGAGTAGCAGGCTGGTCATAGTCCGCAGTTCGCAGTGTGGCGCCAGCTTGACCCAGGGTGCTCCATTTATCCGGGCTGCGTGCAATCAAAACCAATTGAGACGCCGAGGCAAGTTTCGTTAGGTGATTGACGACGCTTGTTCCGAGACCGCCAGAGGCGGGGAAGACACCGATTCTAGGGGCCATTTTGAGAGGTTGAGCAGAATATTGGCTTCTCAATACGAGGCTCCAGTTTGCGGGATTGAAGGGATTTGTGAAAATGCTGATGCCCCTTGCGGCAAGATGAGATCCGCTGCTTCGAATGTGATAAAAGGATGAAGCACAGTTGCGATTGCTTGTTTCTTGGCGAAGTGGGATTGATCAGCAGTTGATTATAAATGGCCTTCGGTCGGGTATATCAGCCACCGACGATGGTGGGTTGTCTAGATACCGGAAATACCCCTCGGAGTTTATACAAACGCCTTCAGTGGTAAGAAGGCTATAGAGATTCTCTCTAATTCGACTTTTCCATTCGTACAAATATCACTGTAGACAACCAGGAGGGCCAACAGTCTAGTGAATTCATATTAAACCCCACTTCCCAAAAAGTGACATCATTCAACCAAGATCAGACCTTATAAGACAGAATGAACCGCCCATTGTCATACTCTGTCACAGTATAATACTCCTTGCGCACGGGATTATAACTCATATCTTCATTCCCAGCCATAAACCATCCAGGGAACTCCTTGGCAGTCTTCCCCTGTTCCCAAGTGAACAAATCACCAGCATGAGGATCACGACCGTTGCTCCGTGAGAGATAGAATTTCCCATCATAAGAAACACCACCTTGCATCTTCAGGATGTCTACGCAATGAGCCCAGCTTGCTGTGGCCAGGCCATCGCTATTCGTGCGAAGTCGGCGAGTCGTCGAGTCTAGCTGGTACTTGACCAAGCGGATGGGTACGGGATCCTTGTTCGTGTCGACTTCGCCGTCGCGCACGAATTCGCCGACGAGGAGGGTGTCGGGCTTGTCGCTGCGGTCGAGGGAGATCCAGGAGAAACGGAAGGGGGATTTGGATCCGGGGGTCCATTTGTACCACCTGTCGATGTGCTGTGAGTGAAAATGTGGAGAGAACAAAAAGGTGCACAGGTGAGACGTACCGAACTTGTGGCAGAACATATTGGTATCCATCCGCAGAGTATCCCTTTCCATCCTTCATCTTGCCAACGCCATCGGCAATCTCAACTTCCCAAATATTGTCCAAGTCAAAGGCACGAATGCCATTGTTCGTATCGACAACATACAGCAGGTTGCCGTACCACATTATACCGCCAGCATGGATAGCGATAGACTTGAAATCATCATCGGCAGAAGGATACACGAGAAGAACATGGCGATACTTGTGCGTCTTGCGATCGACGAAACTCACACGTACACTGTCACCCTTCTGATACCAACTGACAATCCACGCTTCGTGGTCATTCCATTTTCCAGTGCCTAGGGCATCAGCCGAGCTAGTGATACCCTGTGGCGTCCACTTGGTAGTCTTGTAGTCGCCAGAGTTCCATGCCCACGCTTCAGAGGGAGATCCCGTGCCGACCGATGGGTGGCCTTTGTTTAGGTCGCGATTGCCGGAGTTTAGCACGGCGGTGACACTGACATTCTTTCCGGTGCTTTCAAAGTGCTTCGCTAGTGCTGCGAGGTGAGAGCTGTCGGCAGATTCTTGGAGGGTAAAGTCTTTAGCGTTGATGACGTTTTTGTTCATGCAGTAGCGAGAGTCTGCTGCAAAAGTAGTTGGGAAGGAGAAAGAGAGGAGAGCGGTTGTTAAGTGGAGGAAAGAAGAGTACCTCATGTTGTCAGTTTAGTCTTTGCAGAACAACTCAGAGGGACCAGGAGAGTCGTATGTCGGTTCGATTGGAGCAGATGGGCATCGTTATATATGCCAACCCTTCGGGCTAATTTCCTAAGAGTACGAGGTTTATACGAGCGTCGATCAACTTTTACATCCAGATTATATCTTAAGAGTCCATTTTTGTCGGACCTTGTTGTCTGTCGATCAGGGATAGCACATAAAAAGCCGTCGTTAAGATACGATCGTCAACAATACGAGACTTGGCATGCCGCGGGTATAGCCAAGCCCGGGTGGACGACCCAAAAATAGCCCCCGCATGGTTACAGTCCCCTCGTAAATATTGTTAGCGGAGAATTTTGGTCCTTGGCAATGGGGCTGAATCCCGGGGAGTCCCTCGCATATTCATGTCCATTTTAGCGTAGGCTAGCCTACTGTGCAATATGGACTAACCCGAAGAAGTGCCATCTCGCAATGATTGAATTCATAATTCGTGATTGGATTCGATTCTAGTATGGACTTTATCGTGAAGGGAGAGAAGAGAGGTATCATGCAAACGCCATGTCTAAGCAATGAAAATGCAGGAGGTCTAGATAGGACACCGGTCTAGTTGATACCGCCAGTGCCGAAAAGTTCCATCTTGATGCGGTCGGCACTCACACCATTCTCCTTGAGCGTGGCCTGCATGTCGGTCATGAACTTGTCTGGGCCGCAGATGTAGTATTCCGTGGTGGGAATGTCGACCAAAAGATCGTTGCTGGCGTCCAACTTGCTCAAGTCCACGCGGCCCACGTGGTCAAAGTTGACGCCTTCCTTCTCGGCTTCACTGGGGTTGCTGGTGAAGAAGGTGGCCTGCAGGTTGGTGTGGGTCTTCTTCAGCTCAGTTAGGTGATCCTTGAAGGCGCGGGCTCTGGAGTTGCGGGCACCGTGGATAAAGTGCAACTTCCGCTCGGTACAGGCAGACTTGGAAGTCAGGGTGTTCAGGATGGAGGTCATGGGGGTCAAGCCGACACCGGCAGAGAGCAGGACAACTGGGGTAGTAGGTTCCACGGCAGTGGCGGACAGGAAGAAGTCACCGCACGGGTGAGAGACCTTGATGATGTCGCCCTTGTTGTACTGGTCATGCAAGAGGTTGGACACGTAGCCAGGGTGAGTTGCAGCTGCCGAGTCGGTGGCTGGCAGGCCTTTCTCCTTCTTCACGCTGATACGGTAGTAGTCCTGGGAGTGCTGGTCACTGAGCGAGTACTGACGGGGTTGCAGGCACTGGAGCTCTCGCACGTTGACCTGCACAGAGATGTACTGGCCAGGCTGGAAGGGAGGTAGAGGCTTGCAGTCGACGGGAGCCAGGTAGAAGGAGGTGATCTCTTCCGACTCCTGGACCTTTTCGGTGATCTTGAACTCGCGCCAGTTATTCCAACCCTTGCTCTGCTCGTAGATCTGCTTCTCACGACCGATCATGATATCGGCAAGCTGCCAGTAAGCGACTCCCCAGGCCTCCTTGATCTCAGCGGTGAGGGCATCTCCGAGGACCTCGCCCATGGCTTCGATAAGGTGCTTGCCGACGATCTGATATTGCTCAGGCTGGATGTACAACGAGGCGTGCTTATTGCAAATCAGCTCTACGGCAGGACCCAATGCGCCCAGGTTGTCGATATTGGCAGCATAGGCGAACAAAGCACCGGCCAGGGCACGGGTCTGATGGCCATTGCGCTGGTTGGGGACATTGAAGATGTTGTTCAGCTCCGGGTGGGCAGCGAGCATGTTTTTGTAGAAAACTGTCGTGATGGTCTGGCCATGCTCAACAAGAACCGGCACAGTAGCCTTGATGAGCTGGAGTTGGCCGGGAGTCAATCCGGCGACAGAGCCCATGATGTTATGATGGTGGGATCTGTGGTGGTGGTGGTTGTGTGAAAAATCCGAGGCAATCGAAGATATCTTGCTCGGTTTTGTACAAGTGTAAGCAGATTGGTTTTGTCCGCTCTGATATAATGAATATGATTGTAAGAACAATATCTCATTGACAACAGGCTGGTGGCCAGCTATTTATCTCCACCATAGTACCAGAATCTTGCCTTGGTAAGCGAGTCGAGAAAAGCCCGGTGGCCGCAAAACCCGCCATCGAGTCATAGGCGTACCCGCTGGGCGTCTGGGAATGTCGAGAATTGTGTTCCTGGCCAGGTACAGGAACAGCGGACTATGGTTCGGTGTGGTTGAGGACGATTTGACCCGAGAAAAATAAACATCTCCGCGGAGGAGGCTTGATAAAGCGGTGGCTGTTTCTGGAGTTTTCTCGGCACGGGCTCCATTTTGTCTATTTCATGACACCGCAATGGCATTCGGGGAATACAAAGCGAGAGTGAAATAGAATTCACGAGCGACCGGAAGAATCATTTCTCGCGGAAATTGACGATTGTGTCCCTCATATATTGTTCTTCGTAGTAACACACAGCATTCGACTATCGCATTTTGTACTTTTTCCCAATCTCCGTCAATCCTAATCCCTGCTATCTATATACCATTAACTGTCAAAGCGCCTACCCCAGTCGATAATGACCATAATAACCCAATGGATCAACACTGATAACCCATAGACTACTATACTCAGCATACTTCTGGCTGTTAGTCCCCTCTCCATCTCGACAGAGTACTACCTCTACTACCCTCCCTAACTTCTATACTCCATCCTTAACCCAGCTTACTCAAATAGGACTAAACCCCGTTTGCCTCTCGGGAGTGAGCCGTCGCGTCGGCTCCGAACCAGCAAATCGACAGATTCTGTTTGTCACGCGGCGACCGCCCAAAGCCGACCGTCAGCCCACCGACGAGAATTCTTAGGAATTTGGAGGGACACCAGTCGACTGCCGCGTACCCGCCACTAAGGTGTCCTGAAAAATTTTTAGCCCAATCAGAATCCTTTGATTAGCACGCAGACAAACTGCCCGGGTCGGTCGATCGTAGGTTTAAAGCTCATTGCTGATCACCAGTTTCCAGCAAGGCATATTCAAGCATCTTATCTTTTATGCTGCGTCGCTATCAATAGCGGAGTGAGACCAATTATCCACAGAGATTATGGAGAAAGGCATGTGCTTTACCTTTTGTTTTGCGAATTTTCGAACTATTGAGAACATGCGACCCGCAGGAATTGAATATTTTGCCATCGTAAAAGTCCTTCATCTTCGCACTGTGATCAGGACTCTCCTGGTCCGCAACCTCCGCGGAGTAGCACAGATAACACTGAAGCGCAAAATGATCTTGAAATCCTCGTAGATGACAAAATCCAGAAACCCGTATTATTGCTCCGGCTTAGATCATCCAATGCATTGCTACTTGTACCAGTCATAATTCAGGAGAATCAGCAATGAAAAGGCATTATGTCGATGAGCACCTTGATCAAGATCGCCAGCAACGATGGGATGAAAGAAAATCTCCGGGAACCAATCACAATTGGCGGCCCACCTTACAGAGATGATCACTTACTGGGTATCCATACAAAGACTCGCATGGTGGTTGCAGACAGTCCAGACCTTTCCGTTTGCGGAAAGCGGACTCCTCCTCATCCAATCTCCGTTTGAGGACCAAGACAACATAAACATGGGACAACAGGCGATATTGACCTCATCACTGGTGTTTTAATTCAATGGCATTTGCTGGTCTAGGAGTAAAAGGCCCAAGTTGAGTGTTGCATCCCAAGGCAAAAAAAGCTATTCTTAGACGATGAGATCGATCGGTTAGCTTGCTGATTCTCGTATAGGCTCCGCTCTGAGAGCTACATCGATGATACGTGCATTTGCACAATACTGGGCAGGAGTCAATAATGACGTCTGCGATAAATAGATGGATTGAATAAATATCTCGAGAAGTGGTCAAAGGGGCGAATTTCTGAATGGTTCTTCGATTGAAGTGAATTGGCTCGTCGAAGAAGAATCGCTATTCTTCGAAGTCCGTCAAACCGAGTCTGAATCAGACAATTGCAATCTCTCCATTGAAAGATCCTCCTCCAACAAGATGAGGTTTCACAAGCGGGAAGCCTCACAGGCCTCTACCCTTGGTGGGCCTCCTAGCCCTGGAGGCCGCGGCCAGCTGCCAATGCTCCAAATGCCAGACAGGATGCGATTCAATCTCCTCTGCATGTTCGGAGAGTTCGTGGGAACCTTTATGTTCCTCTTCTTCTCCTTCGCTGGAACTCAGGTCGCCAATACACCCATGCCAGCTCCGGGATCGCCCCCGAATACTTCCAATCTCTTGTATTCGTCTCTGGCCTTCGGTTTCGCTTTGACTGTCAATGTCTGGGCTTTCTTCCGAGTCACCGGTGGCCTTTTCAACCCTGCGGTAAGAATCAATCTAGAAGTGTATAGAATTATGCAATTGGAAGCTGATGATTAATAGGTCACTCTCGCTCTATGCGTAACCGGCGGTATGCCCGCCCTTCGCGGATTGATGGTCTTCCCCGCTCAACTTGTTGGTGGCATTGCCGCTGCTGGTGTTGTTAGCGCCCTTTTTCCAGGTCCTTTGAACGTATCTACTCGATTGGGTGGCGGAACCTCCATCTCACAGGGTCTCTTCATCGAGATGTTCCTGACTGCCCAGCTCGTGCTTGTCATTATCATGCTGGCTGTCGTCAAGCACAAGTCGACCTACCTGGCACCGGTCGGCATTGGTCTCGCTTTCTTCGTCTGTGAGATGGTCGGTATGTTTTAGCACCTAGCATCTCCTCCTTGACATTCGCTAACCTTTCAATTCATAGGTGACTTCTACACCGGTGGTTCCCTGAATCCCGCCCGCTCCTTGGGTCCTGATGTTATCAACCGCAGTTTCCCCGGATATCACTGGATCTACTGGGTTGGACCTTTGCTCGGATCGCTTCTGGCTTCTGGCTTCTACCACCTCCTCTGCTATGTCCGCTGGGAGAATATCAACCCTGGTCAGGACTACAACGAGTGGGAGACCAAGGCTCGGAAGGACTCCATGGCTGCCTCTGAGCCCAACATGGCTGATCCTGTCCACCATGGCGTTGTCAATGGCAATTACACTAGCACTGGTGACACTACTAATGGCTATGTGCGTCCGCCGACATCTGAGACTTCTCCGGAGCAGCAGGTGTAAATTTGATGAGCACAGGCTGCCACGTCGAGATAGAGAGACACAATACGGAGTGGTTTAATTGTGTAGATATAAGAACCCTTCTTGGGATCATTGTGTGTGTGGGCCATCTATGTGAGAGTGGTTCGGTTTCCGTCGTTGAAAATGGGGAAGCACAAGCGACATGTCTTCGGCTGCTATATATCCAGAGTTGCTTTTGCTTTATGTAAATTTGATAGTGTAGTAATTAACTAATTCTGAACTCTGTTGATCTGAATTGAAGTTTCTTGACGGAGAAGCAGAGAATTTCAGTCGAAGAGTATGTCACTACACTTGACGTCCATTTTGACAATAAATCTCCTTTCGATCAAGCTCTGGAACGCACGAGCGCAAATCTCTGACTTGGCGTAGTGTAAGCAAGCCTAACCTGAAGGGATGCTTACTAGCGGCACGATTCGCCATAGCGATCGTCTAACAGCAATGATTGGTTCATATATTCCACTAATGGACAGTATCAATTTTCGGGTGAGGCGAGCAGATCTGTAAGCAAGTCAGTCAATCTTTTGATTTGTATCAAAAAGGCATCCAAAGAGCCAACTAGTTTGTACTATTCACTAGTGGCGCAACACTTATTATTGACCGAAAACCAAAACTGCCACTTACAACATCTGCTGAAATATCAACTGTGCATCCCTTTATTCATTTCATACCTAGGCAGTCATCGCTCTGTCGTTACAGGATGGCTAGCGCTTCAGTAAGCTGCATTTTAGCCACAGCAGTGGGGTCAACCTACACGTTGTGAGCCGTGGTGGCATCGACAAGCCTCTAACGGATCATTGGAGGCAATCACTCTATGAATGTCCCCCACGGGATATTCAACAATACACATTATCTTGCACTTCGAGCAATTTAAAACTTCACAGAGAAAGGGGTGCGCAAAAGGGGGATGGGCAAAATAATTGTTCACCTTCGGTCAGCCACTTACAAGCCCCCCACCCAGCCACCATCAACCTTGCAATCTTGCAAGCACGCAAAAATCGGTCCTCGAGGGGTTAAGAAATAGTCAAACGAGGTGCCAAGAAATCTCACGAAACCTTCTTTATCTGTAAACCCACTCCTAGATCTCACGCTCGCTGGAAGAGACTTGTTCGTGTACTCCGGCCCGTTTCTACATTAATATTAGCTCGTCCCACTAGACGAATCGAGATTTGCAGGCCCCCCAAATTGTTCATCTCTCGGATTTGGGATCGCCCCTGTATGGTTTGATTATCAAATACGGACTCAGCTGGGCTTGTTTTGACCTTTGGTACCCGACAAGCCCATCGGGCTATAAACATCGCGCATCCCCTTTGACCTTGCTGACCGAACCTAATCGCACATCATCATGCATCCCAAGCCGACAGGAAAAGACGATAGGACAGCCGAGGCTGGTGGGGTGGCTGTCGCGCCTGGGCTTGCGGAGCCGAGTGATTTGCAGTTGTTGGGTGAGTTTGCTAATACCTGGGAGTACGAAATGGCCCGGTCGCGTGCTGATCGTTGCTTGGTTGCGCCAAGCCAAAATGGGCTATAAGCAGGAATTGAAAAGACAGTACTCCACGCCGCAAATGTTTGCGATCGCGTTTAGCATTATGGGTCTTGTACCGTCTATCGCGTCGACTATCGCATTTTCACTACCGGCAGGTCCTGTTGGGATGGTTTGGGTACGTCTGCATCGACATAGCTGTGATACTAGTCCAGTCGATCGCTGATTTTTTTAATTGATAGGGATGGTTCACGGCGAGTATCTTCATTATTGTGGTTGCATTGGCTATGGTATGGTCGTTGTCCTAGTGATTTGTGTAGAGGAGACGTTGACAAGGTTCTAGTCCGATTTGGCATCTGCAATGCCAACGGCTGGAGGTCTATATTTTTGGACCCATTATTTTGCCGATGAGAAGTACAAGAACCCTTTGAGCTTCTTGATTGGCTATTCAAACACGCTGGGCCTCATTGGCGGTATATGCTCAGTAGACTGTGGGTTAGCAACCGAAACCTGATGCACGCAATACTAACTATTCAATTCAGATACATTTGCACTCATGATTCTATCTTGTGTCTCTATTTCTGGCGACTCGGACTGGACAGCCTCACGCGGCGTGATCTACGCTGTTTATGTGGGGTTGATCCTTTTCCACGGGCTATCTGCTGCTGTCTTAGGCCGCGTGATGCCCAAGATCCAGACGACCTGTATTTACATCAACATCGGTCTGATAGTTGCTACCGTGATTGCATTACCCGTTGGAAAGGTCGCTCGAGGCGGATCTTTGAATTCGGGCAAATATGTTTTCAGTCAAGTTGAAAATGAAACAGGGTGGCCGACTGGGTGGGCCTTCATGCTTGCTTGGCTCGCTCCAATTTGGTCTATTGGTTCCTTCGATTCTTGTGTGCACATGAGCGAGGAAGCTATGCATGCTGCTAGAGCTGTGCCGCTAGGTATCATGTTCTCTGCTGGCTCGGCTCTCGTCTTCGGCTTCTTGGTGCTCGCTGTTATGGCTGCCACCATGAATCCGGATGTGTCGCAAACTCTGGGTAGCAAGTTTGGACAACCAATGGCGCAGGTAAGAACGACCGATTGTGTCAAGTCGGGGGTGCTCGAGCTGACACAACATTTGCAGATCTACTATGACGCACTGGGCAAAAATGGTGCCTTGGGTTTCATGATTGTACTATGTATCGTCCAGTATCTGATTGGCCTTAGCTTGGTGAGTCGTAATATTTGATTTCTAAGGAAATTAAACCAGGATACTGACAGAATAGCTTGTGGCCGCATCACGCCAAGCATGGGCGTTCTCGCGCGATGGGGCTTTTCCATTCTCCAACTTCTTCCGCCAGATCAGCAGACGGTTTCAATACCAGCCCGTACGCATGATTATTGGTCTTGTAGTGATCTGTCTCATCTTGGGTCTACTGTGCATTATCAACAATGCTGCTACAAACGCCTTATTCTCCTTGTTCGTTGCGAGCAACTATCTATCTTGGGGTATGCCGATCTTCTGCCGATTGGTCTGGGGCGAACATCGATTCAAGCCGGGAGAGTTCTATACTGGCCGCTTCAGTAGGCCAATCGCATGGATTGCTGTTCTCTACTTGCTTTTTGGTGTGGTTTTGTCGATGTTTCCCAACGCAGCGCCGAATCCGGGTCGTACGTGCCTCTTTCTTGGCCATTTATTCCCAAATGTGTATGCTGACTTTGTGGTTTTTGCAGCGCCTGATATGAATTATACAGTTGTTATCAATGGCTTTGTCTGGATTGGTTGTATGGCCTATTACTTCCTGTTTGCCAAACACTGGTTCACGGGGCCGCGAACAACAGTCGACGAAGATCGCTCTACTGAGTCAGATACCGCTATTGTCAATTCTTTGCCCAACGACTCCCACATATCAAAGGAAAATTAATATACTCGACTAAGCGAGAGTACCTGGGCTATTCTTAAGATTTCTTGGTCCAAAGAAGTCCCGAGCGGGGGTCTTTGAGGTGACTTGCTGTGCTCGGGAAATCTATCTTCCACCAGTTAGCAAAATTTTGATTCCACGAAAACTCCAAATAGACCAGATATTCAATTTTGTACTTAGAATCCAAAAGACAAACAATCTAATACCTACTACATTTTCAATTATTCGCTAGACTAGCCCTGGTCGCTATATTCTTTAGGCTGTTCCTCGCCTGGAGGGTAGATCTCGCTAAAAATAGGGGCCCAGGATGACGTCGAACCCCACACTTCCCCTCATTCTGAAGCCAGGGGACACCTAAACTCATCAACATTTGCAACCCAGGCTGACAGACATTCAGGCCAAGACACGAGGCAAAAAGCAAAATCTTGCATCTAGGACTTGAGCACTATTATGAGCCAAGGTCATGAGGGTCCAGGGGAGTTGGACGACAGCGATAACAATGACCTTACCCAGGTACCGAGCACAGAAACCAGGAGGTCAATAGAGTCATTGAATCAGCGACAACAAAATATCCAATGGAAGCCTGCGTCAAGGACCGTCGAAGAGACACTGGCTGAAGGTCTCTCCAATGAGGATCTCTGGCTGTTGATTCGGCGATTCAACAAGGTATGCAGAGAGACTAGCTTCAATGTCGCGGGGGCTAACACGTGATCAGCAAATATACCATGTGAAAGCAGTTCAAGATGCAACAAGTCAGAATCTAGATTTGAATCGAGCGGAAGATGAACAGTATCCTCCTGAGAAACTACGCATGACCATCGAGCGGTTCTATACGTCTGTTATTGTTGGCGTGGTTGAGCTGTTTCGACATGTTACACGACTTAGATCTTGGAGGGAACCCGGGCGGACTTCTGCATTTACATTAGTGTGTCCCTTCTTCTGTCTGACTTGTGTATGAGTGGAGATACTGACGACTAAAAGGTCTATTTTCTGTCATGGTACTTGGATTTACTAGTTCCCATCATCCTAAGTGTAATGATGGCCTTGATTATGTTCCCACCAATTCGGCCAATACTTTTTCCCACTGCTGCAGTGTCGAATAATTCCCCTTCGTCGATGGGCAAGAATGGGCAGCCTGAATCCCAGGACAGTTTAACTGGAGCGCCAGAAACCCATAAGGGCGAGGCGGCTGAACAGGAAGCGAAGAACATGATCGATAACGTGGCAACAATTGCTATGGAAAGTGCCGCCGGAAAGTATGGCCAAGCTGTGCCTCAAGATCTTGATGAGGTACCTCCTGCATCTGAAGCATTCGACGTTGCGGATACTGCGGGTGATACCTTGCTGGAAGATTCCCCTGAGGACAAGACGAAAAAGCCCATGAGGAGTCAAGTGTCCCGGGGCACTGACAAGGCTATGCGTGCGATCAGTGATATCACGGATATTTACGAACGATTCGCAAAGTGGGTAAATCCTGGTTAATATCAAAGCAGAAGAAGAACTCGGCTGACACAAGAAACAGTCTCTTGTCTCCCACTCCACCATTTCTCCTGGTAACACCACGGCTGCGTCTTTCGGGTATATTGGGCTTCATTTGCTTAGTGTTTCCTTTCACATCCAGCTATAGTATCATCAAGGCAGTGGGATTTATCATGGGAGTTGGATTCTTCGGTGATCCGCTCTTCAGATTTGGAATTGCTGTGTTGAATCGGACGATTCCGAACTGGAAAGATCAAATGGACATCCAAAAGTATGTCCCCGCAAATGTCTAAGCCCTCCTTACTGTGCTAATATGTATTTAGAACACTGTTGGCAGGCGTTCCCACCAACGCACAGTTGACTCTGACACTGTTCAGAATCGGAGAGATCAATTCTTCTCCATTACCACCACCGCCGAAGTCCGGCGACAACGAGCCATCTTGGCCAATTCGCCGCAAGAAGTCCTCAGCCAAGCTCCTTACCCAAGGCAGTAATCCTGACCTTTCAACCGGCCCCCCAACGCAAAATGTCAACGGTCCTCTTCCGCCAGTCAGGCCTAAGGGGAAATGGATCTACAAAGTTATGAAGTTTGTCCGTCGCACTATCGCAACAGCTATTAGAGGTCATACCGCCTTTGACCGCGCCATGGCCATCGCCGGCGCTGCACATACAAAGAATTTGATCACGATGCTCCAGAAGAAACATTTTTCGTCAAAACCTTTCGGGCCTCTGAAGTTCGATGCTAAATTTATGAAGAAGAGAGGCGCGGCGGTTATAGACTCTACCCAGGAGCCACCTATCCTGTACTTCACGACATATCAGTCTTCAGGACTCGATGATCTCCGTCTGGAGAGTCGCAAGAAGAGCTCAGTTTTGTTCCAGATCCCAGTCACGGAAATTCAGGAGTTGAAGAAGACTGAGGGTCTGGGGTGGAAGGGCAAGTTGATTGTGGAGCTGACGGCTGGTAGTAAGGAGGCTGCCGATGGATTAGTGGTCATTGGAAAGGAGGAGGGACAGTCGTTCCATCTTACTGGGATGAGATCGCGCAATCAATTGTTCAATCGATTGGTGGCCATGGACGCGCAGTTTTGGGAGAGTCGATGAGATTTTGTGATTATGATGTGAATATGTAACGACAAGTTGATTTACTTTGACGATATTAGGCTACATACTATAGTCAATTACAGCCTACTCAGCAAGTCACCTGGCTGTCCTTGCAACAAACTCTTTCTACAGATTGGATTCAAGCTCAAAATTACCTTTCAGCCATCGTTAAGAAGGGATTCGTGAAACTGTGAGGAATCATTGAAAATATGTATTGTACTATACAAGTAACGCGCATGTATCCCATATTTTAGCCAATACAAGCTGAAAGTATATTAACAAATCCCAAGTCGTAATAAAGCATCACCATCCCGGACACCTACTCGGGGCTGGTAGCAAGAAGACATTATACAAGGTTCACCCCCTATTTACAGGGCAACCATAATACCGAGAATACCGGCGACACCGGCAAGGGCGGCTCCCATAGCCTCAGGACGAGCCATAGCACCACCAGTGCTAGAAGAGGCAGAGCTGGAGGAGGTGGTAGTTCCGGTAGTTGATGAAGGGGCAGTAGTGATTGTGGAGGCGATAGTCGTCGTCTTGCCGTCAGAGTTGGTGGTGGTGAACTGGCTGACCCAGGTGGAAGCACGGCTAACAGCCTCAGAGCCAATAGACTCGCCGACGGATAGGATAGAGGAGCCAGCAGTCTCGGCGGCAGATGCAATGGAGGCAGCATCCTTGGTGATGGAGCTCACGGCGGTCGAAACAACGTTTACGATGGAGGTGACATCGGCAGCAGCGGAAGAAGCGATGTTCTCGGCTCCTGAGACGATCGAGTTCACGTCAATGCCATCGGGGTTGGCCAGGGCAGCGCTGGCGAGGAACAGGGCGGAGGTGAGGATGGTGAACTTCATTGTGAATTGAGTTTATTGGAGTATGACTCGGGTTGATGGAGGCTGTTGGTATAAGGCTGAGGTGGAAGGAAGCTCGTTTAAAGGCGTGGATGCGTTAGGATTGGATATGTACAAGAGCGATGCTAAAATTGGGTCCCAGGAGACCTATATATCCACGGAAAGGTATCCCAATTTCATATCCGAATATAGATAGGAACAGGAGAAAGTGGTGACTGGGCTGTGCGTTAGGCAGTGGCGATGTGACTTCAGCCGTTTGGGGGAAATGAAACGGAGCAATTCCCTTTGAACGATCTGCACCAGCTGGGCTGCGCAGAGTTGCACCCAAATAACGGCCGTAATTGACCTTGGTCAAGGCAATCGTCATTTCAGGGCTCCACTTGCGAGACCGGTGCGGCCGATGATTTGTTTCAATGTATTTTCCGCCCCAGTAGACCGCGGGCCGAACGACCTGCGAGATCCAAGCCCTGCAGTTGGGATCTCGTGCTTATCTGCCAACTGTATGAACGCGTCGTCCCGCACATAAGCTGGAACAACTTGTCGACACAGCCTGCTTGACAGAACTGATTTTAGAAACGAGCAACTGCTGGGTATTCTGCTGCCTTCAGGATCTCCCGACAGATTCGTTGCAGCCGGAACCCACCGCATGTGTCGCCCGCCACAGCCTCCAATAATGACAGTCGTCAACCCCTGAGGTGGAGATGTAGCCCACCGGGAATTATCTCCACAGATCGGGGGGGGAAGGGCAACGAGCCTCCTGTGATTGGTTATTTTATTAATATTACCTACCCCAGAGGATCAGTTGTCGGGCATCGCGTCAGCCAATGCCCTAGCCCAAAACACGACGAGCAAAAGCCCTCCATGATCGGGGTAAATGGGAACTCATGATTCCTGCTTCAGGCTCTGTTTCCAATGAAATAGGCCAAGGGGCCAAGAGCCTTGGATGACGTTCCTTTTGGCGGGTCGAACTGCGAAACAGGAGTAGGGTGGAATTGGCAGAGATCTGCTCCGGACACCACCGAGAGGCGAAGCACTTCGGAACCCATCGGACTTTGCCTCAGGCATCAATGCCCCAGCCACCGTCACGTGTTTCTAAAAACAGAATTGACACCAAAATAGAAGCATGGATGTAGTCAGCGCGAGCTCCTTCCACCAACTAACTAACTAGCATAGAAGGCCTTGCGATGATTGGAATGCTCCGTGATCCATTACAGAGGCCTGAACATGGAGCACTATCCCTCGCTATTTCTGGTCAGATCGTACAGTATTTGTCTGGAGTGCGTCCCTTTCACTTTACGGCCGTAAGATTCATGCTCAGCTCGTCGTGGAGATATATCCATGTCCCAAGTTGAGAACATGGCAGTGTACGGCGCAGAAAACAGTGGTGAGCGGGAATTTGGAACAAAGAGGTGAGTGAGTCAATCAATTTTAATTAGAATTAACTATTATTATCGAAAGCCTAATTCATGCCATGTGATATGTCCAGATTTAATGTTATAGACACGCCAAAACACCAACAACCAATCGGGCAAGCCTCCAAACATCTAGCACCCTAGGACGCAAATTCCCCGTAAGCCTGAATGATACCTTCCCATCCACCAGCATGATTATCTTCTTTGGGATTGTTCTTCCCATCCAATACAATAACCTCCGTCATGCGCGTGCTAATCGAGTACCAGATGAGGTTCTGCGGCGCGCCCGTTACCCGCATCATATTAGCTTGACATTTGCCTTGGCACGGCTCATTATAGAGACCGTTCCAATAGCCGTCAAAGAAGGCCCACGCAGCTGAGTTGTATAACGCAATGTTCGATCCTCCATCAATGTTGGTTGCCAGTGCCGTTCGGCATTTGTCGTCGTTTGGTCCACACCACGAGAAGTCGGGGTCACCTAGTGTGGGGTTGACGGTCCAAGGCGCTGGTGCCTTCTCGAACTCGCCAGATCCCTGCATATATGGGGACTCACTTTGGAGTAGGCCTGCGAAAACGTTGGACGCATTGTGGAAGTTGTAATTATAGAGCCAATGGTGCTCGGAGCCTGTCCCAGTGAGCCAAGTGCCCTTGGTGGACTCGACAAGAATGCCGCGGCCAGTGGAGACGATTGTGAAAAGGGATTTACTGTCCAAGTTGTGATCGGCAGTCCATCCCCAGAAGTTCTCGATGTATGCAGATGAAGTCTCGGTCAGGTGCATGACCATGAAGGCAGCCATGCAATCCTTGGAGTCCTGCGATGTGCACGTAGTGGAGATACTAGTTTCCGCAGTGCCTCCAACCATAACCAAGGTATTCCACAGTCCTACATCACCGGGCTGCTGTCCAGCTGCATTGATTTCAACTACCTTGGCCCCGGGAAGGGCTTCGGCAACAGAGAATCGTATATCCTGGATCTCAATGGTGCCCACATCTCCCGGATTACCGACGCGCACAACAGGCCTGGGAGCGTTGGGGTTCTTGAAGGCATCACCGTATCCAGATATAACAGACCATGCTTCACCGACAATGCGAGATCCAACCGGAATAAGAAGGGTGTCTGAGACCCTGTACGCTCCGAAGGGGATGTATGTGATCTTGCAGTTTGCGGCATTCTGAGCTAGAATCGCATTGAGAGCCACAGTATCGTCGGTGACGCCATCACCCTTGACGACATGGCCAGCAACAGTCTTCACGTTGACGATATCCTGGCCACCAAATCCAGCATAACTTGGTTGAGGCTTAGTGAAGTATTTCCCGTTAACAAGGAGCTGGGGAGATCGGTGAGTATTCCATGACCCTCCTGGTGCGTACGCCCCAGGAACCATGGTACCCCAAACCCAGGTGTCGACATATGTTGTTGCTTCCAAGCGCGTGTGGCCATTGGTATCGACTGCGATCGGCTCTTTCGAGTTATATTCAAGATTCTGAATGAGGAATTGGCTATTTTGATAGCCAGAATCGTGCGAGGAGTCATGAAAACGTATTAATGGACCGGAGTTTGTGGATACCGAGTCCAGAATTACCAGGCTACCGAGAGCGTTGGCCCTCATGTCGACGCCCGTACCGCATAATTCAAAGATTGCTCCTTGCAAAAGTACCGTCCATCCACCAGAGGCTTCGAATGCAGTACGACAGGAGAGGAAGTGGACATTCTTGAAGTTGACTTGCTGATTCGAGTTTATGATGCCGGTTGCTCCACCAATGATAGTCTGTGTGCGATTGTCAGTGAATGTTGTGAGAATGAAAGTAGAGTTATGTTTTACTTACCACATCGGTGACAGCGATCGTCGAGCCGGCCACAATATTGATACCCGTGTGCTGACTGGACCCTGTGGGCATGCGCACTTGAATGTTGGTTAATCCAGCGCCCTGCGCCACACCCCATTGCAATGCCGTAATTGACTGGCTTGGTGACACAGCAGTGGTGTCCAGGATGATATTTTTGATCAACATCATGAAGCTAGTCTCCGGGTTGCCGTTCATCTTGTCATACCCCATGATGAGGAACTCGCCTTGGAAATTAGGTGCAGCCTTGATAATCGGGGGGTTGCTCGGATCGCCAACAATGATGGTACCAACAGTAAGAGTGAGGGTGCTACCAAGTTGATAGGTGCCACCGGGAAGAAAGACTTGGGCTGGATTGCGAGTCACACCGCGTCCTTTGCGACTGCCTCCATTGCCGTCGTCATCAATCGCGTGCTGTAATCTAGCCGTTTGATCGCCTGTGCCGTCGTTGACAACGAAGTAATCCATGGCATTGCGGAACACAGGATACAGGTTGGGATCGTTTGTGAATGGTGCGTATCCAGCGCCCGCACCATTGTGATTCTGTGCCTGCAGCCAATAGACATCCGATGTCTTCTGGGTGGGACCTGGGCAAGTCTTTAATGTGGGAGCATCTGATGGGCTGGTGGGAGTGGGAGGGCCAACGCTACTGGGATGCGCAGTATCAGTCAAGCTGCTTGAGCTCAGAGGCTCGGAAGAACTCGACGGCAGAGGAGGTGCTTGCGCGGGCGGGATTGATTGAATAGGCGAAGGTGAAGGCGTCTGAATGGGAGGAGGTGACTGGATTGGCTCAGGCGTAGGCTGGCTAGAGACAGTGGGCACCGGAGGTAGGTTATCCAAATTTGAGCTGGTAGATGGCGTCTGAATGGGAGGAGGCGACTTGACTGGCTCGGGCGTAGGCTGGCTAGAGACAGTGGGCACCGGAGGTAGGTTATCCAAATTTGAGCTGGTAGATGGCGCCTGAATGGGAGGAGGTGACTGGACCGTCTCAGGCGTAGGCTGGCTCGAGACAGTGGTCACCGGAGGAGGTTTATCCAAATCTGAGCTTATAGATGGTGTCGCCAGAACAGAGCTCGTATCTGTGGGGCCTAATAAATCCAGCCTATGAAGAACTCATTAGTCTCGTATCATATCATATCCTCATATCCATGTTCAAATCACATACTCAGACGCCAGGCTCAAAAACCACGGTGGCACACTTATTCTTGATTCTGGCACGGCAGCATCAGAACCTGCACGAATGCCTGTAGTTGGAACGACTGCGCCAAAAACTGAGGCAGCTAAATAAGCCACTGCTGTAATGGAGATTTGTCCCCGCATCTTCAAATGATCTCAACCTCACACTCAACACGCTGCAAAGGCAAAAGAAGATGAAAAGAAAGACATGGACCACGTAATGAAAGAAAATAAAAGATCTAGGGCCCAGATTCCGGTCACATAACAACACGCACGCCGGTTATGCGGCATCCATATAGACTGGCATGCCTGCGTGGGGATGTTGTTCATCAAGAATGCAGCTTCACGCCAGTGCGGTTGCTCCGCATCGACGCCCCTTGCACAGCCAGGGAGCCGAGGAACGTACCCGACAGGGCCATTTTAACTAAATAGCATGGTATTTTGTTCGAAAAAGCATCAAAGGGTGCTAGAGCCTAACTATCTTGACTGTTTTGAGATTCACTCAATTCGAAGTCGAATGGTTCACATTGTAGGAGGAGGCTAAGTTTTGATTTTACCCGATTCAGCTACCTCGTCGTGCCTAGCTTCAGCCTCGTTGGTGCGACGGCCTATATGGATATGTAGTGTTCCAAATCTTTAATACGTGAGCCTTGAAAGATTCTGGCCATACTTAAGTTCCAATTGTTCTCTTTTCATATTGTCAATGTTCTTGGCGAAACTTATGCTACAAGGTATTGGCTAAATCTCGGCTCTAGTTGCCATAGAGCTACCCCTTGAATATGCGATCCTCACTTTTCTCAGCCCAGGGACCGGCAACATGCCTCAAAGTGCCGCAATGGCACCGTACAAGAGAGGGTGACTTTGTGTCCGAGTGTGTACGAATTCCACAACTCAGACGAATTCCACAACTCAGACGAATTCCACAACTCAGACGACCCTAGGTGGCGAGTTGCACAGAGGACCAAATCTGTGTGCTTTTCAGCCGCTCCGATTCTTAGGTCAGTCTGGAAATAATAAGGAACTGTAAATTAAATCCTTTGCATGGCCAATAGGTCCTAAAGTCGTAGTCTCCTTTTGCGACACTGCGAGAAGGTCATCCAAAGAAAAGCGGGAGTTTCAAGACATCGCCTTTTGGACCGTCTATTTTTGAAAGGGTAGCGATTGTCTTACCAAGCCCAGGATGCCCTGTTGCGCATCGAAGGCCCGATTGGACGTAGGTGGCGATTCGTTATGTACACCGTCTCGCCTTATAGCTAGGCAGGAACAGCTCCGTTAGGAGGGCTATATGTGCTCAATACAACCAGCCAATTCGACGTCAGAACGAGCCTATACGCAATCTCTCGGGCTAGGGACTTCAAAATTCAGGCTTCGAATTTGGGCTTAGCAAGACAATTTCCCTTGAATAGTAATGATCTCCAGGTAAGGCCCCCGGCTTCCATTGTGGGACAGGTCGTGCTTGCCGGGCGCCTTAAACGTGGGCATCTACCACAAACTCCCTCAAAATAGAACAAAGATAATAATTGGAGCTATGTACAGGCGTTTACGGATGTGGCTGCGGTAGGCTTATGTGGCGCCGTAGCGTGTATACGAGTCCGACACATTAGGTCTCATCGATGGTGATCATCTGGGGTTACATGATTGAGAATCTCATCTCATGGTGGGTTGCCTCATAATTCACTGTGTTTTTAACAACCAGCTTTTTAACGTTTTGAATGTATAAATATCGAGCTGTCCCAGTCCAAATCTCTTTCATCGACCAACAACTTCACAATATCTCAACTGCATAGCTCAATCCAAGTTCTCCAAAACCGCTGCCCAAAGTTCAATCAAAATGAAGTCCGTCATCGCTACCATTATTCTGGCCGCCAGCTCGGCCTTCGCCGCGCCTGCAGAGATCAAGCGATCCACCAATCTCCAGATCACCGACTTTTGGGCCATTGCATCCATCCCAGAATCCAGCGCTTCAATGCATTTTGTTCTCACTGACCCTAACTATCCCAATGATACTCCAACTAATTGCAATTTGATCTGGTATGGATAGTGTTCTCTGTTCTCAGGCGGACAAAATCGCTAATATTGGACAGGACTTACGGCAATTCGCCCAAGCAAAACGCTCGATGCAACAACGAGGAGTACTATATCAAGTTCCCACAGGGTGCTCCCGACTTCAATCTTTTCACTCTGGAGCTTGAGCGGGTCAATGGGTCAATTCCCGAGGATCGCCAGATCTTGCTGAGTTCGAACGCAAACGGAGGCGCCCCTGGAACCAAGTGGATCTGCGTGAACAACCCTTCGGCGGATATCAAAATTCGTTGTGATTACGATGGTACTCTCGAGTTCTGAGCTCTGATGATCAGGAATGACGACTGAGAAGGAACCGATATTGGGAAGTGTTTTGTCTGTTTGGCTATCATACTAGATGCCCCTCACTCGCTGCTTTTGAATAGACCTGGGTATTATCTTTTTACTGCACATTCGTTCCCCTGTTGTTTACTGAGACGAATCTATAAGGCGTGTAAAGAATAGTCCATATGGGCTTTTGCACGTCTAGTTTGTTTTCAGGCGTATATTCAACTAAGGGTGCTCCCATCAGATACTGAATGGAATTTCTCGAGAATTGGTCAAATTCATTCTAAACGGCGTCCCAGGCACATTCATGGTGATTCAGGCGATATCTGTAGATTATTGTTTACGTTTACGCCAGGATCTATATCATTTTGGAAATCGAACCGGTATTGTGTCTGTAAGATACAGGATTGAACGCCTACTATGTACTTTTCCATGCATGAAAGTCTTTGATTGAACCTGTCTATTAGATACTCAATTACCCACTCTTATTGGTCATAACAATACACAAACGGCGCAAATTAGGCTCTAAACTCCGTGGGCGCATTATTTGAGAGGGAAAGAAATACGAACCTCTAGGTCCTTCCAAAAATTCCCTGCGGAGTCATCGCTTTCGCTGCGAGTCCAAAAAGTCCACCGACAATTGACACAGCGCCGCTGAAATACGACATCTCAGCGAACCCATGATAATGATTGACCATTGCTCCATTAACAGGGGGCCCAATCAAAGCTGCAAAAGATGCAAAACCCATGGCTGCTCCCAAGTACGTGCCAATCTCCTGGGGGTTTCCAATGCAGATTGTCAGGGCTGCAGATCCACCGGAGATGATCGTTCCCGATGTGAATCCAACGGCGATAGAGTAGACCACCAATGCAGCCGTAGACTTAGCTTGGTCGAAACAGAATATAACGATTCCTGTCGCAAATCCCCCAATCACGAAAATGTTTAGCCGCCCAAATTTGTCCGCAAGAATTCCAGGAATGACCCGGCCAAACGTGGACGCTGCGTTGAGAATGGAGAGCAGGTACGAGGCAAGTGTAACATCCATCCCTCGAGACACTGCGTATGTCGGAAGATAAAACAGTGGGGAAAACATCCCAATGAACATAAAGAACATAGCAGCGGTGATGAGGCAGAATTTGACGTTCTTGAATGGTGCGGCCATGAAGAACGCAGACTTGCGCGGTGGAAGATGTGCCGTGACGGTGATACATGAGAAGGCAAGTATGGGAATGAGCATGAAGCCAATGATCCGCACCGACCATCCGAAGCCCAATGTAGTGCTGTTCAGCATTTTCGAAAGTGCGATCGGCATGACCACACCCCCGATCGAGGATCCAGCCACCACTGCTCCTAGCGCAGCAGCTCGCTTTTTATCGAAGTATTGAGTCACGGCCGCCATAGCTGGGAATTGAATCAAGCCCATTGCAGAGCCCATGAGAATGCCTTGTGCAAGGATGAATTGCCAGTATTCCTTGCATAGGCTGGTCATCATGATTGCAAAGATGTACAGAACAGCTGCGGGCCGGATAACCTATGGCAATGTCAACAGAGCGGCTAACTTACTACTTTAACACAATTTAAACATACCCAAGCACCATATCTATCAAATAGTGGACCTCCAATTGCGCCCGCTGCAAATTGCAGACATGAAGCCAGAGATCCTATCCAAGCTACATCGTCTGCGGATTTGCCAATGAGCTGGTGAGACAGATAGTATTCCTCGAAGACACCGAATGCATTTGCGAAACCTAGGGCAGCAAAAAAGACGCAAGAGCCCCCAGCGGCAGCAAGCCACGCTCTGAGACCGCCATCTGGGGCATTTGAACTTGCATCCAAATCCTCCTTTGTCAACGTAGTGGGGTCCGGCTGAGATAGGGAAGACGCCGCACGTTCAAGGTCCGAGGAGATCATGGCAAATATATATGCTCTGAAAATTCACGAGATATAATAATAGAACGAGGGAAATGTAGAAATATTCGATCAAAGAAGCGGAAATATAGATGATGAGTTTTCATGTTAACTTGCAGGGACATAAGCTCGACTTTATATCTAATTGACTCAACGTTAGGGACGGGTTGTATACACGCTAGCAAGACTTCTCACAGCTTAGTTACGGACTCGGAGTCGGGAAATGGTAGACGAGACGGACTAAAGACGCAATTCCCGAGCGCCAAGCTGACAGCCTCGCCATGCCCCCCGAGTCCCCGACCGAACATTTATCATCAACAACGGCCCCAACAATTGGAAGATTATGTGAAATCGCTAAATAATTTGTCACTGAAAGCCAAGCCGACCGCGACGCTTTCTCTATGACCGAACCCGAGCGCCGACGGAGGAGGCCACCTGTGTACGTACTCAGTAAATTGAACGACCAATAAATATCTACTGACTGCTGGAAATATAGCTCGTGCACACTGTGCCGAAGGCGAAAAATCAAATGCAATCGGGAATCTCCATGCAGCAATTGTATTCGTTCGAAAGAAGCAAGCTGCGAGTATGCGTCTTCATCGCCGCCGCCCAAACGTTGGCGAACGGCCACTAGCCAAGCACCCGATCTTCGGATGTCTGAATCCAACGCGTCAGAATCTTTAGTTCTCCCTGAGCTCTCGACCAGCGTTTGCTCGGTAAACACTTTGTCAAGTCGGTCGTCACTGTCAGCAGCGGTAACGTCGTCAATAAGTCCTTCGACGCCAGCGAGCCTTGGATCGACTAAAGAAGCCGAGTCGCTAAGAAGGCAGGTCAAGCAGCTCGAAGAGCAATTATCTAAAGCAACGCGTCCGTCGATTTTTTCTAGCCCAGCGACTTCTAATACTGACTCTCAAACGATCACAACTTCGTCTCGTCTTGTCGGGACATTCTACATGAATCATGAGACTACCTCGGATGGTCATAGTCAACCTATTTCGCGATTCACTATGCACAAGACTCGCATTTTCGGACCAAGTCACTCTATGTCGGGCGTAGCTCAGGTAAGCTCCCTAGGTTTTATTGACACAGCGAGAGACTTACAACGGCCAAGTTCGGCGATATCCTTGGAATGATCGATCCCATTATCAATGACGAGACTTCGAAAGTGATCCTCGAAATGCAAAAATGTAAACATTTGGGCAAGATCATCAAGGAACGACGAAGGCCTCCATGGCCTACACCCATGACTTCGGACTTACCCCCGAAAGAAATGGCTGATACATTGGTGGAAATCTACCTGCGAACAACGGAGACTATCTATCGGGTTTTCCATGTCCCGACATTTAGAAAGGAATATGATTCTGTCTGGTCTCCCGTAGCATCCCCTGATACCGCGTTTCTCGTCCAGTTGAAACTGGTATTGGCAATTGGCGCGACGATGTACGATGACCGCTTCACGTTACGACTTTCTGCTGTTCGGTGGATCCACGAGGCACAAACTTGGATCTCAGAGCTTGAGATCAAATCCCGATTGAATATTCAGTATCTACAAACTCAGATCTTGCTCCTGCTTGCGCGTGAGCTTGTTGGCGTCGAGGGAAGCTTCATCTGGGTCTCGGCCGGAGAGCTCATTCGGAACGCCATGTACATGGGTCTCCACCGAGATCCGGATAATCTGCCTAAGGGTACAACATTTGTGGCCGAGTTCCGTAGGAGGGTATGGAACACTGTGTTGGAACTCGCACTTTATTCAAGCATGGAGTCTGGTGGACCACCTCTCCTCTCACTCGAAGACTTTGACACAAACCCACCGCAGAATTTGGACGACGAGCAAATAGTGCTTGAGAATCCTATGATAAAGGCGGAGAAGTCATTCACGAATATGTCAATCTCGCTTGCTCTCAGAAGGATGTTCCCAGTTCGACTCGCCATCGCGAAACGGTTGAACGGAATCAGTGACCATAGTGGATACGCAGAAACTCTCCGACTCGACGCAGAGCTGAGGGCGTCTTATAAAATCGCTTGTAAAGATATACAAGCTCACAGTGGTAGTGTTTCAGCCGCACCTTCAGAGTTTCAGAAACGGTTACTTGACTTCATCCTCCGCCGCTTCCTGGTTGCACTCCATGCACCTTACTTTCCCGCATCACAACATGAGACCACCTACGCATTCTCCAGAAAGGTGATTGTCGAAAGCTCACTCAAAATATGGAACTCCATTTACCATAATCCAGCCGTGGTAATATCTGCTGAATGCGCGGGTAATAGCGCCCAGAAGCAACATGATTTTTGGCGAATGGCGCTCTGCGGAAACAGGGGTCTAAGGTCAGGTGCCGTGCAAGCATGCTTCCTAATTGCTGCCGACCTCAGAGCACAGCTGGAGGAGGAAGAGGGCCTTGGCCCTGTCACACTGAGACATGACTTGTTGTCTGTAATAACTGATTGCAAGTCATGGTCATTGGATGCTTTCAGGGCTGGGGAAACAAATGCCAAGGGGTACATGTTTCTCGCAATGGTTTCAAGCCTGTTAGACGGGCTTAAGAGCGGGGTTCGAAAAGACCAGTTGGGTCAAATGCTTGTCGCGAGCGCCGAGGAGGCGCTAGCAAGTTGCATAGAAATATTTGAGGGAGTGCTCAATGAAGGTTCAGACGAGGTTGAGATTTCTGTGGATGAGATTGCTGATATTCCGTCATATTCTCTACCGGAGCTTATAGGAGAATGGAGTTTTATGGTATGTTTGAGGTTATTAAGAAAACCAGGTATCTGTTAACACCCAAAGCAGGGCCAACAAAATCAATTCGACTTTGGTGTTACCGAGCCAATGAACTGGGTGTATACCGGGTATCCCTAGCTCATGAGCAAATGTTCAAAACTGAACAGTATGTTTCAGGAATACGAAACTATCTGATTATCTTGGGACGAATTCGTTAGACTCCGTGTGTGATCGATCTGAGGTGGCTGAGGTGCTCGGACAAAGATTCCGACGGAATGACGTGAACGATGCTCTAAACTCTAAACCAACAGACAGAAGTCTAAATGCTTCTGGATCCCCTGATAATCCTTCGATTGTGTCTGATTGGCCCCAGGCGTGATCTAGTCCTGTGCTAAAGCTCGATGGGCGGGAGTATACCCGATAGCCGCCGCCATGAGCTCATTTAACTGCCCAGAATGGCCACTCGAAATTTATGCTTCACCTTCGCGTTGCCGCAACATAGAACTTGGCTCAGGTTATGTTGATTTCGTTGATCGAAGCAGCCCTTTCAGCGGCAGAGATCGCCATCCACGAGGGATTCATCGGTCCATAGTAAGTGTGGAAGTCGCCTGGTATATGGTCTGTTCCTGAGGGTTGAACTAATCAACCAAATCTAGCAGACCCCCTAAGAACCTCATGCTGTCCTGGTGAATATTTAGCTGCAGAGTGCTGGGATAATATCGCCGGTCGCCATGTCCGAGCCAGACAGAGGGCATCCCTCTTCCCCAACCGATGGCAACGGCAGCAACGGCAGCAACGGCAGGGATGATCAACGATCTATCTCGCCCGAAAGATCGGAATCGGGAAGCCAGAGACAATATCGAGAGAATGAAAATCAAAATCGTGAGAAAGCCGACCAAGAGCGCGAAACCCCGGGGAAAAGCCCGCCACCCTCGAGACATATTCATTTCCGGTCCCAAGCGAATCTTGCCCAGGGAGCAGAACGCCAACAACCACGCGATGATCCCCGCGCGGAATGGGACAGATCTCACAAGCTGGCCATACCACATCGCCCGTCAATGCCCTACCTCCATGACTCAGAAGATATAACTGATGCCCGACCGCAAGATCAAGGGCAGGGCGATCAAGAGGCTCAGGAGACAAAGGAAAAGCAACCCGAGGGAGCGCCGCCCGAACAGCCACCTTCAGTGGAGACCGGTCCAGACACATTCAATCTCGGATACGCAAAGCGAAGAATCCGTTCAGCAGCCGACAAGCTCAAGCAAAAGGCTGCCAAATTTGGCGAAGTGCTGGGCCGTGAGACAGGCGGTGGAGATGATCTACATCCCGGTGTGTACCACGCCGACTGGGCGTCTGGGAGTCAACCACCAGTATCGGACGTAACGGACAATAAACATAAATCTGATGAAGAGAAGCGACAGCATCAGGCTCAAAGTAGCTCGGAGGCCCATCGGCTGGTGCGCGACTTGACGCAGAGTCATTCCGGAAAACGGCGCAAAACGCGGCCAAAGCCATATCCGCATGGGGGCATGAATTACATTGGAGGGGAGGATGAATCAGCTTTGGAGTCTGGGCTGCGATATCGTTCTGGGGGTGGTGGAATTCTCTCGCAGTTGATCAAGTTGAATGGTGGGAATCAACAACAGGCAGGTGGGGGCTTGCCATCTCGAACACCGAGTCAGTCATCGCTGTCCGGGCCAGCTTCACGGTCGGACTCTGATTCTGGACGAGGGACGCCTGGAAAGAAAACCAAACGGCCTAAATGGTACAAAAGGCCGCCCAACACTTCGACCTCGACTCTAGTCGGAGCTTCGGGTGATCTAAGCGGACCCAGTACGCCAGTCTCGAGCGAGGTGCTATCTGCGGCATCACAGCGTCGTGGCCAACAGGCCGAGCGCAAGACGAACCTGGAAGATGAAATCAGAGTGACTATCCACATTGCCGAAATCATCTGTCGACAGCGATATATCATGCAACTGTGTCGAGCATTGATGCTGTTCGGTGCGCCGACCCACCGGCTGGAAGAATACATGCAGATGACCGCGAAAGTGCTGGAGGTTGACAGCCAGTTTTTGTATCTGCCGGGTTGCATGATCATGTCGTTTGATGATCCGTCTACGCGAACGACGGAGGTGAAACTAGTTCGAGTCGGGCAGGGTGTTGATCTTGCTCGGCTGTCTGATACTCACCTCATATACAAGAACGTCGTTCACGACGTGATTGGAATCGAGGAGGCCGTGCAGGAACTAGACGATGTTATGAAGAAAAAGCCCCGGTATCCGAAGTGGGTTATCGTGGTAGTGTACGGCCTAGCAACTGCAACTGTTGGTCCATTTGCTTTCAGTGCTCGACCAATCGATATGCCCATCATCTTCATCAATGGACTACTGGTAGGGCTGATGCAGCATGTGGCCGCGCCTCGATCGGTTCTCTACTCAAATGTCTTCGAAGTCACGTCGACAGTGGTAACATCTTTCCTGGCTCGCGCTTTTGGCAGCATCCCACGGGCGGTTATCGATGGCAAGCGTCAGTATATGTTCTGTTTTTCAGCAATCGCGCAATCGTCGATCGCATTGATTTTGCCTGGCTTCCTGGTTCTATGTAGCAGTCTCGAACTACAGTCCCACCAGATCATCGCCGGCTCAATCAGAATGGTATACGCAATCATCTTCTCGCTCTTCCTCGGATACGGCATCACAGTTGGGACTACAATTTATGGTCTCATGGACAACAACGCCGTATCGGACATTCAATGTCCCCAAACAGGCGCATTCAAGAATCCATACGTGCAACGTTTCCCGTTCGTGACCATCATGACTGTGTGGCTTTTGATCATCAATCAAGGGAAATGGAAGCAACTACCCCCAATGACAATCATCGCGTTGTCAGGATACATCGGCAACTACTTTAGCACCAAAAAGCTGGGTTCAAACTCTCAAGTCGCCAATACCGTTGGTGCATTCATCGTGGGGATAATGGGCAACTTGTATAGCCGTTTATGGCATGGGCATGCTGCTACCGCTATCTTGCCGGCCATCTTCATTCTGGTGCCATCTGGTCTTGCGGCCACAGGCTCTTTGATTTCAGGTGTTCAATCCGCAGATCAGATCAAGCAGAATGTCTCTTCTCATGGGTCGGCGAGTTCGGCGCCTGGAGCTGGATTGGCATCCAGTAGCTCGGAGTTCAGCTTGGGTTTTGGCATGATCCAGGTCGCGATCGGAATTACTATTGGGTTGTTTATCGCTGCGCTTTGTGTGTATCCATATGGGAAACGTCGGAGTGGTTTGTTTAGCTTTTAGATCAATACAGTCTGAGATGACAGATTTGAAGTGCATATAGCTCAGAGCTCAGGTTCTTTGGAGAGAAATAGCATCCTTTTACACTTTTCTTCCCATTTGAAGGATTCTGTTAAGATGGCGATTTGTTTTACTGCCGATGTCGGGCCTGAAACAATTACAATCGATCATTACGTGAAATCTCAACAACTTTGCAGCTCCTCCGACTCCGCTCGCAACGAAAATGCGAATACGATACTTGGATCCTTAAACTGCCAACTTCCCGCGAAGCTAGTGTAGGAATCCGCCAAGAAGCAGCCCTTTAGGCCCGTAGAGAAGAATAGCTGTTACACGTGGGCTGCGAATACGAAAGTGAGCAAGGACCTCCTGGGCACCAGCACGCGCATTAAGCGAAGATGCATGCATTACCTCGTAGGTCTCCACGCCTCATCAGTATCATCACAGATGGCCCGCGTGCACGATCCGGGTATCGCTTCTAACGCGTCCCTACATTCTCAATTCCATTCAAACAATCTGTGTCACTTCAACAATAGCTCAATGCTCCGTTGCCAAACCCCCAGTTTAAACACGAGTATATACCCAGTCAAGCCAGAACACAACCCATCGAAACAAGCATCACTCCGATCTACAAATTTTTACCGAATCAGCACTAACAGAAACGATGTTCTCTCCAGGGCGCGGGGCAGCCTTCTTCAATTTCCTATCCAAGCTAGCGCCCGGATCGGCGAGCGAATCAAACCCCCCGCGCCGAGCATGTCTTGCCGATCACGACGGTGTGTGGTCACCCTGGGATCGGAGGGTTCCGATTTATGCAGATGTGCAGGAACAAGGTGGTATTCGGAGCGTGTTTGGCGGTTGGAGCCGAGAGGTGGTAGAGGGTAGGTGGGGAGGGGATGAGGTTGATTGTTCTACGCGATGGACGGAGATGTCAACCGGTGGTGGTATATATAGCGTGTTCTTCTTCAGCGTTGTGTAGCTCAATAAGAAAGGCTGTTCACTCTGGATATTTGCTGTTTACAATTCACTATACGCAATGGTCAAGTTCACACCCCTCGCTACGCTGGCAATTGCCAGCCTGGCCGCCGCAAGCCCAACAGTTTACCTGATCCGCCACGGCGAGAAGCCTGATTCCGGCGACGGATTGAATGCCCAGGGTCTGCAGCGTGCACAGTGTCTGCGTAATGTGTTTGGCGCAAGCTCCGAGTATAACATTGGGCATATCATGGCGCAAACACCACTGAGTAGTACGTCACATAGAGGAAGTATATTGATGGCCGTGTTCTAATCTGATTCATCTCTCTTTGCAGGCGGAAAACGTCAACGCCCTTATGACACTGTCGAGCCGCTCGCCGAGGACCTGGGCCTTACCGTGGATATCTCGTGTGACCGCGATGATCCAGGTTGCGTCAAGGACGTTGTGGACGGATACACTGGCTCCGGCAATATTCTGATTTGCTGGGAGCATGATGAGTTGACGGATATTGTTAAGGAGCTGGGAGATAAAGATGCCCCGGATTATCCTGATGATAGGTATGTATATCGATGTGGATGGGTGGAGAAATTGACTTGGGGGAAGTAGAAATGCTAACTGGGTGGTAGTTTTAACATCATTTGGACGGATCCGTCGCCGTATACGACTATCACCTCTGAGACGAGTGAGAACTGCCCTGGTTTGGATAGTTAGAGGGGTGGTTTCAATGAAGATGGGGTGTAGGTTGTATTAGTGTCTTGAAGCGGACCAAGTGCCGACGACAGTTTCTTAGGATCGTCATGGGATGCATGAGAGTCAAAAGCTGTTAAAGATCAACGGTATGAGCATTCAGATTATGTAGAGATACAAGCACAATAGAAACTGCAATGTGCCTTGATTACAAGCAACATTCAATGCAAGTCTAATATCTTTTCGAACTTCATATATCTAAACAATGCCATGCAAATGGATGCCAGCGCATATCCCTCGGATGACTAGCCGGTCAGGAAATCAAACGAACAATGAAAATAATGTCAGCTATCAAGAAAAACCATGCCCACGGAATTATTTATTATCTATCATTGCTTCTGGAGCAGTAACACTGGAGCCAATCGCCTGGGCCGGAGCTGCTCTCTGGTCCCGCCAGACAGCGTAGCCAAGTAATTCGAGAAGATGACGCTCGCGATATGTGAAAATCAGAACTCCATCTTTTTGTAAAAATTGCTTGGCATGAGCGCGGAGAATCTCCGCGTTTTTGGATGACGAGGAGAGACGGGTCAGTGCGTCTAGTGAGATGGTGATTCCGTGTGGAGTGGTGGTAGGCGAGGGAATATCCTTCAAGAGTGTCCGAGTTTGTTTGTCTCGAGTCAAAGACTCGCAGTATCTTTCTAGCATGCGGTTCTGCGCGATGAACCGCAGCATTGAATCTAGCGAGTCCATCTGGACGAGCGCTTGCGGAAGGGACGTTTCAGGCTCTGCGAGACCCCGCTGCATTGCAATCGCATATTCCAAATCCTCGAGTAGTGGAGTAAGCTGCATGCGTGCAAGTGAAACATCCATGAGAAGAGGCCTATCATAGCCGAGCTTCTTACGCCAGAAAAAGTTCACAGCGATCAACGAGATAATACACGGAATCAGGACAACGTATCCCCACCATCGTTCGGCGGTGACCATGGATCCCGCCCCAGCAACGAGACCATTAAGACCGTTGATGAAGGAATGCCACTGGAACCGGCGGATGCGGTTGTGCAGGCGGCGCCCGATGTCATCGCCTAGCTGGGAGGTTCGAACAGCTTTGAGATGTTGATGGAAGCGGTGGATCAGATAACCTGACCAAATGGCGTTGACAAGACCGAACATTGCAGCAAGACCGTTGCCAATGTATCCTGACAGCAAGTTGCTAGCTTTGAACACTCGTGGACTCGCTCCGCCGATGGCCATCAGCGTGCCGACTCCAACCAGCACAGACCCAAAGCCCATCAGTAGGTCCATGACGATGCGATCCACGATTTCGGTGCCCATCTCACGGTCGCTCACACCCAGTCTGCTCTCCAGCAGCTGTACTATCTCGGTATTCTTGCTGTGGTATTGTCGCAGCCCCTTGAGATTCTCTCGCTCCGTCCGAAGCAGTTTCACATTCCGCATACTCAATCGGAAATCTTGAATTACAACGAACACCATACACAGAGCAAACGTACCACCGATACCCATGAGCACTGCCGCGAAGGTGGGCACCGGGATCTGGTTCCACACATTGGCCGCAAAGTCAGCTGCGTTCGCCAGCTCCAGGTATCCCACACTCGCGAGTAGACTGTTTCGAAACTGTTGCTGGTGCAGCAGGTGAAAACACCCACGACGACGGACGAGTGTGACGGTGTCTCTGCTTCCTTCTAGTGATTCTTGCCACGTAATGTCACTAGCTTCGCGGAGGAGTTTAGGGACAAAGGGTGGTGTGGATTCTAGCACTGCCAGCTCGAGGTCCGAGTCGGCTTGTGTTTCCGAGTCGGCGGCTGTTCTGTACATATTGTGCAAGTTGGACGGGCAGGGCGGATGTGCGAGAGGAGGGGGAGCAATCAACGTGTCAGAGGAAGCCCCAGGAGTTGCCATGGTGTTCGTGGCCAGCGTGGTCACTCGGATGTTGAAGGGTTCCGATCATGCGTGCTGTACGCAGGCAGATCAACTGCCGAGACGGAGAGTGCTACAAACTCTGACTATTGAGGCAAAAGGTGATCGAAATGACAGGTATTGAAGAAAGGTTGGACAAGGGAGAGTAGAAGAATGGAGGACTATGAAGGAGCCGAAAATCGGGGAAATGGAAAAATGGGGAGACGTAAGCGGGCGAAGAGGAGGAAGTTGACTCGGCCAGTTCCTGTGGAGAGAAGTGGGTCAGGCTTGGCATCGCCCTGTAGGGCTGAAGGTATACTCGGTGAACTGCTGAGCATCAGTATGCTAATTGTAATCACCCTGGGGGAAATCCTGTTCTGTGAGAACCCTCTGAACACGTTTCAATTGCCTTGAACAATTATCGCAGGAATTAAATACGAAAGTCCCAATTTGCCCCCAGAGAGCGCCCCCCAGTTAACTGGACCCAGCGACCCGCCTAGTCCCACCTGAATATACGCAACGGCCAACAGGAATGACATTGGGGTAATAATAGACACAGGCATGATTCGATGTATTTAAAACCATTATTAGCCCCCTATATTCCGTGTTTAATGCTAGTCACTCCCCTTATATTCATTCGAAAGGATACCCGAAGATATTCAGTAAAAGCCTCTTGAAAGACAAAACTTTCTTGAGAACTCTAATTCTAGGCATCTACAAAAGCGAAGAAAAAGGATCCACCGCATAGTATCGCTCACAAAGATGCAGCAAAAAGAGAGAGCTTAGATATGCAGTCTACATGCAGGAAAACGCCTTTGAATATGCCATGTAATCCAAGTCCAGCTCCAAGATAAAAGCCAATATAGTGACAAAAAGCAATTACGCAGCGGCTATGCATGTTTAACCCCCTTACCCTCATTCCCATCCTTGCTCACACTCAAAGCACGAATCAGCTTGACGCCTGCATCAACCGTCTCGCACTCTGTGCTCTCCCAAAACTCAGCTTCCCGATCTGAACCACGCAGCACCTCGTCTTGTGGCTGCCCACCCGTTGGCGAGGGTGATCCATCTGGCGATGCGGTGTCACTGCTATACACATTGACCCGTTCGTGGAAGCGCACGCGCTGTCGCACCCGAGATGGCGAGTCTTGAGAGCCGTATCGCGACTGCTGACTTTCTATAAATGACTTGCGTACTGCGTAGCGACTAGCTTCTTCGCGGCGGAGAGTGTCGCTGAAGATTTTCTGTATGGCTGTTGCGGCTGTGAATCGAATACCCAGATACATTTGCTCGGCAATGAAGACGGTGAGGAGGAGGTAGGAGAGTCGGACTTCGGACATGGGCCCTCTGTAGAGATGGACGATAGCTGCGGTTGATAGTGTGCCCATCCAAGTGAGAAAGTCTAGGCCTAGTAGAGATGGGCCGATCGAGTCGACGCGGATGGGTGGTGGACGCTGGCATTCGAGCGTGAGCTTGAAGAAATCACCGCGCACTTCGAGCCAGTTGTTTAGTAGGAAGCCGAGTGGGACGAGTGGCCAGGCTACTCCGAATAGAGCCAGATATCCGAATTGCACGCACATCTCCAGGATATCTTCTTCAACCTTGTATTCATCTGCGTCGGCCTCGGCACGGACACGTCGTAGAAAAGAGGATTCTTCGGGAGCGTCGATGAGGAGTAGGTCGGTGGTTTTGGAGAAGCTGCGTTGACGGGTGAGCCCTACCTTGTGGTCGCGGTAGTTGCGCCATTTCTGCCAGAGAACGTGCTTGATGTAGGGCAGCACGATTTCTTCCACAAAGCTGAAGACTTGTGCTGTCATCGAGAGATAGATTACTTCGGCCTGGAAGCGGGATGTGTCCACTTCAAAGTCCTTCTGGATGGCCATATTGATCCCGACGCGTCGTAGAATATCCAGATGTGGGACGATCGCATGGCCGAAAGGAACGTAGACGTATGCCGTTAGGAGTGTGGGTAGAAATGAGGTGATAAAGTGCATGACAAATGTTTTCTGCGTCTGGGCGAGATCGTATAGGTCTTGCGTGCGGTAGTTTTCATAGTCCGTCAAGTGAGTCGCAATGCCCGTGAGAAAGGAAGTAATCGCCGGCAACGACAGCGAGAATAAAATCGTCGGAACAAATTCCAGATAACCCTTCAGCGGGCCCTTGTATACCTCGGAGATAAACACCTCGCTGGCAAAGGTGACCACGATCAGACTTCCCAGTGCTACGCTGGCCACACTTGCAAATGGAACCAGCAGCAACTGTCGTAGAAACTGTTTCCATCCGGGGAACGTATGTGTCACTTGGCCAGACACTGGATCCTTCACTTCCTTTTCCCACTGGTACTGGGTGCGATCGACCTTTAACTGGTCCACACCCCTGACATTCCATCGCAGACTCAAGTCGGACTCACGAATCTTCCAGAATTCCACGAAGACAATACACCAAATGCATAGAAGACTGCCGTATAGGATCGAGTATGGGCCGAGGAACCACCATCCCACAATTCCTAGCGCAGCCGGCACGACTAGAAACAGGGTGTAGCAATGAATGAAAGCGAAATAGAATGCAACCTATTGCGACCGGCAAGAAAAGATGTCAGCTTTCCCTCCTGAACAATCATTACAAGAATTTCTTGTTGCTCCCACCTTTTCACCAAACAGCGCTCGAATCGTATCCAAATCTTCCACGGTCAAATTAGTCTTGCGATTCCACTTGCTCAACAACTCTGAGCAGGCATCCCGATCATGTAATGGAAATGAAGCGGTGACATTCTTCCACTTGCCAAACTGAGGCGTAATTCCCGCGCCACCGAGTTCCTTTCGCCAAGTGACAGCGTGATAAACAGAGCGAATTTCCTCCGCTGGCGTTTCGGCGGAAGCGACGGTATTTTCGTCGCCAGCGGGGAGGGTGTGTGTGATGCCGAATAGCCAATCTTTTATCCTGCCCGAATATCAGTCATAAATACAGGTGAAAACAAGAAAATGGCTTTCTTATTTAAGCTTCCTTATTGGAATGGAGATAATGCTCGTCATACCTCGATTGATGCACCATCTTCCCCAGATGGTCTCTGGGGACCCGGATACACACCAGCAGCGCTGAGCCATGCCCATGGCGGATCTGCACTCGAAGACCAGCTTCGGTGAGATCATGGACAAGGGTGCGGAACTCGGAAATTGCCTGTGCCTGATCTATGCAATTGTCAGCCCTATCGCTACTGGAATGTATTACATAGAGTTGACCAGTCGACCGACCCGCATAGAAGGACGGGAAGGGCTTGACCAAAGACGTCATGCTAGGGATATCCTATGCGGCTCTTTGTCTCTCTAAGGATCTTACCGATGTCGCCAAACTCATACTGTAGCACCCAGTCCACGCCGAGATTGTCGCTCTCATCATGGCCGTGCTTCTCCTGCCCCGCGAGCCAAGACATCTTGGTCGGGTAGGCGACGTAGCCTAGCAAAATTGTCTGTAGGTCTTGCTGTCAATTGGTGTTGAGTTGAGGACACCAATTGTGTTTAGGAAGTATGAGAGGCTGTGTTCGAGAAGAGCCGAAAAGACGGTGAATGTAATCGAAAATAGGACGAAGAGAATGAAAGAGAAAGATACCCAGAAGTGTAATGTAACGAGGGGAAAGGGGAAGTACTGTGGGTGGGGGGAGAAATCCAGCCTTGTGAATATGCAAGAGAACAGCGTGGAAACAATAATGGTTAAAAGCAAATTTCCTCCTTAATTAGGCACCGGAGGAGGTAATGAGGGGTTTATTGGTTCGCGCTTACCCCCTATAATTGCAGGCTCTAATTATACAGTGGAGAGGCTGAACTACGCACTTTGTATTCCCACACCTCGCTACGGCTTCTCACTGGCTGTCAGGAAGCGCCGATCGGACTTGGTTTCGGTGAGCTTCTTTCCAGCCGCCCACGACCCTGGACTTTGATCATCCATCAAGATTTAGACTATTATATGAACAACTAACAAAATAGGAGGCTATATATCTTTACGGTTATTCTCCTTGGGAGATATAGAGCATTCAGTCTCAGAAATCATATCAGCCCCTCCAGCGCCCGATGCAGCGCCAGCTGTTTGTCTCTTCTGCCGGGATGCTTTGACAGCGAACCGGGGATCCACGGGCCAAGCTTCAGCCCTACAGGGCAACGCGGGAAAATGTATGGGGGAAAATAGTGTCACGATGATGCCTAGTTTGCCACTAGACACGCACCTCGGCCATTCGGCTACGGTATTAATCCCAATTCTCGAGGCCATAACTCCAATAGACCAGATCAAATACTATAGAGTGCCAATGGCACCGACTACTCCCCCCTGAACTGTATCCTCTATCGCACTGCGAAGCTTCTCTCCAGCAGGGCCGACCGGAACTTCCCACAAAGAAACCACTGAAACCCTGCAGCCTTTGATGATGTTGCGTCCCAGCCTTTTCCCGCTTGTTGGAAAATCACTCAGTACGGTATGTATGGCAACTTCCCATCATCTCCGTGCCCCACCGGTCGGTTAAGGGGGACAACCGAGTCTTGCTCGATAGTATGATCCGCGTAAGTATGGCTATTATGAAGTTAGCTCTATCGATGTTCTTGGTTCATTGAATATCCTTATTTTCTTTTTAGTAACAATAATAGATGAATCCAAATTAATTCCTTGCAGTTTCACCTTCATGCGCTCCAGACTTCTCAATGTTAAAAAAGTTGCTGCCTGAACCTACTCGCGCGCCAAGAGACGCGCGATGGGGAATGCCGTAATTCCGGTGCCAGGCGTCGAAATTACCAGACCCATTGCCTAATTCCAGGTTGCGTAGGGTAAGATGAAGAACAGTGTCTGGCGGATAGTGATTTTGTATGCAAAACTTGAAATACATAAAGAACGAACACAATAACCTTACATCCGTAATTTCTTCCTGGCGCTCAGAACAGCGCCAACCCTTCCATCACTTTTCTGCGGGGTCCATGATAGCATCCCCAGTCGAGCTTCTATCAGGTCTTCCGCTAATCGCGATTTTCTATGAAGGATACTAATTTTTATACATTATACGCAGTACAGGCATCAGTATTCAAGACACCGCGGCTGGATACCCGCGCACGCCACACTTGAGCCTATGTTTCCCAACGTCCGGCGTTCCCAGAGTGACCTTGGCGTCTAATATCCAAGGGCTAGCGAACAGTCTAGGAAGACAGTGACCTTGTCGTCAACGTAATGTGAACTGGAGACTGCGAATACCGACTTTCCTTTGCGAAGCAGCATCGATTGATTCACGGCAAAGATCAGGACCAATCCTCATTTCGCATCTACTTACACTACTCAACCTGCACGGCCATCATTGGACAAGCTGGTCCATTGAATATTATTTCTTGGCCTCTGCCATTTTCTTCGGTACTTGGCCTCATGGCTCGTCGATTTCTCCCCGGGCAGATCATGGCCTTCGGCCTGAGTGCGGTCCTATTCACGTTCATGTTTCTCCCAACATTTCTTATCCTGTTAGCCGTCGTGGTCTTTTTCGTCCTGGCCTATCCCCGGCTGCGCAAGTCCAATATCATTGATGGGCATAGGGACATACGATCCGATCAGCAAGGAGACCGCGAGTGATTAACTAAGAGATTGGCTAAATGCCCAGACCAGGTGAGCGGATAATCGGCTCTATGAGCACTTTGTTTGGCTGGGATTGACAATGGTATTCTAGGTATTTTCTTGGCTGGGCTGGGCGGCATTATTATGGAGTTTTTGGGATATGCATAATGTTGGATTTTTCCGCGGATATGAGGAGTTACTGTGTGATGGGGGTAAAGTTATAGGCTGCTCGAAATTGTCATACTTTGTCAGATTTTTCGCATTCTGTACGGAACACTAGTGATGTTCTGTTGTAAATCTAAGTGAGGTTGTTAGTTAGTCTGGCCATACAAACCCTGTTCTTATCTCAAGTTAGGCACCATCACCACTAATCAGATTGAGATGAATATCTCTAAGGAAAATGAGACCAGGCGTCTTTAGGTTGACAACGATTATGACCCTATCTCTTTACAACTGCGATGCCTGGAGCCAAGATCTTGGACTGGAACAAAAATCGGAGCCGCTTTGCCAGTGCCAGACTTTCTCCCAGGGTCCTTCCAAGCGGCCCCCGGCCCAGGAAAGCATTCGCAATCCTCAATATGGGATCCGCCATCGGACAAAAAAATTTCTCTAGTCCCAATCCTGAGTTGCTGACCCCTCTCAATATGTGGGTCAACGGGTAGGGCTGGGAGGGGTGCGCTGGCGTAGGTTTACCACTTTTTTGGTGGAGGAGGACTAGAATGGGTTGTTACATTCGCTTCGCTAGGCCAAATCTTCTTTCATCTTCGTTGCCAACACTATATACACAGCGAGACGATTTATGAGTGACTTATTCAACGTTTGGGTTCCCTTGCCACCGCTATTCTCGGAAGCTCAACCGCACTCACGACTAGAATGGGCTGAATGAACCGACCTTTCCCTTCGATGACCAGCATTTACCTCTGTTTTGAAAGGCATATCTGTTTACTGCGAAGTTGCCTCACCGATGGCACCCAGTCGACGGTCTGCCGAACCCATCGCCCTCTCAAACGCTGCTCTGTGATCAGAAAATGAAAGTCCAACCACTATCCGAGAACCCTCTGGTTCAGGAGGCACTGCAAGACCGCTTCAGCTTCTTCTCGTCGGATACCCAGCAAGCTATCACAGCATCATCCTGGGCATATCTCTTCCCCAAAGGAAACCAGGATCACATCTTCCAGGCAACCCAGAAAACCCGTCCAGATCCCTCTCACCCTGTGTGGTGGGTCGACGTTCGAGATGCCACGAGTGAAGATGTCAGTATTGTTACAGAGGCTCTGTCCATTCATCCCCTGACGGCGGAGGATATTGCTATACGTGAGCCCCGCGAGAAAGTTGAGGTCTTCAAGAATTACTACCTCATCTCCTTTCAAACACTGGTATCCCAGCCCACAGAGAGTGGGGAGCGGTTGGGAATGCCCTCATCCGCGGAGATGTACATCCTGGTATTTCAGTATGGAGTCGTCACTTTCTCACCCAGTGGATGCAGCCATGTGAACCGCGTGCGAGATCGAATTCACAGAATGCACGATCCTTCCATCCTGTCCAGTGACTGGATCTGCTACGCATTGATGTAAGTGTACAGCCACAGCACAGCACAGGTCTTACAACGACATCCACTCTGTTCCCTTCATGCTAACAAGATCACAGCGACGACATTGTCGACAGTTTCGAGCCCTTCACCCGAGCCGTTGAAGCCGAATCTGAGGCCATTGAAGATCAAGTCTTCATCGCACGAATCGACGACGTCAAAGAACTAATCCCACAAGTCGATATCCTTCGCAAAAAGATCACCCATATTATCCGCTGCCTAAGCGGCAAAGTCGACGTCCTCAACGGCTTTGTAAAGCGCTGCCAGGCCCCCGATAAACTCCAGGTTTTCCCAGACGGCGATCTTCTGCTCTACCTGGGCGATGTGCAGGACCACCTGGTGACAACGCTGTCGACACTGGCGCATATCGATGAGATCATTGGCCATCGCAGGCGAATTGTTTGGCGCAGTTGAGTGCGACGAATTTGCGGATTAGTTTGACAATTAATTCGGCGATGAGTAAGGTTACAGTGCTGGCAACAATTTTTGTCCCGTGTCATTTGGTTACGGGTATGTTTGGGATGAATGTTGGTGTGCCTGGTCAGGATACACCTGAGTTGTCATGGTTTTTCGGAATTGTGGGGGTTTTTGTGGCTTTTATGGTTGTTTGTATGGGAATGGCCGCAAGGTTTAAGCTTTTGTAGACTTTAAGGTAGACTTTAGATAGCATATACCGTATTGAAATTTAAGGGTAGGGGTTGATAATCTATGAGTTGAGACCATGGTTCTCGTCACGGTATACAAGCAGCCATCAAGCCTTGGATTAGGATTGGCGATGTCCCAGTTTCATGGCCCATGTTCATCATAGGCAGTCATTTCCGTACTCTCGAATTTGTAAAAGTCGGAAAAGGCGGGCATAGTTTTCTCTCAAATGTATATACATCATTTAGGCTTTGATGAATGGTTTCAATAATATGCAACTATAATACATTATACAAACCTCAGCGCACCTCTTCCTCGCTCGGTCTCTGTAGCAAATGCGCCGACTCCTCATGCCGTAGACTCTGCCGAGGATAAACGTCGAAACTGAGCTCGCCAACGAGTTTCCGCATGTTACTGCGCAGATTAGCAATATATCGACAAGGTAAACCATAGAGACTTGAGCACTTACTCAAGGAGATCCTGCAAACTAAAGGACACCACAGACCTCAGCACTTCGAGAGCGACAAAGGCTGAAAACGACGGGTCCTCAACATGTGAGATGTTGAGCAGCTTGTCATCAATCTTTTGCATTTGCCGTGCAAGTGGGAAACTTTCCGGCGTGGATAGGTATGGTGGCAACGGCTGAGCATTGGTAATAGCAGCTGACAGGTGACAAAGTAGTGATGTGATCTGATGGGAATTGAAATCGGCAGACTTTAAAGCAATTTCTGCGAGTTGCGCCATCCATGGTCCATCGCTCTCTTGCCCGGAATTCTCTGATTCCATGGACAGAGCATCTAGGTTTTGTGTCGTGTATGCCATCAACGACATACTTGTCAGGATGCGTTGAATTTCGGAAATGATATTGTCGTAAGTTTCCTTTGGGAACTTTCCGCCAATCGGTGGTTCGAAGGTGCTAAAGTGACTGTGCATACGCAGGCCAGTGAGAAGCATCATCTCTTCCTTGAATATGTTTCGTCTCGACTTTTGAAGTTGGTGTGCAGGCGAGTTCTTGTCTTCAGTATGACCCAGTTCGCCTGCGAGCCATAACTCGATTGTTGAGTGCATGGCACTATAGAACTTGGCGAGCACGAAAAGACTGCGGCCAAGTAGCTTGCGCAGCTGCGATTTTGCAGTAATCGGGTATGGGAAGATGACCCAGAAGAAGGATATCGCGCAGCCAGCTGCTACAGCGGCGAGCTTGTAGGGGCCAAACAGGTAGATTGGGTAATACGGTTGGCCATTTTCCTCGGCTGCAATCACTCCCAATTTGGCAACCTTCAGAAAGATTAGATTGTGTCTTGGAAAGAGTATGTCGAACGTACCTGCAATTCATAACCAACAATCACGTTCAATGTAACGATGGCGATGACTGATGGACCAAAGTACTGTGGCATTTTAACGTAGAAATAGTACTGAATAGGTCGAGTTAGCAACTTCTCACATTGAGATACTCGTCTGGTACATACCGCGATAACATTAGCGATGTAAAGAAAGACAATCACTCCTGGTGTCTTGCCATCCACAATGTACCACACAATGAGACTGAGAACAAGAGCAAATACAGTTGCAATAATCCGAGCAACGAAACCAAACATTGTCTGACCGCTTGTCGGGCTCATACCGATAACGATTACAATCATCGCCCAAATACATCTTTGGCGAATGAAAAAGTCTTGGGTCTGATGTAAATAGGCCAGAATCCCAACAGAAAATGAAGCTGCTGATACTCGAAAGCCAAAGCTGCTCTGTTCAGACTTGATAGCATGTGAGATGCTCCGCAGAACCATACTTCCTCGCTCCCAGACATTCTCCGGTGGCAGATGTTCCGGGTCTGGGAAACCAGTCAATATTGATGCACGATGGACATTAGAGGGGTCCACATGGGATGACTGTCGACTGGAATACGGGCTCTCCTTCTCTTTCTCAGTACTGCCGCGTAATGAGAACCACTCCCGGAGAGACCCCTGTCTTGGGAAAATCAGACGAGACCGTTTCATCGTTCCATCAGCGACCTTCCCGTCGGCAAATTTCACCAGCTTCAATGTGGCATTGAGCAGGTCATCCTGCAGATGACCCATATACAGGATGAGGAAAAATTCCTGGCGTACATCATGGTCAGCCGCAAAGATGGGGTGGGCTGACCCAGGTCCGGCCTGGTCTGTAGATTTCTCAGAGGTCGTAAATGCCTCTAGTGAGGCTAGCGCTTCTGGTAGGTGCTTCCTCTGAGAGTAGTACCTCCGCAGATCCTGCTCAAAGCGTGAGGCGAAATCTGATTGGAGTGGACTTAGGATTTGGCCCCTTGCTTCCTCGTCCCTGGTGGGAGATCCAACCTGGTGCGTCTTTTTTTGCTTGTCCAAATGCTTAGCTGAAATAAGCTCCAGGGTCAGCAGAAAATGGGCCAGTCCTATCTTGACAAGCGCAGTTGCATCCACAAGCCGCGCGTGATGGGTCTCCACCACTTTTCGGATCCCCGATTGTTTCAACGCATTCTCCCCTGTCCCGTTGAGGATGTCTGCTTCGTCACCATCCTCACGCGGTCCTTCATTCTTGATTATGCTCTCCAGAATCTCTGGCAGCATAGACATTCCAGCAAGTGGAAGAAGCACGCCTCGAAAAAGCGAAGCCATCGTACTTAGGTCTTCGGGAGATAACTTGCCCCACGCAATCTCCTCCTTGGAGTAGAAAAGGTCGGCATGCATCTTGCTGTGGAGGCCATTAAGTTTATTCATTGCTGCCTGCAGCCGCTTTTGTTTGCATTGTAGATCCGTGTCGGTCTCGCTTTGCATATCTCGAGTGTCCATCGCGGTGCGTGCTCGGCGCAGGAAACCATTCCCCGAGAACAACCCAGTTGCTGCGCTCCCTTCGGCGAAGGATTTCTGTGCTTCCAACACCCCTTCGACAGATGAAACATACTCCTTGATGTCGTGGAAAACATTTCCTCGGCTGGTGATAGGAAAAATGAAAAGGGACACGCCAGTAGCAATCGCAAATCCGATCATGAAACCTTTCAATAGTCTTGAAATGAAATCTAGTCCCTCTGACAGGGTAATGAATGTGCCGGCACGGGTAATGGTTACTGAAGCAAAAATGGAGAAAGCGACCATTGGGTCTTGCAGTTCCATCGGCTTCAATGCCCGCAGTGAATTGGCCGCCCTGTGGTACCTTGTTAGGTTCATCGACTAAGGGCCAATTCATCGTAAACCACTCACCAAATCATGACAATAAGCCAGACTGCAGCTACCGCACAGGCGTCGCTACTGTATCCATTTCGCACGGCATCGCTTGCGTCAGCGGGAGTATTATGTTCTCTCGCCTTGACTGCACAGAAGACAGCTAGACAGCAAAGTGAAGCAGAGACGCAAGTAGATAGCAAGTCGAAGAACATGATCTTCATGAACTTTGCCCGGGGCATCAATCCCTGTGAGAGCACCGAGATCAAGGCTGACAGGTAGCCGATCGTGGTGGTCATGTTGGAGATCGCATCGCTTTGATATCTTGGCATTTGTCAGTCGCAATCGTCGTACGAGTATCACCCTGCATACATACATAGCAATTGTGATGGTGGGTGCCAAGGCGCCCTTTAGCATCATGAGAAAGCTTCGAGTATCAAGACCAAGATCTTCCCACCATTTCAACGGATTCAATAGACGCCTTTCTTCTGTCAGAATGTTCTTATATAGCTGATTCAATGTTGTACTCACTTGATCCTCCTAGGCGTCCCCGCCTGGGAGTCTTTATGAGCCATGTGATGGCGATGCTTGAACAGGCTCGGGGGAAGCATCCAAGAACCCTCTAATTCCTCTTCACATGAGCGGCGTCCCAAGCAACTGATAGCTTCTTGCGGTAGTGACAATAAGAGAACGAGGTGAAAACTTGACCGGATCTGCGTTTTCGGAGCGTAAGTGGCTGCGTTCGGATCGGGTTGCCGTGCGAGTCGCTCCGTACCGAGCCAAGTGCCGATGGGGCGCCGCGACGACCACTATCGGGCGTCGATCGATCCCCCACCTATTATTTATTTTGAGGGCCAATGAAAGCTCTGCAATGTGTGGTATTGCTCCCCAGCACTCGTGCTGAACAAACCTTGAGGAGAAGGTTCGATGGCGGGAGGGTGAATCCGAAAGTCACGTGGACAGGCTCGACATGTAGCTATTTGGATTTAGAGTTCAGCTTGGGGAGTTGGTCCTCATTATTGTTCTCTCTCTCTGATCTATTGAGAACCATCTTTCCTTGAAAAGTACCAATATAAGTGATCCGTAATTGTGATTCTGAGTGGAGTTCACATCGGCGCGGGGCGGAATGGACTTCTCCCGTTGCCACCAGCTCCCTGATGAACACTACGTTATAAGGACAATATTGGGTTTAACCACTCTTGCTAGTATGGATCCTCTATCTCTTGTCTATATTGTAATTCAATTACCGCCCTCGGGTGGGACTGATCGGGTTCTTTTAGTCATCTCTAATCATTCTAGGAAGCTGTCCAACTCGACCGACCCCTGTCCTGTAGATATATATAGCGGTTTCCAAGTCGAGTTAAGCAGCTAAGTATAGGTAGGTATAAGAGGTTTTTAAGGTTGTCGATATCTTCTAATTGAGTAAACCTAGTACTTTCACAATTCCCCTCAGCACCCTGAGCGTGGCTTAGCTTCTCACAGTAGTAGGTCATCTAATTACAAAGTCAGTATGATTCCATCACCAAGAAGTAATGTCTCACCTCATCTCCACCAATGTACCATCCTGCAGAGTTACAAAAGGTACCATCCTAGAGCCGATTAGCCTAACAAAATCTACGAAGCTGGGAGTGTTAGATGGCAATCATACAAAGGTGCAGTCAGGACACGAGCCCCACTGCTTATCACCGGTGTGGCGCTGCCTGTAATAGTCGCAGGTGCACTTGGTCCCGGCGGGTAGAATTTCGTAACTGTTGGGCCAAGTGTAGCTCGGACTAAATGGCGTACCGCCAACTGGTTGGGAGACTCTGTCGGTCACGCAGACTGCGACGTTGTGCAGTTTGGCAAGGGCACTAAAGAACCATCGATGAATGCTAGGGGGTTCTTTTAAAATGAGAAATTGACTCTACTGTGGAATGTACGCATACCTTCCTACGAAGACAAGGCAGGTGGGGATAGCGGTGAACTTCATTGTAAGATTGTCTTTGAATACACAGTGAAAAGTCAATGGTGTTATGTTGTGAATGATCACGCCCAGGAGCTAGAAGGAGAGTATTTAACTCGCATGACAAAACACCCAATGATATCACAAATAATTCAAGTACCTTGTAAGGCATGATCCTTCCGAGGTCTGATAGATGATTCTGAGACTTTGAGAATCTACAGGATCTACTAGATCAGCAGGTGGCGGGTTACGCCCTTGACCACGTGCGATCAACAGGGTCGGGATGCTACATCTGGTAACCGTTTCAGCTATCCCTTTGTCTGAAAGATTAACCTTAAACTTCAGCATTGCCCGATAAGGACTGCCAAACGAATGAAATGGGCAATACTCGGGAACATCCTACACTCGCACCTGGACCAACCAGACTGTGATCAACATCGAGGGAACGGTTCCAAATGGCTATTCTGGGGTAATGATCACCGAGTCGATCAAGACCCGCCGATTCGAGCGGGTTTTGACTGGTTGTCTTGGTGCGCAGATCGAGAAAGGAACGTTCCAGGCGGATTCTTATCAAGAGCGTTCTTATGCTGGGGTGAAGTGGGTTTCGGGTGCTATTACGATGTGCACGAAGAAACAATTCCCTCTGTCTCGTTGCAATGGACTCGGGAACTTCATTTAGAGGTTTGCACTGCCATGCTTCGTCGCTCGGTTTGCGTGTTCCGATCAGGGTATGCAACTGGCTACTGAGTCAATCCAACATGGAGTCAACCAAAGGAGGACCGTGTTTTGGTTGGAAGGAGAGATTGTAGATCGCGACCTCTTTGTTCTATAGATAGATCTAGGGTGTACCGGTTCTGCAACAATATCACTGTTAGGATTACCGTATGAAGGTCACTCTTTGTCAAGCGGGATACCTCGGTCCGTAATCGATCATTGACTCGATAGAGTTATACATCTTGCATAAATTGAAGCCGCTTCCATCCTCATATGAAATGAGTCAACTGCATCCACTTATAGACATGCAATGAGTCGAATGCACCCACTTAGAACTGTGGCGAAGGCCGTGGAAAACACAGCCACCCACACCGCCACAGCCGCGAAAGTGGCATTACGACATCGAGGTGGGCCGCACCCGCAGTCTGGTGCTGATCTCGAGAAAGAGTCGCGTGTCGCGTTGGTTACTCTTTTCCAGAGCGATCGCGGAGATATCTTGTATTCTACAAGCGGACTATGCTAGAGTTACTTAGAATAACACACGAATGACTCGCGAAGCTGTCAAAAGTAGGTCATTTCTTGGGGGAGAACCAGCTTAGCACCTCTGGATGACATCATGTGAACCGCGGGCTGAGCTGTCGAGTGTGACTGTTACTGGTCCGCTCCGTTCGTATCGCCATTAGGAAGATACGACGGAGGCTACAGTAGAGTGTTTCAGGGAATCCGAGCGGAGGCTCGGACATCTTGCCGCGGAGCACGTTGAGATTATTGTCGAGGCTCGCGCTCGGATAGAGCCTGGCAGACTGTCGTTTTGTGAGGACAGAGGCGGAGCTTGCGCTGCTGGATGAGCTCGCCAAAGCCTTGCCGAAGAGATTGCCCCGTCCAGCCTAGTAATAGTGGTCTGCTCTCGCCTGTCCCGTTCGGCTACGCGCGAGAGTCTGACTTTTCGCAACAATTCGGGGCGACCTCTCAGATAGCGTCGATCCTTGTGGGGATCATTGAACCAATAATCCAGGCCTCAGCAGAGTTAGTGTCGGACATTGTCCATGGTGGAGCCGGAATCCCTGCAAATGCGCACCCTTGGCAACCTCCCAATCCCTATAGGGATTTGGGCCAGAGAACGCGTCATTTCCCATGTTTCCTTGAGCGTTTCGCGGGAAGGTGCTTCAATGGACAGACCGTTTTGACATCATGGGGGTTCTGGACATGATGCGAGGGATATGCCGAATGATGCCCATTTCTGCTTCAAGAATGCGCCTGTCAGTACTCGTCAACATTCGTGGATCGTCGGGTGATCTGCCAGCTTGCTTTTTCGGTACATACTGGATTGCATATTCTGGCATTTATGGAGAGGGTGTTGAATTCTGGAAATTCGGTGGCTGTCGCAGCCAGTCCTGATTGTCAATTGTGGGTTTGTTGTTTGTCGCAGTACAACAGTCAGACCAAAGAAATGACTGGATTCCGGAACCACACCCGTCAGCGCCAAGACACCGCCAAGGCTCGCGATAAATAAGCCCAGGCCCGCTCCTTCCCCCCTGATGTTTTCGCTCATTCTCCGGGCTTTGTCTGTCCAGACAATACTCTCCTGCTTCACATTCCTCTAGGCTTGACTGCCTTGCGCCTTGAATCAGCCGCTGGTTCCTGAAATACATGCGTAAGTCCATCCGTGACCTCTCAGACCAGGATTTCCAAGGAGCTGCAACTGGCACTCGTTATCTTTGCTTATCGATCTCGCGCAACTGACTCGCCAAATCCAAACAGACCGTATTAACTCGTGGGCGAAAGCTCACGCCAATTCTCGCGACCTGCCCACCCAAATCTCGACCCTCTCCCAAGCCCCGAGCCAGATTCCCGAAGTCGATCGCTCTACGGAGTCTTCAATTATCTCGAAAGATGCTGAAGTGACTACCCCAGCACCGGGCCCTGCTGCGACAGCAGGGCCTGCAGAGGAAGAGAAATCTCAAAAACCGGGTCTCATCACCCGCATGCGCAGCGGGACCGTTCGGTTCTACAACCACACCAAGGATGCCCTCTGTCACAGCTGGGTAAACATCCTGCTGGTCTTCGTGCCAGTGGGTATTGCCGTCGAAGCTGCAGGCCTTAACCCGGCTGTCATTTTCGCCATGAACGCTGTGGCTATCATCCCTCTGGCTGGACTGCTCAGCCATGCAACCGAGAGTGTCGCCAGCCGACTTGGCGACACCATGGGCGCCCTGATCAACGTCTCGTTCGGTAATGCCGTCGAGCTGATCATCTTCATCATAGCCCTCGTCAAGAATGAAATCCGTATCGTGCAGGCTTCCCTGTTGGGTTCTATTTTGGCAAACCTGCTGCTTATTCTGGGTATGGCATTCTTGCTGGGTGGCTTGCGATTCCAGGAACAGATCTATAACAGCACTGTCACGCAGATGAGCGCCTGTATGCTCAGTCTGGCTGTGACAAGTCTCCTTCTACCCACTGCTTTTCATGCCTCGTTCTCCAACGCTGAAGAGGCCGATCGCCGAACACTGAAGGTTAGCCGTGGTACAAGTGTGGTCCTCCTGCTGGTGTACATCTTGTACATTCTCTTCCAGCTCAGAACCCACTCCTACTTATACGCCAGTATCCCGCAGCGCATTATTGATGAGGAGTCACATCCCGGTGTTTTGGCAGATTTCATGAACAGCTCCTCCGATTCGTCAAGCAGCTCAAGTGATGAATCTGTCGACACCACGAGTTCCTGGACTACGGCCAAGCGCATCAAGAGGGCCATGAAGAGCCGCCGGCGTCGCAAGTCCAGCACCAGCTCCAAGGGAACCACTTCACGCCAGTCCATCCAGAAGAAGGTCATGATTGATGAGAATCAGGCGTCGGTTGGCAACTCGATCGCCAGTAATGAGGCCAACTCTTGTGCTGTCGACCTTGGTGAGGAGATTCGCTACGACGCCGATGACGATGCAGGCCAGGCCTCCGAGTTCCGGTCTCGTGACTTTGGTATTGCCTTGGGCCGCATGGAAAGTGCTCGTAGTGAAAAGGAGCGCAAGCGTGAACGCAAGAAGCGCAGAGAGCAGAGAGCCGAGAAAGCTCGCAGTCAGCCTCCTGTCCAGACAGAGCAGACACAGGATGGTCACCCTAAAATGAAAGGATTCACCTCGGCCCCCAACTTTGCTGGCATGCCTGGCGCTGGAGAAACGGAGCAGCGGAAACGTTCTCCATTCGGGCCTATTCCTTCTTTGCTGTCCAACACGGTCTTCAGTTCTCAGACTCCCACCCAATCCCCCCAACTCGGGTCTGCTGCTTCACGCCCTGGTCTCTCCCGTAGTAACTCGCTCCCCGCACGAGTCAGCCGTCAACCCCCGGTCGGCAATGCTGTCCAATTCGCCCGTGGCGCTGCTCGTGTGGCTGGCCCTACTGATCTGGTGGCCCCAAAGGCTGCCGTCGTAGAGACGGAACCAGCGATGTCGCGTACCGCCGCCGTGGTTATGCTCCTGCTGTCTACCGGTCTGGTGGCCGTCTGCGCCGAATTCCTGGTTGATGCCATCCCCAACATGATCGAGAATTCCTCCGTCAGTGAGGCATTCATCGGTTTAATTATCCTGCCTATCGTCGGTAATGCGGCGGAGCACGTTACGGCAGTCAGTGTGGCCATGAAGAATAAGATGGATCTTTCCATAGGTGTTTCCGTTGGAAGTAGTATCCAGATTGGTATGTGTTGACTTCCTCCCAAGTGGTTAACTCTTCTTTGTCGACATATGCTAACCATCCATGCTGTAGCCATCTTCGTCACCCCACTTGTCGTCATCCTGGGTTGGTGCATGGATAAGGACATGTCTCTGTACTTCACCTTGTTCGAGACCATCTGTCTCTTTGTGACAGCCTTTGTGGTTAACTTCCTGGTCCTGGATGGCCGGAGTAACTACCTCGAAGGTGCCCTGTTGCTTGCTGCCTATATTATCATTGCGTGAGTTTAGTTCCACTTCCATATGCTTGTCCTGAAGTAACTAACACCTTCCTAGTCTGGCGGCTTTCTTCTACCCTGGCAACAACGAGACTAGTAACCTGGCAGGTTCCTAAGCCCTGAACTAATGGTTGCTGGGCACGGGTAAGCTCTTGCTGTGCCTTGCTGCGTCGAAAATATTCTTCGGTACAAAGTGCATCAAGTGTCGCCCACCAACCTTGGTCGATGGCACACCAATCCTGAGCGAGGATCAGGTACCATTGAGGACAGTCATGTCGCAGTTTTCACAATTCTCTTTTATTCGATGTAATCAGTTCCAGACTGGAGATATCTATTATTTGCATCAGTAATCCACTACTTTTCATCCTGGGGTGTCCGAATGACCCCCCTCTCAACTGACAACATTCGAACTCCTTGTTCTCCGTAATTTACTTGAACTGGCTTATCTCTTGGCTGTGTAGTGCCTTTCGCAGCGACCCACCTTCTACTCAGTACTCCAACCCTCTAGCCCAGCATCAACTCGCTTCCACACGCCAAGCACCCATCGACCACGACAATAATCACGGTACACACAACTCCCCCTCTCTCTCAGTCTCACCCTCCAATTCACATCCACCAGCCACGTGTGATCCCCCCAGTGGCTGTGTCTTGTCTTGCTGAGCCACATCGTGGCTCGGCACACTTACTAGCGCCCACACTAACCGCCGTAGTTTGTGCATCGTCACTTTTTCTGTCAGCTTGGATCGGACAGGAGAATCGGGTGTGCTTGTAATACAGTACACCTAGCTATGTACAGTACTGCAAGGCATGCATTTTGATTTTAGGGGCCTAATTATCTGCCTCCTCCCTTTTTTCCCTTGATTTTCTCATTGACTCGTACGCTATTAGTATTTATGTGTTGTAGGTACCTCCTTTTGTCTCGTCTTGGGGCATGCGTGATTTCTTCTTTCTATCAGTACGGTATTCCTTTTCGGTTTTGTTACTTTACTATCCTGTACTCCGTACTAGTCGACATGTTTCCGTTCCGTGGGTTAGGCTAAGGGCTGCAGGTTGCAAGGGCTCCGAGCGTTTCGCCCTACGGCCACGGGACGGGAGCGCCCTGTTGATCGGTTGTTGCCAAGAGTTTGATGTGCATCCATTGGACATGCACTGTGTGGACTGGGTTTATGTCGTATACTGCAGCTGTTGGGAGGAATTACCATGACTCTTGTTGTTGATTCAAAATTTAGGTGTATGAGATGGGTGTCTGTTTCAACGTCCTTTTTTGATCTTCCTTCTCTTGCCCCCTCACAAGTTTTTTGCTATGGGTTTGCTTGGTTAGTTGTTTTTGTATCTCCGCCGAGCTTAGGGGACTTGGCTGGTTGATGGTGACATTTGGAGTGTCCACCTTGGCGCGTGCTGACGGACTGATGAAAAGGGGATAACTACAGTACATGGATTGTTACGGTAATTGTCGCCTAGTGACTTTGTATGGTCATAGCTACATGTCTTCTGCTGGACACCGTACAATACTACTACTGTACAAGTGTGGGTATGAAGCTCCCGGACTGAGCCACTCGAATGCTGCTCAGGGGAAATTGTATTTTGCTAAAAAAAACTCAGGGTCCATGTTGTCAGCCAGGGAGAAGGGAGGTATACTTTGTCCTCGGCACTCTGTACCTGTAAACAATGGACAATTTCACGGAGAATATTCATGCCAAGCCACATCATATTGCATCTGCCTAGTCGGCCTGGGCCAGGACTAGGCGCCGGAATTCATCCTGTACTGTACAACATTGTATAAGCCCTGTATAGAATATCGTACGTACTGTATTATTATTTGTTGGTTCCGGTTATCACACGAAAGGCTTGTTCGGCGCTAAAACACCCTGTCCTCTCCACAGTGCGGTGGATCGAGGGTTCCGTCTGTTGTCTTTTTATCCCTCAACGGGGTTCCGAGAGGCTCCATGACTCCCCTCTTTCCCACCCAGACTCTTAGGCTTCAGGGGTGTGTGGAGGTCTCGGTTCTGAGCGGAATACCGAGGGAGAGATACGGGGTACAACCTGAACATTATATTAATCTGGAATCTGTCCTTGGCTGGTCCGCACTTGTGCTTTTTCTAGACGGCTGTTTATAGCGCTGAATTAAAGCCCCCCCCTCATCAACCAAGTCATCCTTCATAAAAGCTGCCACTCCTCCACTCCGTCTGATTACTTCTCCTTCTTTCTTTCCCCTCTTCCTCCTCCATCTCTCCCCCACCTTACCACACCAAATCACAATGTCCTACTACGGCGGCGACCCCTACAACCGGCCTCCCCCCGGCCCTCCAGCCGGCTACGACCAACGCCCACCCTACGACAACCGACCCCCCTACGACCGCGCCGCCTACAGTGCCCCTCCACCCACGGCCCGCCCCCCACCAGGTCCTCCCCCTCCCCTGCCCGCAGGCTGGCACCAAGAATGGGAACCCAACATGCGCCGCGCCTTCTGGGTCGAAGATAACACCGGCCGCGCGCAGTGGGAACCGCCCTACGGCCCGGGTTACTATGATGGTTCGCGGAGCGTTGAACCGCAGGGCGGGTATTATGCGGCCCCGCCAGGACCGCCTGCTGGGTATGGTGGTGGTCCTGGGTATCAGCAGCAGCCAGCTGTTGTTGTGGAAGAGAAGAAGAGTAATGCCGGCAAGTATCTTGCGGCTGGTGCGGCGGGTTTGGCGTTGGGTGGTCTCGCGGGGGCTTTTATTGAGCATGAGCGTGGTGAGTTATGAGTCTTTTGATTTTGGTGTTTGTTTAGTGATGCGATATTTTGACGTGGTTGGAAAATTTCTGTTTGCTAATGCATTGTTGATGTAGATGAGGACTCCGAGAGGGAGGAAGTTGCCGAGGCCCGTGAGGATGGATACTACGATGGTCGCGAGGACCAGGCTTACGAGGATGATGGTGGTTGGTGATTCGATTGAAATGTGATGGAGGGATTGTATTTGGATTTGGAGATGAATCCAGATTCACCTCTTGATCGAGAATTTTACTCAGTCCGAGACAGCGTTCTTGTTTCGCTTTTACCTACCGTTGCAGCGATGATTTAGTTACTGGTTTCTATCACCCCCATTTTACATTGATGTTTCTTTCCGTTTTCAAAGCGGCTTGATATGCTTCAAGGCTCCATCTCTGTTCTTTGTTCATTTTATTTTGATTGGACTTGCCTCGCAACGCATTAGCGACAGGAGTATGTTGATTCAACCCAGACACATATTTTGTCCTTATTCTACAACGTCACCTCTGGAATCATGATTTGTGCGTCCATATATTCCAACATGGAAGCTGCCAATAATTCCGACATTGGCCTTCATGACGGCCGATATCATTATGCGACTGCACTCAATTGAATACCTGGAAAAATAATGGTTGAGGCTTTCGGTGGCTCTTTGCCGATGAAGAAATTATTGTCAATTGGAGCTTGCTCGGAATGAGATCTCTCTTATCCAGAGTGACACTATACGATCGTCATGTTTTATTCTCTAAACATTGTAGTATTTTATGTGGGATATCTACCAGAGTGCATGTATCCATGGTGCAATTCACAGACTCTGGCCAAGGCGAAATCATAGCCTAGGCTGTGGTTCGATATCATCGAAATTATCGTGTCTGCAGAGCACAAACAGCGACTAGTATTTCTCTGGATGCCAAGGTTATAAACCAGTTGACTTTGCTCTACGACGAGACTATCGAGAACTGACTTCCTTTAAGCTGATCAGACTTGAGAGAGCCCCAAGTCACGTGTGCGCTTCTTGCTCCGACCAGCGTGACAACCAGATAAATGCAAATAAAAAAGGGAGAGAAAATCTGAATTGATAAGTCATAAAAAGTGCTTTTGCTCAGGTAAAAGCATACATCAAATCAATCACGGGTCGAACAATAGTATGTTTGGCACGCCGCATCTGGTGGCTGGTGGGCCACTCGCAAGCCACCGAAAGGGAAAATCCGGGGTTGGACTTGCCCGTCCCTCAGCTCCGCTGCCACCAGGAGGCTGGTAACCTGAAGCTACCACCGCAGTGCTGTGTCTCAAACAATTCTTTACGAATATAGATAAGAAACGGCATCTCACAGGAAATTTGAGCTTCTGAGTTGTTTTAGGCACTTCTGCAACGTCTGCGCTGAAGTCCCTAGATTGTGCAAGGCTCGCGATCCATCATCAACACCTCGCACCCATCGGCAACAATGAGGATATTAATGTTAAGGGCGAGCGCTCGCCTCTTTTGCGCAAGAAATAGGCTGGTGACAAGTCAATTGACATCGAGGCGCATTCTGTCGACAGTGGCACCCAGGCGAATAAAACCAGTTCTTTACGGTGTGGTCGGGCTAGCTGTTGGCGTTCTCGGTACATCCGTTACCTATTATGGCCTGAGCAATGCAGAGGCGAAAGAGAGCAGTGTCAGAGAGATCCAAAACTATGCCGATAGAGCCACCATGCTGAAGGTACTCGGATGTCTCCCATGATCCTAAGTTCATAATACTAATTAACTCTAGGCCGCTAAAGAAATCCAAGGCGCCCTCGGCGAAGACGCTGTCAGTCTGGATGACGACGACCTGGAAAGCCATAGCTACTCTGAAGCATCGACATCCAATACCCCCACCAGACCTGTTGCCGTAATAATGCCATCAAGCACAGAACAAGTCTCTCTCATCGCCAAAATATGCACCAAATACAGAGTCCCCATGATCCCCTTCGGTGCCGGCTCCAGCGTCGAAGGTCATTTCAGCGCCCCTTACTCCGGCTTCAGCATTGACCTGTCCCGCATGGACAATATCATCGCCATCCACGATGAAGACATGGACGTCGTCGTTCAGCCCGGCGTGAACTGGGTGAATCTCAACGACACGCTTAAACCAACGGGTCTCTTCCTACCACTTGATCCAAGTCCCACGGCGCATATTGGCGGTATGGTTGCGACGAATTGCAGTGGCACCAATGCTATGCGTTACGGAACGATGAAAGACTGGGTTGTGAATTTGACTGTGGTCCTGGCGGATGGAACTGTTATCAAGACCCGTCGTAGACCGCGGAAGACCTCGGCGGGTTATAACCTGAACGGCCTGTTTACCGGTTCCGAAGGCACGTTGGGTATTATCACAGAAGTGACGCTGAAACTTGCCATTGTGCCCTCGCATTTTGGGGTGGCGACGACGGCGTTTCCCTCCGTTGCGGCGGCTACGACGGCGGCTACGTCGATGATTCGTGGGGGTGTTGCTCTCGCGGCGCTGGAATTGATGGATGATGTGCAAATGCGGGTGATTAACCAAACGGGTGGTACGGGTGGGAAAATGTGGGCTGAGAAACCGACTCTTTTCATCAAGTTCTCTGGCTCGGAGCGAGCAGTGGAAGATAGTATTGCAGCGGCCAAGGAGATTGCGCTCGCACATGATGGATCGAGCTTTGTCGCATCGCTGGATGAAAAGACCATGACGGCGCTGTGGTCAGCGCGCAAGCAAGCCCTTTGGGCAATTCTCTCTGTTCGTCCCGAAGGAACGCAAATCTGGTCTACGGACGTTGCAGTCCCGCTGTCGAATCTAGCCGATATCGTCGAGAAATCCAAGTCTGACGCGTCCAAGCTCGGATTGTTCTCGACTGTGCTGGGGCATGTCGGCGATGGGAATTTCCATCAAGCTGTCATGTACAACCCTGATATTCCGGAGCAAGTGGAGGGCGTGAAGAAATGCGTGGATACTATGGTTGTGCGTGCGTTGGAAATGGACGGTACAGTCTCGGGGGAACATGGTATTGGACTGGGGAAGAAACATTGTCTGGAGAAGGAGCTTGGACCGGTCACTATTGATGTGATGAGGACTTTGAAGAGGAGCTTGGATCCGCATTGGTTGCTGAATCCTGGAAAGATCTTGGATGCTTGATCTTTGGCTGTTTACATATGATCATATCATGAACGATCAACGTCATGTGCCTTGGTGGTTGGCGTCATGTTGTCTTATCCTATCGTGGCAGCTGAGATATCTGAATCTAAAGAGACTAGAGAAACGGTCTACTCATATATCCTCGTACCCTCTGTGTTCGAAGGTGTTTTAAAAAGGGTTCAGCAAGGTGTTTAACAATGCTATCCCACAAGGGACTACGCCGACTATTCTTGGTCGCCCTTTATAAATTGAAGGCGGGACTTTACGTACACTGTCTTTTAAATAATATTCAACTGTGTATTCTATTTGAACAGGGCTAAAGAGTAGTACCTCTCTATTTCAATGCTATTAGTAGCGCCGCTAAATGAACGAATAGCCCTCTCGGATACAGTACCGATGATCATTCGGGGGCTAACTAACTATGAATTAAACGACCGATTTGTCGAGTACGGAGGCAGAAGCAACAGCCTGATTGTGGTGATTAGTTGATTACTTCAATTTTTAGGCAGCTATTTCTCATGAAGGGATTGAGGTGAAACAGACCTCGCCATCCTCCAACAACTCGCCTTCTACTCCGCCAAACGAGGGCTCGCCTGTCCCGCCGAAACAAAGCAAAGCCGCCCAGACTGGGAATCCTGGATTGTGGCCGCGGCCAAGCGACGCACGCTGCTTACCATGTACCTGTTCATCACATCTTCAATGCGGCCAAGGACGTGCCGAGCTTTGTGGCGAGTGAGTTGGTAGATGTTCTTGTTCCGGAGGCGAAGGCGTTGTGGCATGCGACTGATCGGGGGGCTTGGGGGTGGAGTATAATCGGCATTTGGGGAGGTGGGAGGATGGGATGTTGGTTGTTGGGGAGTTGTGGAGGGGTCCGGGGGTTGAAAGTGGCTCAGAGAAAAGACGGGAGAGGATTGAGAGGTGGGTTCGGTTGGCGGATGAGTTTGGGATGATGCTTCTTGCGGTGACGGCGCATTTGCATGAGTGTTGATCGAGGTGATGACCGTGGATGGTGGTTATGATAATGGAGAGAAGGTGACAGCTTTCCCATTCTGGTTAGGGTCAGAGCTGGTACACAGAATGTCTCAATGGTGTAACATGAAGATGTTTCTTTCTCCTAATCCACTTGTTCAATCTCTCTGTATATGCCCAACCTCCACTTCCCCGCAGTCTCCTCGCCGATCCTTGTTCGGAACGCAGATATTCCGCCCGAGTCTGTGCGACCTTTTAAACCCCCCAACCCCTCGCGTGCCTCTTCTCTTCTTCTTCTCTTCTCCAGTGCGACCAGGGTCTGTGCCCAGAGATGGTCCAATCCTGACCTCGATGGCTGCAAATACTCCTTGGAGCGTCAACGAGGCGATCCCGTCACCAATCTGATATCGAGTCCATCTATCCGAACCACGACAATGACCAGAGCTAATGTGCCTGTCACGTCGCGGTTGGCACTTGGACTCGAAGCGTGAAGCACAGTACTGTGACCGCGTTCAAAGTATCATTTACAGGACCCTCGTGTCGACAATATCGTAGCTTTCCCCATGGGTATCAAACCCCGGCGACGACAAGCTCCCACATTTTCGCTTTTGTGCGGGTGTCGATTGCTGTCTGCCTCCAAGTACCTAGATCAAAACCAAGAAGACTACACAGCGCGTTTACACGATGCTTCTCCATTTGTGTTTACGCGAAAGTCTGTCTTCTACATCTACATAGTTTTCTCTTATACGAAAATCTACAAACTCTACATCGTATCATGACGCAAGCAATACACCTTGACATTCTGACATAACTCGTTCACATTCATCCACTCCACGGCGATTCATCAATCCCACATCCCATATATCGTGCGTACACCAATCTAGCAAGAAACAAAGTCATCACCACTAGCACCAGTATGCGTAATCACACCAGCCAACTGATCATTCGTGTTGAAAATAACCCGATCCGCACCAGGAGAACCACCATCGTACGCATCGCCATCACTCAGAATCGGGAACTCATAGTAAGTGCCGGAAACGGGGAAGTCGAAGCCCTCGTAGTTGTGGTACACGTGGGGGTAGCTGTCGTCCGTGGATCCGGCCTGGTAGAGATCATAGCCGGCGGCTTGGGCGGCGCTGACGGCGCTACTGCTGTAGCAGATTGTGCCGCAGGTGTAGGCGCAGGCGCGCTTTTGGGGGGCGGCGAGGGTGGTGGTGATGAACAGGGTGGCCAGGGCCAGGATCTGGGGGGAGTATGTTAGGGGGGTGTGAGAGGATGTAATTGTTGAAGGGTTTGGTTGATCGTACCTTGGAGTACTGCATTTTGAATAATGGAGTGATTGATAAACTTTAGATCAACGAATATCGACGATCAATGGGGCTTTCCGGATGATCGTTCGAAACTTGAGTCTCCAGTTGATCTGGGTGATTACCGTCTGTTTATATAGACCTCCGCAGCACCTCCATTTTTCCATTTACCAACTCTTTCCCAGTCTATCCTCCATCCCGAAACACCGACTACAAACAATGTTACATCTGGATATCCAGCAATAGTCCCATTCATTGGTATTCACATTCCTAGCAGCCAACGGGCCTCCCCTCCCGCGCCAAACCATACTGCAACAGGAATATCCGCCGATCTGCAGCACTCGCACTAGAACACCACGAAGGATCACGAGCGAGGTACAAGTGCGACGTGATTGGCGGAAACGGCACAGCGTGAGTGATCGAGTGGTGATTGGAGTCTTGCAGCAGGTTTGACGCCCTATCCGAGGACATGGAAGGGAAATGATCGACCGGGTCTGGCATTGTCGGGGCGTGGACCCTTGTCGGTGCAGCGGTGCCGCTTAGATGCATCTTAGGCTGACTGTGTCTGGATTTATTATCGGGCCAATAGGTAGTCTCCGTTGGGGGCACGATGCGAATGGAGTAGATGGCGGATCTTCGGGGTTGAAGATGTGGGGATTGTTTGGGGGCGGAAACTCCGTTGCTGAAGAGTTGTTCTGTGAAAGTCGTGCAGAGGATCCAACTTGCGGATTCGATGCGTAGAAAATGAAAACAGTATGTGCTGAGAGGTATCTTCGCTATTCAAACTGGATGATCATCGCACGGCTCGGCGTCCTCCGCTCCTCGAGAAACCCGGCGTCCCGACGGAATCCGTTTTCAACTGCTCTATCTAATCTCGACTTGGCATTCGGATAAGATACAGACATTCACATTCGGGAAATTTCATTTCCCGTGCAGAATTGGGTATATTGCTAGGAACCAGTGTCATGCATCTAGATTATTACCCAACAACAATATCGCGAATGCGAGACCACCACTGCCGGGGCTTGGCTGGTTGGGTTTCTTGTTCAGCGAATTCTCTCCTGCCAGTCCACATATCCATTTCCTCCAGTTTCACCCAGCGAGTCTTGTTCCAGACTTTGTACACGACGACGAATAGCACGAATACGGGGAGAAGGATGTAGTTGATCACGAAATCGGTCGAACTGAACGGGTTCAAGAAGCACGTGTATCCCTGGAAGAAAATGAGGAAGATATTCGCTGCTAGTGAGAAATATGTTCCATAGGGGTATAGTGCAGCTCGGTAAGGAAGTGTCGCTGGGTCTTCGCCCTGTGCAACCAAGGCACGACGGAAACGAATGTGGCAGACCCCAATAACAGCCCAGACGATAAATGTAGCCACTGCGTTACCTTGTGTCAGCAGAGAGATAATCGATTGGTTCCACTATAGGGAGTATACACGTACCCCCGGACAACGTAATAAGGGCAGAGTAAGCTGTGCCAGCACTAGAAGACTGTCCCAGGAAGACGATGCAAGCGAATACGTTAGTGAAAATGAGACCGACCCAGGGCACGCCGGCGCGGTTGGCGCGCCCGATGAATTTGGGGGCTTTGCCATTGCGTGACATGAACAGGAGGGTCCGGGATGCTACATAGAGAGAGCTGTTTCCGGCAGAAATGACGCTAATCACTATCAAGGCGTTGATGAGGTGAGCCGCTGGTAGGATCCCAGCGTCTTGAAGGGCGATGGTTAGAGGGGAACTGGCGGTTTTAGAAGTGGATCCTAACAATCTGTGGTCGTTGTATGGAATCAGAATGCCAATGAAGAATATGGTGCCTGTATGGAATTAGCATAGTCATATCTTGATACTAGCTCTCACATACCAATGTAAAATATGAGGATTCGCCAGAAGACCTGCTTGATAGCTCGAGGAACGGCCTGTTCGGGATTCTTCGACTCTCCAGCCGTGATTCCCACCCTAAAGCCTGGTCAGCTAGGAGCTTATATGCAGTGCCAGGTATGGAAATGGTTACATCTCCGTGCCTGCATATAAAGTGCCTGCCACGACAAATGTCTTGGCGACTCCATTGATAGAGTCTGCGAATGCGCCGGGGTTATGCCAGTACTTGAACCCGATTTTCTCGGGACCGATACCCCCAGAACTGATGCAGATGGCGAGAATGAAGAATACAATCAAAGCAATTACTTTGATTCTATACAGTCAGTGTGTCAGTACCTTTCGGCTCAGTCTCTCCAGACAGAAATGCATACTCACAGTGAAAGCCAAAATTCCAGCTCACCATACGCTAGAATCCCCAGATTGGACAACCCAAGAAAGAGAAACCAGAATAAGAGGATCCAGCCCCATTGCGGTACAGCTTCTGTTCAGTAGCCGATTACAAGAGATATCGCGTTGTATTCATTTGCAAGCACCTGGTCAAGTTAGTAAAGTGAGCAAACAAAACACTTAATTCCCTTCTCGGGAGCGGATGCTAACCGTAACCCATAGATACCAATATGCCCATCCCAACGCAAATGCAATAGAATCATCGATAAACCGCTCTGCATATTCAGTAAATGACCTGTGACGGGAATCACAGTCGCCATTTCGCCCAGAGATTGCCTGTGATAGTGAGCAGCTTGCCAAGCAGCCAAGAAGCAGGACGACAACTTACATCACGAAGAACACGATTAGTCCGACGAGAGAGAAACTGATCAGAGAGCCTGCTGGACCACCTTCGTGTAATGCATTTCCTGAGCTGACTAGTAGACCAGGACCGATGATTCCTATTTTGTATGTTAGATACAGGGCGCTAGGATTCGCAGTGTTAAAGACTAGCCTCCAATTGCAATCATCTGTAGATGCCGCGACTTGAGTCGCCGCTTCAGCGGCTCTGCGAAGGGATCTTGCAGTCGAGACTCGTCATCGCTGCGCTTTGTCCGACTCTCCGGCCGGGAGCTATTGCTGTCCGCATCTTTGACTGGCGTTTGATACGCCGTCGTGGTATAGTCGATTTTATCGGCCGTGGGGCATTCGCGCAGGTATTACAGGATATTAGCCATAATGTGGTGAATGAAGAACACGCAGACTTCTCCGAATTCCTTGAGAATATAAACTCCAACAAATTGAACAGCTCGTGCCCAGAAAACATGGGGCACGGTGTGACATCGCGTTGACCCGTTTTGGGCTGCGTTAATTTGCTAGCGATGTCGTGATGAGCCCCGATCGCAGGCAACTGATGATCGTGGGGCTGGGCGTGGACTTTCAGTATGAGTATCAGCTTCATGAAGAGGTCACGATGGAGAGACTCAATAACCTGGCGCTTTTGAATTTCCGGAAATCATCGGAACGCATCACAAAAGCTCGCATAGTCTTCGGATTTACTTTGAAGCGCACAAGAACTATCAGATCTGGTTGCCAGATTCAGCGTAGCGCTGAATGAATCTTGGTGAGTGGAGCCTCGTGCCTGGCGAACCTTTCCGGTCGCACGCCATGAACTTGGAGATTGGGTCATTGCTTGAACAGGAATATGGTCTTGGCAATGCGGTCAACAGACACAATAGTCTTTGATAAATTTGAACTGCCATTGCAGAAGGAGTCTGGGTCGCGATCAGTTTGAGTGTGTTCAAATGTGCTCTCCATTTTTTACATAGCAGGGACTTACTGGAATGGGAGCCAGGTAGCTCTACCTTCAACGATAGAGAAATCCAATCATACGAATCAGGCTGTAGATTATTAAAGTCAACATCTTGAGTGCTGTTTTGCTACCCAGTTGGTAACAGGTTTCAGGCCTTGTCCTGTTCCTTAATCAAATTAGGCTCTCCGACAAACCTCCCTTTGGACTCGACTGTTCTCTGCCGTGAGTTCAAAACCATGTGTCCATCTTAAGCCAGCTCTCCAGCTTAAGAAAATGAAGGGAGACGTGTGGACATAGAGGCTTGGACTTCATGTGCCGTGAGATTTACCGTATTCTCCAGTGCATCAAGCTCCAAGTATATGTCCCACCACTTTCACAGCTTTCAAGGCAACGAGGAACAGGCACACAACCACAGATAGTCGACGTTACTGTGGGATGCGTCGGTAGTTCCACATTCATGGATCGATCGCGGCCTTTGGGACGACAATATCTGACGAAGGGAAAAAGACGAGTTAGCCGATGAACATGAACACGGCAAGAATTCGAGGAGTCCAATCCGTATTCCACGTGTTGCTGTACGACCTGGACGAAGTAGTCGAAAAGCAACAAATCGACCATAATTTTGGGAACTATTCCATGTTGTGCAAAGATGCATGAGAGTCCTTTCAAGAACCCGGATCAACCCCCAAAACCCTCAGACTGGCGTTAAGACTTGATCATCAGGAATTTCAAACCGGTAAGAAGTCATCATAGGGTGTTGTACATCAAGCCGTAGGTGCAAGCATGAGAATGGAAATATATGCAGTTCGCACTTCGCGTATTCGTTGGAACGTGACCAAGGGATGCTTGATCAATAATCAGTACGACGGGACTCGCCATACTGACGAGATAAACAGAATCATCTCAGAGTAGTCGGAAGCCTGGCTATTAAACTCGAACCTTTGATCATCACTGGGAATGTAGCCCATTGAGTAATGGTACGGCAATTGACACAGAGAAGGCTCAGGCTCGGAGGAAAAAATGGTGTTAGCAGATTCTCGCAAGAACAAGATTTGAGAAATTCGCGCTTTGCAAATTGCATTGTACAACAGATAAGAGGCCACGGTGGAGGTTCTTGACTTACCCGTACCAGCTGGAGAAGGTTGCACAAATATCGATGCGTTCCGGTGGAGAGTATTGGTAACAGGCAGTGTTTCTGGATCATCGAAATGCAATGAAGTCAATAACAGCAATACGTAGCAGTAGATCCAACTGGTAGAGCGGGTAGAACCATGTTGTGTTGTTGCAGGGGTTAGCCGTCAGAAGAGCTCTTTGGTATTCATCACCAGTTCAGGTGGATGGTGATCATCATCATTCAGCAAGACTCGGCAGGAATTGCCATTCTGATATGGCACGGGGCCTGCGAGGGGCAATCAAGTATTTCCATACCTGTGATTTCAAAGCATGGGAGATGACATTTAGATGCTGTAACATGAAAAAGACCCTGGAGGGCCACTCATGGCTAACAAACGGTATGAATATGGACAAGTATGCCCACCAGTCAATTCATGAAAATGGCTCTTTATTTCACCGGATAAAAATATCAGCAACTCGGAACTTCAATTTACTTGAAAGCAATGGTAGAACATACCCCCCAATGTCTGACTGCACGAACCCCTTTATTCCAATCTGAAACAACGTGAGATCATCTTCAGTGGAGTTGGAGACAAGTTTGAGCTCCTAGCTATATTCACTGCTGATGTTAGTGAGAATCGTATCTATAATGTGAACACTTTGCTTGACACCAGGCCGTCAGATCGACATCCATGCGCATCAGGAAACCAGTTCCCTTAACTGATCATCATGCGGCCAATGCTATCGAGCATAGGGATTGGACGGAACGCCACGATATCCCTGCAGGTCTAGCCGTATTATTTGTCACCAAGGCTTCCATACAAAGCTCGCAGGACCAGAAATGGTTACCATTCGGAGCTTGCAATTGCAGAACTTACCCCAAGAAACAAAAAAGGCAGAGTAAGATAGGCAAGTGTGGGACAATGACGAATGTAAGGATGTCAGTTCTGGAAGCAAACCTAAGGAGAGATGGCAAGACAATAAATGATTAGCTTTCATTCAAGCGAAATATGCAAGAACCCGGTGTGGCAGATGAGAACCTCACAGTTCGGATAAAATATACATCAGTTCCTTTCGCCCAAAACAACAATAGTATTTCCCACAAGTCGCGTGGAGGATTCAGGGAACTGCTGGAGACGGGTCTATACCGATGGGAAGTTGCCCAAATTTACCCAGGACGCGCCTCACTGCTGCGCAACGCATCGAAAGGCGCCTCTGAGGGAAAATAATAAAATGGAGAAAAAGAATGAATTTAGAGAATAAAAGTGTCATATATGGTAACTAGCATGCTTTGGGATTCCGGGATAGAAAATCATCTCTTCGGTAAGGACAACACTATACAGACAGAAGATGAGTGGCTCGCCAGTGATACAGCGAGAGCCCTCAAACGATCCGTAATGTGAAGGGCAGAGGAGAACAGAAATAAGAAAGGGAGTTTCATAAAATTAAAGCTGCTCAACCTCATACAGGATACCTGACACAACATGAGGGGAATGGGGGAGCAAAGAAACCAGGAGAAAATCGACGAACAACTAACATCCAAGGGCTCAGACTGAATTGTTTTTGTCATCGGCAGTCGTAACTGTCGTGTTGTGTAAGGGGCCTCATAAGAAAGTCAATATTTGGAGTCATCATCGCGCTAGAGATGTTAGTCCGTGGAAAGGAGAAAAGAAGGAGAGAAACTGGTTAAGGAGGGAGATATTTAAGTCTTTCGGGGACGCCCAGGATCACTAAAAATCACGCTAGCGTTAAGCGAGATCTGTCGTGCCTGCCTATTTGGGAGGCGTCTGGGGGATACCTGAACTATGAAGTATAAAAAATGCTGGGCTTCATGCGAAAACTACTTACGTCCGTGATCCTCAACGTACTACGCCGAATTACAATTTCAAACTCTCGAGTCCGTTGATCATCATGCGTATAACTATTCATGTCAATTTTGAGCTTTGTCGAGAAGCGAGGACGTTGGATCGAGCGGGCCAATTTACGAGGTTCAGATATGCTTCCATACTTGCTACCCCGGATTTGAGATCGGCGCTAGTTACGATAAGCTGTTATCGTCTCGCTCGGGCCTCCTCTCAAAAAATATTTAAGCTTCTCTTGTAAACAGTTTCATATTTCTTCTTCTTCTCCTCTCGATCAGCGATTTTTTTTTTTGGATTATGGTGTCTGTGGTGGCATCATCTCCTGATCTGCCTCGAGTCTTCCCATGTTGCTCTATCTACCCGAGCATCCCTGCTACATGAACCACGCTCCAAATCGCAACCTTCGTCGAGATCAGTCAATGGCACGGTCATCGACTCCTTGATGGCCCAAGAAAATCCTCCCCAGGTCTTGAGGCCAGGCACTGCAGCTTTGTGGTGTGGTAAACGATCATGTTATGTCGACGACTCAGCGTTGGACCCCCCCGCGGGACCAAGGCATCGACACATCCTCCCTCAACGTTTTTTTCATTGAAATTTCCTCTTCTCTTCTTCTTTCATCTTCTCCCATCCCTCTTCTTATCCTGTTTTATCCTCTTCCATCCATCTGCTTGGTAAACCCCCACGGGATGTGATCAACATGGCTCCATGGGGTGCCGGCATCGCTGAGCCAGCTTCTCAATAAAGGTTTGACCCCATTTCGCACTGTCCCTGTGTCAGCAACTCATTTCTCATCTCTTACGAACAGTATCCTGAGGAACTCTCAAGCCTCAAACATTTCATCTGAGGAAGGCTTGGCATACCTGGTATGTGTGTTTACAAAGTCTCTCAAGAACTTATGTTTTCGCTGACGCTCTTCAGGGCCCAAGTTCAGCGCAGCATACAGAGCTTCTGACATCTCGGTCATATTGGCTGGATGGAAAGGGATGCTGCCATTTCTCATGAACGTTGCCGATCCGGCGAACTCAGAGAGTACGAGGACTCCCTTCTTCTTGTCTTGGCAGGCCACGTATTCAAATGAAACGAGGTTCATTCCATCCCGCGTTGATGTCAACAGACATGCATCGGCAACAGAATACAGTGCAGTCAGTTCATTGAACGGCACTGATCGATGCATGTACAACAGCGGTGTTCCGTCAGGCGTGGCTACATGATATTAGTCCCAAGGGCTTATGACGTGGGTAAGTTTACTGTACCGTGCTTGCCGTTGATCTTCCCAGCTAGTGTACTAAGTTCTGTCTCTAGATCTTGATACTCTTTGACATCTTCACGACTTGGAACGGCAACTTGGATGAGAACAACCTTGTTGCGCAGTTCTGGGTGGTCATCCAAGAAGCTGTCAAACCCTTTCAACTTCTGGGTCAAGCCTTTGATATAGTCGAGTCGATCGACTCCAACAATGACCTTTATCCCTTTGTATTTATCTTCGAGGGTCTTTATACGGTCTTGGACTTCTGGTTTTTCCAGTGTGTCTGCGAACTTCTGCGGGTCTATTCCCACAATGAACCTACCAGCACAGATCAACCGGTTTTTATACTGCATCTGGTTTGGAATCTCGGTACGTGCTCCCCTGACAAAAATCAGTTCTTTTCGAAAATGTAGTATGGTGGGGTGACAGCTTGAACAGGAGGCTGACTCTTACAGATTACTGGCACAGGTGTCGATGAAATTCTGCTTATACTCGTCCGTGTGGAACCCAATCAAGTCACTCGACAACAACCCCTCGATCAAATGCTTCTTGACAGGCAAAGCTCGCCAGAAGTCACCAGCTGGAAACGGAGTGTGGAGGAAAAGCCCGATGGCACAACGTTTATTCCTCTCTTGGAGGCGGTTGCGGAGGAGCTCTGGCAGCAACATCAAATGATAATCGTGCACCCAAATCAGGGTTCCTGGTTCTGCTGCGTCGGCAACCGCATCGGCGAAAACCTCGTTGACTCTTCGATACGCCTGCCACGGACCATCTTCATATATCACTCCCGATTGATAATGAAGGATGGGCCACAAAATACGATCTGCGATATTGTGAGGGGACCGTATTACTGCTGCGGAGTCGGGGAGCTAGGGCTTACTCGAGAACATGTTATAATGTTCATTCGCCAACCCGCTATCCAGGAAAATCGGGGTCGCATCATGTTCATCCAAGCTTTTACATACTTGCTCCCTCTCCTTGACGTCTCTGACTTCGATACCGGGCCAACCAAACCAACGAAACTGCGTGGACTTTGTCAATCCCGACAACGCAGTGACCAACCCGCCGCTCGAAATTGACGACTGATATGTACCATCGACACGTTTGATCGACAACGGCAATCTGTTCGACACAATGATCAAGTTGCGTTTTGATTCATGTGAGCCCATCTTGAATCGAAATATTTCTCCAGTGTCGACTTGTGTTGTTTCAGTCTGTCCGTTTATGACGTTGCTCTCGCGGTTTTCAATTTCGACTCCGAGTCTCCTGGAAAGAAAGAAAAAATACCAGGTCGAAATGAAGAACGCCGCTCATAATGAAAGAGTTTGGCATCGCCTCTTGCCTCGGATGGCGACTACGTCGTTCGGAAAACGGGTCCGGCGCCACCTCGGAGCAGCTGCCATCATTCAGCTGTCTTCTATATACGCGGAACATTGGGCGGGAGGGTGGGTTCCGCGATAGACATAAACATAGACATAGACTTGCATAGAGATAGACATAGAGATAGACTTGGATAGACTTGGATAGACTTGGGCGATTTGGATTTTTTGGTTCTACTTGGTCCTTTTGTTTGTTTTGCGCGTCTCGCGCGGGTTGGGTGGGTGGGCCTTGTTGGTTTCTTTTGTTCTCTTGTTCATTTTGGGGTTTTTTTTTATTTTCTTTGGTCTACTTGGATGTTTTGCGCATTATGCGCGGGTGGGTGGGTAGGGTCTTTTCGTCTTCTTTGTTTTTTTTTTGGTTGTTTTTTTTTTGGCGTTTGGGCGTTTTGGTGTTTTTGGAGCGATTTGGGCGACTTGAAGCAACTTGGAAAGATAGTTTGGACCAAATTGGACTATCCTATTATATACTTCTCATTTCCATCGTAATAACTTTCGAATTAAAATCAAAATGGTGTTTGAACTGATGTTTGAACTGATAGTCCAAGTGATGGTCTAAGTGATGTCTAGAGAATATCTGGAAAGCTAGCCAGAACCATACTTGAGGCTGATCGATCAAGTGGTCTGACATCTATACGTAATGTATAACCCAGTGGGATGGTCAGTCTGCGCTAGGATTACAGTTGCTTCCCGATCTTTTTGGAAGAGCTCCCTGCAGGGCAATGGAGGTCCAGATATACAGACGATGGAATCAATGAAGATCAATTTTGAAAATAACTCTCCAGGACAATAAAAATAGAATTGTTCTACTGCTCGATCTCTTGGTCTAATTCGTATCATCCATAAGGTCTTCGTGGTACTCTATCAACATGTACATATTCCGTCATATGCATGTCAGACGTCAAACCGCCGATCTCAATGCTTATTCCCTCTCTGCCTCTGTAGCCACAACACTAGCGCAAAGCAAACAATTCCGGCAGCATATGCACATCCTGTGAACACAATCAGACCCCAATACTCACCATTGCAACGATGGAGTATTTCTCCAGCAATAGGTACACCGGTCAAGGCACTTTCGAGATGTTAGCAAAACTCCATGCAATGATTTCCAATAATAGAACAATGTTGAAAAGTCTTACCCAAAGCTGACAATAGTATATACAGTAGTATAATATCGTCCATAATTCTCCACGGGACAAAGCTCCCCAACACAAACCGGAACCAGACTGATGTTACTTCCGCTCGCGAAGCCAAATACCACCGAGAATATAATGACAGCGACTGCGTTTCCCCCGGCAGGCATCCACACCGCCAGTACAGCAACTAAACACAGAATATTGGTCAGAAGTAAGGTATTAAACCGACCAATTCGATCCGCCAGAATGCCAGGCAACCATCTCCCCGGAAAGGAGCCCGCGTTCAAAAAGACAATCATCAAGTACGCCAGCTGGCGCGAGATACCACTAACAAGAGCATACGAAGCAATATACTCCAGCGGGATAAAAAAGCCCCATTCGATAAAGAACACTCCCAGCGTCGTCAACGCAAGAACGGGGTCTCTTAGAATAGTCAAATCAGGAAGAAATACCTTCAGCGACGGAGGCGAGGGATCCTTCGGTGGGAAATTCGCTCGAACAAGCAAACACCCCGGAACCAACAGCACCAGCGTAATCAACGCAATAATCCTAGTCGACCACGCAAAGCCCACCCTCGGCGCCAAATTCTCAAGCACAAGAGGGTATATCACACCTCCAATACTTCCCCCGGACAAAGCCAACCCCGTCGCAGCCCCACGTCTGCGACAAAAGAAATGCCCAATACTAGCAACAGGTACAATGAAAATAAACGATGTCCCCATTCCGCCCAATATCCCAACGACGAGCAAAAAATGCCAGTACTGCGTGCAGAAGCCCATCAACACGATCGTTAACACGATAAGCGTTGAACCTGTCCACATTAGGAAACAGGGACCCTTTGCATCGAAGATGGGGCCTATTTGGATGCCGCAGAAGAAGACGAGGAAGTTGTAGAGTCCGAAGATCCAGCCGATTTGGCCGGCGCTGTGGGTTGAGAGTTGGTGCGTTGATATCCAGGCTTGGTAGATGCCGATGCTGTTCATGAGGCCGAGGCCGCCCATTATGGAGCTGAAACTGCCTAGTACGACTAGGTTGGCGCGGAGGCCACCTTCAGGGTAGGTGGTTGCATGGATTTTGGGTTCGTGGTGCATTTGTCGATACAGATGCTGGGGATATATATCTTAGACGCTGAGGATATTGAGAATATTGGTCCGATAGGAATAGTCAGGTTGTGAATAAAAGCAAGTAGAATAACCCCCTTGTGGCTCTAAATGCCTACTATATACGTCTGGATTCACTTCAATTTGACTCAATCATGGTTCACTCGACCGATTCGCTCGGCCATCAAAGAAAAGATAAAAGTGTACCAGGACGCCGACACCCGAGATGAATACCCAACACCGAACCATCAGGTTATCCACCTGGGCTCTTTCCCCACTATTCAACATTCACACCTAAACCTCTGAGAGAAAAAATTTCTCGTAAAAGCGTCAACGCCTTAAAAAACTCGCAAAACAGTCTCCCCGATGGTTCGAAATCGGCGAATATGCCAAGCCTCGGCCGTGACGGCCGCTCAGCGACGGAGAGTGGGGCGGGATGCGTCACGGCGGACATGGACATCGTTGACAGCAGGTACCGTACTGTAGTATCTTGCGGTTTGCCGAGTGGGAAGGAATTGGGCGAGGAGTGGACTTATGGAAACAAGTATTTCTGCCGCAAGCAGATCTACAGACCGAATCATGAGTGATTGACCAGGTTGATTAAGAGGGTGAAGGGTTTCCAAATTCTTGTATTGACTATGAGACAAGTGTATGCAGGAAGATGATGATGTCGAGTGCTAGTCTGCCAGATATGGCCCGTATAGGAACTCCCAACAGGTAGTCGTAAACCAGAAAAAAAGGAAAATAAAAGCGTCGAGCCACCGTCAATCGAGTAACTTAAAGAAAATACAAGAATCGAATCAGACAGAACATGAAAACACCCAACGATGGTATACAAGAAATGTGCAAAAGTAGAAACAAAACACCAACACCCGAATCCCATATCCACCCACCCAACCAAACCCAGCCTGAATCATGCGACCTATTATGCTGCCGAGACCCGAGCGAAAACGCTCCAAAAGAAAAGACGCCAAATGGTAGACACCCAAGACATAGTCAGGCTGTGCTACGTGGAGAGAAGAAACTATGTAAATTGTCGATGCGTCCGTTTCGAAGGACTCGGCGTACGGAGATGAGTTTCTCGTTCGCGGGAGCGTTCCGTGACGAAATCCATTGAGCGGGTGTTCTCGATCATGAGCGGTGCATCTTCTCTATCGGCGTAGCTTTTTGTCGGCGATGCACGGGGTTCTTGTTGACTGTAGAAGCCGTAGGCCGGGTTCTGCTGGAGGTGGAGGGGTTGGCCGTGCATGTTTGGATTATATGATGGCGGGGGTGGATAGTCGTGTTGTGGGTAGCCCTGGTTGAGGCGGTTGTTTCTGAAGGAGCGGAAGGACCAGTTACTGGCCCATGCCACGGTTCCGATGGTGGCTAGGAAGATTATCTAGATGAGGTAAAAGAGTCAGTGGAAGCTGGCAGTGGAAGCCTGATAGCGACGCAGTGGGAAGTCTCACAATAGCTTTCCAGGAAATAGGCTCGATGAAGCTGTCGATGATTTGGGCCATCGTCCTCGCTGAGAGCATAGCTCGTCTGACATGGGTCGGGTCCGTGTCCATGCACTTCCTGTCGGCGGCGCATATGGGCACTAGACCCGGCACGAGGTTGCCAGCTGCACATTTATTGTCCTCGTATCGCTTCATACACTCGGCAATATTGTGCAGAATCGAGTCCATCTCCTTGCTTGCCACAGCATCGAACTCATTGCGAATCTCGGCCACAAACGAAAAGACCATCCACACAGCAAGCGAGAACAGGGATAAGTTCACGACCAGCTGCGCCCACCATGACAGAATGGCAGGGACGTTGGGATGTTCCTCCAGCAGGGTCAAAAACTGTCTGAAAAAAGACATATTGGACGGTCTGCTCTGCACGTCCGGTGCCTTTTCCTTTTTTGATGTCCTTCCTGGTCGCCCTTCACTGCTGCTGGGCCTATCGCTCTCATAATCGTCATAGTCATCATCCATCCGCATCTTCCTCCCAAGTGCCCTATCTCGTCGTCGCCTCTTATATATCCGTCGCGCCACAGCATTCGTATAGTGATTCTTCCGTGGGATCTCCCCCTCCCAGGACTAGGCGCAAACCGGCCGTAGATGTTGAATAACGAATTGCGTCGCGTGCCCTTCGACTGCTGCTCCGGTGTTTCCTCGTTATCTGCTACCTCCGGCGAGGACAAGTTCTCGCCGCCCGACGACAAATCCACTTCTAATTTCCGCGGGGTCGTAAATGCCGGCTGTCCGAAGACTGACGCTGCTGACTGGAGCGTAGACTGTTGCCGTTGCGGGGAGAACAGGAAGGAGGACTGCGAATTTGGAGGGCGGAGAGCTGGTATGGTTGGTTTTCCAGGGGAATCAAAGATTTGATGTGTTCCTATAGGATGGGAAAAATGTAAGACAGTGCACAATGGGGATACAGACATCCCTGGTTGACTCGCTGGGCTGTGGTGAACACATACGCTTCTTGTTGTCTTGCGGCTGCTTCCTGACTTGCGAGAAGGGAGAGGTAAAGTCGACTGGCCCTGCGCTTCCCCCGTGCCATTCATAGTCCATCGGGATGACCCCGCCAGACTCATTGCGCGATTCCATTGTGGTGGACGCTCGGGTGGATCAAGTCTGGGGTTTGGTGGTGAGTAGGAGAGCGGGATGTTGGAGCGGGAAGTTTTTTGTTTGGGTAAACAGACTCCTCCGGAGCAACCTGGGCGGAGTGGCGGGATGGCCTCGGCTGGGCGATGGATGCACTGCACGATAGAGTTGATTATAGCAGTAGGACGTTAGTGTTGTGTTTGTTGTATTTTGATTATCTTTCGATATCTTCAATTTTATCTTGATAGACTTTGTAGCTGCCGGTGGCATTGCATACAGCTTCATATGCAGGCTTCCACATGAACACATAGAGCGTAGACCCAGCGAGGCATTTATAACGAAACATCTGTAATGTACTCCATTCTACAATAGCTAACTACAATAGCCAGTCAGAAATACATTTGCCGAGTACGAGGTCAATGATCACACAGGCATTATTCAATCATAAGGAAAAAGGGCGCTAGCACCCAAGACCATTTCATTTGTATACTCCACCCATGCAATACAACCCCCATTAACATTAACCACATAATCAAGCCCAAATAATCGGCCCATCCCCCTACTCATCCATCTGCCACTGATAATCCAACGCCTCAAACCGACTCTTCCGATTCCTCGCCGCAAACCACTCCTTCTCAAACCCAATCGACCGATCCACCCCATCCCACCGATGCCCCGGCCGAATCCCATACCGATTCGGCTGAAAAGCACCACTATACAACGGCTTCCCGGTGACACTCGCCCCAACGCCCTTCGTCTTCGTCAAAAACCTTGCCGCAGGATCATTCCACCGCTCCACATCCTTCAACTCCTCATTCATCACCTCATCCTCAATGCCCCGCGCAACAGGCATCGCCCGGATATCCGCCAAATCCTGCTTGCGAGTTTCGCGCTGTTGCCGCTGGACGTCGCCCATGAGCGCATGTCGCGCGGCTTCTTCTTGCGCTTTCTTTTCGGCTTCGGCGCGGCGTGCTTCGGCGCGTTTCATTGCGACGTTGATTATGCGGCCGGAGGCGTCGCGGTAGATTGTTTCTTGGGATTGTGCGTCCACGGCGGATGGGTCGCGGTATAGTGCTTCTTCGGCCTTTTTGCGCCGTTCTTGTGCTTTTACCATTGCGGCTGTGTCCGCGGCTGTTTGGAGGCCTGCGCGCACGCCGGATTCCATGCGTGGTCCTTCGTGATGATCATCGTCGCCTGCTTCGATGATGGGGGCGTCGTCGTCTTCATCTGCTTGGCGGGCTGCGCGCTCGGCGGCTGCTGAGGCGAGGATTGCATCTGCGGCTTCTTGGTCGGTGAGTGGAGGCGGGGCAGGGGGCCGCCGCCGATGGATTTCCAGCCTGATTGCTTGGTGCGGCGGAATTCGGCGCTTGTCATGGATGTTTCGATTGAGGGTTTGTATTCGTCATCTTCGAGGGGGCGGGCGTTGCCGAAGACTGGGGCGTCGTCGTCGGCGATTATTAGGCCGGAGCTGGCGTCGGTGGGTTTGGTCTTCTTGCGTTTCTTTTTTGGGCGGTCTGGGGCTGGGTCGGCATTGAGGTAGTTTTTGGCGAGGTAGTCTGCTAGGGAGCCCGGCATGGTATGTGAGAGTGTGAGGGAGTGTATGTATGGGAAGTCAGTGGGTGTTGGAGAGCTGCGGAGCTTGTTGGAAAGTTGATTTGATTTCGGGTTATCGATAGCCGGAGGAATGTTTGCCCGAACTGTATCCAGCTTAGTCTGGAGTTTATCGTGAAGCATGTTGTTTTCTGGCCTTCCTTGCATTTGAAACCCAGTGGATGACTCGAGTTGAGCTTGTCGGGGAGAACCATGCCACGCTCTGAAGAAGCTGAATGGTGGGCGAATGCCGTCTACGCCGCTATCCAAGAAATCCCCCACGGCAAAGTCACTTCGTACGGACATATCGCCCTCCTCCTCGGCGAACGTATGTACCCACCAGATCCACACCAGACCGGTTGAACAGTGAAACAATGGTAGTAACTGACACCACGGAAAACCACAGCCCAACGACCTCGTCAAGTTGGAGTCTGTCTCAAGTCTCTACCTAACGCCGAGACAGGCGCCCACTTCAATTCGAGTAATGTTCCCTGGCAGCGAGTCATTAATTCCAAGGGCATGATATCGCATCGGTACGTGGCCTGCACGGCTTGACTTTGAACACCTCGTATCTCAGTCTAAACCCATTCACATCGTGCTTTGTGGTTGGAAATGACTAATTACCTATATAACCAGAGGCCCCGGCAGTGCCGAGCGCCAAGCAGAAGCTCTGGGCCAGGAAGGCGTCGAGGTAACCAGGGATAGTATGGGCGAGATATACGTTGATTTCTCCCGGTACGGCTGGTTTCCAGCTAGGTTACCCAGTGAGGAGCAAGAAGACGACGACGAAGAGGATGGCGAGCAGTTATTCGTGCGGGAGTCATAGTTTCTTCGCGACGGACAGCATGATACCCATGACCCACATACCCAACCGGATGATTAGTTTTAATCGGTATCCGACAAGTCCTCTTACTGCTTGGTTAGTTGCAAGTTGTTTACCGAAATCAGAGACGACTTTTATGAGAATTGAATACTGCAAATTAAGACCCAACTCGAGACGAAACAGTACGCCCAAACGCTCAGGTCATACAGTCTTCATTCTTCATTTCTAATACTGTCATACGAAACGCAAGTCCCCAAGACCCACCAGAAATCGGACTGCCTATCATCACCAGCCCCCAGCAGATGGATCGGACGGGATCTGAGTCTAGTGGACGGGACAGTCACGAAGTGGCATGCCAAGTCCACCCAACACGATATAGAGAGAAGGAAAAGGAAATGACATCAAGTTCGAGCACGAGATTCTATGGGCGTAAAGTAGGACAGAGGCTGGGAAAGGCTGTAGAAAGGGATACCTGGGCTGGCGGGCATCGTCTCAATGACGGATGACGGCCGCATTGAAGGGTTTACCTGCGGAGCCAATGATGGATCCGGGGTGCCGAAGGTAAAGTCGAAGTAGGAAGATAAGGGGGGCAAAAACAACATGTAGGCCGACCAGTTTGCGTCCAGAACGGGACGGAGAGAGAAAAAGATCATAAAGACTCACATATCATCACTGTTGTTTGAAGGTAGAGTAGGATAGGATAGGGTAGACAGGAAAGGTAGATCCTTAGGGGGTGGGAAGAAGGGAGGGGAAGAGAAGAGAGCAGACAGGATCATCCAGCAAAACAACTCCAACAGACCGTCCCGTCTAGGGTTCAAGCCCGTCAAAGATGGAAGGGGGGAAAAAGGGCAAGGCAAAAGAAGTAGACAAGAAGAAAACCGAGTTGACCAAAAAAGGGGAGAAAACTCGCTGAGATACGACAAATCCCGTCACGCTCATAGCACGGCTCTGCTAGCGCCGCTTGACTTCGGATGCCCACCCGTCAATCCCTTCGCCCCGTGTCCCGGGGGCAATGCCTAGACTGATCCCGTCCATGCCAGGTGTATCCTGTATCCACTCATGCGAGGCCATGCCACCGGCATTGGCGCGCTTTTCTGGGGTAAGGTCCAGCATGGGCAAGAGGAATTCGCTGACCCGCAGGGCCTCTTCGACACTGTAGTGGTACTTCTCGCGAAGAACCTCGGGTAGGGCCCAGTGGCGCAGACGGTGAATATTTCGCAGCTCGCCCTTTCGGTTGAAGATCTCTTGCGACCATTTACCGGAGAGACAGAGGGATTTCGGGAACGGACCGAGCAGCTCGATGATCTGGGCAATGTGATCGTCGTCTTTGCCGTATTTAGTGCCGGACTGCGGATCGAAGAGGTAGTCGCCAGTGATGAGCTCAAAGACCTGAACAGTGTTAATGTTAGACAGTGTATTTTCATGTTGTGGACCATAGCTCAGCTCGGGGCATTCTTACCATGCACGCCATACTCCACACGTCCGTACTCGCGCCCCATTTCGCGCCAAGTATAACCTCTGGCGACCGGTATTGCCGTGTTTGGATGTCATTGGTAAAGTGATGTCCAACCCAGCAGGCGTTACCCAGATCGGCAATCTTGACGGAGATAATGCTAGCGTCGATCTCCTCTTCGAGGGACTTTGTTGAGCTCTTGTCGAGAGAAATACTAGACACTTCTCTCTCCAGGAGATCGCTGCATGGAAAAGACAGGGTCAGCGCACAAGCGGTTTGCCATCGACAAAATTGCCAACCTACGTTGTCTTCTCTCGCGTCTTCTGCTGCTCATCCTCATCTTTAATCCCAAGTGTCTCCCTCATCGAGGGCTCATTTGGTGCTGAAATCCCGTCAGTGTCTAATACGCATATCCCGTCCTTCTCCCAAGTCATCACTCACTCGGATCGTTCACCATCTGGCTCAAACTGCTGTGCGAATTGGAAGAGCTGTGTTTAAAGTCGAAGCTGCTGAAGCTGGTGTTCAACGGACTCGGCAGTGGTTGACTGCCCGTGATCAGTGTGCGCCGACGTCGCCGTCCATTCCGATTGTCCTCTTTCTGCTTCTCCTCCGCCTTCTTGGCCTCTTCTTGCTGCACATGGGCCTTGACGATCTGTTCAACGTCGCCGATCTCAATCAACACATTCTCCGGCTTGAGATCAGTATGGATGATACCACACTCCCGATGTAGATAATCCAATCCCAGTAATACCTGCTTGGTAATCTGCTTGACCAAAGGCATGGGGATACCCCGGTGGTTCCATCGCTTGATTAACCCCAGCAAGTTCTCACCCAGTACCTCAAACACCATACATACGTGGACACCGTTGGGACCCTTGTGTTCGAACGAATCCAGCAGGCTCACGACATGCTTGCGACCTGGGTGAGAAGGCTTGGCTTGGACGATCCGGTTGAGCAGCTTAATCTCGTCGATGGCGGTCTCGGTGTAATGGGCAGCGGAGCGCACGACCTTCAGCGCAACGTGTTTGCCCGTGGTCGTGTCCCTGGACAGCCAGACGGTCGAGAAATGGCCCCACCCAAGCTTGCGCACGACGACGTAGCGCCCCTCGTTGTAGGTTTCGCCCACGGCCACTGGGTGATACCCACCCTTGCAATAGTCCTCGGAATCCTCCTCCTCGGCGGTGGTTTCAATCTCGTCGGCCGATGAGGTCGATGGTGAGCGCGACCCCGGCGCTCCGGTAGACTTTGAATTTGGCGCGGCACCGCTTCTGTTGTCGGAGCAGGAAAAAAGTGATGAGTTTTGAGAAAAACAAAAACAAAGCGAACTGTTCCAAGTTTGGATCGCGATCGGATTTCCGAAGAAAACATAGATTTGCGACTAACTATAGGGTTGGGGAAAAAGTGAAAAAAAAAAGACTGGACTCACGATTCTGTGGCTTCGCCCGTTTCGCCCGACTTTCCATCATTAGTGACGATGGGCTTTAAATCGGTGCCCTTTCTCCTCTTCTTGCCGCCGTTGCCATTGGCAGCGGAGGCAGCGACACTGGCCATCTGTTTACCCTTGTTCAACACGGCCTTGGTGAGATCAATGCCCTCCATGTTGTGGAGGTGGAAGAAGGGTTTGGAGGCGGACCGCCAGCTGAGAGCGAGAGCGAGAGCGAGAGAGGCGGGGCACCGGGATGCGAGGTGGTTGGTTGCGGGAGGAAAGACTGAGGGCGGTGCGCGGAGGGAGACCGTCAGGGAATCAGAGGGCAGAGAAGGGAGAGAGGATATGAGAGAGAAAGAAAAGATATTAGTTTGGGAGAGAATGAAGATTTGGAGAGGATTCGTGGTTCGAGAATGTTGGGGGAGGAGGAGGAGGAGTTGGGTGGTGAAGAGGAGAGATTCCGCAAGCAGCCAGTCAGTCAGTCCGTCAGGGTTGGGTGTGTGTATGCGACGGATGTGGCGAACGACTGCATTCGAGAGTCCGAGAAGGCCCAACGGGGTAAAAGGGAAATAGAGGAAATGTAAACAAGAGAGAAATGCGTTCAAGAAGATCGGATCTTCTATCAAGAATAGTATAGTTATTCTCTAGTGCTCGCTCGTCTTGTTGGTCTACTGTTGTATACAGCACTGCCCAGCCGGGAACAAGGTGGCTGGTGAAGGCGCCAACGGGAGGATGCTGACGATGTGATGAGAATGATCATGAGAGACAGTCAGAGTAATAACGATCGTAATATGATCTATCATCAAGTCAGTCACTAATAGTGTAACTATTCCCGATCAACCCGTCATAGCTCCCACGACCAGTCCTGATGTCACCTCCGATCGTCCCCGCCCAAACACCCAAGACCTTCTCACATTCAACATTCAACATCCAACATCCAACCAGACGCCCTCTCTCCCCAGAGGCACCACCATGGCCTCCAATCCATATCACCGTCGTCCCCTCCCAGACTACTTTATCTCCTCTCCTCTCGTCGCCCTCGTCTATCCACTTCACCAACTGCTCCTCCGCCTCCGTGGTCCTCCCCGACTGCCACCTCCAAATGCGAAACCCATCCGCGTCGTCTGCATCTCCGACACCCACACCCTCGAGTGGCCCGACGTACCAGATGGCGATCTCCTAATTCACGCCGGGGACCTCGCCAACGACGGCTCCGTCCGAGAAATCCAAGCTGCGGTCGACTGGCTGCGCTCGCTGCCCCATCCACAGAAAGTCGTCATCTGCGGTAACCACGATAGCTACTTTGACGTCCGGTCGCGCTGCGAAGAAGACCGCGATGAACAATCCTCCGCTTCCTCTTTCGCCGCGGTCTCCGCGTCTACGGCTTCCATCCATTCCCTCGAGGAAATCACTGCTCCCTCGCGCATCGACTGGGGCGACATCCACTACCTCCAGCATTCCGCCGTGACACTCCCCTTCCCAGCTACAGCGACAGCTACAGCTACAGCTACAGCAACCACAGACTCATCCTCCTCCTCTACCTCCACCTCATCAGCAACACACCTTGTCAGCACATCCTCACGCCCCCGCGAACTAACCATCTACGGCGCCCCCCAAATCCCAGCCCTCATGCCCTTCGGCCCCGAACACGCCTTTACATACCCCCCACACCACGACGCCTGGTCCCGCACCATCCCCCCAGAAACAGACATCCTCATCACCCACACCCCGCCCCAAGCACACCTCGACATGTCCCCCGTCTACTCAACCGGCTGCCCCAATCTCCTCGCCGAAACCTGGCGCGTCCGGCCCGCCCTGCACGTCTTCGGACACATCCACAATTCTGCAGGCCGCGAGCCGATCTTCTGGGACGAGGCGCAGCGCGCGTGGGAGCGGCTGTGCACGTCGCGACGGCCCCGTGCGAAGTATTCGCGGTTTGTCGCGTTGGCGGGCTTTTGGCGGGATTTGGTGGATTTGTCGGGGTGGGCGGATGCGGCGAGGGTGTTGGTTTATGGGTTCTTGGGGGTGGTTTGGTCGAGGGTTTGGGGTGGGGAGACGCTTGGTGGTGGGTGGATGGTTAATGCGGCTTGTATGTATCGGAGTAGTGGGCGACTGGGGAATGCGCCGCAGGTTATTGAGCTTTGAAATTGAGGTGGCGATGGCTGGGGGGCTTGGATTATCTAGCCTCTGTTTTTATGTTTGTAGCGTGCATAGCGAGTACTTGTCTCCATTTCTCAAGGACGTTCTGACAAGATATTTTACTGTACAGTACAAGGACGCCTTACCCTCTGAATACATCTGATCTCCACGAGGGTACTGTCCTTATCCACTGCTATACGTATGGACACCTCAAGATCCGGTCGTCTACTAGCGGACTTGCCTTATATGATGTCGTCTTGTCGAGGTCTAGTGTTGACCTGACCGACTCTCATCGAGGGCAATCTCTCCATCAAGGATAATTCTCAAGCCGCACTTCAAGAGGAGGCAGAAGGAGACACAACTCGACACAACTCGAAAATGCCTAAATATTCGCCGTTTCGTTGAGTGCTCAAGAGGCCATGTAGCTGGGAAGCTAAGTTCAATCCCCATGATAACCGTTGCCCCACAATATCTATCTTCAAGTACGTCCTCGAAAGCAGCAGCAAATCTTGGAAACGGACGCCCCTGAGCAAGCAAAATATGATAGGTTAACTTCTCTTCGCTATGAGAAGAGAAGTTCAAATCGTGTACTAGGCTAAAGAACCTATTTTCCGAACTCCTTGCAAGTCTGTGTCGGTCCGATGTTAGAAGCAGGAGGGGGCAAATGGTCATAGTACCCAGGAGAGCTGTTCGGATTCCATCGAGGTTGGCCTCCTGGTCACGCCTTACGGCTCCAGCGTTTGAACTTGCGTAACAAATGTTGAGTTATTTCTAGTGCGATTGTTTGTTCGGGACTAGGTTCCTCGAGCATCGCTGCAATATCGCAGCATAGCCAGGTGATCTTTGAATCCACAAGCTTGCGCTGTACGTCCCTAGACTCAATATCACTAGGATGTTAGAAGGGACATTCTTCAAATCCTTTATCTAGGGTCGCGACATTTCGAGTGGAAAGCTTAGATCACACATTGGGTAGTTCCTCCCTTCGACCTCAAGGGACGATCCGAAGCTATGCAGCCAGAGCGTTCTTGACGTTGACTTTTCTGCATCGAGGGTCTTGGGATAACGGATTAGGAGGTACAATTGACGAGTTAGGAGTCGAGGGGAGGATTGTGATAAAGATTTGAGAGCCAAGGTGAACGAACGATACGGCGAGAAGGTTGAGGCCAAAGGCCAGGAGGTGGTAGACGCAGCGTGTGGCAACACGCCCGTTGATACTAGGAGAAGAGAACCCTTGTTTTCAAGAACTTTGATCGATATCCCGATCAAATGCGATGTCCACTCAGAGCATGGTCAAAAAAGGCCAACGGTCTAGATGATAGTCTGTCGTATTCTCTATCGTGACATTTAATGCCCAATATCAGACGGGTATATACACACGCATCCCACCTGCGCAGGGATGACATATTCAAACACAAAATGCTTCATATCAACACAAAACAAAACATCACAGCAAACTAAGCTCAACAACCTAAAGCTTGGCCTTCTCGTTGAATCGCGGCGCCTGGAGCGGGTCGTACGCACCCAGGCCGAGGGTATCCGACGGGATAGTACCAGCATGTCCACCCAGCAGACCCCGCGTATCCAAGAAGCTGGGGTTCAAGTCCTCGACGCGCGTGGCGCCGATCAGACGCATATTCATCTCCATCTCGTCCTTGAGTAACTGCATAGCGCGGTTGACACCGTCCACGCCATACGCGGACATAGCGTACAAGAACGGACGACCGATACCGACACCCTTTGCGCCTAGGCACAGCGCCTTTAGGATATCCGTGGAACGGCGGATACCACCGTCGACGTAGACCTCGATACGCTTGTCCCAACCACGCTCGCGCAGGGCAGGCATAACCTCGGCCAGAACCTCGATACCAGAGCGGGCAGTCTCGAGTTGACGACCGCCGTGGTTGGAGAGGACGACGCCCTCAACGCCGGCTTCGACGGCGCGCAAAACATCTTCCACGCACTGTACACCCTTCAGCACGATGGGCATCTTCGTGATACTCTTGAACCAGGGGATATCCTTCCAGCTCAGCGCGGGATCAATGAATGATGAGATAGCGCGGGCAGCGCCCTGCGAACGATCGATTCCGTCAACACCAGATTGTACGTTCGACCCGGCATCACTGAACTTCGAGCGCATGTCCTTCTCACGACGACCTAATTGCGGCGCATCTACTGTGATGAAAAGACCCTTGCACCCGCGGGCTTCGGCGTGTTGGACGATCTTACGGGTGATCTCGCGGTCCTTGTTGACGTACAGCTGGAGCCATTGTACCTGGTCGCCTTGCTTGGCGTCGACGATCTCGTCGAAGGAGCATGAGGCGAGGGTGGGGATCATCTGGATGACGTTGTGCTGGTGCGCGGCCTTGGTGAGAACAACTTCACCCTCTGGGTGGCCGAGCTTGCCCAGTGCGGTGGCGGTTACGTAGAAGGGGATGGAGCAGGGGGTGCCGAGCATGGTACTGGACATGTCGACGTGTTCTACGTCGACGAGGACGCGGGGGCGGAACCAGATTTTGTGAAAGGCGTGGTGGTTTTCGCGCAAGGTCTGGAGGAGGCGGTTAGTATGTTACTTTCCGGGTGTTGGCATGCAGGAGATTGTTGAGATTGTCACGTACGATCTCGTCATCTGCGCCGCTGGAGTAGTAGGCCCATGCGGTCTTCTTCATGACTTGCCGGGCAACGGTCTCAAAGTCCATGAGGTTGTAGCATGCGGCGAGCGGGGGCATCCGCTTAACGCGCTCCAAACGACCGGCCTCCTCGGGGTCGAACTCCTTCTCTTCTTGCTCCACGGTGCTCATGTCAACCTCGCCGAGGTGCTTGGACTTGTCGAGGTACTTGTCGAGGGTGTCCGGAGGGTGAATGGGGTCGAATTCCTCGGTCGCATCTTTGCCGGCGTACTTGAGGATGATCTTTTGGCCGCCAGGGTGTTCTATAATGGAATGGTCAGGCGTTGCGAGGGAAGCGGAAACGGGCATACCAACCAGGCAGGAACTCAGTGACATCGTAGGCTTTCCCGTGGACAATCACCCAGCACGAGTCCTTGGAGTTGTGCTCGGCGACCGCGGCGCCAGTCAATTTTTGGCTCATATTGATAGCGGAATGTATAAAATGACAGCGTCTATGTCTACGCATGCAGGATGTATAGAATGAGCAGTGCAAAACGATGCGGAAGATGTCAAAAGGGCAGAGATGTTGGGAAGAAAAAGGTGAAGTTGACCAGCTCGGGCTAATGGAGTCCGGGGAGAGAAAGTTGCGGGGAGCTTCTCGGCCGACTCGGGTGGTTCTGATTCGCCATCAATCTCCAATCCGGAACAAGATTTCGTGATGCCGATGCGACTCGATCGAGAAGATCAGGCGATACAATTGCCGTGGCACGGGTATTGTCGCCCTACTGGCCGCAGTATCCGCGGCATCTCTAATACTTCAACGTCCGCTATATATCACTGTACGAGAGCAGACCGCCATGCGGCATAGATCCTGACTGAGAGCCTCAGGCGAGCAGCCTCGGCACAATTCACGGCGGGTGGGCCGGCCACACTCCTCGCATTACCAGTCGGCATCCGGAGGTTGTTGTACCGAGTAGTTTGTGGGACCTTCACTATCGGATCTCGACTTCAGGGGGAAAAAATCAGATCTATTCTGAACTTTTCAGTGAGGGCTAATCCAAGGAATGCCGTGCCAGCAGAAATAACAGGCCTGCCGAAAAGAAACGCTCTGCCTGAGGCAACGATCTGGAAAACTCGCTCACGTGATCGATGCCCGAGTCCTGTCAACGAACCATCTCCATGCGCGACGAAAGGATCTGTTTAGGTTTTACAAGAAAATAGCACGTCTACTTGTAAACTACCCATTTATCATCGAAATAGTTAGTTGAATTCTAGATCGCAGGGTTTATCAACTCAAGGGACTTTCACAACCCAAATCTACAGTCAAGGATTTTGGAGCTGACGCCTATAGCGTTGAGTTCCACTATGGTAATAAATGGATCACCGTCGCGAACTACTTCGAAAAAGGTATGTATATAGCGTCTCCCCCTAAAGAGTGCAGCAACCAAGCAGTTAGTAGGCGATGAGGCAAGAATGCGCCGTGCGCGAACTAGCGGACCCTCCCAGCGGATCAGTGGGGCCTCATCAAAACCTGGAACATGCTGATTCCCCACAATTTCCAACCTAGTGCACCTAACTTCGACCGTGAAGTCTTCATCACTGCCATTGAGCAGCCGCAGGAGTACACAAACTCCCAGACGGCTGAGTTCTGCACACTTGTTAGTATCCCGAATAAGTTTGACCTTTCCGAGAGCGAGCGGACGGGATCGTCGGGCGTCCTTGTATCACAATACATAAGAATCAATATATTGTCGGATGGACTTTGCGCTTGGTGCTTCTTGTGCCGATACTGAATGTATCTCAAGTCTTATATTTTGGGGATAGTGGCATAAATTCATCTCCAGGAGTGCGTGCCGCATCATTGCCGAGGTCAACTCGGCAGATATAAGGCCGTGGGGATGTACGCACTCTGTTATGTGCAGTTTAGAAACCCGCTGGTCCGTTTTCCACTCGACTCAGTAGGAATATAGGCACTCAAAAGCCGATTTAGTCATGGCTTGATATAAGCCGACAGCCAATGAGAGAGTGTCGAAGATAGATGCGAGAGTTTTGATCGCCTCTAACATTCTGCGTCGGGTGTTGACTATCATCTCCCAATCCGTTGCTTTGGTTTTTAATCTTTGCTGCGCTCACATATCTTACTCTACAGTATAAGCAATAAAGCGACATTTTCTGCATGAGTTTCAATCGCGTCTTAACTTTGAGATGGTAGCACTTCGATCTACCGATAGGTTCACTCTCAACTATCAAGCTTTCAAACCAAGCTGGAGAACATCGACAAGACTGCTCTCTTGCCACTTCTCATACGTCTCTCAGTGCCATGAAACAGCTCAAGAGAAATGGTGTTCAAAAACTAGATATAAGACACACCCACACGAGCCATCCAGCGTAAACAGTGGAGAAGACCACTCCGCTCGATGATGTCGGGAACCACCTCTAGGCTAGAATCTTTGTCGAATCCCACAGCGGGTCCACAACGGACAAAATCTCCATTTATCGCATTTACTATGGTGTTTTGGGGTGGTGGGGACGACCGGGTGGCCGAGACGGCCGGGAATTATGTTACCTTTCTAGAGTAATAGAGCCTTCGAAAATAAAGAAGGGTTATAGTAAGACTCTCCCGAGTATCTGCTTTCTCTGCACTGGCGCGTCTTCGGCTAATTAACTTTGACCGATTAGGCTATTAGCCTAGTATAAAGCCATTTTCATCGAAATTGTATATATTATAGTACTTTATCTACCGAATCACTAGTTCTAGGCCGTCAACCAATTCCGCATTTCTGTAGCAGTAACCTACGCACGTTCCGATGAGATTGATTCGTCGGCTATTAGGATCTACTAGCTTAATAAACGAATAGGCCCATTAGTTACACGGTGCAAAACGGGAGGGTGGCATTCAGCCACAGGTAGTGGTCAACACAACCATTCCAAATGAGGAAGGCCAGGGTTGTCACATGGGCCTAAGAGCCCTCACTACTAGCCTTATGCCAGTGACTTGACTCGTCGCCGCTCTGGCTGGTACTTCCACAACAACTGGATCTCCCCGTTCGAGTAATTGCAGCGCCCGGTTCAGCTCATTAATATCCCATTCTCGTTTGATGTACAGTTGCCGACTGCTGCCCGGAACCTGGCGCCAGATAACGTCCTCCCATCTCGCGGCCTCCATGTTGTCACCAAAATGGAAGATGAAACCCTCGTACGTAGCGCTTGCTTCCATTTTTTGAACGGATCGAGGTAATTTAAAGTGGACTTTCTCATTCTCCAAACAATTTTTACCATTCTTATTAATCCGTCTATGATAATATTCGGCGTGACGCGGCGTGGGGAAGTCGATGCGGATTTCTTTGCGATGGATATCGAAAGATACGGGAAGCTTCAACATGCTCCTAGCGAGAATTAAGTCAGCACACAGGCTGCTGTGTAAGGGGTCAACTCACATTTTTTAAATTATTGTATTTGCAGCTTTGTGACCAAGGAAGAGTGGGAAGTTGAGATACAAATTCGCTAGAGCCAGCAGATCGACCCTTAGTTATATGTCGCTGGCCACAACATATCCAAAGCGCAAGATTTCAACTTGCAGCCAATCTCACAAAGCCGCGTTGACAAATGTAGCCGGCTGCAGTTTTCGTTCTACGCCCGATATAGCCCCATGCATAAGGATCTGGATGCATCTTACGGGCTCGAAAGGTAGGGCGGCGCCTTCGAACCTTGAAACAACCCCCCATAATTATATAATTTTCTGCCGTCAATTCTGCTGCCACTAAGCTTCGTACACTCCACTAATAACGAGTAGCAGTAGCGTGTTGGATTAGACGGTGTTAGTGGTGAAAAAATGGTGGTGTGTTGGTTGTTTTTTAACTTTGTACTGCGGGAACAGACGCAGGTAGCCGGAGGACGAGCAGCGAGTGGAGGTTGGGGGAAGGCTTGGCACGGACTAAATATGCCAGTGCGCCTACAACCTGACTCAGTGTCAGTGGCCAGACCGTGAGAGGCGCTCCGAGAATGATCCTCTTGGATGAGGGGTGAATTTGGAATCTTCTGGTTCGGCAATCGGTGCCGAACCTTTCATTTGAAGAGCCTCCCATAAATAAATCCTGAAACCTAGGTCTTTCCTCGTGTTCAGTGTATTTGGGAACTCGACTCTTGTGTCGAACACCTACAGTATCACTAGTTTTACTGTTGAGATTGAACACCCTCGCGCCTCAATTCTTTACCCAAACGGGTCCGTCCAACTTTCCTTCCCAGTCTGTGGCAAGATGGATTCGGATCCGGAAAAGGGTATGGAGGTTCAAGGGGTCCACCAAAGTGGTAGGGTTCATTTTATCCGCTTCGTATAATTCAGGCACTGAGTTGAGATCTTAGTCGGCGAGGAGAACAGTAGTAGGAGGCTGAGTGGGAATGGAACAAGGAGAAGCGCCTCCAGAAGGCGCTCCTCCTCAATGTCCCGCCGTCAATCAGGCAGCCTTTCAAGGATTCGCAGTCCGAGACGGCAGGCCAGAATCGATCTAGACCCCGATAACCCAGGGCAGTGGGTAATTGATCATCACAAGCATAATTTGATTGAAGAGCTCAAACAACCGACAGGCAATTTTCTTTGGCGTATATTTAATACCCGACACAAGGACTCCGCCTTGCGTCGCTTCAGAATCAGTTTTGCCGAGTTGCAGAGAATGCGAATTCGCAAACTTCAGTGTCAGCTTGTCAAAGATGTCATACAGATGCGCAAGAATGGCTCGGAGCCCGATGATTGGGAAACGACGCTCGATCACTACAGTGAGTTTTTTTCGCTTTTCTCTATGCTTTTTGTCTCCCTTTCCTATTGCGTGTTTATCTTTCTGCAACTGCAAGAGTACTTACAAAGAGGTTTGCCCAGTCAAAGCATTGCAGGATTATGATTACATGGACAGATGCAGCAGTCAGCTGTCGAGAGATCCATTTCTCGTCAGCGGGGAGTACTATGTAGACAACTACGTCTTCGACAGATGTATGCCAAAAGAGCTGCTTCTCACAGAGAGATTTGGCGAGATTCCGTCTATAAAACCATGGGAAACAGGGAAGGACACAACGACCCCAATTTGTGGCACCCGCAGTGACAACCGACACAGGACCTGGTTCCAAAGCTTCCAAACGCGAGTCGAGATTGCGACGATCGGTGGTGCTTTTTTGATCGGGCCCATGTGGTTGATGGTGTTGCGCAATACCTTGTATACTTCATTGATTTCAACCACCGCCTTCGTGGCCGCATTTGGGTTTATCATGGCACTCTTCCTCCAGGATTACAAAGACGTGCTGGCGAGCACTGCAGCTTATGCTGCTGTGCTAGTTGTTTTTGTAGGAACCAGCACATCTAATTCTCCATAGCTCTTCGCCTAAAGAATGGGCTATACAGTAATAAACTTGCATAACAGGGAGATCCTGGAATGTTTTGTTGCTGAGTTCACTCTCATTGATGATTAAAAACATAAAAAAAAACGCTTCAAA